TCTCTATTTAGAATCTGGTAGAATTCCCAGTGCCGTCTCAAGTGACTCAGACTACTTCATCATTGTATAGTGCAACACTCTTAAAAGTGGGTGGGTGTGTACCTGTCTGTGTGTGTGTGTGCACGCGTTGAAACGTGCATCTACATCTTGTCATATGAAGAAAACACGGTATAGGTTAATGAGGTGCACCCTTGAATGGTGTGTGGGCCTCTGAGATCCGCTATAGTGGTCCAAAACAGGCAATGTGCCAACACCTGCCTCGAGGTCCATGACCCAAGGGTCGGTCAGCTATGACTGCCCAGCAATGACAGCGAGGCTGAAATAGCTTACGTTGTGACTCTGGTGGAGGGAGCCGCGCTCGGTTTACACAATACCGTCACTAGGCAAGGTTTCCCTACAGCGTGACACAACCCAAAATGTGGGGGAGAATGTGTGTGCCTTACCAACAGAGGGTTTGCTGGGTAAAGCTGAGGCGTACAGTATCCATTTTAGACCTGCTAAACGTGTCCCCTCCCAAAAGTCAACAACAAGTCAGAGGCTCTTTTTCCCCCCAGGTGTAAAGAGGCGTGGTACAAGAAAGAAAGGGAAGAGAATTGGGTGAGGGAATCAGTTCGTTTTATACGGGAAGAGAGACTGGAATTCTTTTGATGAGAATAATAGTACCAGAGAGGAGGAGGAGCAAACCAACCCGATGAGTTTAATTCAGACTTTTTGTGTTGCAATACGTGGTCACGTTTGGGAACAAGGTTTTTTGAGTTGCACAGATTGTGGTCAATCCAGTAGGCGTTCCGCCGGAAAGGAGTCTCGTGCTCTGATACGTGCGCCGTTGTTGTTTTCTAAACACAAAAGCTAACAATTGAGGTTCCTCTTAGTGCTTTTCTTAGGTAGTTTCAAGGGGGATACAGGAAATTCAAATTATTTTCAGTTCCTCTCTTCACCAGGTCTTCCTACCACAGCAACCATTGAACTACTTGTAACAAAGCGGAAGGTGGTTGTTTTAACATGAACTGCTGAAATGAGCATGCTAACCAGCTAGCCCTCTATTGCGGCCAGTCTTCTCATTCCTCTTGTAGATCAAAAGGTAATTGTGTTTCCCTTCAGCATCCAGTCAGAGGACATGAGGGGATGAAGGCAATGATGACACAAATGATGTTTTCTGCCATTTTAAATATAATCAAAACATGCACAAACAATTCCGGTTTAGTTTAGCCCAAACAGAAAAATGGTCAAGTTAGACGGATCCTCCCAAAGAACCAAAAGAAGTAGGCCATTCTTGTGTAGTGTTGTGTATCGTGTGCAGAATCCATGCAGTTTGCTCCAACACAATTAACCTGGCACGAAAAGGCATAGGCGTATCTTAATAACGCTCGTTATATACGTTTACCCATTTGCTGCTTGTGCCATTACCCCAGGATGTTTTCTTGGCTCGGTAGACTTTGCGATCGAATTCATGTCGGACGCCACCTTCCGCACTAGGTGTCCCTCTCGCCTACATGAAATAGACGACTAGGAGAATCAGATTGTTTAATCTCGTGCAGGAATCCTACGGCCACTCTCCTTCCGCTTAAACTTTGGACTTCTTCCTCCTGAGAAAAAAAGATGGAGTTCTATCGCCGCGCAGAGACTATCAAGGGGAAGCCCCATCAAGATTCATTCACTCTGCCCTTTTCTAATCCAGGGGGCTTGGATTTTTTGAAAGTTTGACATGCAGTATATTTATCACATGGTGAGGATCAGAGAGGGTGATGAGAGTTTTACAGATAGAATTTGAGCCCCCACCACCCCCATGGGTCATACCTTCTAACATACTCTCAAGACTATGCAGGGCCTTCTGCTCCACCATTGGTGGCTCCGCAACCATCCACTCCAGTTTCCCCAACGCACACAAATGACCAAGCTGAAAGGGCAAACCAGGAGTTGGAGGTTAATCGACCCCATCTCGTCTCTCATACCCCCTTAATATACTCTAGATCAGCGGTTCCCAAACTCAAGAATGCCGCGGCCCAATTTGAAATCAAAAAATCTTTTGCGCCCCACCCAAACCTTTAATCACAACTCTGATCAAAACATAAACTAGGGAGGATTAAATGACCTTAAGAATTTAACCGACTAAAAATGTATTAACCGACAATGTATGTTTTGTATACCATTTTCTCCGGAGCTCATGTGCCGTGTTTTCCGCACAATAAGCCGCACCTTCAATGAATTACTTATTTTAGAACATTTTTCATCTTGCCATCCACGCCTTAAAACGTCGGCTGCTTTCCAGCCACGCCGCCTGCCAAGGGCCCCTTTTAGAATAACTTTTTCCCCGTTAAGATGGTTCAGCTCCTGTAAAGATAAGGGCGCCGTCTCTCGCTCTTTAATCTCATTAAATGCTCGGCAAGAACGACAGCTTTGTTTCTCCGGCGCGCCCTGAAACAAGCTGCATATCTCACGCGCTTGAGCGCCCGCTCAGTATCTCGCCGTCGTAGACCGAGCTTTGGCATGTTTGGCAGAGCGCCTTGAGCGCCATGTACAACCAGTATGGATCAACCGATTAACCAATTGATCCATATATAAGAATCGATTGGTTAATCAGTTAACCGCATCATAAATATTTTGATATTAATTTCAAACTTTTCAAAATTGAAAATTAAAAACATTTTATTTATTTATTGTAAATGACCTCTCGCGGCCCACCTGCAGTACCTTCGCGGTCCACCAGTGGGACGCGGCCCACACTTTGGGAATTGCTGCTCTCGATTGTATGTATGCCCACAGAATTTTGCCCTTTCAGTGTCTCCGTGGTTATCAGCCACCTCTGTTCCCTGCTTCTGTACAAGCACCTTTTTGGCCGTGTTGTTGCACTTAGCAGCTGTTTATAGGGGGTCAAACACCAATACTATTTTACAGTATCAGATGCGGCCCAACCGCCATTGTTCAGCCACGCTGATTAAAACCCCCGGGGTAGAAGGTTTGGGGTGGGTGGGCCGTGGTGGCAAAATGCTAATACTATATGGAAGCTGCGGGGCTGTTTTTCCTTTCTTAGGTGTTTAAATTACAGAAAACTACTCCAATGTGCACCACATTTGAGAGGACTAAAGTCACAGTACAGCTCAATCAGAAGACACAGTTATTACAAAGTGCACTTTGTCTGATTGAAAAATATAAAAGGCTAAGAACAAATTCTGAACACAAAGTCAGTAGGATTCATCCTCGTGGAATATAAAGGTCTGTAGAAAATGAATTGGATATCAAACCAAATTGGTGGAGTAAGCCATAATTAGACAATATTTACAAGTATTTGAATCAAGATATTTAAATATGAGAGTTGAAGTTGAGTTGAGTTGTTCAGTTTGTCTTTGCCGTACCGGATTTTCTGGGTATCTTGTACTGGATACCAAGTTTGGAACAGGATGTACTGAGCCTATTTAGTTTCATTGAATGTTGGTTGACACCTATATAGGAATTTGGCATCAAACTTATTGTTTCAATTATGATCTATTATTAATCTATTACTGATCTTGTTACTGTGATGTTAGAAGAAAGCATCCTGGGAAGAATTGTATTATTGTAAACACAAACATGTTCATCATTGATTAGACTAACATTTAATTGTATGTTAATTAGGATAAAATGGACATTGCAAGCATTCAAAACTTAAATGCTGTGAGTCAATGGGTCAATGTTTATGTAGGCTACTAAGTGGTCATTCATAGGACAGCTGATAAAGTGTGATTTATTGGTACCTTTAACTACCCAACAGTATACAAAGCACTAAAAAAAGTAATACTTTTGTAACGTGGACTTCTTTTAAATGCAGGATTATGACATGCTTTTACTGGTGTGGTTGTTGATCGTCTGCCATCTCATTTCACACCTTTAAAATTGTATTTGTAGGTTTTACTCAAGATGCCTTGTGCTTCTTTAATCCTCAGGTGAAAATATTACATATCCATTACAAATAACATTAATATCTCTATACTGGGAAAGGGAAGTTGTGGATTGGCAAGTGGAGCCGTTGCAACTCGACGCCGGACAAGGTTGAAGATGAGAGAACATCCAAGAAGAGATGGCAAGGCTTCCTTGATGGACACCTGGGTTCCTTCCAAACAGACGGCCCACATGTACTTTCTTCTGAGGAGTCATACTCATCCTTACATTGACAGGGCAGCACAGAAGCCTGTCTGAACACTTCTAACAATAGCCACAACGAAGATAGAGAGTTGTCAAGTAATAATGCCACTTTGATGTGATAGAGGCCTCTGGCTGGCCGGCCTCAATTATCCAAACACTTAGTGTCATCTGTCCACTGGTGGAATGTAGCCAAGTAAAAATAAGGTCTTTCAAGCCACTATCAACTCCTGCTCCACTACATCACAAAGGGAAATATTAAACATTTTCCCCCTCCTTCACTACATTGATCGGAAAACATTGTATTTCATGAATAAATGTTTATGTACAGTTTAAATACTTAGTTATTTGGCAATGGCGATGCAAAACCATGTGTTTAAACAGAATCATACATTGCATTTCCTTTGGATCTCTGCAATAATTCAGATTTGTAATTAGGTGGCTCGTTTGACATGAAGCATTGTGACAGTCACTTTGGACCAAATCAAATAAGCATGAAATAATTAGTTAAAACGGGTCAAAGAAAGAAAAAAAAAATGTATGTGTGCAACGATTGGGTAAAAAAGTATTTTCCTGATACTTGCCAAATATTTTTACAGTATTTCAAAGGCAAGTAGCAAGTTGGTGGTGCCACTGCTTGGAGAGCACTGCCATCCAGTGGACATGTGATGACAGCGACGCCATTTGTACGAGGCCGCTTCCATAATCAGGGAGACTGAAATATTAGTCCCGCCCTGTGTTTCATTTGGTAATTTGGTGGTCCCCGAGGCTCAATAGAATTTATCTTCCTAAATAAATTTCATACCTTGCACAGGAGATTTTTTTTAAGCAAAAACGACTATTTGAAATAAATGTCTTTAATATAAAAACCACAAGATATTCAAAATGGCATGTACGTTATGGCTTATAACCAGACCATGGGAGGGTATTAGGAGTTCTAAAACTTGAACCGAGGTTGTTGGTGGGCCTCGCCTCCGGTCTGCGTGGAAACGAGACAAAACCGTTAAAAAGTACAATAAAAACATGCACAAGTGGCAAGCGGAATGCTGGCAGGAGACGACCACCTACTTTTGGTTATTAAAGGTGGTTTCTCCCCACACAAATGGAGGGGCAGCATTATCAGCCTCTGCAAGACAAAACCGGTTTAGAGGCTGCAAGGGGATAAGATAAGAAAATGCCCCCGATACCATGTACTGAATATTTCTGTAACTCGAGCACTGATAGTTACTGTAAAAGCAGACAAGTACACTTTTGTGCAAATAGTTAAAGGAGATCCATACCACTCACGTCTGTGCTTAATATGAAGCATACAGCGGTTAGCTTAGCATAAAGACGGCATACAAATAGCCCAACTCTCAAGACAATCCGTCTACCAGCACCTCCAAAAGATCCCTATTATATTAATAGATCATTTAACACATTATATTGAGTTTCTTCTAATCACACAAAATTCCCAGAGTAAAACCAAGTTATGGTTAGTTATCATACCTTTGTCCCAATCCTCAGACATGTCCGGGTTCACCCAAGTACTGAGTGGCACCTGCCAGTTACAATCGTTATCCGTGCTTCCCCCTGTGAAAACAGGACAGAATTCAACTAGCAATCACTGTGAACACATGGTGACTCTGCAGGAACAGAACAGACAGCAAAGTGGTTGTAATACCGTCTTCCGTGTCCACAGATATCCGGTCCACACAGGTTTCGGTGTGGTGCATCAGCTCATGCTTGGGGACCAGGTGTCGTGCATTAAAAGGGCAAGTTTTTAGCTCACTGGCCAATTTCGGATGATTCTACGTCCATGAGGGGAACAGAAATGGAAATTTACAGTTCAATCATACGATAAACCGATCAGTACAGTGTGTCAAGCTACAATATTTTCCAGACTTGATGGGATTTGCGGTAAACAAGCACTCGACTCACCTTTCTGCACTTTATAAGATGGTATGGGAACCGGCAGGTACGGATTTGGTGGTTCTTGTCGAAAGGGCACTGGAGAAGTTTTTCTGGGTCATTGTCTCCTTTTTCATCTTTAAAGCCGCAGGACAAATTAACACATTACGCACTTTAATATTTACAAAAGGACTCCAACTCAAGATTTAAATGTAGAAACACGTCTCAACTATTACCAGTTTCCTCTACCAGTGCTCTCCCGGCAGCCGCGGTGTTGCATGGAGAGCTAGTGGTTCCAAATGTGATGGTGGTCGCCATCGCTAGCGGGGATCTACAGAAGAAACTGGCAAAGACACCGAATGAACAAAAAAGACAATTCTACAGTCTTCTTGTGAGGTAGATATGTTCTTTTAAAAACGTTTTCTTAGAAGTATGGCGATTAGCGTTTACTACTTTGAAACAAAATACTAACGTTAAGTAACGTTACCTTAGTTAAATTACGTGACGCCGCGCTTGTGTGTGTGTTTGTGTGCGCGTGTGCACGTGCTTGATGTTGTGTGTGTGTGGGTGTGGGTGACCGATTAGCCGCCTGGGGAAAAGAAACCCAATCAGGAATTAACTTATATTTGGAAGCAAGTACCACAAAAAACAAAGTATGAACGCAGTCGGCTTTGATTAAACTTCGAAATGAAATGACTTCAGAACGAAGAGTATTTATTGTTAACGGTTTTACACTATTAAGTTAAGTAATCCACCGCATCACAGGTCTGCTTTTTCCCCATCAGGCACCAGGAATGCAACTTGCTGACGTTAGCTACCTAGGTACGATCGATCAATGGGGCGGAACGGCATATTTTAAGGCAGTTACTTTGCAATAAAGGCAGATTTTCAGGAAACAATTGCTGCACTGTAAACTAGCCTCAAAATCGCCAAACGTTGCCTTCAAATAGCGCATGAATAAACATTTTCCTGGTGACGTTTGCCAAGTTTGCTAGCATAGAACGTGGCGTGACGCCTCGTTAACGTCAAATTTAAAATAATTTAAATTTACAACAAGTTTGCAACAGCTAGTGTAAATATAGTCTGTTGAAACATGCCATTTCCACGAATAACAAAATAATAGAGACCTTTCCTCGCTTTTCTCCAGGTCGCTGCCAGTAATTAACGTTACACGGGTTCAAGGATTTCGTTGTTCCGCCCCAAATTTATTTTTTCGCTCACTTTGTAAAGTCACGTGATTTCCGGTTTAAGCAAAAACCGCTTTTCTATCAAATCTGTAAAAAGCATTTAAGCGGAATCTAAATAAATGCAAGAGTTTGTATATTTTCATATTTGTGTAATTGATGTATGTAAGCAATAAGGTACGGGAGGCAACCCTCGAACTGTTACATTATTAAAGATAAAGTACTGCCCCAAGTACCTTATTGCTTTATAATACTTGTAACCATGTAAACAGGAACGGTACAGTATCGCTCAATAATGCACACCCCATGACTCACTCTCAACCAATCAGAACGCTGAATTTCATCTACCCGTATTATCATAATATGTAAGTCCTACTTTATTGTTGTATTTATTTGCAGCGTTAACTATTTTAAAAATTGGAATTGTCCGAGAGGCTGGTTGCAACACAACTTACACATGTACACATGTAAATAAGAGTAAATAATCTTGAATACTCGTGTACACAAAAAACATTACGGTAAAAAAGCCTTTCTATGTACTTCTGGTCTTGCTGTAGTTGCGCGTCATTACGGTAACGTAGGCGGAAGTTTGCTGTGTGAAACATGGCGCTGTTCGGCACCAAGCTGTGTAGCCATTTGTCTTTGACCCGACTATGTGGTCTCAGGACAAACACCATAACAAAAAGCCTTTACTCTCCTCACGTGTCCTGCCAGTCCAGGTATGTTGAAAACGCTTTGCACTCTGTCCACGACGTGTCTCTTTGTTTTTCTCCCATCTGACTCGAACCTTTGCTAACTTAAGCTAGCTGCATATCCGGACATACTTAACCGCCCGTGTTTAATGAGAAGTAACGTTACGAACTCGGATATGTGATGGAAGATATGTTGTCCACTTCATCTTGAAATCATATCGCATTGCTGTTTCATCGGAACACGTGCATCATTAAACTATGTGTATTTTGGTTTTATACACTCAAAACTACTAGAGGTGTAACGTTAGTGTCCTCTGTCAAAAATGGTCATGACTAACTTATTAAGTTAAATGGACTTTTGACATTTATTGTTTTATTTTAATCTTCCATCTTTCTTCAACCCAGCAAGTGGATAAGTAATGGACCCTTTATTTGCGTTATACTAGAGGGTTATACATGATAAAAATAAAACATGTTTTTCTCTTCACATAACCCAATGTAGTGTATTAAAGTAGCCAGACAGATTTCGGGCAAAATGTTTTTGGGGGGGTTTATGTCAATTATTTTGAAAAGTTTTCCTGTCATACTGACAATTCATATATTTCTCTGTATATTTCTATACCAACCCTCTAATTCAGAGGTCTTCAACAGGGGGTCCGCGACCCCCAAGGGGTCCGCGAAGGTACTGCAGGGGGGTCGCGAAATCTTTGGTTGATAAGACAATTTTTTTCCCCCACAAATGTAAATGTCTTCATAATCAGAATTTTATTTATGGTCTTGAAATACACATTAACATGAATCCAACATATTGAAGCGAACGGATAAATTGATGGAGAAGACGTTATCTGTCAGTCCGCAACACACACATTCAGCTTCTCTCAGCAGCTCTCAAGCTGGGCACCGGTTCACTCACTGCTCCTTTCATTCGAATACGACAGCGCAGGCACCAGCCAATCAGATCGCGTTTATGCTCACGTCAAAAATAAAAGATGGCGGACCAAACTCCGTAGAATAGGGGGTCCCTGCTCCACCTCGCCATCAGTTTGGGGGACCTTGGCTTGAAAAACGTTGAAGACCTCTGCTCTAATTCTTTAATTGTATTACATTGATTACTTTTGTGTTCTATTCTCTGAAATATACAAACCAAAATGGAAGATTTCTGGCATGCTTTTTTTAGGATGATTTTATTTAGATTCTGTTCAACAGGTTGCCCCTGTGCAGACACTACTCATCATCCCAAGTGAGACGAGGTATCGGTCGATATGTAGTCTCCAAGTTCCAGAGTGTAAATGCAAAATATGAAGATTTCCTCAAAAGGCGATTTCCCCGCTTTTATCATCTTTATCACACATTTAAGGAAGGTAGGATCAATCGTTAACTCACCACTGGCATCTTGAATACTGTATTTATAATCTTACATACACTACATGTATTTTAGCCGTCACACTGATCTTTTGCTGTTTGTTTAAATTTAAGCTAAAGGTGGAAAGGAATGATTGGTATATTAAGATTTTCAGATGAATTTTGGTTCAGGAAAAGGATCACAGTCTGTTGTAAAGCTGTTCTGTGTATTGCTCTCCATGATTGTAGTGCAGTGCACTACTTATGTATATGTATGATAAACATAGCTTTATGTACAGCACTGAATTCTCTACCTGAGCTTTAGAGACAAAATAACGTGTCATGTTGTCCATGCTATTTTGGTTGTTGCTGCACATTACAATCTTGTTTGAAGGCTTTTAAAAAAAAAAAATAATAATTTAATCATTCCAGGAGTCAAGCTAATGTTGCAAGATGGGAAAGAAGTGCAGAGGATCAAAATGAAAATGTTTTCTGATGGAATGCAGTATAAGGATTTGCCATACAGGGACATGGAGAAGCTCAGACAGGTCAGTCTCCTCCACCACTTTTGATCAAATCTAAATATGGTTCTGATTTTAAACAGGTATTGAGTAAAATACATAGTGATAAAGTGATTGTCATCTAATGGATTTTTGATAATATTTGGACACTTTTCAGTATGATTTTGCATTTTAATCAAACAAACAAATGAATCGCATCAAATGTCTAAAATTCAGCAGCAGATTTCACAGAAAACAATTATTTTCTGGATGTTTAAGCTGCACTATTCAGCAATATTTTAATTTTTCGCTCTATAATGTTTGCCTCGCAAACTCATTTATCATCTGTTACACAGTTTCGCAGGGACATAATGAAGGCTGTTCCGCTGATGATGATATCGATCCCTCCCTTTGCCAACTACCTGGTTTTTGTCTTGATGTGAGTTACTTTGAAATGACCATATTTACATATAATTAGACATTCCTCTTATTCATATTGAGCAAAGCAATTTGAAACTATTGATGGTGATGTTAGTTTTGCTCTTTAATTTAAGTGTTGGAATGTCCATCTTTATCGTGTCTGTTGACATATATATATTTAACCATCCTTCCACTCCCTCCTCTCTCTGCTACCATCCCTTTCTGTGCACTGCCAGGTACTTTTTCCCCCGCCAGCTCCTGATCCCTCATTTCTGGACTCCGAAGCAACAGGTAGAGTTCCGCGGGTTGTACCACTCCTACCGCGTCCGGCACCACTGGCCAGTGCTGAAAGGGCTCGAGAAAACGAGCCAGCGGGTCAAAGACGGCCAGCTCCAGAGTCACCTGAAGAACCTGTGCGCTAAAGTGAGTGAACATATCGGAGCACTTTGGTCATATGAATACTCAATATAGTATTCTTCTCATTTCACACAATAAAAGCACCGCAACATTGCTTGTTTTGATAGGCCCAACCCAAAAGTGAGCATCATACTACTTCCACTGTTTTTTCTATTGGATTTTGGATTGGAGCAGAAAGTAAACTCTATGGTGCAAGATATATTTCTGTGTCATGTTTCTGGAAGCCTGAATACAATCCCAACCATGTCACCACCACGAAGCTGAAGACAGTCTAGTTTTCGGCGTGTTGACGGTTTTTAGTCTCATTTAGAGAGAAAAAATAATGCACCACCGGGGTGTTTGCTGGCATATTTAAATAATTGATGTGAATTAAATTTCACGCTGTTTGCACTGGCTATAAAATACATTCTTCTGTTGAGGATATGCCTAATCATAATTGCTAACAAATGAACAAGGTCTTCGAAGGCGGAGCAGCATCCGACACGTTGTGAATGGGAAAAGGAGCGTTGTTGTTGAAACGATACAATAACCAAAATTGATCAACTCACTCATGTACCGGTACTGTCTCATTCTTAAACTATACATGCACTCATTTTGAGTAAATTGAAGCGTTAAAAAAAAGAAAGAATTGGAAGTACAGAAGTATTATCAGCTACATTTACGTAAGTGTGTTCTAAATGGAAGTAAAGGTTCTGCCCAAAAATTAACTCTACGACTCATATAGTATTATATATTACATTATTAGACTGATTTTTCCATTTTATTGTTGCAGGGCCACACATATATTCTCTCTGACTTGCTCTGACTTTGTCTTTCTGAAAATCTTTTCTATATTTTGATGAACGGTTTTCTCCGTGCGATCTCAGGTGCAAAGTGGCGCAAATCCTAAAGTGTCTGAAATCCTCGCAGTCCGCAGCCTGTTTTCCGGACCGCCTCTGGGTATACGCAGGATGAGTGTGGATCAGATGGTCAGTTACCTTCCCTCTTCACTAACGTCTCACACCAACGTCTGCACAAGCATCACTCATCCAGTGTACGCGACGTGCTACTTCACATCACTACCATGTCTCTCTCCTGTCTGTCAGAGGCACGCCAGCCCGCTTCTCTTCCTGACTCCTCGCCTCCCGGGTTTCCTGATTGGCCGGCGGCTGAACAGCCATGCGCTGGAGCTTCTCCAGCTGGACCGGGCCCTCAGCAGGCTTGGCCCACACCAATTGAGTGAATCGGAACTCAGACAGGTCAGTCGCTCCACACGACTTGAAGCGCTTTATGTTCACAGGATATGATTTACATGACGAACTTACTAAGCTGTTTTGTAAATACTTTTTTTTCAGGCTTGCTATGTGAGGGGACTCCACTCAAATGCTCTTGGCATTAGTCAATCCCGAGAGTGGTTATCCCAATGGCTTCAGGTGTCCTCTGCACTGAAAGGTATTTTCATTTGGATGTGCAGTTTTTTTGTAAAAAAAAAAGGCAGCCAAGCCAATATTTTGGTGCAACAGAATAAAAGTAAGGCTAAACTGATGTTTGAAGTCCCTCTTTCTGAATGTAGAATTAGTTTTAAAGTTTGCACACTTTAAATTTAAACCATAACTGGTTTAAGAATACAGCCTTGAGCCAGTTGTTAAAGGATCAAAATAGATGCTATTGTATTTTTTTTATTGCTTGATTCTTTTTTTTTTCCGTCAATACGGGACTCCTGCATTATCCACAATGCACCTGTAGTCGTTGGCAAATGGCTTTATTTTAAATGACTTACACTTACGGAGTAACCAGACTGATATGGAGTTCACCTGCATCGATATAAAATTAGTATTGAAATTCTCATTTAACTCTCTTCCCAGCTGTCGTACTGCTACTTAAACCCCTCCTTCCTAAACACGCGTCTATTCTAAAATGTAATACTGTTTGTTGTGCTTCTTTTGTTTGTTTTTCTTGCAGACTCAGAGGTGTCGCTGCTTTTGCACTGCATCGTGTTTCTCTCTGCCAACTACCCGACCGCAGCCAGCCGACACTGACAGGAAGCAAGCAGCAATCTGCTCTTGTGATTAGCTTCTGCCATGTGCACCGGCAGCACTACTTCGCTCTTTTTTTCCACGGAAGAAACGTTCTTTTCTTGTTCTTGACAAAATTAGGAGGTTTATGAAGAAAAACAGCCCAAAACTTGATAGTACCAAAAGGCTTAAAACTGTCCCGTTTGCCAAATACATTCCCAATTAACAGGATTTATATGGGAAAAATAGGATGAATCTTCTTTGTCTTTAACAGGGCAGGGGTATGGAATTTTACTTAGAATTTGCACAATGAGGCCGGTGCATTTAGACTCAGACAAGCTGTTGAGTTCTCATTTAATTCAGACCCTCAAGGGGGACTGAAATTGATTTTGAGTCGTTGAAACTATATTAAGTGACGTTGTTGAGGTGAAAAATGATTACCTGTTACTTTATCTCAAGCTACACACAACTATAAAGCTCAGGTTCGTCATTTGTTTACTACTAAGCACATCATTACTCACCTACAGAGACAAAGAGGATATTGTTTAATAAGTTTATCAGCGCTTTGTGTGCTGTAAATATTTGACTTGTGGAACTTAAAAAATGTTCAGTCATTCCTCATTAAAACACCGTAAAAAGAACGCTTGTAAGTGGGCGTGTTAGAATGTCTTCACACATACACATCAAACACGTACTCTAGCGTCTTATACATTTACCTCACTTTGTGCTTCGCTGTTAGTTTACATTTAATAATTCTGCTTCTAGTGGAATTTTCTTGCTGCAGTTTCTACGGAAGATTTTTTTTCAGGACTGGTCGACCTGAAGTCAGTAATTACCCAAAAGCACCTTCTAAAAGATGAATACTTTAGAGATTGAAAAAAGCCCCAATCAATGTTTGCAATTGCAAAGACATTCAAGCTTGTGTTGTATTTCATTTTACTTTTTGCTGTGCAGCACATCCTTCAAAAAGCTATTGCAAAATAATCGTGATGGCACTTTAATTTATTGTTTGTAGTTAAGCTAAAACACTAACTTATTCTGGTCAGACCTATTTAACGTGTTTTGCTAAATGGAACTGCATGTCATTAGTGCTGATGTTTGGTGTGTTAAAAGTGTAAAATAGGAAATGTCATGCACTTCCTACGCCTGTCACAAGGTCTGGCACAATACATCTGCAATATGACTAGTTATTTTCTGTTAAACATTTAGAAAAAAAGATGATTATTCCTACGGGAGCTACCGCATATATATTTTTTAAGTCTTGCATTGTAATTTACTTTTTCTCCGGAGCTATTATATACACATATTACTTCAACAGGTTTTGAATGTTGTGTTGCTGTGCCAATATTATATATATTGTAATGGAACCCTGTCGAAAATAAATACCCTTTTTAAAAGGTTATTTTCTGTTTGTATTTACCATTCGGATGTAATTTAAAGACTTTAATAACAGAAACAGGCAAATAGTCAAGCATAAAAACAGATTGAAAGTCTTAAAATAACAAGTAAAACTGTTGGAATTCACATATTGAAGAATAACTTTAGAACAGAACATTACAGTGGAGAATAATGTTTTCTGTAATTTCCTAAATACATACAGTATTTAAACATATTGTTAACCGAAGTAAATAATCCAAAATCAATACAAAAGAACCAGCGTTCTATATGAAGGATGAACATATAAAACGTTTCCTAATGAAGATCCCAATAAGTGCAACATGAACAGACGACTCCTCAGGTGTGCAGATGAATCACATGACTTCGTAGCCGCTGCGGATGCCTTTCATCAACAAGCAGGAGAACACAATGCCCAATATCTGGAATTAAAAGAGGACCACACACACACACACACACACACACACATGCACTTTAATCAACTGCGGCTTGAATTAATGAGAGCAGCAGAACAGATCAAAATAAATCACTATTTCAAATGAAATATTAGGAAGTAGAGTTTAGTAATGAAAGGATTTGTGCCCCTCATTCTTTACTTTATCTACAGATTGCTTTTTGTTATCGATGTTGCGTACCTGCAGTCCAGCAATAACGAGAGCTGCAATGATCACCCACAGGATGTTTTTCTTCAGCAAAGTCTCCAAAGCTTCCCGACAACCCTACAATAACAACAAAAAACAGTTTGATTCCAATTGGAAATTTTCCTGGTTGAGTTGTCATTTGAGAGACCTGTTGCTTCATTGTGAGACATTTGAATTGTGTTTAACGTTGTGGCCTTACCGTGTTGATATGACACCAAATTTGGAAATCGTTGGCCTTTTACTTGTTCTTAAAGCAATATAATCCATGTTGGTTTTCCAAAAAGTCAATCAACAGATTTTGAGGTACGTTTTACCACACGGATGTCTAATGCACATGCATGCACCCGTCTGAGAACCATTAGTATCCCATTGGACTTTCTTTTGTCTAATATTTACTTTATGTCCAGCTCCGGTTTCCTCTCTTGTCTATTTAGGTTGGTAGATGTTTGACCGTGTCCAGCAACAAGCCGCCCGCTTTGTGAGCAGTTTGGTAGTGAGTGGTGTGGTTAACTGTGGTACCATCGGAGGTTTGAAATAATGAGTTAAAAGAGCATTCAAAGCATGTGTAACTGCAACGTTGTTTTTTTTGCAACACACAGCTTCTCTCTTCTCGCCCGAGACAAACCAATACATCAACAGATTAATGTGCGCAGGTGCATCTGCCATTAATTTAAAAGAATTCAGACCCATACAAATATTGCCACTTTTACATGGGAGCTTTGTCTGTCAGAGAGCTCTGACTGGTCAGCGGTACAATTTCCTTTCCAAAGTCTTGAAAAACAAAAAAAACAAAACATATTTAAATAATTTTAATCTAAAATGATGTTGATGTATAAAAACATTTGAATGGGATACCTTCTGGTGCACTGCATCCGGGTTTCTCATTGTCCCGTTTCCACAGCCGGGTTTTTCAGTCACACAGCACGAGTCAGGCACAGAATCTTTATTAGGTTCAAAGCGATTCCAGTCAGAGGAATTGTTCACACCGCAGCACTTCCACTGCAAATGAATCAAGTGAAAAACATTTAACAAGGACACTGTAAATTACCCCAGAGACCTTCCGGAAAAGGAGTGACTTTTATTTTGAAAGGTAAAAAAGGAAATGTTCATATGCGAATGTACGGATCTTGTTGACAGATGCGAATTTATTCTTAAAATTATAGTAAGTTAGTTTAATGGACCCGTAGGACAAAGGGCAAAAAGCTCTTACGGTGGTGGTTTACGATGGAGTTTAACGAAAGATATTTTAACGGAAGAAAGAAAATAATGGAGTAAATTCACCTGCAGTAAGTTTCACGTCTTTTCATATACGGGATCCGTTACAGACACGCCGGCAATATAAAGTAAAAGGATATAACCTGCGTCAACAGTGCTATGTGTAACAACGTCATGTCATGCAGCGCAGACCAACAGGATGCAGCGGTGTTGTGTGAGGGTGTTGCCAGCAAACAGTGAGTAGCAGAAGTCACGCTGAACTCACATCTTTCTGCAGTTGATCCAAACCCTTTCTGAATTCAGGTGTGCCGTTATTGTAATGGGAAATCATGTCGTTGAGACTATCCTGGACGATGGCCGACAGCTACGTGGGAGGCAAAACATGGAAGTTAAATCGCAGCTTCTGCAGGGCGTTACGTGCAGTCGCAGGAAAAAAATAAATAAGATTCTCCACTCACTTTGTCTTTGTAGACGTATCCAACGATTACTGCCGCAATCTCGACAACAATGATCAGGAAGAGAAAAATGGCAAACTGGGGAAAATAGAGCAATTAAAGTGACTTACATCAACGTAATTAGGATTCTAAGCTGCGGAACACATTTATTTGTTCATCAATTGAGCCGTTTTGCTGAACGGTTGAACAGACACCAGACTACGCGAGTTACCGTGGTGACCATGAAGTAGTTCTCGTTCCAGGCACCACAGCAGCCGAAGAAGGCGATGAAGAAAATCACCACGCCGATTACGATGATGACAATGGGAGCTGCTGAGGCGGACACATCATGGATGGTCAGAGATTTGTGAAAACTCACTTGAACCAGGATTCCCACGACAATCAATGCTAAGCCACACAGCTGGAGCGGAAAAAAAGAAAAGGGGATGGTTAGTTGAAGTTGGAATTTTTGGGATCTTTTTTTTTTTTTCCCATGCAATACAAACGTTCTTGCTTTCAGCCGACAGATGATCTAGTAACACAATGTAAGACAGGTCGTAATCATTTTTAGTTTGATTAGGAACTGGATGTCTCATTTTGAAATTGAATTGCTAAATGAAACAAAAATATTTACTCTTATATACGGAATCTGAATTCATATGGTTTGAATTGCAATGAAAAATGTAATTAATGCATTCAAAAAGCATTTCCCCATTGACCACCATCGTAATAGAGACGCCAGTGAAAAATGGTTGATGACCACTACACCCTTAAACGTGGTCAAATATTAGTCTTTCCTCCTTTGAAGGGTTCGATAACGATTTCATATATTTGTACAACTTTTCCACACAGGCTGGGACAGGAGTTCTGGAAATCGCAATAATGATGAAATCGACGGAGCCATTACGCAAATGTTCGGTAAAATATGTATTATGTATATTTTTTTATGCGTTAGCATGTTAACATCTGCTAATTAACACTGGCTGAAGACATCAGTCAGAATAAAATGTCACGGTAATCCGGCCGATATCATATCCGGTCAAAGAGTGACATTGTCATCCATAGAGCCATACTGCCTAAAATACCTGCTGGAAATGCTACAGGTGGGAAACAAAACAATCAACTTTAGAGGGATGCTCTATAAAGGATATTTAAATGTACCAATTAGATATTCACTTGCTTATAAAAGATTCAAACTTCTTAGATATGAAGACATCACTGATTAAGCAATAACGGTTTGAGGAAGTTGCGACGGACCTCAGTTTCCGTACGCAGATATGAAACCATCAGATGATAATGTGTTAACACAAGTTTCTCCTTCGGTGGGGCAACAAGAGCATGTTATTTTAAGCTTTCACAAGAGTGCGCGGGTGAACGGCTTGACTGGGATCAGCTGGGACCAACGGGCTTGAGAATCATCGAGCTGATCATCGAGCATCACGCTGTGGTGCAATTCCATGACAGGAAATGAATTCATCCTGGAGAGCTCAAACTGTCAGTTGAGTCAATCGCCAGAAATAGATAATAATAAAATAAATACATTTTATTTATATAGCGCTTTTCAAAGAGGCTTGATGTATAATAGCATGAATTAAATATAATCGTATGGCCTAACGAGTCCTTTCATTTATTGAAATGACAGTTTTCTTTTTCTGAAAACTGAATTTGTCGATTCTTGACAGTAGTTTTTTTCTTAGCATCTTTAAAAAAAAATAAAAAAAAAAATAGTCGACTCGCTTTGATGAAAATAAATATAAACCCCAGGATTCACTAAACTGCCCGCAAGCTAGAGGTACAATTTATCACCTCTAACTCTGTGAAACGGTGTAGAATGGATGAATGAAGAATCTGGGAGGAACCTGGAAAAATGCCAGAGTATATTGACATTATGGTTCGCTTTCTTTAACACCGCGAGTGCCCTTTTAGTATCATTTAAAATGAACACCAAACAAGGACATCAATATTTAGACAGTGAGCCTTTATGTTAGATGATTGGCTGCCATGTTGGTAGTGTGTTTTTCATGTTAAGCCCTCACTGAAGCGGAGGCCCTCTACTAGTTGGCAACACCAATGTAAATATTTGTCAAATAAGTGGCTAATGTTTGACGTAGGAAAACATGAAACCGTGAAACGACCAGGCAAACAGAGCAGAGATCCAGGATAGATCTTAAAATATTAATTTGTTGATAAAAGCGGCGCGATCGGTTTATATACTAGCCGCTAGTATATTTGATTATAAACACTTGGTTACAACTACATCATAGTGTGTTACAAATATGTACTAAATCAGATACTGCTTATAAATGATCATTATTTTAATCAGTCTATAATGTGTGTGTGTGTGTGTGTGTGTGTGTGTGTTGTCATCATCTTCAAATGTCTTGTCCAACCAAAAGTCTAAAGATACTCGCAAAAGCACGAGCAGCAAGTGTCACCATCAGCAACGAAAATCAGCTTTGTTGGAAGTCTTGTAAGTGTGCTCTGTGTAGAGTAACTAAATACAACGTGTCATTCAGTACTTCCTCCGATGACAGATCATTCCCGGAGATTGGCTCCGCGCTACAGAGTTGACTGTGTGTAGTTTTCAGTAGCACAGCTTGAGTGAAGGAACGGAGTCAAAAATAAAAAAAAGTGTTGATCTGGACGAGTCACATGATGCCGTTTTGTCACTCTTTTCAACCTGGTCATGGGATTCCCGTTCCACCATCCCCACCTCTCTGGCTGCAAAAGCTCAACAAAACAAAGACACGGCCCAGCGGTCACCCCCAGAAAACAAGCCACGAAGTGTTCAGGTGATTTTTGGAACGAATATAACGTGAAAGAAGGTTAACGGGACTAGAGTTCACTCTCAACGTCACGAGGGCCTGAAAAAGGAGAAATGGACAGATATCTGTATATACAGCCGGGTGAAAAACTCTCAACAACATAAAAGTGGCCTGATTTCCGGTTTTCTTCCTTGTGGATTCAGTTTTGGCTCCACACGAGTAACATTACGGTCAGTCGCCCTCCTTTTCCACTCTACTACCTTCTGATGAAAACATTTAAAGAGTTAGGTGGTTAGCAAATACTCACCCAGAAGATTAGGTTGAAAAAGAAAACCAGGAACTTGATACATTTCATTCCGCCCTCGACAGCCATGGTTGATAAAGGATCGGTTTTCTGGATCAAAACAAATGCAGATTTAAATGTAAGCAAACTTTGTCACATTCTCAAGGCAGAGCGTCATGAACATTAGCGTTACATCAGCTGTAATGAGAAGAAGCAGAAGGAAAAATGAGTCATTGATTTCAGATTCACAGTTTAAGCTCTTAAAAAAAACAAAAAACGCCCGGAACCCTGAACTAACTAACGTTAGTATTTTTGGATTATATGAAGCCAATAATGAACCACAACTCAAAAGCGACGGCTTTTTTTTTTAATCTAAATTTAAAGTCAACTTAACCAGTTACTTTGTGTAAACAGTCCTTAAATTAGAATGCTTAAAATGCTATTAAATAATGTGCTCAGAACTTTATTTAACACGGAATTGAAGGGATCGACCGGATGGATTTGGGGAGGAAGCAGATCGTTAAATCACCAACAATGTCTGCTTTGTCGCATAACTAACTTAACGTTAGATCATCCACAGATCCCTTGTCTTATTGCATTTGAAGGGTTTGATAACTAAGTTAGTCCAACGTAAACACGAAAGACAGAAACGCCTCATTCCCGACGGTGAAAATAAAAGCATCCATCCACGCGCCTGTTTTGTTGTCGTTGTTTCTTTTAGAAAAGAATATTCAAACATTCTCCGTCACACAACGGCAAACATAAAGAATTTTTAAAAAGTTCATTATTTCGGCGGTTTTATGAGGCGTACCTTAAAAGAAGAAGTCTGCGAAACCCTGCGATGAAAGGCGAAGACGACTGCGTGTGGAACTGTTAACTTGTGCCGTTGATCGTCGCTCCTCCCTCGACTTCTTCTCTTCACACTCTCCTGTACTTCTCCATTTATTGACCGAAATGCATCATGCCGCCTTCAGGGTCTCCTCCTTAAAGACACAACTCTCCAAAAGACGTGAACTGCGTCTGCTCGCTGCTACAAACGAGGTTATTCGCAGAGATGGAAGAAATATACGTGTCGTTTATTTCAGTAAAACTAATACTACATAATGAAGAAAGGTAAAATACATTTCCATAAGTACCGTTACCTACATTTACAGAGATATTATCACTAATTATGAAGTAATTCTTCTACTTATATATATATATATATATATAGCATTAAGGCTGAAGGAGGTATATGTATATATATATATGTATATATATGTATATATATATATATATAGCATATACCTCCTTCAGCCTTTTTTCCAAAAGCACACAGTAGAATAAAATAAAAAAAACAATTTGTCTAGAATTTCCTCTTCTACAAATTGAGCAACATCCTCAAACTGATGAATAAATGTGGTCTTAAGCAATATGCTTAGATACGTCAAATGAAACCAAACAAATGCGGGAAGCATTGTCAATGTGACAATATGCTTATTCTTATATGTTATGTTAATGCTCAACAGTTGACTTTTTGCTCAAAGTAATGTTCTTTTGTTACAAATCCAAAGTCCTTGTATTTACTATAAAATAGTAATATTCAAATCTCATTTTTATGCTTTGAATGAAACACTTTTCCATTTTCAGCAAGTGATTGATTGATAATTAAATTGTTGAATTTGCAACATTTCCAGCATTTCCCTTTCTCTTCTTTGTGTTATGTTTCATCAAAGCATTGGCTACCTCGGAGTCATGCTGCATTCCTTCTCAAATGTATGCTGATAAGATGAATGCAGGGACCCTCCCCGTGGACCAGTTGGTCTCACTGCAGATGGCCTTGTTTGCTTATTGTGCTACAAGTGTCAAAAACAAAGGCCTCAGTGAGTTGTATCTTTGACAAAAAAGCACAATGGACCTATAATATCAGCTAAATGTAAATGTTTACTGTAATTTTCAAGACAAGCTCAGGAAATGAATGAATAAACATTTTTGTTAGTTCCTCAAAAACATCACACATGTATAGCAGAAGGCTTCAGTTTAAGCACGTAAACTGTGGACCACAATGATAAAGCAGCTAAGATGCAGTGTCATGTGATGGAGAACAATGGTGTTCTCCATATAGGCGTCTGGTTCAGGGCAGTGGTGCTGTGCATAGCAAGAATTAAGAGTATTTAGGCCTGTTGATGACATTTCCACTGGCTGTCCACAAGAGGGAGAACACAGGGTTTAGTTTTTTTCCAAAACAAAGACTAACTCTAACATACCTATTATCCAAGCTCTGAACAATTCTGAGCTATTTTATGAACATTTATCTCGGTATGGTAGCTTTCAAGTCATTCTTTCTATCTGGAGTTCTGCACCTGCTGCGTCCGTCAGATTAGTCCAGCCACACGATTATCTCTACTGTCATTTGGAGAGACATTGAACGCACAATAACGATGACGACACATATCATGACTCTGTGATTGGCTGGACGGCCTGTAACTCAATCAATCTTTCTTGAGGCGGAAAGGGCGGGCCAGAGCAGTACGGAGGCTCATCATGGCGGGATGCATGAAAATGACAAACGGTTTCAGCCCTCTGAATGCTAAACTAAGGCTTTCAGTAGTGCTTCTTTTCTGCTTACCGCACACATCCGGATTACAGGAACGAGGTAAGAATCGGTGTTGTACAGCAATAATGGAGACCTTAAGTAATATGGTGCATATTTAAAACAAGTTTCATCGGCCAAGCTAACGTTAGCTTTATGATAAAAGTAAAAACTACAGAAGAGATTTGATGCTTCGCCCGGACACTGCTGGTCGTTTTTCGGATTCGTTCTATGTTCAGGGGGACATTTAATTCGATCGGGTAGTGTTTCAAATTAGCTGAGAACAAATCTGAATCGTAAATGATCTGCAGCCATCAGATCCCTTCGATCATGCTGATTATAGAAGCTGCGCGTCACTGAACACAAACGTGTTTTAACTTGCAGCGATTTGTTGGATATTCACTGATAAATGAACACCCGTGTGAGGTAATTATACGACGACAGTGCAAACAAATGCAATACCGGCGGTATCCTTCAAATACGTGGCTTAGGGAAACAGTCGTCTTTTGTTTAATATTCAGCTTTTTGTGACTTTGAACAGTTCATTTTATCCATCGACAGGTGATGCAACCTTAGTATTAAATGCATCTGTGCTCTCCTCAAATGCAGGTAACCAACTCCGCGTGACCGATCTTCGGGATGGAGAGGAGTACGTCATGTCAGGGTCCAACAGATTCTGTTACAAAAATTCAGTGTTTCCAAATTGGAGGCATACGTGGACCAGAATTCAGGCAAGTTGCACAAATGGTGGATAGCTGAACCGAGAAATGTATTTTGATGCACTTGTCCCAAAATAATTAGATAATGTCAACAAACATGTGGTTTAAAGTTACAAAATGTTATGATCATCTGTGACATAAAAAAATAAATAAGACGAGCCCGTAACGGTTATTAACAAGTTATATTCTACAGAATGATGGGGAGAGTTGGCTGATTGGGTCCATAACATCTGATTATGTCTGACAGGTCCAAGTGTGGAGTTCAAACGTGTTTAAGGTGGAAACTGTGGCGGGTGAGGAGCAGCTGCAGGACCTGGATCGCTTCAGTATCTGGGGCTGGTTCCAGAGCCTGTTACGAGAGCGGCACAATGAAACCTCTATTAACGTCAATCTGTTCACCAAGGAGATGTGCTTCAAGGTCGATCCTGCTGACCAAACCAAGTACACTGTCAAGCCCCTTCGTAGTAAGTGAGGACAAATACATTTTTCTGGTAATTTAATATATTTCATTCAACGCAATTTCCCCTTTTCCTTTCAGAGTTTGATATCTACCTGTTTTTGGTTTTCCTCGCTGGAGCGTCTTTGTTTGTCTTTGCAGGATCACTCAGCAGGTTATTTTGCCTCATCATTTTGATCGTTAGGATTTTACAACTATATCGACAATTTTGTAATTCTTTTTTTCCCTCCCGTCAATAAAGGAGTCAACTTTTCTTCTACTCTGCTGGTATGAGCACTGGCATGATTGCCTCACTCATTATACTCTTTTTCATTTTGGCCCGCTTTTTGCCAAAGGTAAGGAATTTCCTTGCCAACGAATTGATTTTATGAGGTAAATCATTTTGGCCTCATATTTAATGATTGCACTCTTGTTGCCCTTACAGAAAAGCCCTTTTTATGTCCTTATTGTTGGCGGCTGGTCGTTTTCTGTGTACGCCATCCAACTGGTCTTCAGGAACCTCGGCGTAATTCTGCAAAACCACTGGAACGTGGTGTTAGGTACCAACCCTCACACTTTACAGACTATGCCCTTTCTTGTGTATGAAACATCTGACCAAATAAGACTAGCTATTTTTAGACTAGTGAGCATGTTTGATAAGCCTCCACTAAATTTAAGACCCCCTCAAACACTAATCGCAGCTGCCCCCTGGGCCCCGTTTCACAAAGCAGGTTTAGTGAGGGAAAAATCTTTTTTAGTTTTACAAAGAAAGGTAACTTAAACTCTGGTTCTGTTGTCTTGGTGACTGACTCTGTGAACCTAACCTGTCTGCTGGCAGCCTTTATTTAACAAACCCTGGGTTTCTCCCTGTGTCGTCTCCGTCCTACAGACCCAGACACTGTTTTGTTTCCTTATTCATTCAAATCAGTGTCACAGTGCATAAGCAGCTGTTTTCCTTCTGTTGGAATGTAAACCCTGGTTGGATATTGGTTAGTATCTTGGGTAAATCAAAGTTACTGCTTTTATGTGTTTGGTGTCTTTTGTTAAACAGCATTTCATTTTGGTTTTATTACAAAAAGTCAATCTAATGCTGCTGTATGTCCTTTTTGCAAGTATAAATATTCAACACTATGACTTCATGTCAGCTGCCACTGATTTAACATAATTCCTAATGTACTGGAGATTGTATGTTCATTTTTATTAAATGATCAGGATACAGTTGCAAAATGTAGTTTGAAAGTGAGTTTTTTAAATAGTCTGCATATAATTTCCACATTATTTTAAGTAGCCAAAATAAACATACTGAGTGCTGTTGACCCGCAATCTAAATGTATGTCTAACATTTAAAATCCACTGTATTTTAACCTTTAAAAAAAAAGGATCAAAATGTCTCCTTTTGTGTTTGTCAGGTTACGTTGCAGTGGTGGGATTCATCACTTTTGCTGTGTGTTACCGTTACGGCCCTCTGGTGGATGCAAAGAGCATTAACATCTTGTCATGGACGCTGCAGCTCTTAGGCCTACTCCTGATTTATTTAGGAATTCAAATTCAGCAAGTGGCATTCTCCATCATCGTGGCAGCTGTGTTCTCGAAAAATCTGGAGTACCCGGTGTCTCTGACGGTGGCTGCATGCAGGTGGGTGTGCACAGAGCCGACAGAAGGTGGCGTAAGAGCACAATACACGAAAAAGACTTGTGCGATATAGCGTTCCTGTTATCCCATGTATTGCACTAGAGCTGAATGATGGTAAACAGAAGTGTCCCACATTATACAAGTTCCCACCAATCTGTATTGCTAAGCGCTGTTTTTGATACTATTGAAAATGACTTAATAATCCCCTGTGTTTCAAGTTATTGGTTCTATATACATTTCCTGCTGTGTTGTGCAGGAAAATCAAAGGGTATGTTCGCTGGAAGCCGGAGCCACGTCGCCTTTTGAGTGACGAAGAGTATCAAAAGCAGGGGGAGGAAGAAACTTTACGAGCGCTAGAGGAGCTGAGGAAGCACTGCAACAGCCCCGAGTTCAGCCCGTGGAAGGCCGTGTCCAGGCTTCAGTCCCCGAAAAGGTGCCTGTCCTGATGTGATGTTCCTCCAAGATTACAACGCATAAAAAATATTAGCCGATAAAAGTATTCGCTAATGCTAAAGTGTAATGAATAAATTACAATTTGCCTATTGGCCAGAGTCAATTGAACCCTGTTACTACAACACACACATATCTACATTCAAAGGGAAAATTCACGGTCAAATCAGTGTTGATGGTAAATTTTGTGGATTGCAGCAATCAGTCCGTCAGTATTGATGGAGAAAGCTGAGTGGACGGATGCAAAATCTGTGTTTCTCACTTTAAAGTTAGTTATTGCACACAGCTGTTGTCAGGTTGACAAGTAGTGGGAAAATAGTGTGTTCAAGTGCAGTGAACATTCATGTATGAGTCTATTAATGATGTAATGTTGCATGTTTTTTGACATATTTGTAAAAAGGTATAGTTAGCTATGGGGGTTAACTGTTACTCAAAGCAGAATAAATTATGATCCAATGGTTAACAAATGTTTAATCAAAGCTTTTTTACTTATTGATCAGGGGATTTGATTTGAGTTGATAAAAAGTTGTTTTAGTGCCTTCACATATTTCTTATGCAATAAGTCATGCCTTGTTTTTCATCAAAGTGTTTCCAAATATCCCTTTTAGTTTGACGTAAAAAAATGTTTTAGTATCTCGGTACTTCTGAACACACTGTCACTGTATTTTACAGGTTTGCTGATTTTATTGAAGGGTCTCCTCACTTGATGTCAAATGAAGTGTCCGTTCACGTACAGGAATACGGCTTTGGAGGATCCTTTTTTGAGGACGAGTTTTTCGACACAGACGACGACGATGAGGAACAAGTCAACATAAAGCCCATGGTGATACCCGAGTGAGACCGCTGTGTTACAAGACGTTCCGAAAACAGCGACAATTTTATTACTGCCTTTTCACAGAGGGGTCGGGGGGGAAACGGCTCTCCGGGGCTCCGCAAATGTCCAGGCGTCCTGACAGATTACTGCGGAAGTTGGATTAATAAAACTCTGAATTGTGATATCGGTCTGGACTTCGAGTCCAGGCTCTGAATGAAAAAAAAACAGACAGAACAGCGCGTGGTCAGATCTGTCATCGGTATTAATAATATGCAAGTAATTTCAAAGAATTTGCACTAAAGCCGAGTTTATTTTCAGGGCTGTTAAAATGGCGACACAGAAATGAACTTTTTACTGTGTGATGTTTAGTTGTTTGTCTTAAGCTTAGAAAAGGTTTTAAAGTTTTTAGTTTTTGAAGCGTGTGTTCATCGCAGAGATATTGAACGTAAGCCTGGGATACGCTCTCCCTGCGGTGAACTCGCAGCATGAGACGGTTGTGGTTAATATTCTTTCAGCTCAGGGAGAAAATGTTTGTTCAAGTTAGTATTTAATTGTTTTCATTTTAATGGACATGAAGTATTCACCTAAAGTATTTTGAATAAAAAATATACTCTTAAGCATGAATTGGCATCATTGTATTGATAAGATTTGAAATAAAAGGTGGCGATGTTAATAACATGATCTCTTGGCTCTAAATCCAAAAGCACGTTTTTATTATTTAAAAAATGTCTTAAGTACTGTACAATTTTAGATACTCATCCTATACGAAAATATATTTGTGACTTTGTACTTCCTGTCAGAGGGATACATTGATCTATTTACTGCATGTATTCGACAGCTGTAGTTACTATGATTCAGGATTTACATATTACAGGATTAAAAAATCATAGACTATAATGCACTTCTAAATAAACTACCCAACAGAGTCAAAAAAGTAGCTTTACTTTGATCAGAAACATAAAACGCTACGCACAGTGCTGCATCTACTTTATAATAATCCACACTGGTGCTAAATAACTTTTTTCAACTTTTTTAAATAACGTTTTTTACTGGTACCTACGCTAAGTGCATTTTGCTTTTAAGCACATCTGTAATTTTCCCTTTAGACAACATCTGAATACTATTGTCTTCTACTGCAAGGTTTATCAATTTAGTCTCCAAAAGGTTTGAAAAAGTAGCAAAGGGAACATGTTTGTTCCAAATGGATCGAATGTTTGATCATTTCAGTGTATAATATAAACCAGATATTTTCATTTCAAAATAAAATGTGGGCACATTTGTTTGATTAATGACATAACCCATTGCCATTATTGATTTTGATTAATGTCTTATATAACGTAACTTGAATGGAACTGGAGTAGATCTTCAACATTTGCTGTTCAAGTGGGGCTGGAAAACTGTATCCTTCCTTTTCTCTCCCACTCTCAGGTTTCAGTGGGCCATATCTGATGACATTTAGCCCAATTGCCCTCTGCATCCCACCACTGGCTGCTTTACATTGACATGAATGTCCTCACACAATTTCAAGGCAGGGAACACACCTGTGTCTGTTGATAACACGTGTATGAAACAGCTGATTAGGCATAGCGTCATTTGCGTGTTTCACGGGATCAGATGGGAATACTCCACCGGAGCATTTCCTACAACCTACTTCCCCAAACAGGGAACCCTCACTGGCCACTTTGCATGCAGAAGAGGAGGGAGAGGGCGGGGGAATCCCTCGGATACACAAGCATATTGCACATGCATTCACGGCCTGTGCACCGTTGTGTCATGTAAAGTGTCTGGAGTTCCCCCAGTTATTAAACTGGCCAACAATCGAGCCTACACATGAAAGGAATTTGACATGTTTCTACTTGACCTTTAAGGTAAGGTAAGATGAGATAAGGTGACCAAGCCTTCCCGCCGTGTAGCGCTCTCAACTGCTCATTTTATGAGTTTGAAACAACTTTCAGCTTTAGAAAAGAAGTAAATTACATGATTATGTGTGTGGTAGCAAGACTGCAGTGTTTATTGTAGGCATGTAGAATGCATACTGAAAATAAATCCTTCACAGTAAATCAGGAAAAAGCATGAACGTAAACTTGCACGTGTCATTCAGCACATGAATCACACTGCACCCACGGAAACAACCAGACACAGTTTACAGACGTGCAGCCAGTGCAGCTTGTAACAGAAATCAGAGACAGACAAGAATGTAATAAGCATCATATTCAAAAGCTACACACTTTAAATGTGCTCCTTCAAGAAGCCATAGTGTCTGGCTTTTTGACAAACATACATCGGGAATGTCAGCAAAGAAAATAATGACTTTCCTAAGGAAGCGGCAGTGCGTTTACTTTCTTTCAGGCTGCAAGAGGCAGCAGAAACAGCTACTTTCATATAATACTCCACACAGTCCGTACAGTTAAGACAAATCCAACTGGTTCTCTTCTCCTCAATCTCCAAACATTTAGTAGTTCAGCAGGAAGACAAAACTAGGAGTCCATCGTTGGTGGTTAAAATTCAGTGTTCAGTCAGTATTTGTTGATCCCAAATATCCGTACTCCATGAAACTGAGGCAACTTTGGGAGGAGAACACTAAGAAGGGAGCTTGTGTTGATAAGGAAATGCGTGGCATCATATTTTGTGTAGAAACTGGCGAGAATATACCTGCAGAGAAGAATAGTGTCAATTTAGCATTAACCTCGCACTGAAGCAAAAAACAAACATGGTAAACGGTCAAGTCTCAAATATGAAAATATCTGTACAGCTAACAAATCAAGCTACAACTAACAGGGAAAGTGATGATAGCTGAGCTAAGTTGCAGTTTCTGTGGCAGTTTGAAGAAGTTTGAAAGCTGGCACTCTTTATTGGCTTTTACATCAAAGGGTTTGATATCTTCATGCATTACTGCCAACTGTTGATCGGTGGAATATTGTGAAACTATTAATGTATCTTATCGACTATGAACATGTGGTCGAAACTAATACAAAAAAGGAGCCCACTCACAGCAAAACTTCTCCATAGTGCTACTAAACTCCATTTGTTTCTTTGAAGAGCATCATCTTAAAGCCACAGTGAAACGGACGCTAGAGTGTCATTTTGCTTCTCAGATAAATAACTTTTGGCAACTACCCAGTCACCCGATTTGTACAAATGCACAGATCACTATCTGTGACTCAAAGTAGCTAATAGAGCGTTATCAAGATACAACCAAAAACATTGTTTTCGTTTCGGAGACAATGCGTTTGAGGTGTGATTCATTAAAGGGAAATTTTGCAAAACTTCAACCGAGAGATGACGCAAGACATCCCGTAATGGTTATCAAAATAAATAAGATGTGTGAGAACAAAAAGCTTGACGACAGGTAAATAAGTCCAAACATTTTTTCCAGATTGTGTTACAAAAAAAGGCCGCAAGTTGTCCCAGCGCTGCAGAGGACTTTTTGATCATACTTACAGAACAATTGGGGAGATAGTCAGGAATTTGCGCGAAGATGTGAACTGGACACCGTAATCCATCTGTTCCCAGTGTGTGAGCAGACGGGCTTTGCCTTGGTCGGGTGTCTCAAAGGGAGTGCCCTTCACTGTGTGAAGGAACAGGTACATCACCTGCAAAGGACAAACCACAGAGGCTGTTTTTTCAAGAAGTACCGCTCAGACTGCAGAGCTGGTCATCAAGACAGTGTTGATGGATATAAAAAAGAAAACGGTGTCTAATTTGGCTAATCTAGAAAGGTCATCAGATAGCCTGGTATTGGGAAATTTTGATTAATGCCCCCCCGTATATTCTTCCAATAAATACTAAATTTTTTACTAGTTGAGCACATAACTGCTGTATTTAAAACTGAAATATATGTTTTTTTCTACAGTTTAAACAGATGTATAGCGTCCTAATCAAATTGAGTTGTATGTGTGCGTGCGTGTAAGTGGATATTTGTTAACTCTTGCTTGGATTGAGGCTAACTTTTTACCTAGTTTCCAGTCTTTATGCTAAGCTATGCAAAAATAAACAAAGTGATTAACTGCATTTCTCCAAATGAAAAACTATTCCATCAGCATATTGTGATCATTGCTTTTTAAGCGACGACCACTATGGTTTCACACTGCCGGTGATGCTAGAAAGGATGAATATCAAAATAAAAAAATATCTGTGGGTGTGAGTGATATATATCCGATCTGTGATGGATCCTATACATAGCTATCTTCAACTGACCAGGTTGTGGATGACGTTGGTAAGAGTCCAGACGAGCGGGACGGTGAAGAAAGGAATGCTGAGCAGGACGATGTGCAGCACGACGGTCAACAGCAGGTAGGTGAGCCAAATTCCTCTGCTGTTCATCACCCTCGTGTTGGGGTTCACCTCGCTGTGAGCTACGCCCACATTCATCTTAAATACACAGGAGGGATTAAATGTAACACTTCAGGATGTTGACAACCAGCATCTGGGGCACCCAACAGACTTTTTAATCCCCTGCTGGGACTTTAGTCTCATAGACCCAATCACCACCCTAAACTCTGAATCCTCGGAGACTTGACTGACGTCACCTCGTAAGTGGAAGTTTGAGAGCCTGTGAGGGTTTTACATTTTTACGTTTTAAATATGTTTAAAATCATTTTTGTCAAAATGGCATAAATGACTAAATTAAACATTTGATGAATAAATTAGTCAATATCAACTGGTTCCATGTTTTGTTTTTTTTGGTTCCTTAATAATTATACATTTTAATATGCCACTCTGAACAGACATGTGCCGTCCTTTTTCTTTTTTTTTTACCCTCCAACCTTTCACTAGTTATTACGTTTTGAACGTCACACTGCAATTTGTGACTTGTGGCTAATTCCCTTGAGCAGAGTCAGAATCCAATGCCGATTTATGGAAAGGGTTCATACACAAATTAAGAAATAAGAAAAGGGCATTTAGTTTATTTCATAAGAGAGCAGGGTACAGACCTGGTAAATGAAGCAAAAATAACCTGAAACCACCTGTCGATAAATTACAAGTCAAGCAACAGAAAACTGTGTAATTTGAACAAACAGTTGGTCCAACGTAAGAGAAAAGGGGTTTCCATTATATCACTGCATAATTGATATTCGGAGGTTTGGTACCAGTTCCCTCTCGAGTTGGTGTAACGTTAAACGATTTATCGACAAACTAATCGTTGTTTGGATCGAAATATCAAAAAAACCCGCCCCATTGAACTGTTCTGTGTAACTAAACAAGCGCTTCCTCTCAAACTTCACTACGTCACTCAGCTAGCGTTACGTCTTAAGCAGCATTCAGACAACAACCGGCACCAAAAACTATAATAAAGCAGCAAAAAAGTTTAATTCTGAAATATTATACTAGGACAAAACTGCAACACGTCACAAAAAAACACTTTGTTTAACATGCAGCTTGAAATGTAGTTTTAAGTGACAAAACGTTCGCTTGAAAGCTACTAGTTTAGCTGCTATCTACAGGTTGACATGCTAACGTCAGTTCGAAGTGACGTTGATCGAGATGTAACGGCCGCTTACGAGCTAACAGGTGACCGAAGTAGTAAACCAAAAAGGCCTCTGCTAAATCGTAATAAATTAGCCTCGCCCATTCGAACTTTGGAGGTTAAAAAAGGTAATATTGTTAAAGAGCAAACTTTACCTTCCTGTGTTGTCGTAGCTAAACAGGAAATTCCTTGTTTTTTCTTCTCTCTGACCCCGCCTTCCCCGCTGGTTCCGTTTTTTTTCCGGCAGAAAAACTCCAGCCTGAGAACACCTGTCCACATCCCTGACAAGTACAGAGGTGGGGAGGCCCGTATGAGAGAGTACTTGATCTCCAAGAAAGTCCCACCATCCCCCAGTGAATGTGAGCAATAGTTTTAACGTAATTGAGAACAAAGCTTCTTAAGGTGTAGACACACGCATCTTAACGTTACAGCGTTGAATCACGTGGATGACGCTGCAGCCCAAAGCTGCAATCACACTTTTTAAAGGCCTGGGGTTCTTACAAGATGTTGCTGCCTCTACAAGTTTGACTGTTCGTATAATATGCATGGATGTAGATTAAGATACGAATAAGATGCAAAGGTGAGAGAAATGGGCAAAACGTTAAAAAACTAAAGCAGTATATTGCAACATTCACATTATTGCAGCACTAATGTTAATCTAGAAATATCACTAATAACAAGTAAAGGAATTTACAGCACAACATTTTGCTAACAATAATGATGTAAGGTTATGAATACAGAAATTCACTTATCTTGATACTTCTTCCATCGCTATATTTGCTCCTCATGGGCAGTTTATTAGACAAAACCTATACAATACAAATAAAATGAAACACAAGTTTTTGTAGTTATATATGTATAACTATAAAATATACTCTACTAAGAAGTAATATTAAAGCCTGATATAGCTCCCCTCTGTGCCAGAGAGCTCCATTGTTGTCCAGGTTATCAAATAACATCTATTTAGCTAACAACCTATTTTAACAGATTTACTCGACTGCAAAGGGGTAGGAGATATGGATCAATTCACTGTGTATTCATTTTATTTCATAATATTGACACCCAGATCTATCCTGTTTTCTTAAGAACTTTATTAAGGAAATAACCCAATGGGACTTTTTTGTTGTCGGCCTTTTTAGCTAAATAAGTAGCTGACAAATCAGGATCAGAATAATAAAACAATGCTGCTAAACCTGTATCCCAGGGAGATCAACTGTGTTATCTGTTAACCTTGATTAAATGCTATAATGTATGCATTTACCAGTTTTCCCCCTTGAGGGCTAAAAACACAAATCAAATACATCTACCCTTTAAAATGCAATGGATATCGTTGGGGAGCTCACAAACAAAAATGCAATGCCTATAAACCATTGAGCAAAGTACCACTAGACCGTTTTTTCTCGTCTTAGTTTCTCAGCTAGTTGTCTTGCATTGTTTTAACTGAGGTTTAACTTTGCATCCAAAGGAGGAGAAGTAAAGTAAACCAAGCGCATGGTACAATAATCAACATTGCAACAGGTGGGTCGACGGTGGCGTATGGGTAGAGCGGGTGCGCCGGGAACCACGTGGTTGGCGGTTCAAACACCATGTACCATGTCGTAGTGTCCCTGAGCAAGACACCTAACCCCTACTTGCTCCCCGGGCCAAAATGTAAAAAGCCATGGGTTAAAAATGCAATGTAAGTCGCTTAAGGCGTCAGCTAAATGACCTGTAATGTAATAATGTAATGTAACAGATACATAGCGAGAAGAAATATTTTGGACAAGGGAAAATCACTGCGTCAGGTGGGGAAAGAAAAACCAAAACACACAGGCTATTCCCAGCACGCTCAGCAGATTACTTCCCCGAAGCATGAGAGGGGAGAAATATAATTAGCTAAGTTACGTCAAAGATGACTCGTCTTTAGATGCACGGGACACCGGTTTGCGAGTCAAGTCACATGTGTTTATTTGAACATTTTATCTTTGTTTACCTTATTGTGAATGATTTCTGATAATGTTATTGACACAAATTACACAGTATCCTTCTGCATCGTAATCAATTCTTATTTACATAACAGAAAACAGTAAGCCGGATTTTTTACATATCATAAAATCTCACACGTAACTTACTATAGCATATTGACATTTCAGTTGACACCCCCCTCATGCAAACACAAGCTACTGTAACATCAATATGTTCATTCATGCAAAAAAAAATCCTTCTTGCCTCCGCTCATCGCTACTCCATCACGGCAGCTTGAGATCAAAAACAAATGTAAGATACCTCAAGGTTTGTTTTTTTATTAGGGTGAGCAGTAAAGGTGCCTTTACTGCTATATGCCCTGTTATATCAACTTTACTTTTGTTTCTGTTGTTTTACAATTTAGTTCCTTCTGCTGAGCAACTCATTTGAGCGTTTCATCATTCTCTCTCAGATAAGTGCTGCTAAAGTGCTGCTGAAGATAAGTGCTAAATGACTGTGACATTCATGATGTCACTCCTCCTGCTGATGACCACACATATGGGAGTTTATTCTTTCAAAGGCAAGATGAAGACATGGATATTAATTCCTTTGGAGAACACACTTCCTCGTTGAGAAATCAGGTTGCTGCCACCTGTTTTCCAGAGAATTACTACTGAGACAACATTGCATCAGAATGAGTGAAAGAGATCAACTGAGCACTATAATGAGGAAGGAAGGAAGGAAGTAGGAAGCTGTGGTTCTCCGGAGAACAACAGGACTGTTTCAGGAAAGCACAGCTTCCTTCTTGTCTCAGCATATTTGTTTGGGTGTTATTTAGTTATTCGTTCACAGAAAGTGCAGTAATTGAGTAGAGTGATTAAATGTTTACCACAAATGTTTGTCAGTGAAAAGAAAAACCAACATCAAAAAATACTGGGACAACATTAATGAACCACAACACATGAATGATAAAAGTGATGCCTGTTATGAATATTATATTTATTCTCTTGAAAAAAGGACATAGAAACAACAAATTATCTGAATAAATATCAATAAATACATTATTAAATATGATTTGAATAAATATGTTAGATAATAATTCCATTGGAAATACTTTCCACGTGGGAACAACAAGAGTGGGAACACTTGTAGATGCGTCAGCCATAGAAGGCTGTACTAGATACTTTGATCAATGTGATCACGTGAGGTTCTTGTAAAATTAAAAGCTGTACATCAGCAAACATTTCATATGCATTACATGCAATTTTGAGCCGAGCCGTCTGTGTGATGAGCCGGATCACCAACAGCAAAGACTCGGGCGCTGAGAATGGAGAAGGAGAACAGTCGGTCCATGATGTAGTAGCACCGCAGATCCTCCTGCCAGAATGGAATGGGATCAGTCACTTCTTCACCGGTGTGCGACTCCTGTTGGGCCAGAAAAAGAAAAAGAAAAAAGTTTGTCCAACAGTACCTAATAGATGCGGCACAGATTACTGACTGATGGGTGGCTATTAAGCTTTATATATTTCCCAATGTACGTTTTTTTCTGCAACATTTATTTCATGCGACTGAGCTTACCCTCGGGTGATTCCTCACTAGCTTTGTGCTCACACATTTGTGCATGTCTTTGAGCACTTTTTGCATGAGCGGCTTCACTTTGCGGACAGACTCTGAGCAGCTTGGAAATCCAGCAACCCTCTCCACTTCAGAGATGTAGGTCCCTAGGACGTTGAGCATCTTCCCAAGACATGTCTGAGGAAGGAGAGGAGGAGAAGAGGAAGACTTGAGAAGAATGTCATTGTTTTACGTCCATTGAGTTTTTAGTGGCACTGCAGGATACAATTAATGTGTTATGTGTTTCTTACCGCAGGCTCCTGTTTGAGATTCTCAGGGCCACACATATCTTGCGCCTCTATCCAGAGGAGTGTAGTGTAGAAATTGCTTATGTCTTTGGATCCATTTCGTGCCTACAATCCATTTGAGACAAACAGGCTCAGTAAGAGTTTTGCGTTAAATGGAAAATAGTAAACATATGAATCAATGAATGCTGCTATAATGTTCATGTTTCAGTCAACATAGTGTTTATTTTGGTAAATATTGACATTATCACGTACTGTTCAAATACATTACAGGTCATTTTGCAGACACTTTTGTCCAAAGCGACTTACATTACACTTTAAACCCATGGCTTTTCACATTTTGCCCAGGGAGCAATTAGGGGTTAGGTGTCTTGCTCAGGGACACTTCGACTTGAAACGTGGGGCAGCTGGGACTCGAACCTCCAACCCCAGCACACTCACTCTACCCCCTGCACCACGACGACCAAATACACTGTACTAAATAGTATTTAGATGTTTTGGCAAAAGTGTTGAACTTGTATCACGAATTAAATAAACACTAATGATAGCATTGAAATAAAACATTTTGATTAACTGACGGTAAAAAACAGTGTACACGTATGCTTCAAAATAAAACCTGTATAAAAAGCATATATCACATCAAAAGAAAATATGAGGCTTCATATGACATTTTTATCACCAATGTTTCGCGATGTGTATTTGCATTGATGATGCAAAATAATGAAATAAACTTAAAAATAAAAACAAAAACACACGTACCTCTTTGGAAACCATTCGAGCAACACGGTTGAGCAGCTGAGAGCTGCTCCGCACATCCCCGCATGCGTCTCTCGGAATGTGGCCGGTCGGAGCGCAGGACGCGGCCGCCACAAGCAGGAAAAGCGCTGCGAACGACTTGAAAGTAGAATCCATGTCGTCTTTTGGGGCGTCTTGGCGTCGGGTCTTGTTTGATGATGAGCTGCGTCCGGTCAGCGGCTGTGAGCGGAGTGATGTGAGCGATCTGTGCAGCGTGCGGCTGCTTTTTATATCCGTGAAATAAACCGCACCTTCAAAAGCCCGCAAGTTCACGTCCAGTGCAAATCCATATTACAGGTAACGAACACAAGAAAAGGTGAGGTCAGATTATATTACCAACAGGTAAACAGGTAAAAAAAAAGGGGAAGAGTCGATTAAATATGCCTTATAAAGATGACATAATCGAATAATGACATCATTACAAATACAGTTCAGGTAACTAAAAGTACAGCTTGTGCAAAATGTGTTCTTTCAAGGTGATTTTAGTGGATTAACTAAACTAAACTAAATGTAATGAGCTAAACAATTACACATGAGATGGAATTAATTTCCAATCCTGAAAAAGACTGATTGTGTGTTATGATCACAATAGTTAAAGTTAATTAACATGAGCTATTATGAACGAGGCTATTTGTATTCTAATTTTATTCTACTTATACATTTTTGTGATCTCAATTCGTCACTTTGGGGTTGCTTTGATGACATATATTCAATATTTATACCAAAAACAATTTACACCTGTCATATAACTAGAACGTGTGTGACCCTATTGTGACATATCACAACATTAATGTCTCCTAATCAGGTTTCACATCGATGTCTGTGTCGAGGAAGTGAGATTAACCTTTACAATTGGGAGTCACAATGAGCTTTACAGAGTCATCTTTACAGATTAGACAAAATTTCCATCTGTGTCCACGATCTGTCCCTCTTACCAGAGAAACCCCTTTCAACTGAAATTTAGTTTAAATCAGGAATCAGGAAACATTTATTGCCATAATATGTCAGCCATACAAGGAATTTGACTTGGCGGTTGGTGCATAACAGCAGACAGTACGACAATGGACGACAAGACAACAGTGCACAAGGAATAAAATAAAAAATAATAAAATAATGCTATGGGTTAGTAATATAAGGCGATGGGTCTTTTTAACATAAATGAATATTTAAAAAAGCTGTTAAAGTTAAAAATATTTAAAAATTAAAAACTAAAGTGCACGAGCTAACAGAAACTGACAAAAGTGACAAGTGAAAAGTAACAAGTGTCAGTGACGTGTGCAGTGTGAAAGAAAGTGACCGGTGGAATGTCAGAGTCAGTCAGTGGGGGACCTGGCTCCGTTCATGAACCTGACTGCGGAGACCTAGAAGCGAACAAGTCCTGCAGGGACGGCAGATTGCAGCCGATCACCCTCTCTGCAGAGCGGATGACCCGCTGCAGCCTGCCCTTGTCCTTGGCTGTGGCTGCAGCGTACCAGACGGTGATGGAGGAGCAGAGGATGGACTCGATGATGGCCGTGTAGAAGTAGACCATCATCGTCTTTGGCAGGTTGAATTTCTTCAGCTGCCTCAGGAAGAACAACCTCTGCTGAGCCTTATTGGTGATGGAGCTGATGTTCAGCTCCCACTTGAGGTCCTGGGTGATGATGGAGCCCAGGAAACGGAAGGAATCCACAGTGGTGACGGGGGAGTCGCACATGGTGATGGGGGAGGGTGGGGCTCTGCTCTTCCTCAAATCCACTACCATCTCCACTGTCTTTAGAGCGTTGAGCTCCAGGTTGTTCTGGCCGCACCACGACACCAGATGGTCAGACTCCCACCTGTAGGCGGACTCGTCCCCACCAGAGATTAGTCCAATGAGGGTGGTGTCATCCGCAAACTTCAGGAGCTTGACGGACTGGTGACTGGAGGTGCAGCTGTTTGTGTACAGGGAGAAGAGCAGAGGGGAAAGAACGCAGCCTTGGGGGGAGAGGAAAACGTGATGGGAAGGCTTCCTTAATCTTCCCCTTTGTGTTGCCTCACTACACACAGTAAATAGCTCCGCCTGTGTTGTACTGAACGTAAGGACATTCAACATTCAAGGTATTCATTGTCATGTGTACAGTTAACAAGTTACTCTCTACAATTAAATTATTATACTGCTATGCCCTCCTTCCACATAATTACAATAACACACTATGTGCATGTGTTTAGATAAATATAAACACATGCAACAGGCATAAGGCCAAAGTGCACCATGTGTTTGTTGCAAATGTTCAACTTGAATCAGTGACAGTGAAGTCACAGCAGGAGTCAGTCATAAATAGTTAAGCACAGAATTGCCATTAAGTTTGTGATGCAACTTAACACATGTATTGGAAAATATTTGTCTGATTATTTTCACAATTAATCAATGTTTGCTCAAGAAAATAAATAAACCCCACAAAAAATACTGTTACAAATTGCTAAAACCTAAGGGATACCTTCAAATGTCCTGTTATAAATGTAACTGTTACTGTTGTTGTTGTTGTTGTTGTTGTTAGATATGATATAAAACATTTAGCAATCATTGAAATCGCTGTCAATTCATTTTCTGATGATCATCGAATAGATTCATTTAGCTCTGAATTTAGATCCAGCTTCAGCCATACAAATGTGATATTTCTGAAATTATCTCAATAACCTGTAGTGCAGGTACTCAGATTGTTTAACTAAGTAAAAGTAGCAACACCAAGAATACTCCTTTACAAGCAAAACACTGTCAGCTAAACGTAATTCTTATTTTTTACTGTCGTTTTTTCAGATTCAACTACAATGAAGCCGTCAAGAAGTTTATAAACACGAGATTTTCCATTTATTTTAAGTATTAACTCTATTGAAGTAATATTGTCACATGCAGTACGAATTGAGTGCAGTGGCTGTACAGATGACAAAGAAAAAAAACAATTACATGTACAGTACTTTGTCTCTGAAGACTAAACGCTTACAAACACTGCGACCCTTGAACGCAGCCCTGTTTGCTCCGGAAGTGTTTTTTTCATTGTGTGTTGTTATTGTGAGTGAAGTGAGCATGAAGTGAGCATGGACTTCTATCTTATCAAGAGAAGAGGTTGGTGTAAACCTCATATTAATATTCCGAGTCATTCAGTAATCATGAAAAACACACTTTTCAGTAATGCGGATATTTTGTGTCTAGAAGCTGCCTGTCTGCTTCCTGCTAGCTTTAGCCTAGCTAGCCGGATTAGCCTGCGTTAACCGTCAACGGCGACCGACGCTAACGCGTGTTGAGTAGAGAAAAAGTTAGCTTAGCTTTCTGTAACGTTTATTTTATGCATTTCACAAATACACACTAACTTTTGGCTCTGGATAGTGTCGCTAGCAGTTAGCTATAACAGTAGCTTCTGAGAGCCCCAGTCAGAGCCACCATGAGAATAAGCCAGAAGATGAGGAGAAAGTGAAATCAATGTACTTGCTACGGTGTAATTGTTATTTAACGGTACGTAATGTTGTTGTTGTTCATCTGCAGGTTGATTTAGCTGAAACCTACTTATGATGAACTTTGACGGTCTCGACGCCGGCATGGGGGACTACCCACCCAGGCTTCACGGGACACTGGACGCGGGGATGGAGCCCTCCATGGACCCCCACCTAAACCCCAGTTTGATGCAGGGTGTGGAGCTCGACCCGGAGGGACTCTCTGGGACGGGGACCGAGCCCGTGCACCTTATGGAGGGGATGTTTTCAGAACTACACAGTGCGGTTTCTGAAGTTGGCATCCCCGTCACAGCAACACATTTTGATCTCCAGGAGGAAATGCTCTGGATGGGAAACCACAGAGTAAGATCAGGATACGTTTGTGATGGAAAAGAGTGGCCAAAGACAAAGTGTAGCACAGCCTGCACGTTTCAGTCTGCTTCATGTTGAATGCATTAATTATTTGTCATTCCATCTTGTTTTTCTAATCATTCTCTTTAGGGTCATGTAACCTCCTTCTTTGGACCTACGATGGGCCGACATTCTTCTTTCCAGGCGCATGCATCAGACGACATTCGACACATTCAGAGTTTGGAAACGGGCGTCCTGTTCCTTTCGAAGTCTAACCTCAAATGCCACACTCGTGGCGGCCTTGTAATGTTTGATTACCCGTAAGTGTCTCAAAGTATTGAACCGATTGTTCTTGTGCTGTGATGGATTTTTGAGGAACTGCAGCTGTACGATAATCACTATCAGGAATCAGCAACAGGAACATTTTTGCCTTTAAGTATGTTGGACATAGAAGGAATTTGACATTGCGAGTGGTTCATTGGACAAAAAATACAATAAGTTTTTGGACAACACTATGTAGGAAATATGAACATATTCAATTTATAATCAAATACCGAAGAATAGAAGAATAGAAGCATAACTAAATAAAAATGAAGTGCACCTGCAAACAGATAACCAGTGTATGTAAATGTGTTAAAGTGTATTTAAATATGGAGTATGAAGGGATGTGCAGGGGGATTTCCTTTAGGACAATGTGATGAGTCAGTCAGTGGGGACCCGGGTTCTGATGATGGGAAGATGTTTTTGATTATTGTGTATGTGTACAATCCAGGATGGACGAAGGAGCCGATATGCACAGTCTCCTTATGACTGATAACAACACCTTGCTCATGGGTGGATTACAAAACTATGCGGTTGAACTTGACTTGAATACTGTTCAAGAAACCCAAAAGGTGAACGATTATCAATACCCATACGTATCTATGCATACAGCACTGGACCATAGGACATCATTTGTCACATTATATAAAATAACATACAAGTAAGTAATCAACTGTCTACTTTCTTGTCACAGTTCAGTGTTAATTTGCCTGGGGTGGCGATAATGCGCCAAACGGGTCGTTACTTCTACTGTGGCCACACTTCTGGCAAGGTAAGAACAACTTGATGAAATCAGTTTCTAAAAGAGCTGTTTTTCCGGCTGGCAGAGCACTTAGTTTCCCTTTCTGGTTGAAAACAGATCACCCTTCGGGACTTGCGCAGCTTCAAAACAGAGCACGAGTTTGACGCCTTCTCTGGCAGCCTTTCAGACTTTGACGTTCATGGAAACCTGCTGGCTGCGTGCGGGTTTTCCAGCCGAGGAATGAATGGGTTGGCATGCGACCGGTTCCTCATGGTCTATGACCTCCGTATGATGCGAGCAGTGACGCCGCTTCAGGTGCACGTGGACCCGTTGTTCCTGCGGTTCATTCCCACCTACACATCACGCCTGGCAATCATCTCACAGACTGGTGCGTGGGGTCCTCCTCGAGTAGTCTTCATCGTGTTATAAGTTTTAAAATGTGAATAATGTCCTTCCTCTTGTTCCTTTCTGAAGGTCAGTGCCAGTTCTGTGAGCCCACCGGTCTCGCCAATATGGCGGACATTTTTCACGTCAACACCGTAGGACAACTGCTCATGAGTTTCGACGTATCGTCCAGCAAACAAGCCCTGGCCTTCGGGGACTCGGGTGGATGCGTGCACCTGTGGTCTGATGCTCCGGAGGTGTCATTTAATGACTACTCCAGGGAGACGGATTTTGCTCTGCCTTGCCTTGTGGACACGCTGCCTCAGTTGGACTGGAACCACGATCTGCTGCCGCTCTCGATTATACCCATGCCGCTCACCAGCACCGAGCATCTGCTGTCGGAGTGGTCCACTGCAATGGCTACACCCAGCCCGAGGTAACACAGTCACAAGTACCTCACCGGCTGTTATACGTGACAACCCTATTCACAGCAACAGTAACAACATTTTTCCGTTGCATGTTGGAGCTTTACTTTGGTCCACAAACCCATTCCAAAAAAATTATCCAATATGTGGCTGAAAATTGTTCCCAGCAAATATGACTTCCTCTTCCCACGGTTTTAAGCGATTCTTTGTTCAAAATGTTACTAGCTAAGGCTCCCAAATTTCAGTAAGAACCCAACGGCTTGGGACAAGATAGGGAAGTCGGAAAGTACCAAGGGACAGACAAACACGCTGTTTTTTTTGTTGTCTCTTCGTGGGATTTGTCGACGATAGAAGAAATTAACAACAATCACTACTTTTAGAAAAAAAAAATCAAACTGATTCATGAACACGGTGTAGACCACAGCGTCGCTGTTAGGAATGTATTCCTTCCTTTTTTCTGCGGCCGTGGTTAGCCAATGCTTTTTTCCCTTCATACATATGAGTGCGCCATTGTTGGATTCATCAAATGCGCACTCATATTAGCCTTTGTTTCGCAATGCAGTGTCAAGGTTCTGCAATTCGAACCAAACGTGAAATTGCTTCATTTTCTGAAACAAACAATTAGTGAATGTATTTTGGCTTGAATAACAGCAGACTAATTGCACGTGACTCCTACAAGAAGTTTGGACGCCTTGGGAAAAATTGTCGAATCAATCTCCTTCATCACTGCTGCAAGGCACTTAGGAACAAGTTGGTTGGTGCGGCCGGTTTATGAATGAGGTCTAATATAGTTCTTTCCAACAGACGAGCTCCTCCTGTGGACCCGGAAATCCTGCGCACTATAAAAACAGTTGGGTTTATTGGTTATGCGGCAAATCCTCGCACCCGTCCTCGGAACCAGGTATGTCTAACGGTGTAGATCCTCCACTACTTTTAAAACAGGCATTTCTGGATGTATGGCCGTCGAGATGCAAACAAAACACATTATTTTAACGGTCTCACTATTGTGTTATCCGTACTAAATTGAAAATTTAAAAAAAATTAGGCTCTTTAGTGTCACATTAATTTAAAGATTTCAACAGTCTATTTTTTTTCTTCTTTCAGGTTCCTTACAAAATTAAAGACGTGGAGCTGGATTATGATAATTACAACCAGGTCCCTGAATCTCCAATTGGACGTGATGAAGAGCCACACCTTTACATGGTCCCCAAAAAGTACCGAAAGGTTGGACTCAACATATTCGTCATTGGTTTTCATATAAAAGCACTTTTGGAAAAAAGTAACAATCCTCTTTTAATCATTTGTTTGCTGTTGCTGTGTGTAAGAATATGTTTGTATCCTTGTGCCGGATCAGGTCACAATTAAATACTCTAAACTTGGATTGGAGGACTTTGACTTCAAACATTACAACAGGACCTTGTTTGCTGGTCTGGAGCCTCACATTCCCAATGCTTACTGCAACTGCATGATTCAGGTAAGAAACGAGGACGATTCTTTGTGTATTTTAGTTGTAGAGATGATTTTAAAGACGTGGTTTTCTTTGCCTGGTGCTTGGCTGTTGTCTCCCGTCTCTAGGTACTATATTTCCTGGAGCCAATCCGGTACCTGGTGCAGAATCATTTGTGCCAGAAGGAGTTTTGCTTGGCCTGTGAGCTTGGCTTCCTTTTCCACATGTTGGATCTGTCACGCGGAGACCCGTGTCAGGTAGCTGCCTGAAAATGTTTCTCTGATCGTGTTGCTACTTCCCATTGCACGCCGTGTAGATTTCCTAATCCGACCTCTCCGCCTCCTCAAGGCCAGTAACTTCCTCCGAGCGTTTCGTACCATCCCAGAGGCCTCGGCGCTGGGTCTGATCCTCGCCGACTCAGACGAGCAAACGGGGAAGGCGCGACTCGGCCGCTTAATCCAGAGCTGGAACCGCTTCATTCTTACCCAGCTGCACCAGGAGACGCAGGAGCAGGAGGGCCCGCAGGCCTACAGGGGAGCCAGCAGCAGGTCAGAGAAGGGTTTGTCATGCACCCACATCGAGTCTGGAGGTGTAAAAGCGGTCACCTAATGTGTCCGACACATTTCCGCAGTACTCTGGGATCTTCTGGTGAGTCCGCCATCGGGAAACTATTTGGATGTGAGGTGGAGAACAGCAGCCTGTGTCGCTGTGGCAAGGAGACGGTCCGCTCCTCCCTCTCGCTGCTCTTCACCATGCATTACCCCGAGCAGAACTCTCAAGGTGAGTCCATGGCACTCGTTCACACTGCTGTTTACAGATGGACTCGTTAGGTCCCTCAAGCTTGGCCTTGAAAGTCAAGTGCATGTATAACCTCTCGCCCGTTACTGTGAAATAATAATAGCTAACGGTTGACTGCGCTCTTGTAACTTTGACTCGCCAGAAAAGACAGTGAAAGAATATGACTTTGCTGAGATCTTGAAGAAAAGCATCTGTCTGGAGCAGAGCACCCAGGCGTGGTGTGAAAACTGTGAGAAGTATCAACCCACAGTGAGTTACAGCTTCCATTCGGGTGCATATACCTTTGTGATCTTAAATAAGTCTTTTCTGCATCACAAGTGTTTCTGTGCACCACTTTAGGTGCAGACACGCAACATCCGATGTCTCCCAGATGTTCTGGTCATCAACTGCGAAGTGAACAGTGCTAAAGAGGCGGAATTCTGGAAGGTTCAGGCGGAGGTAAATGACACTCGTTACTTGCTTTGTTTCCATTATGGCAGTTACAAATACAGTTAATCGAATGCATAACATATCCGTCGTCATTCCGTAAATGTGGTTTGTCTTTCTTCACAGTACGCCTTCAATAAGGCCATCAAGAAAGAAGCCATGGAACCTCCAAAACCTAAAGAGCCGCCCCTGCCAATGCCCACCGAGTGGTGCTTGGAGTAAGAGCTCTTCACTCAATATTATATAAGATGTTATAGTTTTTCAATGTTAGTCATTTCTTTTACAGATTCATATTTTTGATTAATGAAATCATTTAATTTCACGCTTGTGTCTCTATACCATCAATAGTTTAAAGAAAAGGCCCTTTGCAATTCCCCCACACATCTTCAAGCTTGTAAAACCTTCTAAGAGAGAGATGAGCAGGAAATCTTAAATTTGAGAGGCTCACCTGTTTGGCAGTTATGGATTTGATCAATTGACACATTATTCAGTAGAGTGTGGATAGTAGATACTTCCCTTTCACAGTGCTTTGCATCCCCTGCAGCGGGGAGGGCGTTTGCAGTATGGAGGGCATCACCTTTGACACGCGAGCGGAGGATCTGCGACACGTGTGGATCCCCCTGAGTCTCAAGATGTCCATCAGCAAAAGCCAGGGACTGGAAATCAGCAGCTGGCCTGAAGGAGAGGAGGTGAACGCCAAAGATCTCCATCAAAACACCCACCGTGACTCTTGTACCGTGCAAAGACTCACATGCAACGGGCATCGTTTTTTACATTCTCTCATCAGCTAAGTTCCGCTGAGGAGGAGGAGGAGGGCGCGTCGGTCTACGACTTGGTGGTCACTGTGCCGCACATCCTGGACGCTCGCACGGGTGGAAACTTGGTTGCACACATCAAAGTAGGAGAGACCTACCATCAAAGAAAAGAGGTGAGCCAAGCTTGGATCGGAAAATACGGTCCAACAGATACTTGCTTCTGCAGGTTGAGACAAAGTTCGTTTGAGGGTTTTGTTTTCTGGAGAAAATCTGTTTCCGTTTCAGGGAGTCACACATCAGCAATGGTACCTCTTCAACGACTTCTTAATCGAGCCAATTGACAAGGTAAGTACTTGATTGAGTTTATGCTTGAGAGATGCCATCCTTCCAGTCATGTCAAAGTGTTCCATTTTTCTTTGTTAAAGACCGAAGCTGCCCAGTTTGATGTGAGCTGGAAGGTGCCAGGCATTCTGTATTATGCCAAGAGGAACTACCACACCAAATACGACCTGCGCAGTACGTTTTAAGACAAACAAATCGGGTGGATTTCTGTGCAGGTTTTCTGCGTGTTCTCCGCCCGCTCATGCTTTGAGGGTTTGTCTCAGTTAAAAACCCCATAGATGCCAGCGTACTGCTGACGGAGGCCTCGCTGGCTCGGAAGCAGAGGAAGAGTCACGCCACCTTCATCCCCCTCATGGTCAGCGAGATGCCGCAGGCCGGGGACTTGGTGGGGCTGGACGCTGAGTTTGTCACGCTCAACCAGGTGTGTCCGGGTTTTCGTAACCCAACCATTTCTATAATGTACAGTGTGTTGATTCTCATACTAATGCGGTTTGTTATTGTGGTGGAACATTTCGATTCACCCTCGTGATTGTGTGTTCTGCAGGAAGAGGCGGAGCTTCGCAGTGACGGCACCAAGTCGACCATCAAGCCCAGTCAGATGTCCGTGGCCAGGATCACCTGCGTGAGGGGTCAGGGGCCCAACGAGGGGGTCCCTTTCATCGATGACTACATATCGACTCAGGAGCAGGTCAGTGTAAAACAGCGAGGAAGCCCCCCGTTAACGTGCCCCTTACAGGAAGCATTGAATGTTGTGGAAAGCCCATTGCACTCAAGGACGAGACTTTTATTTGATAACATCATGTGATCATGTTTCCTTCATTGTGTCATTTTGTCTGTGACGGTGATAAAGCAGTTCTGGGAAGTTCTGAAACGTGTAGCTTATCAACACAGGTTGGACCGTGTTGTCTTTTGTTTTCTGTTCCTGTTCCACAAGACGTAAGCATCACAGAAAATGTACCAATCTTTATTGACATCAGATTGTAAAGATTGATTGATTATTGGTTTAGTTACAAGACAAGAGACACTGCACGTACTTTCTTACAGCTTGACAGGAAATACTTTATTTGTTAGTTTTAATGAAAGTCAAACATTAACCCTGGAGAGGTAGCGTACCTTTTTCCCGTGAAACAGCCGCTCTCGCTGTGGGCCGCTAACACCTGCGAATGTCTGTCCTTCCAGGTGGTCGACTATTTGACTCAATATTCTGGCATCAAACCAGGAGACCTGGATGCAAAGATCTCTTCGAAGCATTTGACCACGCTGAAGTCCACTTACTTGAAGCTGCGCTTCCTCATCGACACCGGAGTTCGCTTCGTTGGTCACGGTCTACAGAAGGACTTTCGGGTTATTAATTTATTGGTATGTTATTTCACAAGCTAAGGCCTGATTTCATTTCGTTTTACTATGTAGTTCATACATGCAATGCAGACATTTCCTTTCTGTCTCTAAGGTTTTGAAGGACCAAGTCGTCGACACGGTCTACCTGTTCCATTTACCTCGCAAAAGGATGATTTCTCTGAGATTCCTCGCCTGGTACTTCCTAGGTAAGTGAAGGCGGGTGTGCTCAATACGCTGCTTATGATTAACAGTTCCTCCAATTCTACGCGGCACCCAAGCATATTTCAGCTCATTGTTCAGCTTTACGGCAGATTACTGTTCAGTTTCCATCTCACTGATGATAGTGTGGTTTTCAGTCGCACAAGGCAGCTGCTTTCAGTGAAAAAGTTCTGTGCTCTGCAGTAGAGAGACAAAGTGAGTAAGTAGCTGGTAAACTTGGTGGAGCATTTAGCCGCTGAAGAGTCAGATGGAGTTTGGTAAAGACTAGAAAACGGATCAAAAGGAGCGAATATTGGGCATAAAGTCATCGAAGGTTGAGATGCAGCGTGGTTGTCTTTTTCTTTTCGGTCCTAGAGCTCAACATCCAGGGGGAAACCCACGACAGCATAGAGGATGCACGCACCGCCCTGCAGCTATACAGGAAGTACCTGGAGCTGAGTCGCGGAGGGGGGAACGACGAAGTGAGGAAGGTGCTTAAGGGACTCTACGAAAAGGGTCGCCAGCTGGACTGGAAAGTTCCAGAGTCGGACACAGGAGACGGTCGAGGTAGCCCAAAAAGTACGGCGTAACAATGAATTTGATGCTGATGTAACAATTGAGGTCAGAATAGAGGAGTTCCTGGGAAACGTAATCGGTTGGACTGAAAGCGGTTTCCTTCCTTTTAACAGGTGCTGCTGTGTTTCCCTCTGGGATGGGGCTGTGAGCTGCACCGTGACCTTTTCCCACTGAAGAGTTTTGATTGACATCTGCTAGTCAGATTTTATACTTATTTGCATTTTATTTGCGCATTGCGCACATTGTACATGAAGGTCTTCGTTTGCAGTCCACTTCAGCTCGGTGACTAAGCAGTTTTAATCATGTAAGAAGTAGTACCTTTCGTCCAGGAAATGGTTTTGGAAAAATAAAAATTTGTATCGTATGCTTTTTTTAAAAAAACAAACAGAATGCAACATGTTGTTTTGGTGCATGTAAATAAATGAACGTATCATGAGCACTAGAAGATGCACTGTGTTTAATACCAACGAGTGGAAGATGCATTCAACATTATTAACGTGGTATTTTTGAGATCTATTCAAATTTCACAGTTAATTTGTTTTGTCTGCTTTGCACTGCCGCTGTCCTAGATGTAGGAACTTATAAGTTCATTAATTAGTAAGGATCAATTAGGATGGAACTCGTCTATGAATCAACATACCTTCTGTTTCCAGTCAGTCCGGTAAACAAACTCCTCTTCAGCACGACATTTTCTGTTTGTTACAACTTGCACTCGGAACTGATTTGAATAGAATTTGTCTTTGGTAAACCTAAACAAATGAATGTGAAAGTAAAAGGTCAGATGTGTTTAGAAGAACCGTCGAGCAGTGAACCTGAGCGAAGTACTTTTCTCGTGGAAATATTGTACATTTCACTCCACTACATTTATTTGAGTTACTTTACAAATTAGCCTTTGCATAAGCCAGTATACTAAACTAAGAATGCTGCTTTTACATAATTTTATACAAAAATGTAATCTATTACGTCACGCCCAATCAGCCTTTTTTACACGTGTGTTTGCTATTGGTACCTAAATACTTCTGTCTACGTGGAATTATAGATGCAAAAACCTTTAGTTGCAGCAGAGTAGAAGTAAACTTTTAATACCATATGCTATCATCGTTACTATCACTTAAGTAGGCGATTCAAACAGTTCTCCCAACACTGCTCATTGATGAGGTCTTCCACCAAAGCTCAGAGTCAGCAGGCCCTCTGCTGGCGGTGCAGAGGAACGACGGGAGGTTGTTAACCAGCATTTAATGCAGTTTGTTTTATTTATTGACTTGCAAGAGTGAAGTAATCATTTGGATGCTTTAAGTAAAACAACCAATAGCCTATCAAGTCAGAACCTTACCTGCGTTAATATATCTGGTGTTGGTGTTTGTGAAATTCTATATCATCTATTGTATTTTTTTAAATGAAATTGCTGATATAACTATAACTATTTTAATTACAATGCTGTGACTTGTGACAATCCTATGACTTTTAGGACATTTTTAATGTCATTTTATGACATACTAACCTTTATCTGACATATTATTTTACGACTTTTGATTCTTTTCAACATACAAAACAAGGATTGCTTTCATCATACTATTACATTTTTTCCTGCAAACTACTATGACTTCTTTTGACATATTCATTACTTTGAATGACCTTTTTACAGTCCCCCATGACTATTACGTTTCTGACATGTTTTACTGAGGCTTTTTGATGGCGCTTTGCCATTTTTAGACTTCACTATATTTTTTAATAATAATAATTAATAATAATAATAATAATAATAATTGTAGCTACAGAACAATAATTGTTCTGTAGCTACAATGATATCAATTACTTTTCTTGTACACTATGCCGTTTTTTTCTTGAAGTGGGACTAGTTTTTCTTTTTTTTTAAATAACATTTTTAAGACGTAATACACTGACAATGCGAGATGGTATTCACGACAAAGGGACTGAGGCAGGTCTGGTAATCCGTTGGTTAGAAGGAAGCGGCGCCAGCTCAAGAGCAGGTGAGTCTGGTCCTGAAGTACAAAAGTGAAGGAATAATTACAGGTGTGACGCCGTCTGTCTGCATGGTTACCTGTCCTACAGATATCAGAAGTGGGCGGGGCGGAGGGCCCTGGCAGCCCATGGGCCTTTAGTGCCAATCTCCCTCTTTTGTCAAGGGCGCGCCCCGACCTGCCCGCTGTTGTCGAGGGAAGTAGTGATGGGAAGTTCGGATAATTTTACCGACTCGGTTCTTTGAATCTCGTTCAGTAAAATTACCAAATCTTTTTTCGAGGGGGGGTGGTAAGATAAATTCCTGCATGAAAATAATAACTACTCCCAACCGAGCCTTCGGGTCAATGATTCGTTCATTGAGCCTATGCAAGTCACGAGAAAATGAACTAATCTTTTTTTGAGAGGACTCGTTACTCTCGAGTCCTTGTAAGGATTCGTTCAAAATGAATGTATCGTTCACGAACGACATCACTAGAGGGAAGCAAAGGTCAATTATCTAACGCGTTGCTAGAGAGGAGCCTCTGAAGAATGTCTGGGAGGCCGCTACATGCTCGATGAGTCGATGGGCTGGCAACCGTCTCGGCAGAGATGAAAAATCGCCAGCTGCAGCTGCGCAGTAACAGCTGCAGGAGAAACGCCACGTCTACTGACGCACAAACGCAGGAGAGGAGAGGGAAATAATGCCAACAAAAGGAAAACAGAAGCTGCTCAGCCTTTCCATGAAATTCTATTATCACTATGACAGTGGCTTAAAAATATCCTTACTATATTTAGATCTTTTTAATGCAAACAGTTTACAATCACATGATCTTAAAATATCCTGTTTTATGACATTTGGATGAAATTGACTTTTTACTGATTTTTAAAAATGTTAATTCAAAATGTCGTAAAAATGTATACAGCCGATCATCATAAAAGTGTAAAAGTCAAGCTGGTGTTAGAAAACGATCCGCTTAAATATCAAGGTTTATGTCCTGCTTTCAGGTAAGCAGCGATGCATTTCTCATCCAAGTCAATTGTAGTTTATTAATCCTCTGCGGTAAAATGATGAAAAAAAACTAAACACTTCTGTAAAGACTTTAGTGAGAGGAAGTATAATATATGCTCATCAATGTAGCATAAGTATGGCATTGCATACAATTGACATCGTACATAAAATGCAAGCGCAGTACTGCTTAGCTACAAGTTTATTTGTGTTTCATACACTTGGATGCACATCACACCGTGACAGGACCGTATAAAAGAAAAGAAACCCAGACACATTCAGTATTGCAAACTGTTTATTCGTAGTAAATGAAAAGTGTGCAATTCAGTGAGTGGGGCGAAAGAGAACAGGGGAGTCGGGGACGGTCGATGTCTTTGGTCCATACTCTGGTGGAAGGGATGTCAATGAATTGGTGGGAGACAAGAAAAGGCACTTGAGTTTACAGTTGTCTCAAAAAAAAAGAGAAAAAGTTGTCTTGAGAAGTAGGACACACTCTACTGGAAGGAGGAATGAACTAGATTGTTTAACCTCCGTTATGCCTAATATGAATATCACATACAAAATGCCCCATGTGAGCACTAAATTATATAGCTACATAAATGTATATACAGTAAGAAATCGGAACGTGAAGTAAGGTGGGATCAGGTAGAAGAAAGAAATGCAACAGTTTGGATTAATCCCTTTTGGATTTCTTTACAGGCTGACGGGGGAGGACGGGAAGGGGAGGGGGGCACTTTCAAAACGATCTTTGGTGAAAAACTAATTACTAGAATGTTCAAAGAAAGAAGACGAAGAGAGGCAGACTACATCCAGCACCCCTAGAGCACCCTGGAGATATGCGCAGTAAACGCTGATTTGTTTATCCTTCGTACAGCTTTTAATTCAAACTGAAGCCCCTCCCTCTCCCCCAAACACCCTTCAATAAAAGTCTGCACCACCTCTGAAAGCATCAAGAAAAGTTTGACATTTTAGGAAATACACGGTTTAAAGGATCGGAAACAAAGCAGTTTCTTTGCCCTGTCCGGGGGCCGAGTGGGAGACGGTTCCTCGAATCAACCAGTCTTTATCATCGAAGGCTTTGCTCCCGTTAAGCCAAATAGCATTTTAAAACGCTTCTGATGAGGCATACATTTCACTTTTTGGGTGCTCGTCAAAGGCAGTTTTATAGTCCGATTGGCTCTTTGTAGGCTCACGGTCTGCTGCATCAGAAGTGTTTTCAAACAATAAGAAACCAGCGTATTTCATAAAATATTGTACTTTTCCTTTCAGTCAAAACATATTTATGCGTCGTTACAGCACATAGAGACCGCAAACAAGCTGATGCTCGTCTCTCCACCACTTTAACCAATACAAGTACTGAGGTGAGGCCTTAATCTCAAGTACGGAGGAAAAAGCTCCTTTCGATCGGAAAACCACAAAGAAACAAAAAGGGGGATGGAACTTATAAATTAATTTTCCTTCCAAAAGACGCAAAAGACGACACATTAAGAAAAGCAGCAACGAAACAACCAGTCTTCTACTACAGCCTTGCAGCTCAACACACTGTATGTACATAACTACAAGAAGATAAACGAGGGCCCACTCAGAGAAAAACGCTTGAAAACCGGCCGCGTCTAAAGATCAGCAGTGAGGTATTCACCAGATGTGGACACTGCGACGAGACTGAACTTTAAACAAAAAGCCTCAAAGCATCTTAGCAGCAAAAGAAAACATTTAAAAATAAAATTCTTCCAAATCAATACAACCTTTCAATGCATTTTTTCCATGCGGTTTCTGATCGGTTCCATGTTCACATTTGGGATAAAGTGAGAATCTTAAAAAAAAGGGGAAGAAAATATCTTACTCTCACACATACTTATGAATCCCACGCCTGCTTTAAAGTACCATCTGTTAAAAAGACATCCACGTCTCTAGAAAGGCAAATGTGAAGTCTCGCTGTGAATAAAGGCAAGCATTTCATCAGTACGCCCTCCTCGGGCAGAGAAAATTAAAGAAACTGTGCTAAGGAAATCAAAATAAATGTAGCGCACTAAATATAGAACATCATAAGGACAGTTTCCTTTTTTGTGATATTTTTTTCAACAGTGGGTAATGATCGCTCACCTTCTCACAAAATGATGCTCAGCAAGCCATGACGAGCACACAGCAGACGCCCGCTGGCTGGAGGGAAACCAACGCAATGCTGGATTTGCCCTTATTTTAAAAACAGTACAGGCTTGACATTTGGAGAAATGTGCATATCGAGTTGGATGATACGTTTCGATGAGTCTAGTTCTCTCGTGTCAGTACGGTGGATTTGAGGCTACAGCTGAGCTGCATAGCTCAGTATAGCACAAAGACTGGACTGGCTCTGCCGTGCACACACACCCCAAACATTTAGGAATTGAACAAAATAAACCAGACAGAAAGTGTTAATTGGAGACATTTTGATTGTGTGGATTAAGGACAGGAAACAAAGCGGTTTCTAACTGCTTTCAGTCTTTGTGCTATACAAAGTTAGTTTGACATTTATACCATACCATATATCATCATATACGAGACTGGGATCCATATTTTAATACAACTATTGGCTAAAAAAATAAAAAAGAAATAAAGAGTCCTTTCCGAAGTGTCAAACATTTGCTTTAAGAGCAAATCCTCTGCGTTCAGAGAGCACCTCTCAACACATTTCAGTCCTAGTGTTAACAAGTCCCCTACGGTTAATGCCAGCCATACAAAAAGCTCTGGATTAGTTTGATACGATTGATTTCTCCTACCTTGTAAAGATTAATGATAGTCTGTAGGGTTGATTGCATGTCTACTCCCTTAATGACAAAAATCTCTAACGCTAGAACCACTTTTGCACTTTCCCTACACTTTCCACCGTGAAGGCGTTGAAATGGGCGAAACAACAAAAATCAGAGGTGCAAATCAGTGAGCCGACATAAGCCACGCAATAACAAAAACAGTACTAAGAGTTCACCTTCGACAGTGCACAAATTGTTGCAGGTAATCACGTCGGTCTCTGGAAGATAGCTTAACTGCAAAAATATCAGTTACAGAGACGGAGGATAGCATAGCGAGGAGAGCTCTCTCAAAGAGGGGCCAAAGAAAGAAGCCGTTACCGTAACCAGAAACGGATCAATGCAAAAAAGGAAGAACAAATATAGAACAGTGAGAGCTTTTCAAGTTTGAATGATGAAGGGAGAGATTTAGAAAGGTGGCATTACAGCTAAACTGACAGAAAATATGTAAACTTGTATTCTATCCTTCATTGAAAGGAGCTAGTAGGGTGAGGGGGGTGGGGGGGTGTTGAGGGTACGGGAAGGCTATGGGGGGCGGGTGCAAGGGTTAGTAGGTGGGTTCCATTAGGAAAGTGATCTCCAATGTCAAGGGCGGTGCGGAGTCCGCGGAGGCCTCTGGGGCAGCCCGTTATTAGCGGGTCGGTCCTGGTTGGAGGAGGGCGCGGTGGAAGGGGGGGGGCCTCTGGAGTTGTGAGAGTGCTGGGCAGGACCAGAAGAACCGGCGTCACTGTGATAGCGGTGGTTAGCGCGACCAGCGTTCCTCTCGTTGTAGGAACCGCCGTTATACCTCGGACCCCCCGAGTGGTACCCTTGTCCCTGGAAGGTGCGCCGGTTGCCTTGGAAAATCTGAGAATAGGGGGAAAAAATCCAGATTTAAGCGAGCGACTAAATCATTTACACCGCCGGAGTGAGTCAATGTATGAAGCGCTTTCTCGGCTGACCTGTTTGTTTGGTGGAGGGCGGTGTTCGTTGGAGCAGCTTTGGGTCTGCGTGGGAGGCGGAGTTTCCAGCAGACTCGGGCTGGCGACCGAAGAGGACGTGGAGCTGCAACGGGACCGATTTGAGTAACCTGTATGCGGATGGTAAACTGTAAAAGAGAAAACAATGTAAGTCACTGACAGCACAACCGGGGACGCGTCCCACAAGGGAGTAAAACCCAAAGGAGCTCTATTTTTAGCACAGTCTATAAATAGGACTTGAAGAGGTTCTGGGCTTCAGGGAACAGTTTACAAATGTGGTAAAATTCTCTGATCGTCAATCAAAAACTAGACCATACTTGCACACAATCTTTGTGTGTTATCAGAAGTGTAGTAAAGGGCAAAAGGGAGGGACTGGGCACACTCAACTACTATAGGGGACAAATATGACCAGATAACACAATAATAAACAATGAAAATCAAACTAAAATCAAAAAGGATTTGAAATTGGGAGAAACTGGGCTTCACGCGTCCTTTCCTTCTCCAAGTCGTTTATAGTGGCACATATTTGGCAACCTTATAAAATGCATAAAAAACTAAGCGCTAAACTGCTCGCTTGTCTGATTCAAAATAGTGTTTTCTAAAATGTTACTTTGAACACAAATTAGATACAAAAATAAAAAGATATGAAAAGGAATAATAAAGGATACCTGATCCAAACCCTGAGATGCTCGTCTTCAGTGGTTCAAGATCAAACGTAAATCTCAGCGCTTTGCCGAGGTCTTCATCATATTTACGCTCACTCACAAAGTGCTGAGGGAAAAAAAAAAAAGACAAGACAGAGGATTTTCATCGACAAAAGTGTACAGCCGTTGTGCGAAGAGTGAACTAAGGGAGAGCAAAGCGAGGCCATGCTGGAGCAGCGGCATTGTTTGGGTACCTTAATGTCTGCACGCAGTTCAGTCAACTGCTCCTCGGACATGGACGCCGACTGGTCCGTCAGCCTTCTGAGCTCCTCTGCTCGCTTCTGCCGGGCGTCCAGAATCAGCACTAAAACAACAAAACGGCATATTTTCTCAGATCTTCCATGTGCACAGTGTCTGAGTGTTAAAGAAATTCTGACTGAAGGTATTCGATGCATTGTTACAAACAACAACGAGCAAACAGAGGAGCCGGAATTATTGGAATATTTCATACTATATTTAAAGCGCAGCTGCAAAATATTCAAATAATAAAACATACTATAGTTTCTGTACAAGGGATTTCCCCCCGCAGTGCCGGTGAGTTTCAGTTTCCTGCAAGAACTCAGCTGTTATTTGATATGACAAGTACAAAGTACGGCTGACTCAGCATCCAAGAGATGAACAAGGGTCAGAGATAAAGCCACTTTCAAAGCAAGATATGTCCACTGAAACAGCTGACATCTCCTGCCACAAAAGCTTCATGGGGTCCAGTCAGATGCTTGGGAGGACGACTCCATAAGTATGAAAGGTATTTCATGCTTTTAGGTGGTAGAACGTCCTTTCAAACAAAAAAAGGTCCTTCTTCGTGAAGGGTTTGTTATTTTTTACACAGAGGGCAAAACACTTTAAAATGGTTCAAGTGGACTGACAATAGAAATAACGAAAGAGTCAAAAGGGAACTTGTGAGCAAGTTCAATAGAAATAGAATAAACCACCAGTCCCTGGTATAATAAACTGGAAGCGTAGTATCTAAATGCACAGTAATACGGTCTGCAGCAAGCGGGAATTATCAGATAACAGGACTCAACCTATAAGTAGAAGCTTCTCGATAGAAAGAGGGGTAGCACTACGAACGTCAGCGGGACGATGAACTGACAAGTCACAGCTTAAATCTCTTCAATATAACCACTGAGTCACTGTTCTTCTGGACTGGACAAAACTATTGCCTACGACGCCGTCAGCGTTTATTTCCTCCATGGAAACGCACTTTAATCAACATAGTTTGCGACATTTTAAAAGGTTTCTTGAACTCACTCGGCTGTTGAATGGACCCATAGCTACTGTGGTGACTAATACCATTTGATTTTTACAAGGACAAAAGAACAACAAACAAGTTATTATGAATCAAATAAAATAGTTGTGTCTTTGTCTTAAGAAAACCACTCTAACAAGTTTTACAAGTAAAATTAGCAATAACACAATATACTAATACTCAAGATTACTAGTTATAATTGATACATCGCTGTATTAATCACTTTGAATTAATGCTGGTAACGGTGGGGCTAATACAAATTGGATTATATACACGGTCTTTTCTTACCAATAATAATAATGTGATATTATATTTAACACACAGATCTGTGTATATAGGTTATAAAAAAAGAAAACAATCGGTTAAACACGGTTTGTTGAGGAAACCGGTCTTTTGTAATGTCCAAGAATTACTAGTTTCTTTCCTTCGCTCTCAATCCTCAAATCACCTCGCACAAAGACAGCATTGAGTCTCCCTCGACACCTGACACTATTCACTTTTTTCCAGGCCTGGAACACACAACACTCTACACAGAGAGGCTAGAATGGCCTACTTGTATAAACATGCAGCCTTGCTCTGTCATGTTACACACACACACACACAGGTATGCTCTACGTATATCAGGACCCCGAGGGCATCACTGCAGTTTTGAAGAAACTGGGACACAACCATTTCTTTTACCACCTCTCCAGAAGTGATTCAGGTCAGACTCTCCCGGCCCTTGAATGAGGTGATCATTATATGTGAAGAATACTAACAGCTCCCGGGTGACGTGTGAGAAGCACGGCTTTAGTTCAGCCTGCATACTCGGAAAAAATAATACAATACTTACTGGCTTCTGCTTTGACTTTGTCCATTTCTCCCAGTAGAGTCACTTCTCTGTCCATTAAGCTAGAAAAGAAGAACGGATGAGGTGGATTTTTCTTTAAGTTGTAAATTTCAACACTGAATTCATTATTTTTTTACTGTTCTACAATTCAATTTATACTCCGCTTACAAGCTGAAGGATTTAAATTATTCAGATAAAAAGTTTTAGAAAATTCTTGATTCCAAGATATCTATCGCTATCTGGACGAGGAAATCCTCCATCAATAAAACAGTTTGGTTTAATTTCAGTGGAGTTGGAGTTATGTTTGGCTGGGATTTACTGCAGCGCTAGTTACTCTCCTTTGATCTCCGTTTCCCAGCAACCAACACACATACACACTCTCTCCTCCTAAAGCATTGGAACCCTTCTAGTTTTTCATGAAGTTAAGTACGTACGGGTCAATGAATTATAAAAAACAAGTTAGCTGGCTATATAAACACTGTAGTAATAAACGCTTAATCAATGGAGATACACAACCTGTATTCAGAAAGTGGACCTTTACACAAGCAGCCAGGATTTCTGTATGGTTGAGATGTCTCACATATACAATCCATAACCTTTTCATGTTTCTCACTGAAGGTAAAATATGAAATGTCACGTCTGGATGTGTTATGTATGTAAAACAGAGGAACGGGATCAGATCACAGGAAGTAAACATGGAGGCAATTTGGATGAAACGTACTGAAATGGAAGCGGATTTGAGAAGGGGTGAATACAGATAAACAGAAGACAAATGAAGAGTTTATTTTTACATTAAAGCAAGTATTTTTTGGTTTCCACTAGAACATGTTTACGAGTACGAACCTGGAAATTAGCATGTCAGATAACAAGCCGTCACTCCTTTGAACTAGACAAATGAAAACTGTAGTTTTACATAAATGTTTATAGTTGTTGAATTACTGTGCTACATTCTAGTTAGTCCACTTGATTTAGCACATGAAGAGATTGCTAAAGGTTGATCCTCCGGTCGCATCTACAGAGTCTGCTTCTTATTCTTGCAAGTCTTTTCACAGATATTGAAACGTTGGATTTATGAACCGTTTCAGTTTCTAGAAAAGTAGTCCCAGTACTGAAAGGACTGAGAACGTCTCGATAAAGACATGGTTTACCTAACCCGAAAAATGACCTCTAATATTTAACAGCAAAAAATGCATCAACACCCACAGTGCTTTAGTAAAACATTATCTCGGAAACAAAATAGCCCTTCACAACAAATCCTTCCAGGGCATCTTGACCGAGAGGAACTAAACTCAGGAGCATTTCTGTATGAGTTTTCTTTAATCACAACGAACCCTAATCTATTGGAAAATACCACACCTGAAGGAAGAACCTTTTTTTTAGCTACTTGATCCATTGAACAATAACTAAATTACACAAAAAGGTTGTTGGTACCCAGGAAAAGCGTTCACTTTTCAACATGCTTAAATATTCAATTCCCTCTAAAAAAACAACAACAACAACAACCTCCACTGCCGCATGACGAGAAGCCGATTTTAGAGGAAACATGCTCACCAGCTCAGGAGCTCAGCAAACGTCTGCTTCATCTTCTTTATCGACGAGTCCATCTCCTCCTTCACCACTATCCTGTAGCGGGTCAGCGAGGCGGTGCATCGCTGCAGGTCCTTCACAGAGCGGTCAATGTTGGGAGCTGAGCGGAGAAGTAAAAACATAAAATCAACTTGATTTAGTGGCACAGAAAGATTGTGCTGCAACATATCCGGTCCCAGGTAATTATTAACTCTAATCAAATGATAATCAAGGTGTTCATGCAGGAAAAGATGAATGAGGAAGTAAGGGGTATTTTGTTACTAACCCATCCTCTTGACTCCTGAGGATCCTTGCTCATCAGTGGGGGGTGGAAATGAGGATGAGGTGGGTGGGTGTAGATTAGAGCCTGGCCTGTGGCGGATCTTGTTGCCTCTAGGAACCTGGTGATTCCTCCCTGCTTGCTGTAAGGGGGGGCTTGGAGCACTACCATGACTTTCTGCCTCTGCGCCTGGGAGGAGAACGATGACTTTACAACAAGTAAAGGAAGTACTTTCACAATTAACTTTCCCCATGAAACTAAATTTGGCACTTTGCTCTTACTTTTTGAAGTGTTTTGCAAACTGTGCAACAAAACACATCTATGATTTTATTAATTAATAAAATTTATGCTGAGTCAGAAGCAAGGTACTCTCGAGAAGGAAATGTTTGACATTCAATTAAAAGGCTCCGTGATGGAGCCATTCGTCACGTATCAAGAGTTTTGCTTACCGGTGGTTTCGGATGTAGCGGGTTCAGAGTCCAGCTCCACTGCATCCAGGGAGGCAGAGTCCAACTGTTCACTCAGAGAGTCAAGGGACTCTTCATCAACCACCGAGCCGTTGGCATGAAAGCCGTTCACCTCATCCTTGCCCTCCTCGGGCGGCGTGGCCTCGGGCGGTTCGGGCGCCGCTGAAGCCTCTGGCTGAGGCTTGGGCTTCTTTTTCTTCTTGGGCTGAACAAGGAGATATATTAGTGTCAAGTCATTTTTCATTGTTGTTCACGATTGCCTTCTCAATCAGGGTAATGCAGACCGACATTACTAAAGTCTCCCTCCCCACGTTCTTCTGTGGATGGTGGTTCTATCTGATGGGGGTTTTCCTTGCAGTGGTCCTGCCGTACACCCGGCTTACTACTCGCAATTATTTGAATCATTTCTGTTATAGGAACTGTATTGTACATCTTTTACATTGTTCATTCTGTACACATGACATCCATTGTAGTCGGTCCATTCTGGGAGATGGATCCTCCTGACGTTCTCCCTAAGGCTTCTTCCCTTTTTTCCTCATGGAAGAGTTTTTCTTGTGCCGATGTGAGGGTTTCGGGGAACAGAAGATGTCGCATGTGTAAGACTGTAAAGCCCTCTGAGGCCAATTTGTAATTTTGGGCGATACAAAATGAAATTAATTGAATCAGAGCACTGACTGGGAACAATTTCATTGCACACAGGGAAAGGAAGATTTGCTGAAGCTGAAATGGGGGTTTTGTCATTGAGAATTGGTAACCAATTAATCTATAGTTCACAAGTAATGAAGAGTACTTTGAAGTCATGGAGTCATTTCTTTCAAACACAGCTGACGTACTTATGCCGACTCAACTAAGACACTCAAGGTGCAGCCTTTCAGGTTCTCACCTTCTTTTTGCCGGTAACATTCCACTCCTTCAAGATCTCAACCGCACTGCCTGGTGTGTAAAGAAAACAATTATGACAAAAGGTAGTAAGACATGACCAACAATATCTGAATGCGTTGCGGTTTTGCTTAGCCACCGCTGAATAAGGAACAAAGCATCGTGACGCACGTGGGACATCCTTGTTGTTCTATATTTAAACCAGCAAAACCAAGAGGCATGCAAATGACGCTCAGGGTTCCAGAATGCAAAGCATGACACACGTCAGAGAGAGTTGACTTCCAAGTATTGTTTAACACGAGTAACGCCGGCGGCCTGCCAGGTATGCAGTCGATCCACAAGACAGTACTCAAAATATAGTACATAAGTATTGGTTTTCTCTTCATGTAGTACAAATATCCCAGTCTTTAAGGCCTAATAATATGCAACCAGGAAAGTGATTAACTTGTGCTGCACCTTATTAGGTACAGCACTTTAATATGTGCTGGTTAGGAATGTCATTATGTTGAGGGATTTTGCTGCTGATGCGTTTGGTGAAGTTGATCTGTTTAAAATCCAAAAAGTATTCACAAGGAGGCTTTAAGGCAGGGGTGCTCACACTTTTTCAGCATGGGAGCTACTTTTGAAATGACCAAGTCAAAATGATCTACCCATTATATTTATTGAGAAATATATTGAGGATTCTTACAACTTACAACATTTCCCTTCTTTGGTATTGCGACGGTAGACTGGCAGACGAGACAAACGCACTTTGAAAATGTCATCGTGAAAAAAAAGTCCTCCTCCCATTCCGTATGTGATAGGTTTTTTTCTTTTTACTTGGTCCAGCTCCCCCACTCATTTTTATACCCTATCTTACGTTTAAGAAGAAAAAACCAAGCGAAAAATTAGGATGTAACTAACGACTAGCTTGTTAGCTTTGCAGCGCTCAGGGGCGTTGTTTGAACACGCACAGTGACCTAATTGTACGGGGAAAAAAATCAGATGTCATCTGACTGGTTGTCCTGTGTATCAATCAAGTGACGGGATGGCTGACGTCTAGTTTTTTTATTCAAAACAACTCAACTTTATTTGTATAGCGTCAGTTCATGACAATGTCACCTCACCTTGTCATGCGATCTACCAATAGTACCTTGGAGATCGACTGGTAGATCGCGATCGACGTATTGAGCACCCCTGCTTTAAGGCATCGAATTTGACATTGTTGATGTCAAACAGTAACGTCTTCATACCTTCTAAGAAAGCTTGAACGGCCTTGTCAGCGCAGTTCTCAAAATGCTGCAAAACCAGTACAATCTCATTGTTACTTTTGTTGGGGACAACTGCCCTGACGGCACTGATCTGCAAAGAAAAGAACAAAGCAGAAAAAAACCCATTTCAATATATTTATATACACACACACACACACACACACGGTTTAAACAGATTTTTGAAAAACATTTTGAATAAAAAGCCCTACTTTCCACGTGATAAGACATGAGCCCAAACTGGGGCAGGTTCACCCTCAAATATTGTACGGATGAGATTTTCATCACTCAATCTGACAGCCCTCGTTGGACCAATCAATAATTTGAGTCAAAACGCACAATGATAAAAATGACAACACGTCTCAACAACAGCCAGCGTGTGATCTGCTCCCGCAACGGACTTATCAGTCCTCGTAATGACGTCTGTGGGACAGAACGCTGAGAATCCATAGTTCCGGTCAAAACAAGCCTCCCGCCCACATTCCGTCGCTTCTCTCAGAGATTTTGAACAAGAAGCACTCGGGGGCCGTCGCACACTGAAAAGACGCTGAGCTGAGAAGAAAAAGGGCCATGGGTCGAGCACCTTCTCTGTGGGCGGCGGCGTATCGCTCTCTTCGTTGGCGAGCTTTTATTAAAAAGCCCCTAGTGTTCAGATTAAAATAAAATAAACGCTATGTGGGAATAGGCCCCAACGCGTTGGTCTGAATACTTCCATTTGATGTACTGCAACCCGAGAAAGACAACTATCCACATCATTGAAACATTAAAAACACATACAGGTCAATGAGAACCAACATTGGTTTTTGCTCTAGTTCTGAGCCACTTTGTTTCAACGGAGCTCAGAAATGAAACCCCACAAAACCATTGAGTTACAAACAAATCCTCCATAAAACCTGTGGGACTCCCCTGTGTGATGGCCCATTTTCCCGATGCCTAACAAAGCATGACTTGAGCTCCGATTTTCCACTGTTTGGCGGTTTTTGGAGCTGCCCGATAAAAAGCCCAAGAACAGAGGAGAATTGGCATTGGCTCGGCCTTCGGGTGCGACTATTCAAACACGCCGGCACGTTGCAGATACCCAGCAGGCGAACTATCTGGACCCGCCGGCGAGTCTTTTGGGGAGCTAATGCCAACAATAGCGCAAAACAACAGGTTGTGGGGGGGAGAGGGGGGACTCTGGGACGGGTCGCTTGTAACAGCCTCTGCCATGTGTTATGCATTTGCAACACTAACCAAAGTCGTTGTTGCGCCTTTAATACAAACAAATAAGAGATATGCGGAACAGGCTATTTTATGACCATGTGTGCCAACAACAAAATCAGCGAGCATGGTACCACATCATTTGCCAAGTCACAACTAGTGCGTGTTGTCATGACAAAAGAAGAAAACTAAAAACTAAACAGCTTGGTGAGCAGCTGCACTCCTCTGGGAATCTTCCCTGTGAAAGTTATTGTAGTGTGTAACAGCTTGCCTGGTCAACCATGTAGTTTGAACACCATAAAATGTGAATAGCACAGAGAGCTCGGTTTGAAGTACTTTAAGTACACGGCTCGTCATGGGTTTACACAATGATATACCTCAGACAAAGTGATTTTCTTCACGGGATTTCAGATGTTGAGCTATTGAACACATGCCTGTTACAGACAGTATTAAATTGACTCGGCTCTCATACTCTGCATTTCTCCTTCAGCAACACTAGAACTGTTGTTCTTCCTCAAACAACTTCCCTCTCAGGTTTACTGCTGTCAACACTGCCATGCAGTAATAAAACTGAATATGAAGGCTCAGGAGAGAATCCACCAGGAATGTTTGAATTGTGGGAACAGATCAGAATCCATTGGTATCAGAAAGTGAGTTAAAGGTTCTAAAAAAAATGCAGCTTTTGCAAAAACATCTGCCAGTGATGTGCACTGTGTATGCTTCTTACCTTCTCCTTCATCCTATCAGCTGTTCCTCCCTGTGACATCACCATTTTGGACCGTGTGTCAAACACCACCCCCGATGCGTCTGGAAAAAGGTCACAACAAACAACTTCATTGTCGGTCCAGGCCTTGAATCTCATTTGCAATTCACTGTAGAGCTTTCTTTGCAAAAACACACAAGCACCAGACACCTTCAGAAACTTCTTGGAGAGTCGTCAGCTACGGTTTATGAAAAACGTTCCAATGACACATTTCTGCTTGGGAGGCCATTTGTATTTTTTTCAAAATGCCAAAAAATGTCTTAGTAGGATTTGACTTGATCTAAGAGGCTAAAAATATATTGGACTGGATTAGTGAAGGCATCATTTGTACAACTTTGATCACCAGCAAAAGCTGTGCACACTTGTTGAAATAAGGAGCTCATCTGTGCCTGAAATGTCTTCAACTGCTTTGGATTCAAATGCCAATGGAGGTTTACAAAAATACATCTATGCAAGAAAAATACCCTCAGCGGGGCTCTTTTGTCAAAACCGAAATAAAATAATTACAGTAAAATAATAAATACCTATTTCCAACATAGGTCAGAGGACAAATATTAAAAAATAAATACAGCGAAGTATGAAAAGTCCGCGTAAAGTCCAAAGTCAATCGATGGCCAAAGAAGATAGGATCAAGCATAAAGTGCTGTCAGAGCATCTGTGGAAAAAGGCTCATAAAAGAAGTTTCTCCTGGACAGGAAAGTAGGTTAATGTTACTGAAAATCTCCCCAGCATTTCCCTTTAAAGAATAGTGATATTCTTGAGACGATATAATCAATTACACTGTTCGTATATTATATACTATAAAAGTACAGTTAAAACATAAATTGCAAAAGTTGATACATACCCTTCTGGTTTTTCTTTGCCATGTTTCCACACACAAATATCCAGGCAGCACTAGGTAGTGTACTTCCTCAAGATTATAATTACACTTAAAATATGCTGAAGATGGTGTTCGGATAACGACGCCAAGCGCAGTTAATTCCACCTTGAGTTTCTCCTGTCAGAGAAGATTCCAATAAGGCTCAAAATATTCAAAAAGTCGATCCAAATCTGTGAAGGCAAAAGGGAAACAAAACTGAAAACCGTTTTGCCCCATGGTCAAGAATGCAAAAAAGAAACAAGTCAGAGTCACAATGCTCTATGGAGCAGAAATGCAGATACCAAAAGCCCGCTTGTGTAATATCTGAAACTATCAATGCAAATGAAACCCATTTCCTCGATGAATGGAAAAACAAATTAATAACTCATTGTCGGTCTGGCAAACCATTCTTGAAAGAAATCTGTAGTTAATCTTGCTCTTTGCAGAAAAGCTGCACTTAGTTTGGGGGAGGGGAGAAGATGTTAGCGGGACATTAAAGAAACACATCTCTGAATGGTAGTTCCTTTTTTCTTAGCTCTGTGCAGGAGTGGTGTGTGATAATGCTGTAAGAGCTGCACATAGTACGGTAATACAGTCATTCAAAGAAGATGGAAGTGAGGCTTTTCGCATGGGCCTGAATTGTTATTTTGCACAGTTGAGCGCTTTTTGAACTTGTGTCGTTATTAAATGTTCTCTATGAATGAAACATCAACCTGATCCATTCTGCCTCCCTTCTCATCTCTGTTGAGAGATGCACATGGCCAGTAACAATCGGCACCAACACCGACACCAGACCTCCAGCCGACCAGGCTGTGGTGTCCTTTTAGGTTTCCCTTTCTGGCCAAGTTGCCTAAAAAGCGAAACTTACGAGCTGTGCAAACACACACACGCACACCCAGCAGATTAGGACTTGGCATGCCACGCAGTCCTGTTTCCACCACACCTCCACCGACGTCAAACACCGCACAAGTGGCTCATGCAAAACACTAGGATGCATAATGTTTATCAAGAGGGATGGTTGCTTGAGTCTTCAAGGAGGAAGCCAGGTGCACTTGAGATGCAACTCAGAAGAAGTGCCAAGTTAGCATTTAAGTAAAGCCCTGACCCCCAAACTTTAAACACAGCAGGGTCCTCTGTCGACGACTATTATGATGAACGTCGTTTGGTGTTTTACATCACATTAAAGTGAAGATGATCCAATCCAGTACATTTGCCCGCTGCCGGACGAACAACAGATGATCGTATTATGGAGCTTTGGATTGAATAGACACTTGAAGACAATTGTCTCAGTCCTCTGACATTTTATATACCAAACATTTCAGTTTTCATTGGGAGGTCCAACATGCGAGTACTTCTACATACAGACACGCAAGTCATCCCCACAGACAAATCGTGTGTCCTCCTGACACACAGGTAAGAAAGACTTGTGTCCAAAGTCCTTGCACCCAAAGCTGGAGCACTTCTTAAGTTGTAGCTCGGAAGATGGTACTGGTGCCCGTCTACACGTCGCAGTTCGGTTCAAATCTTAAATAGAATAAGTTAGTCACTGCCGTTGATTTAAAGCGCGTGCAAATTTGGCTAAACGATCTACTGCAGAAGGCAGATGATGAGCCCGAGGACAGCCGCAAAGGGTCTCCAGACGTTCACAGTTTCCTCCAAATCACAGACGAAGCAAATCAAAACCGTAGCTCACCGACCAACTTTAAGCATCAAAGAGCCAAACCTAACGTGAATGCCGGCCAAAAATATAAAAACAATTGATGAGAAATTACTATTTGCAATGTTGGCCGATACAAAAAATATATTCAACAAGAGGTCCCGTTGATTTTGAGTGACACGGGAGGGTTCCCGCACCGTTATTAGGGTGAAGTCCGGAGGTTACGTGAACGTTAGCTTGCTAACATCATCTAACGGCTGTGTCATTAGCTTCGCTGGTCTCTGCAGTACCAACGTCCGTAATTTGACATGAAACCACCGCCCACAAAAACAACAGAGACTAAATGCAACGTAAACTGTTAGCATCTTTTCTACGGATTGACCATTGAAGGCATCCTTAACTAGCACGCAGCTAGCAGGCAGCTTTTATTTTTCCAACGCGCTTTTGTAACGTTAAAGCTAGCTGCACCTGGACGTTAGCGGCTCAACGTTGACGTTGTACAGCTAAGCTGCAAATGAAAGCATTGATTATCATCCACCTGTGATTAACTCGATATAAATATTATTGAATACGTACTTGGTGTTGTCAAGAAGGCTGAACTGTAGATTCTGAAGCCAGGCAACCACTGACTCCACCGCCAGCCGTCTGTGATGCCAGAGTCTGCTGTGGGCAATATTATACACGGCTAGATGGCAGCGGGTTGCCAGTTCGTATTTGCAGTAACCTCCCTTTTAAAAAAGTAGTTTTGAAAATGTGAGGGTTTCCAAGATATGGACATAGAAAAAGGCCTGGGCGTATAAAAACACCAAGATAATCTGCAATGCTGATAAGAAGAAATAATAATAATCTGATAAAAAGGATAGATTGCATCAGATAATCTATTTTACGTTAGCTAAAGGATCAAGATGACTGAATAAGATACATTGATGAGTTGGAGAATAAGAGGGTATCTTTACAGCCTGGGAGGACACATATGTTTGTAATTGATAAGCATATCTCTCGGAAAGATGGTGGAGTACCCCATAAGAAAGAATGAATAACTAGGGGCATGTAATCACCGAAGACACTAAGTGTGGAACTGTTAATTGTGAGATAATTGGTGTGTGGACTGTGTGCTTGCTATGCAACATATTGCACTAGTGGGATAGTAGACATTACTTTACCCACAATAGTCTAACTTCAATGCACAAAAGGGTAAAAATATTTTTTCTTGTATGACAGATGAGTGACAAACAACATATTTAGTTATATGATTTAGTGTTCTTGTTTTTCAGATCAACAGCCAGGGACCAAATTCTCCGATTTAAGAACTAGAACGGATCAACTTGTTTACAGATTTTTAATTCTTTGTCTCAGATCTCCAACATACGATCAGTACTATCAGCATCAGGCTGTTTGGGTAAAGTTGCATTAAATTATGTTTGGTCCTAAGTTTATACCAACAGCGCATTGGCAAAATAGTTTAGTATTTGGCATATGACCCCATGCAAGAAATGTTCCTGCTTCCTGGGATAAACTGCATGCGTAAAGTGACTTATGAATCAAGAACTTGTCTACATCTATACAGCAGACACCAGAATATTCAGGCTGACTTTCAGTCATTTGAACCTATATTTGAAAAGTATATGCTGATTTTATGAATGATTATTTTCATTGATTGTCTTGTTTGTAAAAAAATCTGTGAGAGAATCATCACAGGATTGTGTTTTACGAGCTCTTTTGGGGTTTTGTATGCAAACATCCTAAATACAAGTACGACTAAGAAGCACATTATATTCATTCGAACGAAGCATACGGAGAAACATTTCACATCAATAGTTAATAAGTGCAGTACATTCTGCGGCGATGTCCGCTTGAACAAGCTGTTACGTTAAATTATAACACACCCGTCGACTATGAAAACCTGGCAACCCACGATCCACGTCGTCACATCCGAAGTTGAAGAAAAGGGTTCGCACGTTTTGCTTCCTCTTAGCGTCCGATTACACACGCACACAAACCGTAGACGTTTCTTCAGGTGTCCCGCACAACATTTACATTGTGATAGACCTCCCGTACAAGCTGCTATGAAACATTTCACCTCGGGGGGGATGCAAGAGTGGGAAAAGTTGTGTTAATTCGTTGCAGCGTGATATCGCAGGAAGCGAGGCGACGTTTGGTGAACAACGTCACGCAGTGACCGGCTGGAAGAGCAACACCTCAACGTTACACCAAAATGGCAACCCCCTATGTCGAAGATGATTCTGGTAAGGGTTGATGCATGTGCCAGACCTTTGTCTAACTGGAACAAATCCCACAGCCACTATTAAACACAGCGACTACAATCATGTCTTTGTTTCTATCTGCAGCATTTTAAACACGATTATGTTAAACGATGTTTTTGGTTCGGATGCTTGGTTTAGCAGGCGGTCAGTGGTAGCTTAAACGGCTAAAACTCTCCACAATCGGCTTTTAGCTAACGTTAGTTATTGTGCCTCATTAATTAAATATCGTCAGTTTCTCATATCCAAATACGCTTCTCCCATTGAAACATTTAATTTGTAACTTTGCTATCTCGTAGCCCTATTACCTTTTGCATAAAAAAACTGACACATGAGCTAGCTAACATGAGCTAACGGGAGTTTAAAACTATCACGATATTTCATCTACAGCGGCACTATTTACGCGCCGCTCTTGTGTGTGTAAAAATATTAGAACCTTTTCGTACAAGCAATATGTATTATTATGATGACAAAGACGTATAAGGATTTTTTTTGCTTATCAAATCTCGAAAAATGTTTTAATGGAGAAACATACACATTATATAATTAATATGATCCAAATGACATCAATCTGTACATGGGATCATCTATACGTACATCAACTTGCGAATGTAAGGAGAAGTAGATTCAACGCTCAAATGAACCTAATTTGTTTTTTAAAATCTTAAATGAATGCCTAAATTGTGAAAAAATGTCCCAAAGCAGTCCTACTTATTGGTTTGCCAAGTCATCAGGATTTGTAAATACATTCACAATGTGAGACTGTTATATGCATTATACTAATGTGGCAAGCTTTCAAGTTATTAAATCAGCTGAATTGTGTTTTTGACAATGCACAGCAAATATGCAATTGTATTCATTCAACGGCCTTCATGTAGGGATACGCTGTAAAACCTATTTCCAAAAACCTGGTTGGGAACCACAAGTGGGTAGCCTGAGATCATATTAATGATTTTCCAGCGTTTTATCCAACCTTTATGTCTGCATTACAGTGTTGAGCCACACAAAGGGGCCACAAATTAAAAGCTACCTACATTGTGTTTGTTTTACTAATGACAGGAAATTAAAAGAATGAAAAAAACCTTCAACTCCACCTGAATGCATGTATTCTCATTTATGATCTAAAAAAAAGGTATCTCTTTGAAACGGCTGGTTATGCAGAAATATAGATAAGCCATATTGTGGATTAGGTAGCAATGTTTTTTTTTTTAAAAGAGAGAGTCTCTGTAAAAAAAAATGTTTAGGAAATGCGGGTTGTAAAATGTTGTACCTGTTGCTCTTCAGGGAAATACATTGCTGCCACTCAGCGAGCCGATGGAACCTGGAGGAAGCCGAGGCGGGTGAAGGATGGTTATACTCCACAGGAAGAAGTGCCAGTGTAAGTGCAGCTCTTTCTCCCACCCTACATGTGTGCATGAAGATAATATTATTGTGGAAGTATCAGGGGGTGAATAAAATGGATACTTTTTACTTGAGTAGAAGTTTTTGACTGGACTGGTTTCATTGGCCCTGATTTTGAAAGTGTAAAGTCATTTGTATCCTTTTCCCCTCATTTTTGAAGCTTGTTTTTATTGCCGTTTCAGCTATGAAAACAAGTTTGTAAAGTTTTTCAAGGGCAAACCAGACCTGCCGCCTGGAATGAGTCCGTCTGACGCCGCTCCGTCAAAGCAAAAGATTCCAGGTTGCGGGGACGCCGATGCAGCCGGTCTCTCAAAGTCCGCCAAACGCAACATGAAACGTAAAGAAAAGCGAAAACAGCAGCAGGATGTGGACTCGGTGAGCGACGCCGTCGAGAACGTGTCCATTTCGGAGAGCGACAAGTATTCCGACAAGACGGCGGTGTCCGTCTCGTCTCCCAGTAATTCCTCAGCGGAGGCCGACGAAAAGGCCAAGAAGATCAAAAACCTGAAAAAGAAGCTGCGGCAAGCTGAGGATTTGAAGCATAAAGTGGACTCGGGGGAAATAACAGAGCCAACGAAGGACCAGTTGGAAAAGCTGCTCCGGGTAAAGGCCCTACAGGATGAATTACAGCAGCTCGAGTGTGACTCTTAAAGCAATGATGGAAAGCAGAGAGACTAAACGTACAAACTACATACTGACAGACCGGGAAGGGACCTTTGCTGATCACGGCGTCTGTTAAAGATGATTTTACCTGATTCATACTCATCATGAACTCTGGAAGTGAACACAGTGCCAGCGCCTTACAGGCAGAGAATGACCGATGGTCCTGGTGGCGGCCATCACGTCGACAGAATTGACAAGCCCGTTTTCTAGACTTAGATCTCCAGACAACAGCGTGACTCCTGCTTGCACACGTGTATTGGCCTGGCCACTCGTTTATGAATATCTTTTCATTTGTAAATTGCTTTGTTTGTCCTTTTCCATTTTGTACCTTTTCATAGTATCCAGTATCACTTGCACATACAATATTTTCTGTGAAAGACAATATAGTTTGTTGACTTGTCTACCTTTTTTTTCCCCAGTCATTGGATGCCTTCTAGTTGCACCAATATTAAGTCACTGTCTATACAGTCATGACATTAAAACATGTTTATTTCACATTGTTTTGAGAGATGGAGTAAACAGCAGCTTTATTTTGGGAGGAGGGATCTAAAACAAATCTATAATGTGGTGTCATTGTATATTTTGGAAACAAGTTATACACCTAAAGTATAATGTTGTTTGTATTGTATATTTTTCCTATTATCAAAAAAATCCCATGGAAGAAGTTAATTTGTTGATCAGTACAACCAGTTTTGTCTCTGTAGCTAAAGCCTGATGGAGCTTATTCCTCTGTGCCATAGAGCTCCATTGTTAAAACAAATAAAAATGCAATAAAATACACCCATGAGCCTGACTGTTGCCCTCGATCACATGTTCCTTTATTACGATGACCATGGACCCTGTAGTTACTGAGTCAAACAAACGCGCTATTAACTCCTACTAAAGCAGTATGTAAGCTCACAGGTATGAACAAATGTCAATAAGACATGATGTGGGGGTTCTAATATATTTATTTAAAAACTCATTGAACCACCGTCCTTGGTGCATTGCATTGTTTGAGATTATTTAACATTGAAAGCATATTCAAATCAAGCACATTTGTCAGTTTTCAAGTGTGAACACCTTACAAACAAGAAAATCTCCCTATATTCATTTTTGCTCCTTCAATAACAATCCAGTGGTTGTCCAGCGTTTTATTTTCGATCTAAGGTTAAATTAAGAATTTTTTATTGTTTTAAACATCGGAATCTCTTTCCCATCTGTCCACCCCTTTATGAGCTTTATCCTTGTGTTCAAAGAGGCGTTTCGTCTCTCCATTCAAAGGGTGATTTCTAGTGATCCACGAGGGCGTCATTGGTTTTCCCTTGAATAGGACACGTAATTAGCTTTTGTTTCATGGAGGGAAGTGTGGTTAGTTGTTTACCTCATAGAGCTGCACCCACAAAGTCAAGTTAGACTAGTTGGAGGTTATTTACTGTCCTGTTTAAAGGCGTCCCATTCAGCTTACGTTACGTCATGCATTATTACTGTGATATTAAAAAACGTTGTTTTTGCAATTTCACTTGACCATCTTCAAATGGATTCCTACAACATTCTTGCAAAATTTTGGCTCAGCCTTTTAATTCAATAAGAGCAAAAAAAGTAATTATTAATTATCACGCTAAATTTATTTTTCCGACTTTTTGTTGAAGGTTTCTTTTCACGTGTGAATCACGTCATTCACATGGACAAACGCACGTATACACCCATTTGAAGACCCCCTATACCGAGCAGCACCACGGAGCAGTGGAGAAGGCCTCTCCTGAGACACTGGATGCGGTTTGAACCACCAGAGGGCACCAGCGGTTCAGCTGAAACCTTCACAGGCACAACGAGTCAGTGTAAAAACACAGAGAGATGCTTAATAACTCGCCCTTGAGTTTTTAGTGGCAGAGTAAATAATCATATAATAATTTATACCTATGATAATAATATTAATTGTGCAATAATAATAATGTTCTGATATTTCTATTTTTGTTTATAAGTTAAAAGGAAGCTATTTTCGTATACATAAATTAAATACAAGCTAAGACCTGTTCTCCACTTCAGTGTGGAGTACTCCTGAAATAATGCTGAAACTATTACTACATAATAAACCTTGATTAGTACTTATTTCTCGACAAACATTTGAACTTTTAGCGGGAATCCCACAGGAGTGTTTACATTGACATTAATAATAGCTTAGTTCTGTATCCCAGTTGTTTGACATGTGAAAATCAAGCTACTAAAGCTTACAAATAAATACAATCTTATATTATTACTACTTCTTAAGCATATGTAATTATTTGTCTTGTTCTATATATATTCATATATACTCAACACTACTTTTGAAGAGAACAACCAGTCGGACTACATAAGGTTCCATATAAGAAGATTGTTTTAGAAGCATTCAAAGATAGATGAGCTCTGATAGTTTTTCATTACAGATTCAGCTCATTATTAATCAAAAATGTGAATATTTGGTTCTAAGTTAAGTTAAGTTATTTTTAACGGGTGAAATCTTGGAATCTATCCTTATTTTCCCCGCAGATAGTTATTCTGACATTTATTTGCGTATGCATGGAGATAACTGCCAGGTGTTATACTACGAGAATACTATTGGGAGTTTAAGGAATGTTTGTAGCCTCTCAATAATGAGCCAAATCTTTCCATAACCACTTGTAATGCCCTGAGAAAACAATCTCTGACCCAAGTTATAACGAGATCTATCTATTACCAGATGTAATGTAACTTACTGGACTTTTTGATATGGTTCATTATATCATAGTTAGGTAAATATCCTTTGGACCGTTGCCACAGTGTCTACAGGTTGCCTCAGTGATTTACTTTCCCACTGTTAATCAAGCATGATGTTATTATATTTTAGATAGCACATAAGCCACGACAGTGACGGATCTTGAGATGTAACATTCAGAAACACTCAAAAGGATTTTGTATTATCATATTCTGTAATTTAATATAGGACCGCTCTCAGAGATAGTGCTGGATAAAGTTTGCTAAAATACGACTTTTATAGCCATCTAGTAGACTAATTGCCATTTTTGGTCCACAGTGGCTGTTTTGTTGTTTGTTGTTTGTTTTTTTTAACACCAAAACAGCATTCATTAACGTGTCCAATTCCTAGAGAATCTCTAGTTTATCGGCTGTTTTTCTAAACAGTCCCCATTTTTCAGACGCATAGGTGAATTCTTTTTGCCGTACCAACTGTAAACACAGTGACAGTCTGCATGTTGATGATTTAAGTGGATTCACACTAGCACTCATAAAATCCTGAATTAAATGCAATGGATTAATCAGTGTTACAAAGGAGTTGTGTTACAAACATCTGCCGCTTCCTTTCAGACTGTGTAGACGGGCGAGGCAGCAGTCAGAGACACCATCGAGCCCGTCTCAAAGTCAAAGTCAATTAGAGTATGTGTGATGGTGCTGCCGCTGCTGGTGGAGGAACCCGTCTCCATCCGGCGCTCCTGAAGGCTCTGGAGGTAACTCTGAAAGCCAGACGGGAGAACGACACGTTGACATTGTGGTCACGTACAAATAATCAACAAGAAGGTAATCGATGAGCCCAATGGTTCAAATGATTTGTGTCGTTCTGCAGTTTAAGATGCTCATATTGATAATGTAGTGCTATATAAAGGCACCAATAGCCACATTTAAATGAATGGTGATGTTGCGAGGCTATATGAAGATGTATTTGCTTATAATTCCAATCGCAGAGAAAAATAGGATATTGTTATTGAATTATATGATTTACTGAAACTCAAAGTACCAAAATTCACCATCCGGCTTTGTGGTAGGAGTTTGTGGTAACTAAGAGAAAAGATGAATGGGATGAAAGCTGAATGATTTGTTTACTTACCGGTGCCAGGACGTCCCCGGCGTAGCGTTTCAGCGGGGGAGGCCTACACCGACGATGATATCTTCTCCTTGACTCTCTATATCTGTGGTTCTTAATATTTCTCTTGTATTTTTTGTGTGCGGCTGGGAAGCGTCCGAAAGGGAGTAAAATAAATCATGAGTATCTGACATCACAAGAGGAGGTTTTGAGCTCATTCAACATGAAGAAAAAGCATTGAATGTATCAGCAGTGCAGATGGAATGTATAACTCACCATCTTTGTGTGATGCTCCTTTGGCAGTAAACCCCCGCTGCACCAACACACCTGCCAGACCCAAAAGGGGCCAGATCCCCACGATCACCCAGTCAAACCGGCAGAGTGGACTCGGGGCAACTTGGCAAAACAGGTCATACACCTGATCTGGCAGCGTGAACGTCCCCACGAGATAATCCACGCAGAGCGTCACGGTGCCGGCTCCAAGCACAGATGTGTAGATGACGGTGAACAGCTTCTGCCACCGGAGAGAGAGGAGAGCCGCGAAGAGGCTGGCAGCCAGAGCCACAGCGACCAGAGGCGCCCACGCCGGGCCGAGGCCGTGAAGCTGCCCGACGACCACCAGGGTGGCGAGAGACAGCAGGCCCCCCAGTTGCAGCCCGCTGAGGAGGAGTCCTAGCGTGGACACCAGCGTGGTCATCAGGCCGCAGAGGACACCCACGGCCAGGCTGATCCCGGCCCTGGTCTCTGACCTGAGCCGGGCGTCCAGCAGGGGCTCACTGTGGTGCAGCAAGGGAACGGCCGTCGCGCCAAACATGAAGCCGGAAATGAACATGACCATCTTGAAGAAGCGGAATCCTGACGGAGCAGAATTGAGAACAGGCTTGATTTAAAAAAAGAAAATAAAAGTGCTTGTTCATCCGTTCAATCGTAATGTTACATCATTTTAGAACAGAAGGTGAAGGAGGAAACTGCACAGCTTTTAGTTTAGATAAGACATTTGCTTACATTTCACAAGTGTGTGGCGTTGGATTGATTCTAAAGGCCACCATTGGTGTACATTGCAGGTTTGTTACCACTGCTGCAGTACTTTCTTCATTTGAACTTTTACCCGGAAATCATCCACGTTTTTAATGGAAGGAACATCGTTTTTTCAAAGCTCTGACATCAGGTTAATACTGAAAAGTACTTTTTCTCTAAACCATTTCCAGTCATAATATTTTTTACAGGCAACACTGTTATAGTAACTGGGGACATAGACTTAACGCATCACACAGTGATTTAGGTCCATAGGACAAACTTCTCCTAATCAGTTTGTGTTTATTGGATTTTTGTCCACATATTTTATTTTTTAAAACAGAAAGTTATTCTGAACTCTTTTTTCATAGTATCGGTTTTTAGGGGTAGTGCCATCGGGGTCAAATCTCCCGCACACCATTGATACTAAATATAAGGCGTTACAGACGGTCCTTATCTGCGAGAAAATAAAACCCACAGCGCCAGAACTAACACTGTGAAACCACTGAGGTGTTGAGCAGTAGAACAGGTGGCACTTTATCAGTGCTGCTTTTCCACTTTAGGCAGAGGACGACCCATCTGTCCCTGTGCTTATCCACCGTAACACACAGACAGCTTTCAGACACCTGCAAATGTAGGTTTAAGCCGTCGTATGACCCGATGAAGAGTACAAACAAAGTCCCAGCAGTGACATGTTGAATTCAATGTTTACGTCTAGTTTTTGTTTCCGTTGTCATGAATACATACCGAAAAAGGTGAAGATGAGGCCGAACGAAAGGCAAACAGAGCAGACGAGGGATGAGATGATCTCATACTTGATATTAATCTCAAGCGTACATATGTTCACATCAACCATGCCGGTTCCTGGCTCCTCAGTACCATAGAGCGAAGTGAGAGCCATCTTGGAGGATTACTGGTTCTATTGCTTTGTGCAGGTTGGTCTTTGTTCATTAAAGGACGATGATCAGAACATCTTGCGTGTGGTGTTCAGGGACGGAGGAAACTCCTGAATGAAGCACTAATCTGCTTCCTGTTGTGCACCTGCAAAAAGACAAGAGTGTTTTTCAAGTTTCCATGGCAACATAGAGTCAGCTCTTTTATGTTTATATATCTTTGATATTTATGAACATCTATATTTAATGGGAAAGCACATTTCTTTTTCCCACATTCACTATTTCTAATTTACCAATTTCCTTTTCAGGAACCATAGAAGGAAGCCGGGGATCCTCTCTGACTTGAATGTCTTTCTGTCCTAGTTCTTTTGTTAAAGAACGGAATACAGCCCAGGAAATGACCCTTGTGACTTGATGCTATCGTCATACAGGTTTAATGTTATAAGTGTGTGGTTTGGTACTTGTTTACTGAAAAAAATAAAAGAACACAAAAAAGCATGGCTGAAGAATCACTCAGGTCGACTATCAACTTTTATCTGCATTACAAAGTCGAACGTTATCAAATAAATGGAGGAAAATGTACAATATTTGCCTCTCAATGGTAGTATGGTAGAAGTATACGTCAAAATGGTGACTTTCAAATGCTTAAATAAATGCACCTTCCACCATTGGTGATAGCTTTGCATCATTTATCACTTATCATTGAACTGACAAAGACTAACAACTACTTGTATAAATCCTGTGTACACACTGCTCTTATGATAGCGTCTGTCTATTCACACTGTAAAGACCGTACCAGCTGTTCAGGCAAATCTTCCGTTAAGCCAATGTAATTAAGCAAGACTTAGCTGCAGAGTAATCCTCCACTTTGTTTATTTCAACTCTCTATCCGTCTCTCTTGAAGGTGAGTGTGAAACAACCAAACACTTCCCCTTTCTTACCGGTTCCTGGTAAAACTGTTGATTGCTTCCAGAAGGAGATGAAGCAATAGAAATAATTCCTTTTTTATTGGTTTGACATGTTTTTGATACATTTGATGTTATACTCTTTTTATGGTAATTAGAGACTACAGCTATCTACACGACCAAGTCATTTCCAACAAAGATTGTGATAAAAAACAAGACTATCTCTAAGATAAAATCATGACATTGAGAGCGGCCTACCTGCATTGAGGCATTTCTTCACAGAGTAAATGTGAGAATATGTCAACTTAACAAGGAGCGAGCAGTGTGTGTCGGTCCCTCTGTGAACCGTGGGTGAGCCTCCGTGTCCGACCTGTGCCCGTGTGAACAGCTGACACCTGACTAAGACGGAGACCATCTGCCGCCGGCGATGGTGGGCGGCTGCTTCCGAGTCCACAGCAGAACCCAGTTCTCAACAACCTTTATGCTGGGATGCTCGACTGTGCAGATGCTTTGTCGCCTTAGAGCTTTAAGTCACTCCATGTGGCACTTTTAAATGAAGGTTAAATTGTCCCCTGTGGTTTAAATGTTTCTGACCCAGCTACGTCGTTGGTAGTCTTTGCTTGTTAAACAACGTAGCAGAGATTTTAGTAGCGGCGTGTTAAGGTGGAATCCTCACAGAGCACCTCTCAGTAACTGTAAAACTGATTTAATCTACAAGTAACTATAGGTTTATCAATTTCATCTAAATGTGTTAAACCCCTGGATTATTTTTACCAGCCAAAACTGTACTGAGTGCCAATGCGTTCAGGGTGGTTGTAGACCCACAGTTCAACCAGCAGATGTAGACAAATACTACATTTTAATGTGAAGTCTGAGGCCACGCTGTTTGCTGCCTGAAGAAGGAGAGGAGCGATGGATAGAATTGACTCACAAATTATCCAGAGATTTTGGAGGACCAATTTGCAGAGTTTCAATCTTAAAATAGTTTATTGTTTATGCACATTAAGAGTAGTGAAATGTCCTGGCATTTTTTCACATACTTGGCCAAGAAAGCCGATTCAGATACTCTGATGTCATACTATCAACTTAAAGTACGTAATGCAGTGGATACTTTAGAAAAGCTAGCTAATGGACCAATTACTCGTCAGCGGGGGTCGTTGGTTGGAGAGATATGTCAGTACGGTAGACAGTCCAGAGGGAGGGAATGGGAGAGAAAGAGAGAGAGAGAGAGAGAGAGGGAGAGAGAGAGAGAGAGAGAGAGAGAGAGAGAGAGAGAGAGGGGGAGAGATGGGCTGAACAACTCAAGGTTACACTGAAAGATGTCAGCACTGACTAACTGGCACACTGTGATGTACAGTCAGTTTCACTCACAGTTATCTGTCAGCTCAGCTGGTAGAGAAAGAGTGTCAATGGTTCAAGGGTTCTGTTTCCTTCTGTCAACCCTCAGAGGGCCGTTTTCTAAACATCAGTCACAACTAAGTCCAAACTGTACATAAGTTGTCAGTGTGATGAAAAAAAAACATTTGAGCAGCATTCCTAACTTGGGAAGTGAGTCATATCTCATCAGAAATGTATCACAGATAGTGATGTAACACTGATGATGTTCAACTTTTTCCATCATCTTTTGGAAGATAAGCAGAATAATTGTTTAATCTGTGTATCCATAAACACCAGTAGAATCCGATTTAAGAATCTAACTCTCTTTAATGCTTTGCCATACAAACATGTCAATCACGTTTCAATCAATTGAGAAGTTTAGTCACACTACTATAATCTTCCACAGTCTGAAGAAGGCTTTGATTGAGACTGACTATGAGCAAAAATATATAATACAACTGCGAAAGTACCGTAAGTACAGTTTTGATCATACTTTACCATCAAATTTGAAACTATTCCAATATATTCCACTACTTTACTAGCAGTAGTACCACAGTGTACAGTACTGATGTTAAGGTCCTTTACCTCGATAAAAGTTGTATACTTATGATTCATCGATTCATAAGTAAAAAAACTAAAATATTATCAAAACTGTGTGTGTCAGTGTCCTCCTTTAGTTTGAAGAACCCATAAATGCACTAACATGTGAGAAACAGCAGCTTTCATTGCAGATGCCACAAAGGATTTCTAACCTCTAGGGGGCAGAAGGATCCTAATCCATATGTCACAACATCGTGCTTTGAGGTGCCTGAAAACATTTAAAACAAAACGTGTTTTAGTTTTGTCATTAAAGGGGCATTTCAGAAATGCTATTTTACATTCACATAAAGTTGTGGGACCTGTGGGATTAATACAAGTTAAACATTACTGCAGAGTTTGAGATATGAATCTTTCAAACTCAAAACTCAAAGACTCTGCTTACTCTTTTTATTCAACTTCACAATTAACACGTGTTAGGTACCATTGTGAGATAAGTAATGAAACCAGGTTGGAAAGAAGAGTTTCAAGTCTGTATCATAGTTGAGTGTAGTCAGAAATAATGCACTTAACCAGATCTAAGAGGGACGCCACTATGCACTCTGACGTCACTGAAGCAGGGAGAAAAGTGGTCAGCAAAAACAAGATTTTATGGGGGTCTTCAGTGATATTTCCTAGATTTCCATTTGAATGTATCAAGGTTTTTTTGAAGCTTTTATTCCAACCTGTAGGCCTTTTGATAATCTGTGTCAAAATGTCCATGTTTCCAATACGCTGTGAACATGGCACTGTTTCGATGCATATACATTTTTTTTATAAATCTGTCTATTTACTGCATATAGACATTTTTATGTGTTGTACCATACAATAGAAGTATTAATAAAGTATTATGAACGAGTGCATGATCTTTGGTTTCAACTCTTTGTAAAGCACGTGTTAAAAAAATATTTGTAAGAAATAATCATTTTTTGGTGCCCGTTATCACTTTTAACATCCTGTTCCTGTATGATTGCTTCATTCAAATCTATCTGTAATATCAAAACTCTTGATTCAAATGTTTGATTTTGAATTAGAAATGCTGTTGTGTCCTTACATCATAATAGTTCAATTCCATACAGAATAGTAGCTAGATGCTTTTTGCTTGACAGACATATCACTGGCGGCATCTCATGCTCAATGCACAGAAAATAATCTCCAAGAATAGCTAACCACCCTAGATTGAAAAGTAGGACGTGTGGTGGTGTGATTCTACAAAGGATCATCCTCCTTCATTTTCTGCAAGGACTTCATTTCATAGTACGCATTGACAAATGGGATCTTCTATGCTGTTACCTTGGAAACAGGCATGTATCTGGTCCCTGTGTTGCGAAGCAGCTGCAAAATCTTTCTTTATGTGCATTGTGTCGACAGTAAAGCAGCACGGCTCCAACGGACACTGATGTGTAATTTCAGTTGCACTGCAGAGGGGATGCTCGGTGGTTACGAGCATAAAGCCTCAAACTGAATCTGTGAAATACATTTACCTGTTCATGTGCTGGTGGAGATTCAGAGGAGCCCCCAGCAGCACCCAAGGATTCAGCAGTGACCGTGCAGAAGTATAAATGGATTATACAACTGATGTAGTATCACTTCATCACCTTCGTCACTATCGTTGCCATCCCAGCAGAACTATGGAGCGCTCTTCTTCTTCTACGTGTTTGTGAGGCCTTGACGCTGATCTACTTCAAGATCAAGTTGTACAGTAATGTTAATGTTCTTTCTACATTATGGATGTTGTATAAAACACCTCCGTCCATCCAATGAAAAGAACACAAACAAGCAGTCGTTATATTAATATATGTTTATTTCTTCTCCATTTTTATTATCATTATGTTTCATTTTCATACTTGCAAATCTTACAGGTCCTTTGTGCATCGACCCATTATCACGGCACACATACATCGGCACAACAAGATTGTTCAGAAATAGATAAATTCTAATCACACTTTAATAGCACACAATTTCATAACTTTTGCAAGGACTAGGGAAAGACGTAACAATAACAAATTAGATCATTTTTTTCCTCTACTGAAATCAGAATTTGTTGTATAATGGGCCAAAAATAAAACATAATAGTAACATGGACATTATGAATTCTCAAATAAACAAAGCATAAATAAAAAGGAAATCAAACGATGAGATATAACCATAAGATGTGCAGCAGTCGAATAGAGCTCTGATGAATGTGATGAGTTTTGCCATTAAGGTGCCTTTGAAGCACAACACTTCCCCTAAAATGAAATAAAATAATCTCTATCTTTAAATAAGAAACTGCTGACAATATAAAAATACATGGCATTGTACTGTAGTTCATTAAATAAACCAACAATTCATATAGAAAATATTATATTGACGTGTATAAAAATATGCCTTACAACTTTTTGAAAAGTGTAACAGCCGTAAGCTTTTTGTCTGCCACTTGAGAACACACAGTCGACCACAGAATTCCAACATATTTACAAACAATCAACTAATAAGCGGTCAGAATGCCATTTTGACAAATAAAACAAAGAAGCATTCAGGACAATATTTGTATGACTAATTTTTTTTCTGACTTGACATATATATAAGATACTGTAAGATTCAAGCAGTACTTGATGGAAACATGTTACTCAAAAATAAATTAATAGAAAAGAAATGTTTTGTCAATTAGGTATGTTGATATCAGTGTATCTTTGGAGAGAGGGAGAGAGGACGGTGAGGGAGACACATTGTTTTAAACCTTTTGTGTCACATCACCTGCGTAACAGTATTTCAGCCCACTGAGATCAGAACAAACACAGGCAGTGTCAGCTATCCTAAAGTCAAAAGTCAAACAAAAATCTACCAGAAAGCCAGGACAATAGCCGGGGGAATATAGAGATCATTCGGAGTAACACCGCTTGGATCACTGAGGCAGTTCACGGAGCGTTAATGTGAGCATGCAGCATGTCACCAGACGACGCAGAGAACGCTGCTGCAACTGTTGAACATTCAGGCAGATGTTATTGTGGCTGCTGCTGGACTGTGTGTGTGTGTGTGTGCGTGTGTGTGTGTGTCTTTCTTCTAGGGAGGACATGAACATCAACTTGTGTGTATTTTCCATAGGAAGTGGTTTATCCCTGCTACCTTCTGTGCAGGCAGTGTCTAGCATATGCTTAAGCCACCCCCTCTCCCTGTGCTCCTGCTCCTCCACCATCACCTCCTCCTCCTCCTCCTCCTCCTCCACCTCCTCCTCTTCCTCCAGGCTCCGAGCAATAGAACAGACTCATCCCTCACTCCCCATCGCATGGTAAAGTGCCATCTTCGCTGGCACGTGAGGGCACGGGCGTGCCGAGTTCATCCACACACCAGCAGTGGCCACGCTGCATGCCCTTGGAGGAGCGGCACTGTGTGACATTAAAAGACAGAGGGGGAGATTTTGAAAGGAAAGGAGGGCGGAGATTGAGTGGGGGAGTCGGATAGGTGGTGAGAGAGGAAGAGGAAGAAAAGGACTTGTCATCATAGCGCAGTACTGATTCTCTGAGCTCCCAGCTGAGCGGCTCAGGGAGAGGGAAGTGTCAGTTATTCTCAGCCCCTATGGTCACAGGCAGATCTGTGGATGCACCGAACGGAAAGCTGCAGTGGAGTTGCAGCAAAGACACATTTTTTCCACCACATAACAGCCAATAAAGTTCACATGTTTAATGACATTTCAGGTGATTGTACCTGCTTTTTCCTGTAGAAGCCACGAGTGTCACAGTTGGGTATATAGATGTCACGGTCAGACTGGAAGATTGTCAGCTCGAGACCCCTCAGGACACTATTGAGAAGCTTGCGGCAGGGTGCCTGCAAACACCAACGCACAGCGTGACTTCAAATATCACCAGCGGCGAAGATAGAGGACCTGTCTTCATCTAATGATCCGCCCTCAGGTGATTGTTGGCAGAAATCATCTTTGATTACAGCCCATGTCGATGTGAACCATAAAGCATTTAACATGGGGATGCAGCATTAGAGCTGGAAGCAGTGAATATGTATATTTATATCAGATGTCACATATTGTGTGCGATTATATAACCATATTGTTACACAATGCTTTGGTTTTTCAGGTCACTGAATGGTTTGTGAAAGTGACTGTGCGTTTTTTTGTCATAATTTGGGAAATTCATGTGTGTCATCTTCAACAAATATTCAACCGCTGTTGTTCCCGTCACGACATTAAAATGCTGCGGATCACCCAGCTTGCAAAGTCAGAAATGTGTGGCGGCAGCGGCCAACTTGAAACTTTCCTGATTCACATCATGCTCAATTAGTTCTGCCGCATAGCAGCACACACATCATGCACCACAATGCATGGCTTCAGGGCAGTGTGTGTACATGCCACTGCAACACCCCAAACAGCAGAGAATCTATGGTTATAAATCTCTAAAATACAACACAGCTCAATGCACAACCCTCTCCATCACCTAAGAAGGATATTAACATTACATTTCTTGTTGTATAAAATGACTTGTTCATTTAGGATTTTTGGTCATTTAGGTGACGGTCCATTATCATTGCTTATTAAAGACTGTAAAATAAGAGCATGAACTTACTTTTTCAATGTCACCACTGTGTGAAGGATGGGGTCCTGAGAGGAAACGACACACAAGCATGAGAATGTGACATTAAACCAGCCGTTAACATCAAGCTACATCCGATGTCACATTTCACAAAATAAACTGCACATGTAATATTTAGACTGGTATCTCTACACACGACACTACTAAGCAGTCACTCAGATGGGATCAATCTGAGATGGTCATTCAAACAGAGACCGAATTTCCATCCGTATGTTTCCTTTTTAGATAGTTCATCGCAATATCTTCGTTTGAACAGTAGATGGAGATCACTGCAATGAAAAGCATCTTGATCAGGATGTAGGTGACAGCGTGACAGTTTCATATTAAAATCAAAATTCTCTACAAAGAGGCTGACTTGTGAGACAGATCATTGGCGCGCACACTCTCATTCAATTGGATGATATAGATAACACTGTACAAACCATATTAACGAAGGAATATGCATTTTCACTTATGCACTGTTGCAACACCCGTGAACATAAGCTCCTTGTTTGAAGTGATTTGCCATTATTTCTCATCAACAAATCGCTGTGCTTTTACATTATGGCCGTAATGCCAATCGTCATTTTTATCCCGCTGAGTCCAGAGACGCTGCTGAGCAGTATTGGATGCTTGAGGTCGGCATTTACATCTGTAGTGCACAAACGCATTCAGGCTTAAATGTCACACACTAATTGGCCTCTCTTTCTGTTGGTGAATGACACAGCATCACATGCGATTGAGGAGACACTGTAAATGCAATATATGTGTGGCGTCGTTGCCACTGCACTTGTCTAGCCGTACCTGCCGAGTCCATGCATGTGTCTCTGTAGATGCATGCGTGTAAGTGTGCACACATGATTTCAAGCACGTGCATATGTGTGTGCGTGTGTTGGCATAATCAGTATCTTACCTGTGGGGTGGGGCCTCTCTGTGGGACTTGTTCTGCTGTGCTTGGCGCAAATGCCCCTTCCCTGCAACAGAGCCTGGAGGGGGCTGTGCTCTCTTGGTGGTGGAACACAGCGGAGCCCCTTGGCACAGCTCAGGGTGTACACACCACAGGGCTCTCCCTGGGCCAAGACTGACGTGCTGCCGGCAACATTATGGTTCCTGGGAGGCCGACCTGCCCCCAGTGGATCCCTGCAGGAGGGACAGACCTTGAAGGGGCCAAAGCGGTTTGCCCCGGCCCATGATCCGCAGTGAGCGATCAGCAACAAAACAACGGTTGTTAAGTTAGAAAGGATAGGCATTTTCTGTCCAGGTCTAAGGTTCTCCACTCTGTCACTGTCTCTCAGTTAAATTTGGCTGATGCTATTTCTGGATGTATATCTCTCCCTCTCTCTCTCTCTCTCTCTCTCTCTCTCTCTCCTTTCTTCAGTCTTCTTCCCGTTTCTATACAGTGGCTTTCCTTGGTGCTTTGCCGGTTGAGTCCCCTGCAGTGCCAGAGGAGACAAATGGAGATCGAGAGAGACACAGCAGAGCACCAGCTTTTAAAGATCTGAAAGGCGGTGATAGAGAGTGAGGGAGAGAGTCAGGGAGAGAGAGAGAGAGACAGAGAGAGCATAGTTATGACACCTTCAGGGGCTGGGACTCAGAGAGAGAGAGAGAGAGAGAGAGAGAGAGAAGGAGGTGGCAGGGAGGGAGAGAGCAAGTGGGGGGTGGATTATGTTCCTTTCAGAAATGATCAAAATCTCTCCACCCTTTCCTGTTATACACTAACACATTCATCGGGTCCTTCTTCTTTCACTCATGCTTTACATCACACATTCTTAAACAGTTGTAGTCATTTTTGGCTTTTTGCACTTTATTCCAGTGTCATAGACCTTTCTGGAATAATGTTTGCCATGGTAACAAATACAAATATATATGTGCGTCCTTCAGCGTCGCCACTGCAATTCCATTTGCCACAAGAGACCCACAGCCGTGTAATTTCTCCACGTTGGATTCTTTAAAGAATAAACCATGGAGCAAGATGTAATGATACACCTGAGTCTTTTTTTGTCGAAGAACAAGAACAGATTTCAGAGTTCAGAGAATGTTTAATTGATGAGTTGTGGGCCAAATATATCAACGGGGAAAAGATAGTGATCTCCTGAATGCACTTAATATATTGCCCAATATAAGGGTAGCCTTACTTTATGTATCACCACTGTGGCTCGGCATAACCAAATCACTGCTGTGTCAGATATGTAATGCTAACCCTGCTCTTTAAAGACGCTAATCCAGTAAACCTCTGTTACAGCAGCCCTAATATGTGAACGTTCCTCAGAGACCATATAACATTTTGGAGTGTGAAGGCAATGAGGCATTTTCAGTCACCAGTTGTTTGAATTGTAAGATTAATCATCCGGATAATTAGGACTCACTTTTGTAGGAATGTCGACTAGCCCGAGCCAAATTGCTGATAATGCAATCCATCGCTCCACTCAGCCAGTTAGGATGTTCTACACAGATGCCATCTTGAAAAGAATCACTGCTACATCCACTTGTCTACTCAACACACCACTTAGTCTGTCAGGTCATCTCTGCTCTGTGTACTCTAGTGTTGAAGTTATTTTGTAATTGAATGATGTCATTATACTAAATTATACATGCATACTTCATTGGACTATGAAGTATTCTCCAATAACCAATTCTGAATACTGTTAGAGTATTTGCTGTTATTGAAGCTTTTGAGAGAGAGATTTTTTTAAAGAGGATTTCTTCTGTTATAACTACAATGAAACTTACTTACTTACAACATACTTACTCTACTATCCACTCAGCCTATTATGGCGCCTCAGAACAAAGCGGAATAGGTAAATTCCAGGATTTACACAAAACCAAAATGTGCCTTGCCATCAGCAGCCTGTTGTTCTGATTAATCTTGGCAGCGAGGACTGAAATCACCTGCCATTGGCTCGCAAGCTAGTCGGTTTCCACACATCAAGAAAATGTTCCAAGACACACGGCAGACCAACGAGGGCTCTCTTTTCCAATTCACCCGTAGATTCTTAATTTTCTCTCCTCTTGTTGAGAAGTATTGAGCTTCTGTTAATCTGTTGAAATTTCAGTTGAGGATCTTGTAACCAGTTAGGAAATGAAACTACAGTGTTTCTATGTTTCCATTTTTGTATATTAACAAGTCATAATACAGTTATAATATATAATTGTTGGTTAGGATATAATATATCATATTTTTTTAAGGATTTTTCACGTTGATTGCCACTTAATATTTTGATTGCTTGGAAAGTTTCTCGTCATATTGGACCCAAAGTCGCACAGAAAATCTAAGAGCCAGGATTGGCTGGAAGCTTGTCACCATTTCTCAAAACTCGACCCAATTGGCCAAATCCGAATCGAGAATGTGACGTCACTTTGATGCGCCGAACTCTAGTTTACAAAGTTTTTTATGAGCTATGAAGAGCTTGATAAGCAGAAAGTGAGTTTCCGTCATTTTAGCCGCAAGAATACCGGTAAGCGATGGACTTATTGTTAATAAAACGTGTAATAAATCATTGTTCTGTGCTCCATTTCCCGAACACTCAGCGTTTTTGCTAAGCACCGAACCAAAGCTTCAAAGCCTAGAAGACATCACGCCAGCTGCTACCGTTGCAAACCTACGTGTAGACTAACTTAACCTCTCGTCACCAACTGACCAGACCAATGGATGCTTTTCCTTAAATAGATGTGTTTGGTTAACACGAAGCCACGAGCCGTAGCGACGGTCAACTGCCCGAGCATTCATGCTAGCTTGAGTTCAGCTAGCCTCCATCGTTAGCACAGCTCCCATCTGGCTAAACTCGGCACCCTTGGATGTAAACACTGGCACGCCCACCCTGCCCTCGCTGCGGTATTTTGACGTTTTCCTATTTTGATAATGGTTCGGTGTATTCCCAATAGATAGTGAGAAATATGAGTTTTGAAGTGAGGGGGAGACGCGGCGTGTACGTTCGACCTGGTTTCCTTTTCCTTCGCTAATTAACGTTAGTTAACGTTACATCATCCAACGTTGCTGAACGACGTCACAAATTAGAACCATACAAACCAATGACGGTCGATGTTGCACGTGAGTGGGAGAGCAAGATAGTGTGTGCAAATGCGTCTTTCATTGGCACATGAGTTAACATGATCCCCTCTTGCATTTTTATTTATTCCGTTATTCACGTTTTATTGGCAGCCAGCATGTGAAACAAAACAAATACTCTCACAGATAATACCAGGTGGGCAAGGACAGAAACGATACGTCAGTTAATGAATATGTTGTACAACGTACAAATGGTTTAAGGTCTTACTAGCTTATCTTAAAGAAATACAGTAAAAAATAATGTCACATAGTACTACATCACATTCTGGTTTTATACATGCTGTATTTGTTTAAGTTGAGGATTACAACGATGGTGGTGTACAGAAGAACAGTAAACCTCAAAAGAGAGAAAGGAAAGCTCGTAGTGCCATGTAAAAATGTTATATTAACATTTTTTACATTGATGGTTGTAACAGAATGTGTTTATCAGTTCTTTACCATCTTCAGTTATTTGGCGGGAAAACCCCCCCAAATATTCCCTAGTTTCATTTTGCTAATTGCGAACTGTGTATTTGCAGCATGAAATGCTTTCCTTTAGTCGAACGCTTCCCTGTCCTTTACTTTTAATCTGAGGGTCTTGGCTTTAGGAAGTCTGTCCCTTCACACAAGTAGCAATGGGACATGAATACAAAGAGCTGTCAGAATTCAACTCCAGTAGTAGTGAGGAAAAACACAGGACATGAATATAATAAAATGACTAATTGGTGTTCTTCGTTCAGATGGATGACATCAACGTACTGCACCACAGATGCCTCCTGAATCTGAGACGTCGGATCAGAGATATTGGGGATGGGCGCCCTGCACAGGAACGATGCATGAGGTTGCAGAAGGAGGGAGACACACTCAGGTTGGTTCCTCTGCTGACTCCTTGGCATCCTTTTTATTTCTTTAACAAGGTCTGTGTCGTCTTCGCTACGACTGATCGGATTGGCCTCTGAGAGTATTTTGATAGTTTGCAGAACTCATCTCAAAATCTTCAAAATCTTAATGTGTGTGTTTGGGGAAGGGATAGGGTGTTAATATAACTGACCAACAATGGTGGTGAAGGGAAGGCAGACAGATTGAGGGGCATAGTTTTTGTTAGCATTTGTTTTGTCCTTTGGCTTACAACAGAAACACTGTCCACAGAGGCTTGCTTCTAGGTCAGCATTACATTACATTACAGGTCATTTAACATGATAGGCACAGTAGTTTTCTCTAACATCTACACTTTCCCAACTGAAATAAATGTAATTAGTTTGAGGTTAGTTTAGTTTGTTTAACTCTAAACCTAAAATATCCTCACTGTACCCATCTATCTAGTTCCTTTAAGTGTGAATGTGCTTCCTTCTTTTAAAGTTGGCATTTCATCTAGTTCCTCAATGCCGTGTAATACACTAAACACATTGCATTTCTAATACAAACCTTCAGAAGCTTCAGTCGTTCTCAGAAAAATCGTTTTTTGTCCTTTTCAGTTTCCCAACAAAAAAAATCCCATCCCTTTATAAAGTAGGTGGACATCATACTTGTTGTAAAAAAAGTAACATCCAATTGTTACGTCCATGTCATATAATTTATCGTCATCATGCTAAAGAGCACATTATTTAATTGTCCTATACTGTTGATAATGGGAACCTATTATATCCGGTGCATTTGATTATACAGTCAGTGCTTCGACCGTCGTCAGATGTTGTTTTTCCTGATGTGTTTCTGATTGTACATACAGAAGTCGTACCTATTAGAAGTCACCTATTGTCGACCTGTCATTTCTTCTCTTTAGTTACCAAGGGAACTCTGAAGAGGTCGGTTGCTATGTGGCAGGGCGTCCTTTATCAAAAGGAAATTGCTACTTTGAGGTAAGGCTCACTGACGGTGATGCTGTAGATTAGCATCTGACACTGTTATTCTAACTATGTTGACCTGACTGTCGAAGATGTATTTCTCATTCACCTACTGTCTTACGTTTATCCACTTTTTTGGATACAAGGTCATTAGAAAATAAGCAGCGTCTTTTTGCATAGTTATTCATTTGGAATTGTCGGAGGGGGGGGATTTTTCACAATGTGATAGGCGTTCCACATACCATCGTCCCTGTGTGTGTCCAAGATTCCTTTACCATCCAGCCAGCAATTCCATCCCCTGGAATCCCATGGCTGACCATTTTCTCAACTTCATATTAAATTCTGACTGCCCTGAGCTGCATCGGAATGAGGGAGAGGGTGTGTATGTGTTAGGTGGTATCTTTGAGCACAAAGATTAGCCTAACACACTATTTTTCTGCAGACTGGCAGCAGAAGAATCTATCGGACATCCGTAAAGCAAATCTGCGTCAGACCGTTCTAACGGTTCTCACAGAAGAGCATGAGGCAAAATATATTTTGATGTTGATTTAGCACAGGAAGGTAGCAAAAGATAATCATAAATAAGGTGTAGGGGGCTGCAGTGTGTTATTTCTGACCCAGCTTGTTTGTCAAGGGTGTGCGTCAGAACAGGCCGTGTGACGTGTGTTTACGAGAAGTCAGGTGAGGCAGACGTACTTCCTCATCGGGATATTTAAGCGTCAGAAGGAAGCGTTAGGGCTGTACGTTATCCTGCGAACCTGCGTCATTCTGAGCCGCAAATAGAGCCAGACAAGACCGTGCAGCATCAGCGCAAATGATTTCCTTCTTCCACTATTCTTTTCTTCTTTTTCTTTTGGAACAAGAAGCACCAATGAAGACAGATGTCGAAACATTTCAGATCTGCTTCAGTACGATTATAAACAGGTTGACAATGTGCTTTGACATTATTCATCGTGACTGTGAGGTGTCCCAAACTCGTGCCAGATGTGACCGTTTCCATTAAATCTGATTCTCATCTGGCCATGATATCCTTCCCTCTCCATCTCCAGCAGGATAATCTTAATGACGATAACAGTGTTTATTTTTCAATGAGAATCCCCTTTGGGTAATGCCCGGACCAAAATATACCATGCTCCTGAGTCTTATTCTGTATTATCCTCCACTGTGTGACGCACATACTTTCATTCCACAGATATCTATAAAAATTTGGATGTGTTTGTGCTGGTAAAGGTCAGGCTTCTTTTGAAATATACGTCACTGCTGCCCGTGTGTTGCTTTCTTGTTCTACTATCATAAGGAATTCACTTCACATCGTGTATCATCTGTTCCAGCTGAACATCTGCAGCATTAATAGGATGGTTTGAAAAATGACCGTCACATCGCCATTGTTATTCTTTTTTTGTAACTTATCTGTATCAGCCATGGTATTCAAACAGTTGACATGTTGGAGTTAGGCGCGGCCGAGGCCAATCGTGGCGAATAAGTACATTTACTATTCATTTTTTAACTATTCAATTCAATTTGATTATTCATCGTAGGAACGAGCATTGCTATCGGCAGATAATTAATAGCAAAGATTTACTAGATTTTGCAATGTGTCGCTCGCTTAACTTTCCGTCTACAGAAAGGAGATAAAAAGGCCTGTGCTATGATATTAATGCTAAGTGCTAAAACACTTACAAGCAATATAAATTGGTTAACAGCAGCAATGTTACCACAAGCATGGCTGTGTTTCATCAAAGTACAATCATTTGATTTAGTTCAAACACGTTCAGGAATGCATTTAAAATGCCGGACTGAGAAGGAATCGGACCTGGAATGTTTAAAAGCGGTTTGATTTCACACGCGGCGTCATGCAGGCGCAGCCATTTGGGGATCTTTGCTGAAGAGGGAGGTAGTGAAGGAGTGAGGAAGGGGAGAAAGAAATGCAAGGAATGAAGGAAAGAGCTCATGTTTAGTTTATTTATAGAGAACGTTCAAATGGAACATAAATTCAATGTTAATATACAAATATAATACATAAGAATGCAGACTCCTTGACTTCCCTTCTTCCATCATCTGGATAAAATAATTGTATTTTTGTATTAAATAGTTGCTAGATGTACTAGTTTTACTTGCCTCTAGTAATCGGGTAAGTCATATAGTTGAGCCCTGGTTATGTATACCAGCACATCTCTACTCTTTTAAGCCCGTGAAGGGAGTCCAATTTCAGGGATTCAGGTGAGATCCACACCGACCAGACGGACTGAGGTCAAAAATTAAAAAGATTTTCTCTTTGGAGGGGCTTCTTTTCCTGAGTGTTTCCCATAACGTATGAACTGAGCATTGATTTTTAGATCAACTGTACATTTATTCATACGCTTTTCATGTAACACACATAGGTTAGTAAGATCGCTCACAGTTCTCTCTGGTTGTGACGATCATTTCGACCAGCTAATTGATGCCTCGGTTGTAGTTACATTGTTTTCTCTCTCTCTCTCTCTCTCTCTTTGTAGGTGACAATAGTGGACACAGGGGTCAGGGGTACCATTGCCGTGGGCCTGGTGCCCAACTTCTACAGGCTGGACCACCAGCCTGGCTGGCTGCCACACTCTGTAGCTTACCATGCTGACAACGGCAAGTAAGTCCAACCACAGTCTTATCTACTCACTACGGTGCAGCTCTGGTTTCTGGTATGGTTTGAGAAAATGAATTGAGGTCGGTTGGGGCTCCATCCTCACATGGAACTCGTTGGTAACAATTATTATTTTTAGGTCTTTGGCTTTGTAGTACTTTCTATATTAGGATACACTGGAGTTATGAAAAGGATGATGATAGCATGGTTATTTTCTCGCTAGCTCTCATGTTATAATGATTCCTATCTCTTCACTCTTCCTAGATTATACAATGGCAACCCTGTTGGACAGCAATTTGGGCCAAAGTGTGCTCGCGGTGACCGCATTGGCTGTGGAATACACTCGGAAAACGTTGAAGCCGGTTTCACCGTTGTCTTTTTCACCAAAAATGGCAAAGAGGTGAGTGTTTTTGAATCAAAATTGCTTTCTATGATGTTTCGCAAAAGAGTGTGTGACACCCGACGTTTCGTCACCTCGCTCGTGCAGGTGGGATCCGTGGAGGTTCCCGTGTCTGCAGAGGGGCTGTTCCCAGCGGTGGGGATGCACTCCATGGGGGAGGAGGTGAAGATTGACCTGAAGGCAGAGTCGTTCCTGGAGGAAGATGATAGTATGATGATGGTGGACAGCCATGAAGATGACTGGGGGCGGCTTTTCGACGTCAGTGTTAGCGGCACGGTAAGAAGTAGAAGAAGTAGGTTTTTTCTCAGTTAAAGGAACACATCGACATTTTGTGTGAAGTCTAGTCTGGCTAAGCAATAATATTGGAAATGATTCCAGTAGTGCTCACACGATTAAGCAACTACGTTACCGTACGAGTTTTCCATTGCTAATGTGACCAGATACAATTCAAGGTTGAAAAGCAAGTAACAATCTTTTCAAACTTCAATCATTTTGCTTTCAGATCCTGGTTTTAGTACAAACAATTCATTCATACACAACAGATAAACTTTTTTACTCATTTTTGAGACACCACTCTTGGATCCAAGTCACATATTGTATATGTCAAATTATCAGTTCACTTCATGGTTTATAACTCAAACACTAAAACTCTATTTTCTAAATATTGGTGGAGCACACTAATATACGAGTGGTTATTTGCCTTCCATGTGTTGTGAACACACAGCCAACGTATAACGTAAAGCTTACACAATACACACACGTACAATATGAGCTGTGTTTTTTAAACGTACGTCTTTTGAATGGGAGGGATTATAGCAACTCTTCTGCGTGGTTGCCACCAGTTCCCCCTTTTTGTTTTGTGTTCTTTACAAGATCCTTCAACCGCCTGTTCTTCAGCAAATCCCTCGTTGTTGACAAGCGTGCTCAATGCAAGGAAGTCTCTCCCACAAAGGGAATGACAGTGTCTAAACTTTAGGGTATATAATTAAAGCGTGGCACGACAAGATAATGTTCTCTGGTGCTATCAATGACTGAACTAAAGCCATAAACCTGTATGACCTGAGGTATCTGGGGCAGGGACCCTCTCTGTACAGAGGGTCCCTGCCCCAGATACCTCAGACCTGGAGGCCTGAGTGGCAAATGGGCTCCATGGGGACCGTCTGATCTACGATTCAAAAGGCCTTTTTATGAGCCGCTCCAATGGAATTTGTTGTTGATAACAACTGTGTCATCAGTGGTATCAGGCTACTTTATTCCCACCACTGCAGTAGTGAAACTGAAGCACCTTTGTTCTGTGTTAAGGTGTGAGCAGCCGGCCATCCCCTCAAATCTCCTACAGGCAGCTCTCTCATTGACACCGGGGCCGATCAAGGCCGTATGTGGTTATGTGATAATGTGATAAAACACGTCTGCCTGCTGTGGTACACACACACACACACCCCGGGGAGTGGCGGTGGCATGAAACGTTTTGGCGGAGCCCTGGCACTCCACCAGGTTGTAAAAATTCAATAAGTGGAGTAACAGGACTCTGAGGAATCCTTTACTCTTTCTCGTGTTATTGTAGGTTTTCACAGCTGTGGCGGCGCGCTGCTTGGTCCGCTCAGCAGTGATTTATTTTCTTTCCCCTTTTTGAGTTTTTCTCTCATGCCACCATCCAACATGTGGTCATTATTGTGAGGGTTTAAGCGGGTGATGGTGATAGTATTCAAACTGATAAGGCAGTCAAGTTTGGACAAGCACCAGGATTCGGTTGCTGACACTGAAGACGGGAAGGGTGTGGGATAACAGTAACAGTAGCTGCTTCCTGGAATGACAGAGAGTTTGATCAACAAGAGAAAGAAAATTAAGCTGTGGCAAAGGAAGTGAAAAGATGTGCGGAGGAGAAAAGTTAAAAAAGATAATGTGTATTTGAAGACAAGCAGTCTTGACTAGTAGTATTAATATGAGGTAAGATTATGCTTTAAGGGGAGCACATGTCAGACTCAAGTTGGTCTCACTTAATCCCCTTTTTTGGTTTTGACTTCTAATTTATTTCATTATGTGGTTTGAACCAAAAAATCATTCACACTTTTTCCAAGTGTTGGCTTTGGTATTGAAATGCAGAATTTACACATTCTCTCTTCTCTCCCCTCGTTTCATTGCATGCTCTGCTCTCCCTTTATTTATCTTCTTCTATCTCATCTCGCATCCTAACTCGTCATGTTTCTATCCTTGTCTCCCCTCTTTTATTCTCTCCCTGTTTTTCTCTTCTTTCCCCCATCATTGCATCCTCTCTCCTCTCCTCCTTTCTCCTCTTATATACTTTTCTGCCCTCCTCCTATGATCTTCTTCTCTTTTGTCCCGTCTTTCCTCGTTTCCTCCTCTCGCCTTCCCTCCTATTTTACTTCATCCAAACATTTTTAAACATCCTTTTCAAACTCTGCGCTGTGAGCTATATATTTTAGGGAGCATGGAAATATTTTTCCTTCTTTCTCAGAACAAGCGTCTACTCAACAGATATTTCCAGTGTCTGTGGTTTTCCGATGATTTACGGATCCATCATTCAGTCGCCGTTGATGAATTGCATGTCTCTCGCTGCCCGGCAGTTTTTTTTTTTTTTTTTCAAACTAACATCACATCACCAACCGTGTGGATAATAACTGACCTGGATTATAGCCGTCCCCTTTACTGAATGTTCAAGATGACGGAAAAGATTAGAGCAAGATAAATTCTTTTTCTGACTGGTGTTTGATGAGGCATTTTCGAGCGGTGCATAGCCGCAGTACGCACAGTGCACAGCGGTGATGTAGGGAACGGTCTGCACATAAGTCTCTGCCTTTGTGAACTGCTTACATTAGAGTTGGGCACGGGGGGTACTCTTGTTTAGATAGGTGGGTAACCCCCCCCCCCATCCCCCTCCGGCTTCTATTCAACAAATGTTTATCTGTTAATAACTCTCTCTTTCTATTTATTTTCCCTGAATAGTGCATTTGCATCATTACTGTTGGCTGTCCTTGAAAGCGCTCAGATAAAGTTGGTATAACTGGAATCTTTTCGTCCTTTTATTCTGTTACGCTCTTAGCTTCTTTTCAGCTTTTTTATGTTCTGGGTAATGAATACTCTGACCTCATGGTTCTGAGTGGAAAACTAAAGCAAACAGAGTGGATTTTAATTTGATGGCTGTGCCTATTGTTGGCTCTGTGTTATGAGAAGTTTCTCTTGCAGCTTGATAAGTGTTGAACGAAGGTCCGCCACCTTTTGAAAATCTAACACAAACTTTCCTAGTGATGCTCGATAGCCACAATTTATTGGCTCTCAAAATTGCGACTCCACTCGAAATAAGTGTATCTTTCTGCAGCGAGATGTCACTGCACTCATTGTTAATTCAGCTTGTATTAATTCAGTAAATACCATTTCACTATACATTGAGGGTAATTACGGTTTCAGGGTCAAATATTTACAGTAACACTGTTTTAACAATATGAAGACACAAGTCATCTTTCATTTCTTTCATCGCCATCACTTTTTATATTATGTCAGATTGTCAAATGCTGGTGAATGAACATTACACAAAGTTCTCACAAGTTCACTTCAGGTCTTCACTGAACGGTAAGAACATTGAAATGTAATGCTGGTCGCGTTACACTCAGTCAGCCGGCTAGAGGGCTCGGCTAAACTAAGAAGCGATTTGTGTCGCCACTTTCGAGATGCCGACGGCCAAAGCTGCCCATTTTGCGCTTTCTCACCGGGTTTTTATACTTCTGTGGCTGACTCACCTGAGAGCATGGCCCTAAGTCTTAAAACGTGTTACAAAGTGCTTAACAGAAACCCAATCTTTAGTCAGAGCTTTAAATGGTACCTCGCTGCTCAATGTGATCAGACGTAGTGACGTAATAGCACGTATAACGGTCATCATTCGGATTAATCGGTTGGCTATAGTTTTGAAGGCTTTTGTTTAAGAACCAATAAATTAGATTTTTCTTTAAAAGGTATCTGACATCTTGTTTTCTATAAGATTAGCTCATGTGCACACATTGAGGGATTTCTTTAACCTGCCACCTTTTGTCATTAATGTCAGCTGAAAGCGTCTTGGGCAAACAACATGTTTGATAAAAATCCCCCGTGCTCTACCTTTTTTCTTTTTTTGGCTGGCTTTCCTGTGCGTACGTGCGGCTCAGTGCGAACACAAGCATCCATTCCTCCGCCTCCTGTTGTCACAGCAGCCCACCACCTTAATCCCCTCAGCTGCGGATGAGCGGGCCGACGAGTAACTGGACGGCACCTGACTCTGCAGATATCCCAAGTGTACCGTGCCCCCCCCCACCTCCATCACCTCCACCCGCTCTTCAAGGTGTATGTATTCTAAACACACGGTTTGGGCCGTAGACATTTTTTCTAGTTGGCTCCACGTTGCAGTATCCTCACCAGAGCATCACCTTTGCCGGAGTTTGAACCGCACCAATCATTGTCATGTAATTGTACGTCTTTCCAATAGCCAGAGCCAGCTGTTGCACCGACGCCCCGCTAAGGTTGCCTACTTCCTTCCTTCCTTCCTCTGGAAACAATAGTCAAAAATCCCAACATGACATTGCTCATGATTTGAAAGTTCACAACATTCCCATCAAGTTGTTATGGTTGCAGCCTCCCCGGCCTCCAGTTCTCTGGCTTGAGCAGTGTGAGAAAAGAGGAAACTACCAGTAGCTTCATCCAAGGAAGGTCGATGGACTGACTGGGAGTAGGAGGAGGCTGGCTGATGTGGACCTGCGTCACACCGGATTTTTCTATCGGAAGATTTTAGAGCACAGTCTTGTTTGTTTCTTAAGATAACCAACCTTAGCTTTCTTAGTTCTGACTCTCCAGTTTCATAATAGTACATAATAGTCATCCTGTTGCTTATGTGACATCTGTCTTTATTTTCAGCAGTGGCTCACTGTGGAGCACTGCTGCCTCACAGCAAGAAGTTTCTTCGTTGAACCTGGTTGTTTTGTGAGGCTTTTCTGTCTTCAATTTGCATTTTTAATTCATTATAAATGTGTTCCACGAAAATAAATCAACATTCTTATCCATGGATAGCTAGTTTTGGGTTGTACATGGACATTTCGCCGCAAACCTTGTGGGCAGATGAATAAGTTAACATCATGGGGACCCCTGTAGCTATGTGCAAATGGAACAATTTGTGCATTGCTCATTGTCCCCCGGAGTTGTGCATGTTATCCATTAAACCTGAGAATATGCTCTACTCATTTGTTGAGTCGGAGAGAAAATGATTTTGCTGCTCAACTTTTTGACTATTAGTGATTCCTTTTCCTAAACAGCTCACTGTGGAGTTCATTTTTTTTCTAGTAATGGGTCATTATTTAGTTCATCTCATGCATGCATGTGTGCGCTTTCTGGGAAAGCAATAAACCGGCCTAACAATGGTGTCTCACTACTGCAATAATCTCCAGGTGGGGGCAGAGAGAAGACGACAGCAGCAAGCTAAACTAAACAAAGTTTACTTGAAATGTCTTCTTTCTTCTTCTTGGCTTTGCAAATGTTTCATATGAAGGAAAACGCAAACAATCTGCGTTGACGAGTAAAGGCAAATGTAAAGAATACGCCTTTCTCCATCTTTACTGACATCTTCTTTTGTTCTCGAATGCCGTTTCTCGATCCATGAGAGGGTTTGGGCATACTGCAACTTTGGCCCAGGGAAAACTTATTATATATATCATTTTTACAAGGTGTTTTTCTCTGGACAAAGTATTGACTTGGCTCCTAAATGCACATTCCTCATCTCCCAGATTACTGCCTTCTATATTCATTGTATAAATTATATTTTTCTTTGTGTAAATGTCTTGCTACTGGGCCACTATTTAGTAAGTGTTTTTTTCTTCCAAAGTTGGCAACCTTCCTCTAAACTTGTAGCTTTCTATGAATTGAAAATAAATCTGCACTGGTGGCAGTACGCGCTGGCGTTTCAGTTAATTTGAGCAAGGCCTTCCCAACAGTGGTAGTGGCGATAATAAATAAAGTGCATTAAAGGGTAAGGAAAGACTATTCTTACATTACATTTAGCGACTTACAATAAGTGCATTTCAACCATAAGGATACAAACCCAGAAGAACAAGAAACAAAGTGTAATTTCATAAAATAAGGTGATTTACAACTTGCTATAAGAGGACAATTTAAGTGCTACAATTTTCCACATGGCAGTGAGTGATGAGGTGTCACTGAAGGTCAACAATGTGGATCGTTGGTTTTTACAGCTTTCAGGAACCTCAGAGGGACAATTGATTGGGTAAACTTGGGTAACGCATGTTTATTGTTTTAGGCAGCTGTGAAACAACATGGGCCTGTTTTCATATGTTCTCTAGCCAGTGTGTCATACCTGATCACAGTCACAAAATAAAGGTAGTCACTTGCAGAATTTTAAACACAGTGTTGCTGCAGGTGGGGATGTTGCCTTAAGGCATACTGCATGCATCAAGGCAGATACCGTCTTGTCTTCTAACAATAAATACTTGTTCAACTTACTCCATCTCACTTACGGTGTCAGTGCGTTTGTAATTACAGGCTGTGTGTGGATTTTGCATATTGCTCTGGTGCTAAATATCCCTTTGAATCTCTGGAGAGATTACACGCTTCATCAAAAAAGTGAATTAAAGCTTAACGTTTGATGAATAAACAATAGTGAATTTTAGCAGTTTGGTTAGAAAAGTTAGTTGATATATTGCCGAAAAGACCAAGCGAAGGTACCGTGTGTAATGGTAATATACATTTTGACAGTGTTTGGCCATAGGCATAAGTGGATGCATTCAGCACAAACATCCCCGATTTTGCTGCTGGCCCATTACAAAAGCAGCAATGGCAGAGTGGCGGTAACCAGCTGTGACACTATAGTGGAAAGTGCGGATATTCATCCTGGTAGCCTTATGCACAAGGAAGTGATTGATGGACAAGTCAGTTTTAGCTACCGCAGGGCTTCCAACCCCAAGTGAGAGATGACACAGCCAGCTTATACACTTTCCAAAATTGATACAAGAAATAACTGTGAAGAAGAAATGTGCAGGTTCAGGTAATAGGAGAGGGATCAAAAAGAAGCGCGTATATGTGGTTGAACATAATTGGAATCATTATTAATAAAAAATAAGCAAATCCAAGAAAAACAGAATGTAGTGAGAAGAATGAAAACAGCAGTGTAATAAAGAAAACAAGTTAGTCGATGAGGTGTATGAACTCGACAGCTGTTGCGTGATGTCTAATCAGATCACAGTTTGGTTGACAAGTGTTTTACCACATAATAAAGAGGACTGCTCCTAATTTCAGTTTCACCTTTCTTCAAGCTCCTCCATTAGATGTGACAGAAAATTGGCACGACCAATCTCTGGGTGTTACATCTGTTTCCCAGGCAGCAACTCAAGAAAACACGGCCTTGCACACTACCATTACCATTCTAGACACTCCGAATTATAGGAGTGAGGGAGAGAAAGGGGGAGATTGTCAGCTATCTCAATGAGGCATGCTTTGCTCAAGGCTATGTCTCTCGTGTTCCTGCCCTCTCGTGTCTTCTTCCATTACTTAGCAGCGGGGGAAAAAGCAACAACAAAAAAGGTGGGATTGAATGCTCATCGCACCGAAACTCTGTTCCTCGTCTCCCAGAGGAACTATTGATGCGCAGGCAAAGGTACACGCGAACCATAACCAAGGTGGAGGCTAACGCCGCTCACTTCGTCAAGCTGTCAGAGCTACCATGCAGCACACACTCTCATTTAGGGAGCCCTTTTTAAGAGAAACTGACAAAGGGTGTCTACAATATGCGTCTGATGATCCGGCAACATAAAAAGGTTAAAGGGGCGGGACTTAGTGAAGAGTCAAATATAGTTGTTTTCTTTAGTCACAAAATGAACATTTGTCAAGTGCAACTGAAGTGTATTGATGTATTGATGATGTCCATTTATGGCTGCAACGGTCTGTAGATTGTGATTTTTCTGTGTTTTAGGGACATTTGTGACCATTTTTGTGACCACTTTCTGCAGCAAGACTGACAACTAGTAGCAGATGAAATTAAGTAACTGAAGAAAGCTTTGATTTAGTGAGAACGCTTTACTCTTTACTGTTCCTCATGAGGTGTGATCACCCCATAATCTGTCTACTTTTTTCTTTCAAGTTTGAGCTCAGTTTATAAAGAGGGATTCTCTAAATACTTCCAGAGTGCCTATCACACATGCAGCTCAGAACCTCTCCTTCATGGGGTCATGTGTGAGTGGGAGCATGGATCCACCACAAGAACATAACAAATAAAATGGGTGGAAATTATATTTCTTCCTGCCATATATTGTAATATAAAAAATGCAGAATTGTTCCTCCTATAAGGTGACCAGAATATATATATGATCAAGTGAAAGTAAAGAGAAGGTATTTCTAGACTAATGCCTGAAACCTATAATAGCTTAAGAGCCTGTTCTTGCCAAAAACGACCACTGAAGACACAAACACATGGTAAAACAGAGTCTGGGTTGAAAGATGCAGAAATAACCCATTAACTTAATCTCGTCCATATATATGAAGATGCCTGTACAAGTGCTTTTCTCAGCAACCAGCTTAAATTCTTATCGGGCTCATAGACTGAAATGGATCTTTCACTAAGCAATAGGGGGGAAAAAAGAAAATGGTAATTTAATTAAGACACGACTTTTTTCATGTAGATGTTGAATAGCTGTTTTCACCAGGTGTGTTCTTCAATTAGCTTTTACATAAAACACCTACACACACTTAAACACAAAGGATTAATAGACAAGTCATGTTGTCCACCCCCACCTTGTCTGTCATGCTAGCCTTTCACACTGGGGGCGAATTCTTTATTAGACACATGCTCATACAGTCAAATTCATGCACTCGCAGCACACAATAAACCCCGCTCAGCCTAAAGGCTTTGTGGTTGCCTGGCTGCCCACCGTCTCACCTGTATCCACCCATCTTCACCTGTTCAGATGCCTAAGACCAAAATAGACCTGAAAGTAATTGCACACTGTACATGAAATCTCCAGTGGCTGTTGATACTTGCAGAGTCACTGTGGGCGGTTCAGTGAGGGTTCGACTGGGTTTGGAAAGTGTCAATCTGTCATTTTGCCCACTCACCCAGGACACAATTGCAAAAGCTAGTTGTGGTTAAGTCTCTTGCACGTGGAACAACAGTGGGCCAAGGATCCTGCCCAAGCTTGATTTGCTATGTCGTCAGTCTTTTGTCTCCATCTCAACTTTCCCGCTTACAAAGACTCATCACTACTGCACTTTGGGCCTGGTAGCCCGGCGAAGCAAATTGTGTAAATAGAGAAGGCCAGGCGGAGTGGTTGCATGCATGAGCGTAGTTGAATTCTCTTTTTTTTTTTTTATCTGTAAAAACTCAGACTCACTTGCTAATGGATTTTGGATTTTTTTTGTATATAAAATCATAGGAAAAAGATACTCCTTAAGACTCCACCATTTGTCTTTGAAAATAATCCAGTCTTGGATCTTGGATAGTGATCATTAACGTGGAGTTCATTGGTCAATAACTCAGGCGGGAGTGGGAGTCTGTTTCTTAGGGTTTGTCTTTATCTAGACTCTTTTTTTAATATGGTTTAACATATTAACCCTGCTCCTTTTCTCCTCTTCTGTTTGTGCCCCTCCTCTCTAGCTCCTGGAGTATGTTGGCAAAGGAAAGAGCATCATGGACGTAGGTTTGGCCCAGGCCCGCCAGCCACTCACCACCCGCTGCCACTACTATGAAGTGGAGATTGTTGATGCTGGGGAGAAGTGCTACATCGCCCTGGGCCTGGCGAGAAGGGTGAGCTTTTGTTAAAAAAAAACCCTACTTTTGACAACTACACACACAAACACACACCTATAATCAACAGAGAAGCATTCTTTTGGGGGGCTTGGCCCATTTTACCACACTATTATATACTGGGTAGTGTAGCTCAATGGACCTGGGTGATGTGGATTTCATATACCATTCTTCTCATCAGGTCCTTATAATACAAAGGACACAGAGGTCGCAACCTAGTAATGATGGAGTCCATTAGTCTGTTAGGGTCTTCTATTACTTAACATAGTGGTACTGTCAAAGGCTTCATTTTATTTCCCATTATCCAGCAGCGCAGCCATTCTCTTTAGACATAGTAGCCAACCTTTAGGCAGATTAAACACCTCTAAGAGGAAAATACAATTAGAGAAATTTTAACACCGCAATTTGAGCCCTTATTTCTTTTTCCAAAGAATGCACATGCGGTTCCCATTTCAGCATCAGCACTGCAACTCTGCAAGCAACGATTACCATGTTGAACTGCTTTGAAGAATTGAACAAAAAAACAAACAACCATAGACCTTTGGGAACTAAGGGAGACTGATGCACATCAAAGGGCTCCTTCACCCACAAAATGACCATTTTGTATATTAATTACCCTCCTAGCGGGACCTTGAATTTTTGAAGAAAACTTGTTTTTTCTTTCTGACTCCAAGGTGAACGAGAAATACCAAGACAAGGCCCCCATGTACGTACATTTGCAAACACAGCGTTATCACCGCCACGGCCAAACCGCAGAAGGCGCTCGCTGTGATACTTCCGCTTACGTCGTATTTACAATTTATTTGCCGTGATACGAGTGCAGACTGTGATATTCCCACTGCTGATGCTATTGACTGTTTGAAATGATACTGATATAATAATATAATAATATCATAATAATTGTAATGTAGCGGGAAGTTTAATAAGTGCTGGAATGGAATGTCAACGCTGAGTCGGTGATGCGATCTGATGATTTCTTCCAGTAACTGTAATATTGCATGTCTGCTTCATCTGTAACGCGTAACAATTTCACTTGAATGTAAAGGTGTGATCCTTCTGACGAAAATCCTGGTTTACACCTGTTTTTAAGGGGCGGAGAATTTTCACCGCAAATCGGAGGTGCGGAATAGGGAATTCGGCCCACTTTACGCATCCCATCCCATCTCTTTGTCTCCCACTTTCCCCTCCTGTGAATGCATATGCAGGACACGGAAAAGCGCAATTTTTGACATTTTCAGTTCCCGCACCAGGCAGTCTGCACACCTCCGTTTGCACATACCACGCCATGCTTTTACTCGCACGTTGCAAAACAAATACGCCTGAAGTTGGCGCAAAAGCATTGGATAATACAGTATAATCAAAGGCTCACTTCCCAAACACGTGCATCTTTGCTGAATTGTTCTATTTAAATTTAACACATTATCTGTGTCACGCTTGTGCAGGTGAGCTCGATGCAAGTACTGTGTATGCATAAGTGTTTAACATTGTAGTGAGACTTGTATTATGCTGCACAAAGAATGTGAGACTTTGCAAACGGTTGTTTCTACAGAGGTTTGCAGTTGTTAAAGGCAACTCCTATTTACTCATCACTCCTTTCCTCTGCTTTTGGTTTTCTAAGAATTCAGTGCAACATTAGGGGAGAGTTATTTATTCACACATTATTTTTTCTCGGGTTAAGTTTCCCTAAAGGAAATTCAGAAAGTAAATATAATAATTATCAATATGTCAAGACACAGCTGCAAGGATATATCGTACAAGCTGTAATAGTTGAGGACCTGCAGGGCTGCTTTAAGTCCTCCTTGCTGAGCTTATAAATGGTGGGATTAAACTATTATAAATGGCTGCTTTCTGGTCGATAAATACTGTCATAGAACCTATTTGCATTAGATTTGACCTAATATTCTTTTTCTGACTGAGAAACCATTTCTTTAACAGTATGGGGTTGTGATTTGTCAGTTTTCTTACTCCCTGGAAGTTTAGCCTCGAACGTGTTATGAATGTGAAATATTAGTGACTGCCAAAGCCAAGGCCTGTGGAGGTTTGCCAGCACTGTCTCTCCCAGGGTCATAGCTTTCCTCCTTTTTAATAACAAAAATAACAGATGAAACTGTATCACATCTCTCAAGGTCTCTGAGGCAATTCCTATAAATCTAGAAGAGAGGGCTTGCACTTTAAATGGCATTACGACAAAGCCAGCTATAGATGCATAAAAAGAGGAGAAGCTGAGAAGTATACCTACAGATGTGTGCATCTACCTACAGTTTTCCATCTAGTGCCATTGTGGAAAATGGGGAAATCTAAGCATTCGCTTTGTGGATGGTTTTGTTAGTGTTGTTGGCTCCTCACATTCATTCATATCATTGATATCTAAAAAGAGACAACAATAAATCAGTAACGCGAGTTGTTTTGCCATCTTCATAATTATGTTGCTGGCCAAACCACTTGGCGTATGTGTCCCATAATTCACGCTCAAAGTCAAACTCTTTTCAGAAGGAATAAAAAACCCTAACGTTTGAGCTACTGTCCGTATATATAAATATTTTTTTGAAAGAAGATAAAACTGTTTTGGACATATTTGTGGAAAAGGCTTCTACGTTTCAGACTTCTGGGTGGGCATTTCTCTAGTTGCTAAAATACTCTATCAATATCTGTAGTACACTACTGACAGGAGAACATCACGCTGTACATCCAGTGACAAATTAGACATCATCACATCTCCCCTGGCTCAAACTTCACAAAGTATATTGTGCTAATGATATAACCGCAAACAAGGGCCCATAACCGTCTGCAGCGGAATGCAAAATTTTCCTCTTGAGGGATCAATAAAGTCTCTATCTATCTATCTATCTATCAATATACCTTCTTTCCTTCTAATTGCCGTTATCCACGTGGTAAAGAATATATGCTGCCTTTTCACCATGAACACAGTAGGCAGAAGAATGGCAGAGACCGAGAGCTTCAGGTCCTTTTGGCAAGCAATTTAAACTCGACAGAGAGAAATAACTTTTGGGATTTAATGTACCATGTGGTCTTCCATCCCAAATAGGCAACTACGCAACGAATCCATCAAGAGCCTGATGCATCGCCAGTATCATAGCAGAATAATTTGGTTATGAAACCATAGATTATTCCATTTGGCCTATATGTGTACGCTTAATGTTTGACGTGACTTAGAATGGCTTGGTTTTATTTTAGTATAAATATCAGCCTATTAATTAATTCATAATTAATATAAAAATATCTTTATAAACAACAAAGTAATTCAACTAATCTGCTTGCATTAATAACAGGGGTTGCACTGTTCAAATATGCATATCCATCAGAAGTCGCTAATAATCTTTTTTTAACTGCACTGATTTTGCTATTTGACATAGCTTCTTTTTAAATGTATGTATACAACCTAGTTTAAATTGTAAAAAAGGCACAGCAAGGCTTGTTTTAGTGTCTACAAATGAACGGAAAATGCCATCAACGGGAAACATCATCCTTTTGTGCATTGCTCTGTGATTCAAGTCACAGCACAGTGCAACTAATGGAGGGTTCAAATCAGAGATAGAACCAAAAATAAAGGCCATCAATATTATTGGTGATTTGTGAACCATTAAAAACAAACGCTAACGATGTTTGTAATGATTTTTGGCAATAATATATTTGTAATTCAGTTTGGTTTCCAAGCCATTCGGTCACATTTACTTTTCATCTATTTCATATATTCACAGATTTTTTTTTTTAATTAAGAGGAAGACTGATGGACCTAAAAGAAAAAGAATGCATGTGGTAACACATGCTCTCATTTAAACACACTCACATGATGCTCCCATGGGTGGGAAAGAAGAAGAGCGATCATAACTCCAGTTCCATTACCACTCTTTTCTTTTTGCTAAACCTCTTTTCTCTTTCTGCATCTGTGTTTTATTATAAAGAAATTAAACGTAAGTCCGAGGGATGTGATGAAGCAGCAACGTGAAGCGCTTGGCCAATGACTGTTTACTCAACAGCATTCAGAGTTTGCATGCTAGTTTTTCCATTTATTGTCCTGTGATAAGACGGCCGAAACACACAACACCAACCCACTCATTGATGCCCTACGGAGTGTCAGATTCTTCCTGTCCGCCCGCTCTTTATGTTTACTGTGGTTCTCGTCTTCAGTCTCAGCTTAGGAGTCAATTTCTCAACCCCTCTTTGTTCCTCCATAAACATTTACAGTGAACGCTAGGTTCACAAGAAAGGTAAACGTTTCTTCCTTAATTTAAAACATGGCTCCTGCGATGACGACGTTGCTCATTTGGTTTACCACTTCACTATCGTAACAAATGTTGCACGGAATGACGTGGCATCTGGTTTGTTCACGGTCCCCAGATGTTAAAGCTTGCTTTGGTGATCCCAGACTTTACATCCAGCAACACCATGAGAACAACGTTCTCAATCACACGGTGGCATTTCTCAACAAGTACTTTGTGGATTGGCCCCCCGTGTGTCAAACCGCCACTGTACCTAACTACAGCCTCACGGAGCCACTAGCACGCAAAGCTTCAGACCTAAACATCTAATTGGCTGTTTAAAAAAAGGTGGAAGTACATTTTTGAACCTCCCAAGCCTTTGGTGACGGTTTCCTGTCTGACCGGGAAGTGTGAATGTTTTGTATGTGAGGTAAACGTGTTGTTTAGTGCCTTAGCTGCAAGTGGACACTGTATAGCATGCATATGTTTGGTAGCACGGTTGTTTTTAATCCGGTACACAAGCGGTTGCTAGGCTGCAGGACAAAGGGAGATCTAGGCTTAGTTATGGGTTGGGAGTAGTGAGTGTAGAAGGTGTGTGTGTGTGTGTGTGTGTGTGTGTAGGAAGTTGGAACATCAAAACAAGGAAAGCTATTCACAACACAAATGTAAATGTAAACACAGGGAAAAAAACACCCTTATGTCCTGAAAAACAAACAAAATCCAACAAAAATAAGAAGATCCTACCCCTGTGGGGGCACAGGGAAGTGGGACTGAGGGTTGAAAATAGGAAGATTGGTGCATCTTAGTTGGGATGAAGACACAGACTTGTGTCCGTCTATAAAAGAAACCGATGGGTTTCCCACATCACCAATGACCCTCAGTCTCTGATGAATGTGTGAATTCACTCCACTCAGGAGAGAAAGTTTCCTTTTGTCCCGGTGTGACCCGGTCCTGGGAACGGCTCGTTTCCTCTTCCTCCCGTGATGCAGCAGTCTTGGTCTCAGTGCGGCGGCCGTGAACCTGTATTTTCTAGCAAGGTCGATGTAGGATAAAGCCAAAGCGCAGTCACTGTGCCAAGGTCTGATCTGGAAGCTGCAGAACACACAGCGACCACCAGTACAGAAACAACGAAAGTATCCAATAATTATTTGTTTTAAGTCTTTTTTTTGCTTCACACCTGCTGTTCCCAACTTCTCAACTTTCTTTCCCATATATGGAATTAGACCGGGGATCTTTGGACTTTTGGATGTTTCAAGACTCGGGGGATGAACATGCACTCGTCATTTTCTGAAATTGGGTATATAAAAGACATTTAATGTATTTATTCATTTCTTGTAATTGCGTCGTATTTCCCACCGTATACGTTGCCGGTTTTGTGTCATCTGATCTTCTGATCGGCCTTTTTCGAGGTCACCGATTTCTCCGTCACTTTAGTGTTTTGTTGTTGTCCGTATCAAAGAAAACATTTCCATTTTTGCTTACGTCCATTAAAAGCATTGAACATGCCAGAACACATGCCGAGAGATAGTCTGTTGTTAGCTTCACTCAGACTTTCTGTCATCGTGTGAGGAGCAGGAGGACTTAGCCTGATGACACGGGGTTATGCAAACAGACCTGCATTAGTTCCCTGCACCGTCTCTTCCCCAGCCCCTATAGCTGAGGCTGTGTGGGCACGTAGAAACAAAAAACACCCTACTCTCCCTCCTTACCTCCTCACACACACACGCACACATCTGTGGTACTTAGTATTTTTAGGTTGCCCTATGATTTGCCAGTGTGAGAGCTGCTGTCCACGATAGCTATCTGCTTCCACGCGGTTCCCCGCTGCGCCCGCACCTTTCCGCTCCTGCTCTTCCAGACTTGTTTGCTCTGCCACCGTGTGGAAATGCAGGCTCCGCTGTTGACGCCGGCGTAGCAGCTGCGGATCTGATGCTGCAGTGCTCCGCTCCGGCGTGCCGCCTCAGCGTTTGTGTTTGTTGTTCTTAGAAGCAGCTTACAGTTTAATGTAGCCTTCGGCACGCAGGGGAACCGGGTAGGAGCCGTGTTTCGAGGGTTTCACTGTACATGATACCGGACTCGATGGTGAACATGGTGCTTCCCTCTATAAAACCCATTCCATCTTATGTTGATAGAGAATGAGTGTAGGTGTAACTTAGTGGCGCCGCCGCTGATTGAATAACAGAAATCACAGCATTAACTGTTGCAATTTCCAAACCCCAATAGGTTGGAATGTTTCTTTTCTCCGAGTGAAAGCCCTTCCAACTCCCACAGAACAATATGATCTGTGCTTTACAGAATTCATGGCTGAAAAAAAAATGATTCAATAAAACAGAGTGTCTGGCTCTGTAAAAAGGAAAGAGAATGAGAGGAACTCAGGATTTGTTGAAGAAAAGGTTCACAGAGTCAGTTACTATGGTAACTGACCATGGGAGCTGACCCAGAGTTTCTGAAAACTAAAAACCCAGTTTCACTCGTCTCAGGGTCAACTGATTCGCTGAACCCGCGTTCTGAAACGGGGCCCACGATCAGAGTCCGAGAATCATCAATCAGAGAGCGAAATACCCAGACGTTCCTCTCCGCCCACATGTCGGTCAGCCAGAGGAATCCTCAGGCCTGTGGTTGGGGGGGGGGGGGGGGGCAGACTTAGTGGATGGAGGGGTTTCAGGCTTGGAGGAGTAGCTGCATTCCTCAATGTCTCGCTGTCTTTCTCTGCTAATGTCTCAGCTCTATCTCATCTCCATCTCCATCCATTTCCTGTTCCTCAAGACCCGATGGGGTTGTCAGACAGGATCGTTGAGGTTTCCCTGATGTCTTGCCCTCAAAAGCTTCACTCTTGTGTGGCTAGCTTGACCCAGCTGTCTGTCTGGAGTGTCCCCATCACTCATTCCAGATGCTGATTCGTTTCAGATAGTTCAATAGTTTCATTTCAGAGTCCACGTTTAGTTTTGAGGAATGTATTGCCGCCACTGATTGGTGAATGTTTTCATTTGGATTATAGCACATTTCCCAGGCTGGATTTTTTCTTTTGGACACCGTCCTGGTCATATTTTGAATTCTTGAGTCTGGATGAATTTGAAGCTTTGCCTTTTTTTGTCTGTTATTACTAGCTAAAAATAAATGCAGTAGGGAAAGTTCAGAGTTTGAACAAGAAAGCATTTAGAAGATAGAGATTTCTTGTTCAGTAATGTGTTCCTACTGGTGCAGCCCAATCTGAGGTAATTACCTCTGAGTCATGCTATCATCGTACCCGAAGCCCCACTGGTTGTTTCTTTTGGCCTGGCGAGACCTGTGGAAATGCATGCGTACTGTACATGCAGACAGACAGACGGATGGAGAGAGAGTGACGTGCACATCGATAAACACTATGTGGAACTCCAACCACCTGTTTTTCTGCAATTTGCAAAGTACGGCAAAGATCGTTTAAATGCCTGGCTGAGTGTGAAAAGCTTTGTGTATTGATAACGGCGAAACCAAAATAAAACCGTGTAGCGTTGCAAACCGATGTGGCAGTGGGACTCAGGGCAGTGTGGTGGTCAGCACTACACAGCCAAGAAGGTCCTGGGTTCCATTCCGCCCAGCGGCCTTCCTGTGTGTGCATGTTCTCCCCGTGTCTTCGTGGGTTCTCTCCGGCTTCCTCCCACAGTGTAAAGACGATAAGCGGCATAGAAGATGACTGATGACTGACTGTAACCGATATGGCGAATTAATCGTGACGCAGATGAAACTGGTGACTTCAACATCTATTGCGGCTTAAGATGAAACACAGCGGCAGATAAAAACTCTCTCCACAGATCTGATGTAACCTCACATTGACACATTAAACCAAGCGAAAACATCTTATTTCCATCTAGTTTTTGACATTGTTTTATTTTGTTTCTTCTGCAATGCTATAAGCTTTGTTCAACAGCAGCGTTGGCACCACCTACTGCTAATCGGGAATGATCAACTCTGTTGTGGATGGAAACCGCGTTCAGTCTTTTGCAGATATTCTTACTTTTTTATTTGCAATACCTTTGGATGGAAAGCTGACTACTGACCAACAGCTAAACTAGAGTGGGAAAAGAATGCTCATAACATTTAAGAATGTGTTAACATTCATAAAGTGAATTAAAATCTCATTATTTTTTCTGCTAACGCGCGTCCAGTTCTCGTGAAAACGATATCTCTGAAACTCCTTGAGGAAATTTCTCCACATTTAGCACAACCTTGAATCAAGGATCAGCTGCTTATATTTTGGTTCTCAGGGTTCACATTTTTGGCTACAACTCAGGAAGTGATATTCCAATGATATAAAAATTAACTGATTACATTGTGGACCAATCAAGATGTAAACTGCAAATTGACTAGTTGGGTCTAAAGATGGATGGGTCACTTTTGAGCGGATTGTAAAGCCCCTTCCGGAAAATTTGGGATAACTAGTTGTACAAATAAAGACTGCCTTGACTTATTGCTCAGTGAAATTATTAGTTACTTTTTTACCAAAAATAACACACACTCCAAAAACCTCCACTGTTCGACCGTATTAATAGATGTGAAAACCTGTATGTGTGACCCGTGTATCTACTTGTGTCCGTGCAGGACTACCCCAGAAACAGACACCCGGGATGGAGCCGGGGATCGGTGGCGTACCACGCTGGTGAGATTTCAACCCCATTTTCTCTCTTCTCTTCTCTCAGACTGGAAAGTTTCACAGAAAGAAGGTTGTTATGCTATCAAAACATGTGTGGAATTCCCCCAGTATTTTTGATCGGATGACATCCATAAATCCGATCCGCTTCTTTTTAAGCATCTACTTGCTGCTTTTAGATGCTAACATCACAGTGCACCGCCTCAGCTGGATGTTACGGTGCCTGACACAAAGATAAGGTGAATAAAACCAGAACGCAGATAAGACGAGGGCATCAGAGGAAGAGGGATCTTATTTCGGTCTCCTTTTAGAGGTTTGGTCATGTCGATATCTTTCTCAGCGATAAGCCCCCACAAAAATTGTAGTTATCTTTATCTTTCAAGGCTTACACACACACACACACACACACACACACACACACACACACACACACACACACACACACACACACACACACAGGTAAAGTCGTGGTTGTTTGGGAGGCCTGTGAACAATATCTGCATTGGCATCTGCACAAAACGCCCCACAGCTCCAATTCCAGGCCTCAGCAGCCGCCATTATCGGTGCGAAGACATCAGCTATCAACCGCCGTCATGCGAGGACAGTGGCAGGCGGAGTAGGTTGCTGTTATTGCAGCGCACAAGCTACAGTTGTCAGGCGGCTCTTTATCTGACGATCCGCTGTCACAGTCAAGATTTTGTCCTTATCAGACCGAGTTTGCTGGCATTCTATTGGCATTATTTTGGTACGAAGCGGAACCCGTTGTTATTTCTTCTCAGAAGGGCTTCTTCTTCCAGCTCTATATAAGTGCCTGATTATTATTTTCACAGGGAGGTTTGTGCACTTCCTTCTAGCTGACCTCCAAATCAGCTATCAAAACACAGTTTCTTCTTCACTCTGCACATTCCATTCATATTTCGAGTGGATGTTTACAGTCTAAATACTTTAATGCTAAATCCACATATCCCTTAGCAGATTCCATTTATACTTAGGATACATTAACAGTAATAACAGTTGACGCTGCGCATCCTGCCGGGCCTGCGGATGATACCTCGCCGCTGAGTGACGGATGGGGCCAGTCACTGCGCTCCCAGAGGTCTCGCGCCGCGGTCGGCCCGGTTTGGCTGCTGTGGGTTGGACACCGCAGAAATGTGCACGCCCCCCCCCCCTCCCAGCGCAGCTCCCAATAATCCTATTTGGTAGAGACTAAAATGATATATGTGGCTTTCCGCGCCGTGTGTGCGAGGTTTGCTTTCCCCACGCTTGGGTTAAGTTGCAGGCTCTGATCCAGCTACTTAAAATCAACAGCTGGGGACCTCTTCTTCTTCGCGCGCCTCAACGTTTTTACCGAACGGCCCGGGAAATTTCATGCAGCCGCTCTTTGGCGGAGGGACAGAAACTTAATGTACACACAGTTTTGTATAGAGTAGGTCATATAACCGCTGCAGAAATTGCCTGAAGAAAGAAATACTTTGTTTCCCCGCTCAATGCGAGCCAAGAATGCTTTGAGGAGGCGCTTCTGGGACACATGGTACCTATGTTTATTAACCTTCGTGGCGCGTTTTCTTATTTGACCTCAGTATCTACAGCACCAAATTTCTGCCCGTCCATTCTTGGCAGCCCATAGCTTTGTATGGACTCAGTGTTGTTTTTAAAAACCTCAGGCTGGACCTTAGTGCACTGTGAGTATTTGTAATGTTTAACTGTTAGCTTTGAAGAAAACCGTGGCGGTAGTGGCCTCATGTTATGCAGCCCGAAGGCAAACACGTAAATTACATAATGATTCAACGCAACATTCCGTCTGTTCTTTATGCTTTGCATGTACAGCGTGACTGCGGACTACTATTTCTGTATCCTGATATATGGTCCGGTGTAATGGGCACGCGACCAATGTTGACCTGGATCACATGTGTATTATTGAATTTAAAGGTTGTGATTTTACTCCAGATGTATTCCAGTTATATACACAAACGGCTGCCAACCCTATCGCTGCTCCTTTGTATAGCTTGAAGGGCTTGAGAGCTCTTTAGCCTGCGCCGGTGTTACCTCGAGTGTTTGTGTTGGGAGCCGGCCCGCTGTGGACCTCCATCCTGTGTGTTAATGGGGCGCTGTGGGCCACTATGGGCCCTATCGGGAGCAACCAGCAATCCAACCAGCGAGTGCTCCTCGGCAAGCCTCGTTTACCCTGTCACCCCCTCCGAACTCCAGCCCAGCAGTGAGTCACACGTGCTATGACTCAACACCCGCAGCTGAAGGTTGTGCCTCAGCACCGCCGCCGCCCTCCATCCCTCAGCACCGGGCCAACCTCACATAATGCGGTTCAGTGTGACTTCCGCGGCTAATCTGATTCTAGCTCGGCTTCCGCAAAAACAATTATTCAATACCAACTTGTTTTGTAGGGGGATTATATTACCTTCTTACCTAACGGGACAAAAGTCTATGGCCCTTTATTAATAATCAGGCATCAGGCATGGGAAAAGAACATGTACGAGGCCACGTCATCTTTACATGATGATTTCAAATAACTTATTTTTCCTCCCTCGCCAAAGTCATAGAAAAGCAGCAAGACCTCGAACTGCGGCCTCTGGCATCGCCTTAAAGCCTGAGGCTAGAACCAAAGAGGGTAACTAACTGTGCTACTTCATTCTGGTGACTGTTAAACCAGAGATTTATATTCATAGTTCCTAAATACTCATGATTTACATGATTGGGCCTCACTGGCAACTGGGCCCAGTAAGTAAATTGTATATTTTACATCATCAGCTCAAGAATCCTTTTATAGACATAGTAATAGTATAGTCTCATCTGCAACTCAAAGACAGCTGCAAACCAAATTTACAGTCGATCCTTATGACAACTATGAAGAAAATATTGTTTTATTTTTCCATGTTTTAGGAGTCTGTGAAGTCATTGTTCCCTGGGCAGGGACGCCTGCTATTTTCCAGACAAACTCTCGTGTTACGAGAAGGTCTGTTTTTTTGTTTTTTTTTCCCAGCTGGTCCCAGTCCTCAGTCTGCCCCTCTCCTCTCCTCGGACCGGCTCCAAACCCTGAAACTCCAGTGTTCACCTTCTGGTTGCTGCTTGAATCCCCCTTACATCCGGCATCTGTCACAGTAGCGAACATTGTTAGCTTTACAAACAACTTCCTTGTTTATGGTCTTGACCGTTGCATTAACACCATCCCCGGTATTCTGCTCCTCGCGCTCTCACCTGCCTCAGAGCCAAACTTTGGTCAACACCTCCATGCTATTTTTAAACTCCGGTCTCCAAACACAAATTTGAACATTTCCCCCCACAGATGAGCTCCATGTTGAGCCAGTTTTATAGAATTCCAACCTATTTAAGTACCAAAGCACACTAGCCGCACACCAGCAGACGATATCATGTATGCTCGTTAACACGGCTAATCTTATACAAGTGGCAGCCAAAAGTCATTACAGGTCACGTTTGTATGGAGTCAACTCTACTGAGTTGCTTTATGGCAGATGTGGAATCCAGCATTAATGGAGCTTGACAAGGGCCTGCGTTTCTTGGTTTTTCAATCCATCTCTTGCGATTCGGCCAACTTGGAGGTGCAAAACTAGAGCTAGAATAGTGAGAAATGGCTGTTAAATGTTCCCAGAGCTGTTGGGATTGTGCACAGGTCGCTTTTGATTGTCTACCCAACCGTCCAAACTCGAACAAATTTCGATTTACTGTGTAATAACGATCAAGTGAAATACAAAAAGGATTGCATGTCATTGTTGATAATTCTTCAGTAGTGTGTTCAAGGATTTATTCACAGCCTTTATACCATGAATACGTCAAATTATTTTTTAAATTTTTGTCTAAAACTAGATTGAATTTTCATACATCTGCAAATGGGGCTTTTGTTGAAACATCCACTCCCGCCACAGCGCCCGATGCCCTGCCTCTCTTCTCTTACATTTCCCAGCGAACCGGGCCAATCCTTGGACCCGAACCTGGACTTCCACACCCCGGCTCCCCTCCAGCCCATGTGCCCCTCCGAAGCCGCCCTGATCCGTTATATTTAGCGGCACTCTGCCGGTGCCGGCGTGGCTCCACTGTTTGCACGGTGTGTGGTGTTGTGACAAGGGCCCGCACGGGAGCCGTAATGATACAGTGTCTCCGTCTCCCTCGCGGTGCTCAGATAGAGATTGTTTAAACAGTATCCTGAGCCTTGGACGGGTCCCATGACAACTCCATAAATATTTACCAGCAGCAGCAGCCACTCCGCTTCGCTTGAGGAGAGCTCGTCTGCAGGCTACCTCTGCAATGTTTTTCTTTTGCCCTTTTTTTTTCTCTTTGTTGTCTTGCGCAACTGTTGTAATTGTTGTTCTGATTTTTTTTTTGGGTGGGGCGAGGAGTGTTTTTACGATCGCTGCTTTCACCTTTTTTACGCATCCTCTTCCAACAGGAATGTCAGGATGTCCTGTATACTAGCAACACATTGTATTTAGGGTACACATGTTGCAGGCTGTGGTGAACACATTACAAGACGCAGTGAAGTCCACCAAGTCCAGTCAACTTCAGTAATGGGACACGTAACAGGCAGACAAAGTGTTCTTATACGGGTATAAGATGAGGCTTGTAACAAATTTATAAGATGTGGCTCCCTTATAAAAGCGTCAGCAGGTATCAAGTGTTTTCCATCAGCTAACGTTGGATTGTTCAGTCCGGTCAAACAATCAGATCAGAGTTTGTGTCAGTGACATCGTGCTTGCAGCAAAGACTGTGGCTAGCTGTCCTAGTTGTGTTGTTGGGCCTGCAAAAGTATTGCTTTACACTGAACTTAAAAGAATTAATCATTTTTAATTTCATAATCTACTCATCTGTTATCTGCCGCTTGTTACCTTCATTTAATCAATTATAGGATATAGTAAAAAATAATGTGTTCTAAGATTAGATCATTTTTGACCATATTACTTGTGCTGGTGTTCTATGAAACTTAGTCATGCATCCTCCTGTAAAAGATATGACCTTGCATTTTAAAGGCTATTTGAAAGGTTCTATTTGTAGCTCTGCAAACCTTGCAGAGACCCTGCTCACAAGTTAACAAATTATAACATTATAATAATAATTAAATCAGGAATATGTATCTAACATATTAAAAGTAAATGCGTTGAATGCAGAAAAATGTTCCATTTGACTGTTTTACAATTATTAGCTTATTAATACTCTACTAGTGATTCTTTTAAATTATGGATTATTCTCTCAATTAATTGCGCAATTGTTCTGTTAAAATTCTGAAATGGTGAGAAATGCCATCACAATCCTCCAGAGGCCAATGTGACCTTCATGATGTATGTTGCAAACCTTTTAATACATTTTAATATTGAAATCATCTAAAGGAAAATAAGTAAATCCTCATTTGTGAAGCTGGACGTGCTTTCACAAAAAATTAAGATCATTTTTAATACCAGTTCATTCATTTTCTGTCATTGTTTCCACTGTTTTAGAATATTTTCAAACGTTAATGCTGTCACATGAATGTAGTGCAACAAAGAGTGCAGTATTTCTACTTTACTAGTGGACTGTAGTGGACTAGATGTTTAAGTACCTCAAGTGTGTACTTAAGTGCAGTTATTGACCACGTGTACGCCGCTTTAAGAATGAAACGTTTTTTCCTCCATTGACAGATGATGGCAAGATCTTTCACGGCAGCGGCGTTGGAGACGCGTTCGGTCCTCGCTGCTTCAAAGGTGACATCATGGGCTGCGGCATCATGTTCCCACGAGACTACATCATGGATGGAGAAGGTGAGGGCGAAGGTTGGCGTGTCCGTGGGAGGTTTCGCTCTTAAACCTGCTTATCGTGGTTTAGCGCGAGGCAACGTTCAGTCAACAGAGTTCATTGTGTTGCACGTTGGGAAAGAAACTGGATGCAAACCAAGATCCCCCACAACCAAAACCGAACGGACGCTTTCAGGACACGGGAGGGGAAATCTATTCAGCTGGGTTCACGAGGTCCGTTCAAACCTGTGATGGCAAGTCGCAAGCACCGCGATGTTCAAGACGGCAGCTAATATTCTCTGACTAAATATTTCAGGTTGTGGCAATTAGTGACTTGTTCCAGCCTTCGTCTTCACACCGCCCTCGGTTCCGTCCTCAGGTGACGCGGGCGACTGGGGCGGCCTGGAGGTCCGGCCGTGTCCGGCCGCAGTCCAGAACGTCCTGTACCTCAACGAGGAGGAAGAGGAAGACGGGGAAGAGGTGGAGCAGGGACAGGAGGGCCAGAACGTCACGGTGAGGAAAACGCACCACAGTTGGGTTAAGATTCATAAGCACCTCCATGATGTGAATCCAAGTCCTCACCTTGTAAAATTCTCCCAAGCGTCCAATCGGAGGTGGAGAAACACTCGTTTTCATTAGCACTTAGTCAAGTTTAAGTCCACCTGATGAATGTCACTATACCTACTCTCACTTTAGCTCCATGTATTCCCTAAATGTGTCTGCCAGATGTTTGGCGCAGAGGAAGGTAGTGTGCAGACGGTTTTAAGGCCAAAAACAACAAGAAAAGTGGGAGCGAAACAAACCAGGTCCGTGAAGCTTACCTCACACGTCCGCTGGATTCTTTCGGTACCACGAGGATCTTTGGAAAGTCCGTCTTGCCGTACTTGGTGTAATCTCATCTGAGGAGCTACTGACAGCTACAGGTGTATTTGAGGTGCAAAGAACGGCCCTCTTCCCCCGACTGGGAAGGCTTTGATGTCAGGTGATGATTCTCTGTCTCCGGGTGGTCAGCAGGAAAAAAAACCTTTCTCATTGTCATTTGATCCATACTAGTTACGAATCATATTTGATATAGCTGCTTTAAATGAAGAATGAAGACTTTCCCTCTTCCAAAATGTTGTTATATATCCATCATATATGGATGTGAGAGTGCTCAGGCTAACCACACAAAAGTTAACCTGGAGTAAAATCCGATAACGAAGAAGGCACAGCTTAATTCATTTCTAGCAAAAACATACCAATAATCAATTTCTACTCAAATGTTGTGACACAAAAACTCAAAGCCTCTGCTCCATGTTATAGCATTTTGAGTCAGAGGTAAATGTGCAGAGCAATTTTCTAACCTGCAGCTGATAGCCGGGTCAAAAATTGGAGCTAGTTGATATTTGCGTCCTTTCACATTACTAGTAGAACTTCTACCCATTTCTAATGTGAAAATATTGATTAGAGCAGCTTTCAACCTGAAAAAACGAAAGCTGCGAATGCACCAGGTGTCGACTGAGCTCATTTCCTCGATGTGGCTCATTGACGTGTTTCAATAGGGGCTCGATTACAAAGGAGCTTCTTGGCGTGGAGGTATAAGACACATCGGACTTTAGAGACACATCTCCCTCTCATCTGGAAACTATCGTTGCACCAAGCTTTGGTGGAAACCCTGACCGTGTGTACCAGGCAGACACACAGCCGATGACCTTGCGGTGACGCACTGGAGACTCCAGGAAAGTCTCCGGCTGCATGTCTCCTCGACGGTGTTGTGAGCACAGTATCGGTCCGATACGTATTGGTAATCTTGGTGTGTGTGTGTGTGTGTGCACAGGGAGGCGTACGCAATGTAAACAAGGCGAGGAGGATTATTTTCTTGAGTAATTATTCAGTCACGAGTCGGATCAAACCTTTCCAGAATTCAAGGTTGTGTCTTCAGATGTCTTGTTCTTGTCCAGAACTGCCAAGATATTCACCTTACAATCATACTGAAACCCAAGTGAGAATCGGGTTTGTTCTGACTGTGTTACTGTTTCACAACGTAACCTTGAAAACCCCCAAAGTCACACAGTAACCCCCCTCACTGACCGACGGATGGTGGAGTGCTGACATCTATAGTCTGTGTATTTCCTGCAGTGGACGGCGATGTACCTCACACAAAAATAAAAAATCCACACAACTGTATTTGGAGCGGGTGGCACAGCGAATGTTAGATTCGATGACTCATTCTGATTAATCGAACAGACACACACACGCTGCACAGTGCTTCCTTTGTTGGTTTAGTGTCGGTATTCACTCTCAGACTTGGAAAGAGGCCCTCGGTATTAGCATTGAAAAGTGTGTTGGTGTTCTTTTGCTAACAGCTGGATGATGTTTGATCACTCGCTGATTTAGTGGAGACATGTACTATAAACATTGGCTTTTTCCCCCCTCGGAGAACACAGACATTACACTGTCACTTATTTGTTTAACGATATTTCCTAACTGCACATAATTCCTGTTTACAACAGGCACACTGTGTACTCTCAAATTAAGTTCGTACTACCATCACTCATTATGAAAAGACATTTCTTTCATGGGTAATTGTTTCAATGCTCCATTGCTGGATTACCATCCGTGAAAGGTATGTGTGTGTGTGTGTGTGTCTGTGTGTGTGTTTTAACTCTGTTGCCGCCCTGTGGTCCTCCAGGTGTTCTTTACAAGGAACGGGAAGCTGATGGGCCGGAGGGAGGTGGGGGTCCCTCCCGGGGGCCTCTACCCCACTGTTGGGATGCTGAGCAGCGGGGAGAAGGTCAAAGTGGATTTGCGTCCCCTCAGCGGATGAGCGGTGCACGTGAGCCTGGACTTGTGATGCCCTGCACACACAGCTGGCTGCGCTGCAAAGATCACCCACGACGGCCCGCCGCGCTGCCGGCGTCTCGCTGGCGTCTCCGGCGCTGCTTCTGCTTTTATTTATAAGACCTGTACATTGTCACACTTTCACAAAGGGATGCTCCTCCTGCTCGTAAAGGGGCAGAGAGGCCTCGCCTGAGCTGTGTAAGTCACAGCATGCAGGTGTAGACGCCTGCACCTCGTAGCTGATAGATATTTAACCGTTAAGTCTATGCAATCTGTACCGCCATCGTCCTCACGTCTAACCCAGCTCTGCATGCGGAGTGTGTGTCCGAGACGCTGAGCCGTTAAACCACCTCTCGTGAGGTCTGGCGCACTTTGTTTATTCCATTTGTCCCGACCCCAAGCAGAGCGAGGCCAGCAGTCCGTTGCTGGTTTGTGTTCTCTCTCTCTCTCTCTCTCTCTCTCTCTCTCTCTGAGTGAGGCTGCCCTCGTGTGAGTGATCAGGGACCTGCTATTGCTTCGACCACGTCTGTTGGTTAACTGATGCAATATTTCCCAAATGCATCCGCGCTCGTTTTTTCTTGAGAATCGTATGAGGGTTATTGAACGTTTGGCAATCACAACGCGACATAAGATGCTGTTACTGAGCAGCGTCCGTTCAGGAGTTTTCTGTTGGAGCCAGATTCCAGAAAACAACAAGTCAGGTATATTTTCATCCAAATACACGTTTGAGGTTATCTGCATTTAGAGTTCAGGGAATGCGTTTTGATTTCGCTCTTTTAGGGCAGACGTGAATTCAGTGGGTGGGTCAAAATGAATAAAACCCCATCTTCCAGTATGATGCAGTCCGATGCAGCAGCACGGCCATCAGCCACGGAAAGTAACCAGAGGCGTGTATCCATCAGGAAAATATCACTCTGCAAACTCAGTTGAAATCAAAGTTGACTCAAATTCTTTACCATTATGTTAGAACAATCATTTAAGAGAATAAGGAGGCCCCCTGAAATGATTGATTCATCTTTGCTAGAAGATTTCCTCTCTGGATGTTTATTTTGAAGATCGAGACGACGTTTGGTTGCTGTTTGTGTGTTGTTGTGTGTCTGCGCAGCTTTCGGCAGCAGCACCAGAGGTCTGTTTCACAAAGCCACATGTACGCGATTTAGCAATGTCACTGGGCTGGTGCTCAATCTCAATGCTGGCTCCCTTTTAACCTGGTCAGACCATCGTGATCAATCGTTCAGTTTATAAACAAAATGAAATGTTGAGAATACCAACCAACACAACCAGTTTGATAATTGAGTAATAGCCTCAGCCATTTTAGATTTTAAGAAATGTATAAATAAGCCAAATATTTGCTGTTTACTATTTCTGTATTTTGGTTTTTGATGATGATCAATTGATTATCAGTTACAATGATCCGGATTCAGAGTAGAAAATGTTGTGTGAAGTGTTTTGTTTACATAATAGCAGCACTGCTAAATGCTAAACTATCGTGTGCTTCTACACAAAGTCTAAGAAAAGCTGTGGCTGTCTCAATGCTGCAGAGAAGTTCAGCCAAACCACACGGCGGGTTTAACCCATCGACTTATGGAGGAAGAGCAAACATACACACTTCTGGGTTTACAAACTCATTCCTCATCACTTAATGGCCCACTCAGTCCTAGCTGTATTAGTCAACACCGCTTAGCCCGGGTCACAATGTTATGCGCCGTTAAACCCGCCACAGACAGAACTTCACGACGCAGACCTCCGAGCCAAAGCAATTGTTCAGGTGAACGAGAAATACTGTAAAGTTTATTGTATCCTGTCGGTGGGAACTGGTTTCCACTCAAATTATTCTGATTAATGTGAACGAAGGGAATGATAATCATTATTATATTGCATCGGCTAAAATTCCTCTGCATCTTTCTGCATGTGGTTTCATATAGTACAACATAAGCAGCGCTGCAACATGAACTAAACCTCATATTCCTTCACCTGAGGTGCTTACGCCAGGTTTGTTTTGTTCATGCTGCAGATAGTGATTCTAGAAATACATTGTACACAGGGTTACCTATTAAATCACAAATCTGCTGGAGATTGTTTCGTTGCAGTTGTCATGCATCTTGTTTTAGAGCCACTGATGTAAACACTGTGTATATATAAACATATTAATCTGTCATTCTTTTCCTGCAGGGCTGGATAGACTGATGTTGAGGTTGTTACATTCTGAACTGTTAAACTTATTATGCTAGACTGCAAAGATTTTAATCAGACATGTGTACATTTAAGCCACGTCCAAGTTCAGGGTATTAAAGTGTACTCCAAATCTGTTTACAAAAGAAAAAATGTTCAACCAAATTACAGCTGAATGTTTTCATAGCATCTCTACTCACCAAGGAAATCTGTAATAATTCCTTGCCTTGAGTTGCACTACAATTACCTTGTTCAGTACATGTAAGATCATCAATAAAGGTTTCAGTAATGTAACTGACTGGATTGTTTTGTTTGAAATGTTCTGAAGAGAAAGTAGCCTTTTTACACTATAAACAAAAAGCTTTTTTTTTAAATGGCTAGTATACATTTTTTTCCAAAGTGCAACGGTTTCATTCTCTAGGTGGTTATTTCTAAAGGAGCAGTTATCAATATAGACATTAGAAAGTGGTGCCTTGACATTAGCTAAACTGCTATAGTGTTGCATTTGAGACACAATTTTACTTCAACAGCCGAAAGTATTGGAGGGATTTGGGGAGAAAACTAACACTTTCTATTGGTAATTTGTGTGGAATTGTTCAAGTTGGATCTCCATTTAAAGGAACTTCATTACTTCCAGCAGTGTTCAGTAAAAAGTCTTTAGCCGTGTCATTAAACAAAATTCCAAATGACGCAGCAGCCCTCTAAAAACTGACTTTAGATGGATGCAGTAACACAATTGAGCCACCGGAGGGGGCGGCAACAAACTTGGTGTTTTTACATGCAAATTTAGGGAGTAAAATCCTCCATTCGTTAGCCGTGATCCAATGACATTGGAGTAGCCATCAGGTGCTGATAACGTTATCACCAAATCGGTAACAAGTCTTATCATTTCTATACATCTTCTGGAGTCTCCTTTCACCAACCGTATGCAGGTCGCATGAATTGCTAATCTACGAGCACATTATCATAAGTCAGTAAAAAGGATTGGGCCGATCACCATTGAGGTACCGTTAACGAGACAGGGAAAGATTTCCCAGTTAGTAACGCAGACAACTTTTTCTATAACAATTTATTTAAACAGTAATTTAGGATATTTGGTCCATGGTTTAAAAAAAAAAAACTACAATATTCATTAAATCCAGTTGTAACTCTTGAAAGGTTTTTTTTTTTTACATTTACAAATAGAATGTCAACTGAAAAGAGAAAGATTAGATGTTTACTCAAACACTGATCAAGCACATTATCTTGCAAATACAGTAATGGCTCAGTGCTGGGCTTACTTTTCTAAAAAAAAAAAAAAAAAAGGTAGTACATCTTTAATATTTAAAAAATGACTCCATTAAGAATGAACATTGCCTGCACAGCCCGACATCTTGGAATAAGACTGAGGTTTCAATTGATAGGAGGCATACAATGGAACTAGAAAAATCACAAAAATAATTGTGTCATAACATTTAGACATGTGTGCTAAAGATATTCTTTACATTAGCATTTTAAATTTTGCACATTTAAAAAAATGTCAGATCGACAGTCTCGTAAAAACTATTTCAGAAAGTGTTCAAAAGAGGCACAATAAGAGGTCACACCAGACACTGCAGCAACTCTACAGAGAAGAGAAGAAGAACATCTAAAAAAAAACAGGGAGGAGTGGCGAGAAGTCCTCCTAGTGTCCATGGTTGTAATGTTGTTGATCAGTCTAGACATCCTCTTCCTCCTCCTCGTAGTATCGGTTTCGTTTGATCATATCCTCCACAGTCAGCACCTCCTGCTGCTCCGCCACTTCCTCGCTGTCCCAGAACCCCACATCCTGAGGAGACCGGCCGGCCTCCACCTCACCTTCAGGAGACGAGAGGTCCGTTGGTGTCTCCTCCCGTTTCAGAGGCAGCATCTCTTCCTCCAAGACGGCATCGTCGTCGTCGTCGTCGTCTTCCTCCTCCTCCTCCTCCATCCTCTCATTATACTCCTTCTCAGGTTGTTCATCCAGGGAGTTTTCAACCACGTTGGTGAGATGGTCTGGCATGTTGTCAGTGTTAATCTCACCCTCTTCCATCTCACCCTCTTCCCCCTTCCCCCCCTCTTCTTCTTCCTCCTCCTCCACCTCCTCCTCTTCTTCTTCCCCCCCAGAGCTGGCATGGACGGCCACGCTGTCCTCAGTGGGCGTCAGGCTGCTCGGGGAATAGCCGCCGTGCTGCAGCTCCATGCTGGAGGGTTTCGGGACTGAGCGGCCCGTCGTCTACGGCAGGCGACGGTGGGCTCGGTTTGCCGGCCTCGGCGGCGGCAGCCTGCCCCGCTAGTGTGAAGGGCATGCTGCGCTCCTTCAGGGAGGAGGTCCGGCGCAGGCAGGGCGTCTCTCTGGACTGTTCCGGCGGAGAGGAGGGAGAGTCCTCCTCCGGGGGCCACTTGGCTTTGATGGGCTTGCCGGGGGACCCCTCCTCGGCGGACGCCACGGCGCCACCCGCGTCCTGCACCTCTGTTCGCGGTGGCCAGGAGATCTTCAGCCTGCGCGCCTCACTGGGCTTGTCGGACTTCTCTGGCGATCCTTGTCCCAGCGCCTCCATGGTGGCCATCAGCACGTTGACCTTAGCCAGGGGGGAGTCCTCCACACTGGGGCTGTGCAGGTCCGGGGCCGACGGCGAGCTCTGCATCATTGGCTTGGCGTGCGCGTTGGACGGCGGCGAGGACTCACCGCCGTCCGCTTTGCCCTCCCACAGCTCTTTGTGGGGTCGGTGGCCGAAGCCCTCGTCGTAGTTGCCTTTGGCCTTGAAGAGCTGGCAGAAGTGCGGCTTGCAGTAGACGTTGTTGTGCAGGGAGGCGTAGTTCACCAGACTAAAGAATGGATAAAGTTTACAAATGAGAAAATAAAAAAAACAAGCTGCCGGGACGAGGTGGAACATATTTGGTCTTCAAAAGGTTTGCTGAACATTTTTCCCCAAATATTAGTTGTAGTGATGGTTTTAAATATGAACCATTGGTTGCAATACCATCGCTTTAGTTGGCTTATTGTTGATCACTGCCGTTTAAAAGACAGACAAGCTGCAGAATTCACACGAGGGATTTTTACTGAAAAAGGTTTTTGTAGAGCAAAAAGTTGAAATATCTTAAGCTAGTTTCCGGCATGGAACAATATATAAAAAAAATTGTAGAAACAATGCAGACAAATTTTTAGGTCACATCTTTGCACACAGAAAGGTAAATATTTAAATCATTAATCATGCCGTAAAATAGTCAAAAAAGATAGTTTGGTATTACAATCCATGCAGTTTAAGACTCCATGAGAGCTTGCTAGTTTATTCAAATATCTTAATTTAAGCTGCTTCAGAGACGACACACACACGCACCATGTTGTGTTTTTTTTCTGCCAGCATCACTGTCCCAAGAAATTGAGTTTCCAAAGGCCCTCTAGTTAATTCTATTATTTTACATTTTCAATAGATTTTTTTAAGCAGGCATGGTGACGTCCGGGTCCTCACCTCAGCTTGGTGTTGCAGTGCGAGCAGCGGAAACAGGAGCTGTGGTAAACGTGCTGATTGGCCACCAGCCTCTCCAGAGGATAGACGGTCTTCAGACAGGCCACACAGGTCTCCCGCACAGGCAGACAGAAGCTCTACAAACACACGCAACACAAATTCAGTCACGGCATCGCGGTTCCTCCAGCGTCTCAGGCGGCATCCTGCGAGGACTCACTTTGGGGGTCTTGGAGGATACGGGAGTACCGGTAGTGGAGCCTGTTGGGATCACAATAACATTTCCAGGATGAGGGGACAAAAAGGTAGAGACTCATTTTGAACACTAGATGGAGATGTTTACACAGACTGATGTTAGATACCCAGGAAGCCTAAATAAAGCGGTGGACATGGTACTCAAGGTAGTAAATCGTAGATTCGTTAATGAAAAAAAAGTTATACCTGAATACAGACACAATCTACTTTAAAAGGAGTTTAAAATGTTTGTTCTTTGTCTGCATCCAGACATGATCTCTAATGATGACCAGATCGCCAAGTTCTAACTAGGGGGGCGGATTCCTTTCCACTGGAGTCATGATATGAAGATGTGGAATGTAAATTACCGTTGCTCTCTGGGGTAAAACCTTTCCTGCTGTTTGGTTCAAAGTCCGTACTCTGGAGGGGAAAAAAAAAAGGATGTGAAGAGAGAATGTGCAAACTGACTCATGTTTAAAAGTGGAACGCAGATAAACATATTAACGACTCAGCAAAACAACCTCCCGCACAGAAATATGAAGTACTTTGTATTCATTTGAAAAATCACAAGTCAAGACTCCTCACCAGGTCCAGAGTGAACGGAGGAACGTTTTCCTTCTGCTTCCCACAGAAACCGTCCAGCTGATCACTCTGAGGGAAACGAGGGCGCAAGTTCAGCAACAAAGTAAAACATCCTTGACGCCAGTGTTGGTCGAGCGATGAAATTTGACTGCAGAGCGCAAATATGGGTTTAAACAACACTCGGCAGAGTTTGTTTGAAGATTTAAAAAAAAAAGTTGTGTGCTCTTGCTGGTTTCTCCTTTGTTGCTTTAGAATACTTTGTCCACCACTGTTTGTGCAGGAAAACGTGTCTGTAGAAAAGCACCAGACCTCGTGGAGTGAAACGCATCATTTTAGGGAGCCGATTGGCATTAATACTCACAGTGACTGAGGTGGGAGGGACTTCCTGTTTGGAGATGGCAGCTTGGTAGAGGGCCATTCTGTCCCGGAGGGGAGTCGATTCTGCGAGACTTCCATCTTGTGTTACACATAATACAGACAATTTAAAAACGGATGCAATAGGATTTATGCAAACAATTAAACTTCATTGGTTACGCACAGCAGCTTTTACTGGTTTAAAAATGGAATGAAGTTCCAGAGCATTTTTTAAGCCATTAATTGTTGGAATGATTCTGCCTCACAAGAGAAACTATTTTCCTGTTCAGGGTTCATATTTTCCACCCATCCCAGCTCAGACCGAGTGGAGACTGTCTGTTAGTCATGCGGGCTGTGGGAGGGGACGCCAGGTCGGGGGGGGGCGCAGAGGGGCTCCGACTGACTTCCTGTTCAGTGTGCTGATCACGGCGGTGCTACAGAGGTCACTTCTGGGCAGGATGTAATCCATCCCGAGGAAGGTCGGACCACTCATTATGTAAAGATCATTCACGGCTCCAACCAGGCTGGTGGTGCAGATAAAGGATTTGCAAACACGAAACATAGCGGTTTTTGTTTTGGACCGAAAAAAAAAGTATCCATTAGAGTTCAAATGTGTATGCTAACAAGGGATCTCCAGAGGATGATGATATAATAATAATGATTATTATTATGATTAATAATAAAAACCAACGTCTAAAAACAACTAGATAACCTGCTCAGCACCACACAGCAGACCGACACCAATTAGTTTGTAATGATTTCATTCCACTTTGTTAAATATGTAACCTACTAGTGTGAAAATACCAATTTAGTTACTGGAAAAAATATCGATATTTACAACTAAACTATCAAAACTCCTTTGCACACAATGGTGTTTTTTTTATCAACATAACACAATTACAACCATTTTTGCACACACCTGTCCCAAGTGGTTAATGGACATTAGGGAATTACAGAGTAAAATAACAGTGGTATTAATGGCAGCAGATTACAACAAGTTGTTCTTACATTATGCACCCCAGAATATTATGACTAAATCTATATACATAAGAGTATTAACACTATAAAAGTACTTTTAAATAACACTCATTTATGTACAGCCAAACACATATGTTTCCAATCGGTTCTCATCTCCTGCAACAAATCATTACTTATGAAATGCGGAACCAGACAAAAGGTACCTGCTTGTGACTGGTCCATGTTGGCAGTATTACCACAGTTTCCTCTAGTCGTTTGCTCTTTCGGAACCTGCAAAAGAAAAAACAGAACGCACAATCAGACGTACGGCATTGAAACAGAAGTCAAAAGGACAAAACAGAACAACACAATCCCTGGATGACGTCTGCAAACACACAGCCTGCTGATGCTCACATGTTTCAGCCAGGAGAACAAAGCGGCTAGAAGAGAGACTGTCCATCAGGAAGATCAGAGCGCAGAAAGCAACGCGTGTGCTCGTTCAGTCCAAACCCGCTTTAATCTCCTTATGAGCTCAGAGAGACGGAGCCTCAGACAGTCTGTCAACAACCACCAGCCAGAAAACAATTTAAACTGAGCCCAGGTGGTTTTACGCTAGTTTCTTCCATCAATAGGCCTTGAAATAAAAACTTTTACCAGAATCTTGAACTTAATTTGAGTCATGGCTGCGTAGTCAGTTTCTATTGAAAGATTATTGAATGAAAGAGTCAACGCCCTTGCTACCATCAAAAAAGGAAATTTTTTTTAAATAAAGTCCAACTCCCCAGCAGCAGTCAAAGGCCACCGACCAACAATCATGAGAGGATGAGGACATTTACAGATTATGACCAGAGGTCCAGACACCCTTTAACAGATTCACAATTAAAATCTGTATTCGCGTGCAATAGGTGGCAGTCCCTTTAACTAATGTTGGAAAAGTATTTCTGGCAAAATGTATTTTGGTCCAGCGCGTCAAACAGGTCGCAGGATAAATCTGAGGGATGGTGAAATGACTAACAGATCTTAAATTGAAAAGTTACTCGCAACTAAAGCGCTTGCATAAATGTAGGAGTAAAGCGTATAGTTGTTGCCTCTGAAGTGTAGAATTGAGAAGTGCTTCCTTGTTTCTCCCACTGATCACTGCATGGTTTTTAGGCCTGAATCACCTGAGCTGCCCACTCGGTCCTGACAGGCTCGCACGGTGTCTGCAGGCTGCAGCAAGTAAAAGCGGGGAAATATTTCACAAGAGTCAACAAAGCAGATGTGGATGCTGAAAGGAACAAGTATGTTTAGACAAGTCAATGCTCATCAGGTCCCATTAATGAGTGGAATCACTTATGTACACCCTAAAAGTGTAAAATAAAAATCACATTTTGCATCAAAACAATTCCAACCCATAGTGATGAAAGTTTCTTGTTCTGAAATAAGTTTAAACATGTGAAAGAATTTTATTTTGAAGGATTGGATCTTTTACAGCTGCCTTGGAACCCGAAAGCAGCCATCTTGGTTTGGACCACAAAGGCTTTGTTTTTGTAAACTATAGTGTCCTTATTGCACAAGGAGGGTTTTTTTGTGGCGTAAAAGCTGAAATCAACCTTTTCAAAAAACGTTGCATTAGTATTTGTGTGCTACATATCTGGTCTCCATGTTTTTACCAACTTCCAAGAAAACTTGGCTTGCTGCAAACGGTCTGCGATTTGGTGCTAAACGTTCAGTGTACAGGGCTTTCAAGCAGACATATTAAGTCCCAATAAGTCATGAAAGTTAAGAGTTGTAAAAAAAAAAAAAAATTGGAATTTCCGGATGAGTCATTATGCTTCCAGGATTAGTCTTTGACACAAACATGAAGTCATTTGATGTATTGCAATACAAATTAAATGAATCTTTATGATCCGTTACTCTTCAGAGCTCTGCACCTGCATCAGGTGAATAGTATGAACATGTGCATATCAGACGATGTCATCGAGGGCGAGTCTGCCATATCGGAGCATCCAAGAGTTAAATGTACAAGCACGGGGTCCTAAATGATTCAGATGCATGTTAAACGTACGCCGACTCGGGACTTCATTTGTGTCCAGGATTCATTCAGCGTGTTCATCTCTGGGAAAAAAAGATCCCAACAAAAGAAACAGCCGCCATCATAATAATGGATCTTTCCCTAAGGGTGGATTATCTTCCCGAGATGGGAGGTGAAGCTTGGTGGGACAGGGGGAGTTTGACTGGTTTGAATGTGTGCGGAGGGAAAAGGGGGATGAGGGGGGGGGCAGACCATCCGGGACCAGGCTGGGTCTCAGGAGGCTGGATCAGTGGGCTAGACAAAGAATCTGCCGCTAATCCTGATACTATTAAAGCTCTCCTACAGACCGACTTGCCGTGATGACCCCACCCTGTCCCTGAACCCACCTCCCGCGGTTCTGACACAATAAGATGTTCTTACATTGTGCAAAACAATGACACAAGACAACCACGCCATGAGTTAACGTCCTTTAAACAAGGGAATAAACCCGAGCCACCCAATATTAGTCAAAGTGAACAGACTGTTCAAATGAGTCACTGATAAAGTTAACCCACCAACAGGCCTTTGAGAGGCTGGTTTCATTCTGCAGCAGTGTCCACTGAAAGGTCTCATTCAGCTGCAGAGAAAACAGCATCATCTTACAGACTAGTCAACATAAAACGGGCAGAAATAGCAAAAGTAGGCCGCGGGTCTCTGGGTAATGAAGCCGGGTGCCTGTTCAGCGAGCAAACAAAGAAAGAAAGAAACCCCATATTGCACCGCGTGAAAAGGAAAACACCATAGCTACCTCTCGAAGGCGTCCGGCGGAGGGGGGGGGGGGGGAAAAAGCAAGAAAGGATGGATGTCAACAGCGAGCCAGGGATCGTACGAATGAATCTCGCAGACTTCTACACACCACACTGAGAAGATACGGCTCCCATGTGGCTTATGACAAGGGAGATGGAGACGGGGAGGAGGGGACATCCACTGGGTGGGCAGAAGGGAGGCGACAGGGAGCAGGTGCTCTGGGGGAGGGGGTTCCTCAAGGGGGGGGGGGGGGGGCAAAGTGTGCCACTGTGTTACAGATGGTTCAGAGGGTGTGGGCAGCTTTTTGTTTTTACTGTGTCTCTCGGCCCCCCCCACCCCCCGACCTCATAGTAAAGCGCCCGGCGTTTGGGGTGAAGTCAATTGGGACAGGAGGTGGGGAAGCAGCTGGTGCAGGGGGCTGACAGAGGAAGGAGAGGAGGGAGGGGGCGGGAGGATAGGTGGGGCCGAGCAGTGTGTGGGAGGGGAGGTGTTGTTTTGTTTAGGCGGGCAGGGGTAAATTAATTTCAGAGAGCCTCATGACTGCCTGCTTCCCCGCCTGATGAGGGGAGTGAGTTGGGGGGGGGGATAGCAACTCAACATGATTGAGTAGTAGAGGGTTTTTCTTTGCAGCATGTAAACTATTTTTCTTGGCATTATAACATTTTCCAAATAGCACTCAAGTAAAATGAGAGCTTTCCTCCAGAGATAGCCATTTCTTAAGAATATAACCACCCCCCCCCCCCCCCCCCCAAAAAGAAAAAAAAGAACTGGACATAGTGGAGGTTGAGGTTTAGAAAGAGGAGGAGGCGGTCGAGAGAGAAAACAGGCAGGATGTGGACGGGGCGCCGAGCAGAGGAGTAGTGGACAACATGGATGATTGATGAGGTGGGGGGGGAGCAGAGCTTTGATGGCCGAATGGGGGAAGAGCGTCTGAAGAGGCTCAAAGTACAGATCAGCTGTCTGCAGTCAGGAGCCTGCCAGCAGACACCATTACATCATCTGCCCCGAGAAGAGGAGCCAAAGGCCCGGCCGCCGCTATATAGTGACCGCCATTGTAGCAGAACTAGATTTTGTGTTACGGCTCAATGCTTCCCTACACGATCGCTCTTTTTACAAGATAACCACGCAACATGCAGTAAAAGAATTCCCAAAATGCGCCTCAATCCCTCTTTTTTGAAAGTTTACACTCTTGCAATGAATTTTTTATATTTTTGGCAAGAACCATTGCTTTTTTTTATCATGGATCCCACAAAACCTTAACAAGCTACCCCGGGGTTAGTCTGGTTATAAGCTGTATTTTTCTTCAAGCCGACATGCATTGTCTTGAGCGCAGCACCAAATATGAATGAATCCACCTGAAAATAGCCTACATACAGATTTTACAGAGGAATTTAGATTTCTCACTCAAATAGGATGCCAGGAAGCTTAGCGTCAAGACTGGATCCGATAGCTTGGTTGACCAAAACTCACAGGAACACCAAAAAGTTTCAGAGTCAGCACAAACACCTGCTAGCTCAGTGAATCAGGCTTGTAGGCTCATGTACCAATGACAAGCTTTGAGAAACCAGGACTTTGGAACACAGTCGCCTGGTGGTTCAAATATTACACCGTGTGGGACGCTTGTTCCCGACTGGTTGAACGCAACGAACACACTGACGTCAACCGTTTCAAAGACTGTCCAAGGCGGTTTTGGGGAAATAAGTTATTGTAGGGAAAAAAAACAACCACATGTCAATGTTTGAATTTATTTTTTTCTCTCCAGGCAATTTGGTACTCCAAACATGTGGGCAGGAAAATATTTTAGGGCTGACTTATCTTGATAAGAAAAAAAGATATCTACAGGAATGGACAAGCAGGAATTCTTTGGAGTGGCTGTTGGCCTGGAGGGGGGAGATGGCTCTGCGTTACAGGAGGTTCTGCTCACTTAACGCCAGTCAGCACAGATTTGTATTGCTTAAAAACACCATGATTTCAAAGAGAATCAAGACAATAAACGTTTTATTGAAACAAATGAGCAGAAAACTGCAAAGCGCGCCGTAGAGCTGAATGCAGAAAAGTCTGCTTCTTCACGCCTTTTAATTTTCTATTCCGGTTGTAAATGGCCGCTTTTGTGAGGAAAAAACACAGCGTGGTCGTTGTTAACATGTCCCACCTCAAATATAAGAACTTTGTTTTAGAACGCCTTTAGCGACGCATGACTGGGTGTTAAAGGACTTTTTTTTATGCCCCACAAACAAACAAACAGCTGCCTCTGGGTGCACGAAGCTCCGGTCACGGAGGCTTCCCGAGGGGCTGTTTGAGTCAGCTGAGGCTGTGTGTTTTGAGATAAGGGATGGTGAAGTGAAGCGAGGCTGCACCGTGTGACTTGCAGCATGAAAATCAGGAGGAATTGACCCTAACTCACACCTCCCTAACCGCTTTACTCCATCCTGTGAACATTCATGTTTGGAAAACAATCTGCTGGTCTCCATTATTAAAAATAAAAGACTCACCCGGTCGGTCAGGTTCTCGCCCTTCTCGAACATCATCTTGAGGCTGTTGAGGGGGACGCTGGGCTTTTCACAGTCGGATAGTTCAGCGGCCGTCGCTCCGTCCTGCCCCTCTGATCCTCTGCTCGGCTTCTCCATGTTGGTCGGATCCTCGCGTTGAGCAGAGAGCAGCCGGCTGGTGCTCGTCTCACTGGTCTGCGGATGAAGCAGCGTCTCCGGCTCTGGATCCTGGTCTGGTGTGACCGAGGTGGTTTTGGAGGTCTGGTTGTGGGTGGGTGTGGGACCCGCTGGTTGGCCAACGGGGCTCTGAGGGTCGGCCGGGATGAAGGCCTGAGTTTGGGGTCTGTGGCTGGACAGCTGCTGCTGCTGCTGTTCCCAGCGCTTCTTTAAAAAACTCAGATTCCCGCTGCGCAGCGTGGAGGGAAGAGGTTCTGCAACCTGCGGAGAAAAAAAAAAAAAGACAAACTAAGCACTTCACACTTCACAAAAATGACGGCATTAATCTGCAACAGTCATAAAATCTCACAAATGTCCAAAACCAGCAAACTGGAGGAAATATTGAATATACGAAACGTCCAAACCATTGGGTAACCTCGTCCGGTCATGCATACTTTGTCTTCAAATAAAAACACCAAGATATATTCTGTTGACTTCACATTCAGCAGAATTGCTTGTCGAATCGATTAGACTTTGGCTCCACGAGTATTTAAACAGTAGTGGGAAACGGAATGACTCACCATTTCTGGTCAAGTTTTAGCAAAGAGGACACGCATGCTGCTCTGGGAATCGGTTTAGTTTTTTCCATACATTTTGTAAAGATGCTAACTGGTTCTTAAACGTAGGAAGTTAAAAACCACAACAACACTGTCCACACAGACATGTTAAACTACATGTTAGCATTCATGCAAACGCTGAGCTATGAAAGCCTGGAAGACAAAGAGCTGCTCAGAATGAAAGTCTCCAAACCTGAACCTGCAGGATACGGAACAGAACGCTTGAGAAACTCACCAAACTAAGGTAGCGAGTTAAAAACCAGAGAGACTCTGAAGACCCGGCTTCCCAGTTGGCGTCGTACGTTTAAAGTGTGTGTGTGTTTGTCTCGAGTGTTGAGTGCGTTTGCTGGCCGGCTACAAGCTGTCCCAGATGTGAACGCCTTGAGAAGTGATCAGAGCAGCATGAAGCAACTAGCCCACCCACCCCCCTCCTACAACAGAGGGAAGGAAGGAAACCGGGGGAGTGGACTGAGTGAGGGGCGGGAGAGAAAATCAGAAACAGTCAGTGAGGGAAAATAACTCCAGGAAATGAGATAAAAGGTGAAAGCAGGGAGCGTGCTGAAAATGAACAGCAGAGAGATAAAAACTGGATAAATAATAATAATGTTCTGATAAGTGTTCAAGGTCTCCATGTGATGTTTATTTTACTGATTGTATTTGACAGACACCTTTCACTACCTTTCTCCATCTAGACTCCCTTTACCGTCTCTATGTGAGGAATGTGAGACATTCCACAGAACACTTTAAGAGCGACAAGAACAAGAAAGAAAAGAAAAGAAAAGAGCGCAATCACAACTTCTGAGTTGTGTGTTTTCAGAATAACCAGCAAAACACAGGACTGGAAATAATAGCAAAGTATCTATTTTCGTAAGATAAAGTAAAGCTGAGGCAGCAAAGAAAGGGAAACATTTAGATGTTGACGTGACGGTGGCACTAGAGGAAAAGTATCACTAAAGTCCTTGGGATTAATAAAGAAAACACGCGTGAACATTTGACAATAGTTTGGCAATTATTGAGAGATCGGACTCAAAACCGAAGAAATAACACGCAAACTATTTTGGAATAAAATGTCTCGGTTCAAGATTAATGTCCTGTACTTTTGCCTCCACTTCAATTTACTTTGACATGTGCAGAACTCCTGATGAATTTATAAAATCCATTATTACTGATTTATAGGCCCTTGGTGTCCACGAATCGTGTTATGGCTGGTTTGATGTTGGACAGAGATTACAAATCTGCATGCAGCAATACAAATGGAGTAAGTTTCAACTTGTCTTATAAAAACACCAACAGGAGAGCGGGAATGTCAGTCGATCTGTCTGTGCATGCAGAGACAAATTAATAAGAAATGAACAGCAGGTGTGCATGGACGCGTGGGTGTGCAAGTAGAAAAAAAAAAGTACATTGAGCGCGAGTTAGGAAGTTAACCAGGTCGTAACCCGGCCTCAAATATTTGTGTTATATTGCCAAGAACCTCTTGAAAAACTGCCTTTATTAAAACTGAGTCCTTTCGAAATGAGACTAGTCCCTTTGATATCAACATGGGGCCACATTAATTCCTGTGACATCCCTAAGATAACGTATTTAATATGGAGTCCTTGAAGTATAGCATCTCTTGAACGTTTAATTAACTATGTAATCTTGCAGCCTTCTGAATGATGAGCAGCGTTTTTTTTTATCTCAGGTACATTTTGTTAATAATTTACTCGAGGCAAATTTTGAATGAACACCGTCACTAGTATTGTAGTATAGTGTAGATACTTCTACTTGAGTGAAGTATGTGAAAACTTCTCTCCTACCGCTTTCTTCTTCTCTGCATTTCCCTCCTCTGCTGCCATCTGGTACCTGAGGACGAGGAAGTTGGACGTGAATGGGACAAATATCTCTTCTGCTCTCCAGAAACATTTGAGAACTTCAAATTGTATTAAATATTAGCATATATTAGGAATATTTTGCAAGTTGGGTCAATTCTTAAAACTATGCATTGGTGACCAAAAAAAGAGAAAACTAGAGTGGACCGTTTCTAACGCAGTTTAATAGGACAAAGAATGTTGTACACTTTGTCCTCAGAGCGGTGCCATCTCCTAGTGGTCAGACGCATCAAGGGAGTATCCAACCTTCTCAGTTCACGAAAGAGTAACTTGATATATGCAACAGGTAAAAAAGGAGGAAAGTCTTGGATATTCATGAACTTCTAGGAAAATAAAAGTCTGTCAACCCAAAAAAGATTATTTTACAGAAAAGGGGAAACTCAAAAACCGCTGAGTGGGTTGCAAAGAAGACCATGACCTCTGATGTGACAGATATAAAAAACAGACTGATCTGGTGAATTATTAATTACACTCGCGGTGGAAGCCAGAGTAGGGGGGGGGGGGGCGGAGGTCAGACGTACTTGGAGAAGCGTTCCGCAATGGCGTTGTTTTTCCCCCGGGTGGAGACGATGGACATCTCCTTGGCGGTGACCCGCAGGGACTGCGACGCCCACGGTCTGCGGCTGAACGGAGCCGCGGAGGCCATCGATGCCGAGGGAGCAAGTGGTCTCCTAAAAACTGAGGACACAAAAAAAGAAAAAAAGGAGAACACACGTTTGTTTCTGCTGTAAACGCTCGATCCAGTAGTTCCTTCTCAGAGTTGAGGCTCGAAAGAAACACCCTTCCTGCACATTTCAATGTTGATGACACTTCCCGTCTCACACTGATAAGAGAATATCATGCAGCATTAGAAAAAGCGCACCCACGGATCGATAACACAATTGGCAGAACCCACACGTGACTGTCGCTGCAGCCCGGACCCGGTGTTTCAGTCACAAAGTCAATACAACGCGTCATTCAGCCATCGACCATCTGGTCCCCGTGTGACCGCGTCAAAGGAGCCTCCAGCAGCAGACGAGACAACCGATACGCCTTCATCACACACACGCGCACGCATGCATGCATGCAAGCCTCTGCGTGCTTTTGCAACGTCACCGCCTGGTGGCTGAGGGGGGCAAGCAGACACAAGCAGCGGCACCGTCATCGCTCGGTGAATATCGGTCACCGGGAGGGACGCACGCGGCGGAGGATTTGGACAATGAGGTCGATGAGCGGGTCGGGGGGGGGGCGGAGCCTGCGGGTCTCCACGCCGCCCAGCGGGGGGGCCGTGGTCGTTGGTTCCTAACAGTGCGGGTTCTTCTGATATTACACTGCCATCGGGACTCCTCGGTAAGTTTAGGGAAATGTGCCACAAAAAAGTGATGCCAGACCTTCAGATCAAAAAGACAATTTTTTTTCTTCTTTTACCTTGAAAATGTTTGCGTCCACCAAGACGTGTTAATCCAATCGCGCGGATTTGGGAACATTTACTTCCTGATCTGATCAATTAGAAGAGTTTAATACAAACCACTAAATCGGTTTTAAAGCGACTGGTGGAAATGTCCAGAGCTGAATTAGATGGCTCCATATGTCTCGTCTCCTCGGTCACAAGGTTTAGATTACAAACTGAGCAGCATGTAAAACAGACTCATGCAAAGTTGCAAAGTCATGAGTCGAAGGCAACAGAAGGACCACAGTATCAGCGACTGTAAGCCCACAATGGAAAGAAAAAAGGATACGCTGCCTCATTTTTATACCAATGCAATGAAAACAATTCACGGGTGATTTCAGGCGTCACGCGTGAATTGTTTTCATTGCATTGGTATAAAAATGAGGCAGCGTATCATTTTTTCAGTTAAATGGAAATTGCTTAACCTGACTGGTTTATTCTTCATAAAGTCAACAACAAAAAGCCTACCTGTGCGACTATCACAGTTGTTCAACTGCCTGGCGTGGGTTTCCGCTGTCGGCCAATTGTGTCTCTCCTTCTCCTTTTTGATGCTCCTCAGCTGCTCCCACCGATGCCTTTGAGTAGAAATGGAGGAAGGGGGCGTTCCCAATACTCTCATTTAACTCCCACCAGCCAATAAGGAAGCAGCGCTGACCTCCACCTGGCAGGTACGAGTTCTCTCCTTCCTCGTCCAATCAGCGGCGGTCAGTGTGAGAGAGCAGCAGACATGGCAGACAGGCAGCAGGGAGGAGGAGGAGGAGGAGGAAGAGGAGGGTCATTGGGGGGAAAACCCACTCTAGATTCCTGGAAATGAAGTGTTTTCCTGAGAATGACTGTCTACTTTCTCACGGGGTCAAGACTTCAGAGGATGTGACTCATTCACAATGCTGCATGACTCTCATGGAGAAGGAGGAAAAGCCGTCTAAAAACTTTGTTTGTTCTGTTTTCAAGTCTTTCATTTAGCTTTTTGTCGCGTTTACGCCTGCATCCTAAAAGTGGTGATAATTTGTAAAGGTTATCAAACTGAACAAAACGGGCAAAGTGATGAGGCAAATGCTTTTGGGGGAGTTTTAAGATACTGAATCACTCATTTTTCCTTGTAATCTTTTCTTTTCTTTTATTGTTGTTATTAATATCACATATTTTGACATTTTAAAGATGCTGCCTGGACGTTATTTTACTATCAATAACTGATGTTAAAAGTCCCATGTGTCTGAGTTGGGCCTCCCCTCTTCAATAGAAGCTGTTGTTTCATATTGTTAATATGATACTATTGAATATGATACTCTCTTTTTTCAAGACCACATTGGAAAAAGTACTCAGTTATTTTAAGTAAATTAATTAAAATATTTTCACAATTTTCTGATACTCAGTCACAGGTTTGAATGAATGGAAATAGATTAGATTATAGATTAACTAAACTAAACTAAAAGTATACATATTGCATTGGAGAAGCTAACTAGCTATGTGGCTAGTTATGAGATAAGTATTCTTTGAGTATATTTTGCTTAAGGCTACTGTGTGCTTTATTAAATATATATTTTAGATACATACATTTCATTTTGTCTAGTAATAATAGGAATTCTGTTCAAGGATGGATTGCTTTGAATCCACCTGTTTTCACAGCCGTTACCTTCATTATGCTGTGACACAGTTTAGTGAAAACTAGACGATGAGCTAAACAGGTGAATACACAAAGCCACAGGGCATGCAGGGACTCGCTGATCAGACTTGATGATCTATGAGATCATCCGCAGATCAGCATCTGTGTCGTGACTCATGGTGTCGTAAGGAAAGAGAAAGGATCGGTCCTCTCTTCCTGTCTGTCGCTCTCGTCGTCGTTTTAAGCACAGGAACCCGTCTCAGTGGTCTATCTAACAAGTGTAAATACCAGATCCAGATCACTGGCATCTTCTCATGCAAAAAACAATATTTCAATCTTGTAATCGGTCTGCTTTGTTCTTTTTTTGTGTGTGTTGTTTTTGTGCGTCTTGGTTGATATTCCGTAGAAATACAAACTTGGCTTTTGTAATAACCGGTCCTTGTTGCCCAATCTAAAGAATTGAAGGGAAATTCCGATTTTACAAATGAAGACTATGGTCAGAGGAAGTAACAATAAGCAGCTGTTGGCGGTTCTCTGGTTGGGAGTAATGGAGGGAATGATCCTGAAGACGAAAAGCCAATATTCTCTTTTTCTTTAATTTCCACAATTTTGTCTTTGATACAAAATAACATTTACCCTTTAAAAAGAGTAATGGTTGCGGCTGCATGAGGCTGTAATGCTCATTGTAAAGGAAAGCAAACTGTTTGTGTGATAAAAGCTCAAGTACTTGATACTTTTAGGCTGTTTTACCTCTTACTTAGGCTCTATTTTATTGCAAGAGAGACTAACATCAGACAGTGAGACATGTCAGCTCAGATGAACACTGACTCACCGGCCTGTCTCGACACCAAACCTCAACTATACTCTGAACTATGCTGTGAACTATGGCAAGTCTTGTGCACGCATGTTTTTTTCGCCGTCACAATTGCTCTATTTTTGCCCAGATTGTATTTTGTCGCGCCTCATCTGAGCTGTGGCAGGTAGTTCGTTTCACACTTCAGATAGTTATCATTCATCTGACAGGACTGCAACACAGCAGTTAACACAAAATTATCCATTTGTGTACTGGATTAATACTTGAACTAATATACTGCTATTTTAGCTTAATTGCCCATTTCTAAACAATGTATTAAAGTATTCTGCAATGTTATTGTAACTAAAGCTGTAAAATAAATTCAGTGGGAGTACGACATTTTACTTGGAAGAGTAGTGAAGTCAAATGAAACACCTAAATAAGCTTGTACTGTATTTGGATTACATGTACTCGGTCAATGGCTGTATTGTAGTTTGTGTAAAAAAATGTTTCTACCTCATCTACTTTGGATATTACAGAAATGTATCATGGCCTGTCAATACTTTAGTAATAAAACATCACAAGTCTATTCTTTGGACTAGTATTGTGCGAAATAACACTTTAGTCCAGCAGTCGGCGTGGTAGCAGTTTATTGATTATGTAATGTTCCTCTTAGTCACTAGATGGCAGACACGAACAACTGACTATTGGTCAGACGACATCTGTCGGTCTGGTGTCCAGTTCAGACGTATAGTGCTTTTCTCTCTGTCCTTGCATTTGGAAACCTGCCTATATACTTACATAAGTATGCGACCTGTAGATCAACTCTTCACAAAATCTTCACAAGTCTGATCGTTTAGGTTATAAATGAGAGAGAAGCAAATCACTTACTAAACATTTTTCCGTATAGCAATTCCTCACAGGAAGAGACAGTGAAATATCAATTTCCTCCCCATCCACTAACATACATGGTTCGGTTTGAATTTCAGTTTACTTTAGCCAATAGTACAGTCTGATAAAAGAACACTGCTGGGATTTTGACCATCATTGAGTTGAGTTTATTTTATAGTTTAGTATTGAGTTTCTTGTGAGTTTGTCGACTTGAAAGAGAACTGAAAGTAAAAACATGCTTGCAAGTACAGACAAATAGACAAAATACATGCATCTAAATTGTATTATGGGCCATATTGTATTTAGTTTGGTTTCAGTAATGCTGGTACTGGGCATGTTTGCTCGTCATCAGGTGTGTCCTCAGTCAATAGTAGATTAGATAAACTTAGATTGAGTTCAACATAATTGTAAAAAGTGACAAACATAATATGCATCTAACCACAAGTGTAAAAAACAGTGAAGCAGAGTGTACAGAGAACTATACTGCAGGGAAGGAAATTCACAAGCAGAATGGAAATAAGAACCGAGGCCAGAAGAGGGGGGACATGGGGGGGGGGGGTTGTAAGTGACCATAAAGGAAGGCCTTGTGGTACAAGCGTTAAACAATCCTCACATGCCTTTCTGCAGCAATGGAATTTCATACATGTGTGCAGACGAACACATCGCAGTCTTTACATTAGAACAGTATTATTATAGACTACGGCAGTATATCATAATGTTAAATCAGCCAAGTTTATCACAGATATCTGTTTATGTGGCAGTAAATATTTGTTTGGAGAAATTTTCTAAACATTCTTTATTACGAAATGTATTCAACAGCATTGATTGGTCAAGAGTGGTTGATTAGTTTATGGGTTTATGTTCAAAAAGGAAGTATTAATATCTATGCGGTTATCAGATTACCTAACACTCAAAACAAAAGGGGCTCTGATCCAAGGTTGGGAACTAAATGTACTCTGTGAGAATATTCTGACCCGGTTTGTTGTGTTTTTGCGATCAAGTAAATCTTTTAGGCCTAAATGAGGTTTTATGTTACCGACCAGGCTGTCAGCTTTATAACTTGACATAGTGCAGTATGAACGTGCATGAGCAGCACAACAGCACATCTGTGTTTAAATGTGGAAATGCACGAGTAGTCTTTCACCCCATTTTCATGCATGTGTCTGTGCACATGTTACAGTACAGCGGAGGACCTTGAGATCAAAGAGTAAATTCTTGTGTCCACATAAAGACACGCGGGACAGCCAACCAACTCTGTGTGGAAAACGAAGAGCAGGGTTGTTTTTCACACTGACGACCTGGTCTGGAGGGGAAGGACGTTACAGCTCCACCTCCGCTGCGATTGGAAGAACAGACGTGGGCGGAAATCGAATTTGCACATGGCTTGAATTTGGAGTTTGGGGATTTTTCTCTTTCTACGTTGCAGGAAACATCTTGTTGGAGTGTGATTTAGTGAATAGTTGTAGCCGGTTAGCACACAGTGCCCTTCGTTGAACCCGATCTCATCTGGTTTGGATTAGCCAATGCTTGTATTTTTTCATCCAATTATTGAGTTTGTGCTGGCTAAGAAGATCACATAGTGTGCCGGTGTGACCACATCCACATTGTGCTCGATAGATGTTTGTATGGTTGCACAACTCCTTCCATCCAGTTGACAAATCTTTGGATGCCACTGCTGATAAACACCATCGTCATCACCATCAGATAAAGTGGTGGAGGAATTCTTCTGTAAACACGTAATATCAGACGGTGAAAATACAGTTACAAGTAAAACAACTGTATCTTAAACCTTACTTTAGTAAAAACCAATGCTCTGTTTTTAACTTCGTGACTACATTTTACAGCTAATCCAAAACACCTTTGGAGTTGAGGCCCAGCAGCAACCCTCTCTCATCTTTACCCTTTTAACATTCACCCTTCTTTCGCCCTTCCTTTTTTTCTGCAGACGTGGACGTCGCTCACAAATTCTGCCTCATGTATCTGCTGGCGAAATAAAGGCCAGATTAAAATGTGTTGTGAGAAAGCGCCATTTGTTTTTTTTTGTACTCTTCCTCATGAGCAGACAGATACAATGCGTGTGAACCCCCAAAAGAACAAAACAGGAACATAGTAGGAATTGTGCCATTTTGTTTTGTCCACTTCACTGCTTTGTCTGGCGCACTGATGACCGTGTGGTTTTATGCCCGAAAGAAGAATGGAGAAGAATTTCTAGACAAAAATATCTCTGAGCCCTTTGCTCTTTTTTATTTTCTCTACGTAAAACCTGTTCATTTTAAGCAGGGCTGGAATGTAAAAGTGCATGTACTGGAAATCAAAGTTGCTACTATATTTTCTCATTCTGTGGAAACTGTTTCAATCATTGTTTTCACATGGGAAATGACCTGTACTTGCAAAGCGGTTTCCTGGTCTTTCAACCATTTAAAGCACTTTAGCACTACATTTCAGTATTCACCCATGCACAGTCATTCATACACAGATGGTAAGGGCTGCCATGGAAAGTGCCCCTCTAAATGACCATTCACATTCATCATTCACACCCATTCATTTGTTGAGGGACAATTACCTGCTGAATGGGTGTGAATGCCTGCGAGATCGATTTCTAAGTTGTGTCTCGCCCAAAAACACGTCCCCTTGGCCCAGTGGAGGCGGGGGCCTCTGATAGAAGGACGACCTCGTTTTTATCACTGAGCCACAGTTGTCAAGTGAAAAGAAAAGCACTTCAAGTAGGAGTAGTGAGATTGAACCAAAGCAAACGGGACAAATACACCTAGTTTGTGTTGATATTTGTGTACTTTTTATTTATTAGCATACTTGAAAAGTCTGAAACCAAACATGACTCCAATCAAATGTTATTAGTTGACTCACTGAAGTAGCAGAGTGAATATGTTTTAGATTAACACGGGCATGTTTGCATTGCCATCTATTGAGAATGACAGCATTCTAACCACATCACAGCATTCACCTCGAAGCATCTTTTCATCTTCTGCTATCATCAGGTCAAAAGGTTATCAAGCTAACATTTAGTAACGTGGCCTTGCCCCGGAGTGCGTCCGTGATCCGCTGGGCTCGGCTTGTTAGCTGTTCCAGAGTACGGGTTAAAGTCAAAGGGCGATTCAGAGTTTGCTGCGGCGGCACCTTAGCTTTTAAGTACTCCGCCAGTTTAATTGTTTCCTTTGTTTCACCTTTTGGATGATGTATTTGTTAATACATTCGTGTGTTTTTTATTTTGCGGTTCTGTAGGTTTTCTCATGCTGAAAGCACTTCCAGGCAGGATCCAACTACAGACCAGTCTCTCTTCTTCCCTTTCTGTCCAAAACCCTTGAACGTGCGATCTTTAACCAACTCTCCTCCTATCTCCACCATAACAACCTCCTTGACCCCCACGAGTCAGGCTTCAAGGCAGGCCATTCCACAGAGACTGCTCTCCTTGCTGTCTCAGAGCAACTCCACACTGCTAGAGCCGCCTCTCTCTGCTCTGTCCTCATCCTTCTGGACCTCTCTGCTGCATTTGACAGTCAACCACCCGATCCTTATTTCCTCCCATCTCTGGTCCTACCTCGACGGTCGCACCTACCGGGTAACCTGGCGAGGATCTGTGTCGGAACCTTGTCCTCTTACTACCGGAGTTTCTCAGGGTTCCGTCCTGGGTCCCCTTCTCTTCTCGCTCTACACCAACTCTCTCGGCGCTGTCATTCGCTCGCATGGCTTCTCCTACCACAGCTATGCAAATGACACACAACTAATTCTCTCCTTCCCTCCCTCGGACACCCAGGTGGCAGCACGGATCTCTGCCTGTCTGACTGACATCTCTCAGTGGATGTCCGCCCACCATCTGATCAACCGCGACAAGACTGAACTACTTCTCTTTCCAGGAAAAGACTCTCCGACCCAGGACTTGACTGTCAACTTCGGCAACTCCGTGTTAATGCCTACTTTAACCGCTAGGAACCTCGGCGTCACATTCGACAGCCAACTCTCCCTGACTCCCAACAATACCGCGACAACACGATCCTGTAGATACTCGCTCTACAACATCCAGAGAATACGTCCTCTTCTCACTCAGAAGGCTGCCCAGGTACTGATTCAGGCTCTTGTCATCATCCGCCTGGACTACTGCAACTCGCTCCTGGCAGGTCTCCCTGCCACCGCCATTCGACCTCTGCAGCTCATCCAGAATGCAGCAGCTTGAGTGGTCTTTAACCTTCCGAAATTCTCCCACACTACTCCACTCCTCCGCTCTCTTCACTGGCTACCGGTGGCAAAACTGCTCGTCCCTCCCTCACTGAGAGCAAAACACTCGACCAGATCACGACTTTTGCTGTTCTTGCTCCGAAATGGTGAAACGAGCACTCTGAAGACACCAGGACCGCAGAGAGCCTTCACATCTTCCGCCGCAAACTAAAGACACACCTCTTCAGACTCTCTTAAATTGTACTTATAACGGCTCTTATCTATAGCAAATTGTAAACTGGCTTATTTGAGAAATTGCACTTTCTTGTTTATTGTTCTTCTGGGTTTGTACCCTAATGGTTGAATGCGCTTATTGTCGCTTTGAATTAAAGCGTCAGCTAAATGACATGTAATGTAGAAGAGGGATCTTATTTGTATTTATTTAGTTTGGTAGGACCAAAGTGGACTCTGCACATTGGCATCCAGTTGTGTTTTTTATGGTCTTAAAGTTTGTCTGGCTTTAATAAAAAACTCTGGAGTTGTGGCGGTAAAATGGCTGAGATCCTCTAGAGAAGACAAACAGGAACACCAACACTGTTTTCGCTCACACTACGCATCCCCTAACCACCCAGAAATATGCAGCTGAACCTTCCCCAAAACACAATCTGTTTCTCATTATCAGATTTTTCCTGTAACTTTTTCCCTCCCCCTCACCCTCTACTTTTTTCTCTCTTTAAGGCCTCCCTCTCCTCTCCCTCTGGGATGAAACAACAAATCCACATGTGTGTGGTGTGCGTGTGTGTGTGTGTGTGTGTGTGTGTGTCGCCATCCCCCTTAAACTGTTTATTGTGGCAGTGAGCCTTGTAAAAAGACTGCCACAACTGTTAGGTAAACGGGGTTGGACGTCCTGCTTGTTGCAGGACGAGAGGCCAGATAAATATTGGGAATAAGTCTGACACTCGGGGGGAGGGAGTCCAACTCAAGCACCTCAGAGAGAAACAATGTAGGATGTAATCACATAGTTTTCTGCGCTCTTAAATCACTTTCGGGGGAAAGTTATGTGACCTTTTGCCTCATTTATCAGACTGCTTTAAATACCAGTTACTTTGCAAATAAAAAGTTGTGCACACTAAAATATAAGAGCTTATAGAATATTATGTTTGAATCCAACTAGTTACAACAGAAAGATTCCGCTTTTACATGGAAGGATGAGTGTTAACAGTCTAATGCTCTATAATAACATTTACTTTTATTATCTTAAATACATTTTCCTCATTCCACTCTGTTAGTACTTCTGTTTAAGTAAAAGATATGAATGCTGCGGCCACCACAGGACCTAAGTCATGGATATCTCAGTTGCGTGGTCCTGATATGGGATGTAAAGACATTTCAAACACAGAGACAAAAGTGTTTCTCTCTGTAATTTGTCTCGTCTAAAATCTAGCAGTGTCATTGTCTTTCATCTGTCTCCTGCTCATTAGCAGAAAGGAAATGAATATTCCAATTAGCGACTGTCAGTCGGCCGTGCCAAAAGCATCATCGCATGCTCTCAGCTGGAAACAAAAGATTGTCGATGGATGCAGCAGCACCAAAGCACATTGAAGAGGTGGAGGGATTCCAGGGCATCAGAGGTCTTAAGGGGCAATGATCAGATAACATGTACTGTTCTTTTTTTAGGTGGAGCACGAGGAATGTTAATTCAACAAACGGTGCTGGTGCTTAAAAGGTGCTTGCTTGTTGTTATTGTATACTGTGGGTTTGTACAACAGCGGCTTCAAGAACAAGTGTTTTCAGTGTACATATTTATTTAACTCCCAGTGGTTACAGTTACAGATAGTGATAGAATGCACAACGTCAAAGGGCCGATGCTCATTTATCTTTCACTTTTAAGTTCTATTCAAATCTGTCTCTTTTTGCAGCACTCTCAGCCTCAAGTAACCTCTCACAGATTAAGACCGAGGTTTTAAACACAATATTTTTGACCCTCACACGAGGGTGGATGGATATACACAACAATAGATCTGTATCATATAATGCAATTACGTCAAGTAGCCTTGCAGGTAAATACCTTCTTCTGAAGCGTATAAAGTTTGTCTGAGCAAGAGGCGTTGACTCAAGTGTGTGTTCAATCTAGTCACCTTTCCAAAGAAAAGTCTGTATGAAACCGTCTCTTATTGTTCCAGTTCTAGATTTTAAATACAGATGTTGAGAGCGCCTCTTAGGGTTTATAGACTTTGGAATGCATCAGGGCAACATTCATTGTTTGTTGATTTGTTGGGGGAAGTAAAGGCAAAGGTCTTTTCTATCATTTGTGACGTACTTTGTTTGCACACGTGCCACACAGGCCACGTATATATAACAGAAAAACAATGGGCTGTTTAATGGGAATCCATACTGTGGCCTCAAAAATGAATAGATTGAGGAGGGCTCAAATTGTCAACAGACTTTAGCTTTTGCAGGGTCGTTGTAATGGATTTTATGATACAGTACACATTGCATCCTCTCTCTAAACTGCAGTTTCAACCGAATCCTAAAACCCATGAAAAAGAAAAAACATGCACAGTTCTCGACCAGTTAGTTGAAAAATCTGTACAATGGAATATATTTGTAAATAAATTGTACACAATGAAAATTAAATATTTTTATTTCCAGGAAATATGTAATTCAAAAACAACTAATCGACCATAACGTTTTTGTTAACTTTGACCAAAACGAGAGATCAATTCAACTAATTTTTGTATTTTCTTTTTTCCCCCCTGTAATTTCCAACAGAAATAATCTCATCACTTGATTGCTAGATTGTAATTGCTGTTTTTCACTTCTTTTTAAATAAAAATGATGAAAAATCATCTGGGAATAGAGCTTTACAATAGAGTAACACAATATATTCTGTATAATCAGTAAGCCTATTCTTCGCATTTCGATGCTGATCATTTTATACTCGACTTTAGATATTTACTGGAACGTGCGCGCTGCGTTCACTATTTAAACCCGCCTCCAACGTTCAACACGGGCTCTTTTTTTTTTATTTGTCGGATTCCAACGCTGCGGCTCACGCGCTGCTACGCATGCGCGCGCGCGGTGTCCCCATCACAGACGTGGTCCTCCCGTCTCCGCGTGGTGATACAACCCCCCCCGCGCCCGAGTTGCCGGAGAACCGAACGCGTGGCTACACCGTCATTGGCGAGGACACCCTTGGCCGGCAGGGACACACCGCACTGCCCTCCGCCAAAAACCGAGCCTCCGCCTGGAGAAGAGAGGCCACCCGAGGAAACGCGAGCCCGGTGAGTGAACCGAGCGTGCGGCGCAGCGACCGTTGGGACAAAGAGGCTGCGTGCCGCTTTCAAACAAACTGCTCCACCACCACCTCACCCCCCTCACGCGCACATCTCGACCCGGGTTCGCGTTCTAAATGCGCTCGAGTTCTAAATTGGCTCCGTCCGTTAATCCCGTTCATGGCGCGTACGTCCTTCCGCCGTCCTCGTAGTTTCCTCCGTTTACGGCGGCGCGTTACGATACAACATTTGCCACCTCGTTTGTTCCGCTTCTGTCGAGCACGCGCTCAAACGGGCGTGTTTCACTCAGCGTGATACTCGAACGGGATCCGAACCGTCTGCGGCTCCACGCTAGAGGTCACCTGGTCGGTACCTTTAGCCCTCTGGCTTGACGCGTTCACGTGTCGCGTGCGGGGAATGAATGGGGGGTCTCGCACGTTGTCTCCTCTTTGAAGGTCGCTGTCCGCCGCAGCCGATCGTTGTCTCGTTTATGGGAAAAAAAAGCGAGTGTTTCGCTGTTTCGTTTGCGTGGAGTTCATGAATATACGCGTTTCCCCCCCTTCTCGAGGACTTACAGTTCAACATCTCCCTCCTTGGGGAAGATCTAAGCGCTTTGTGTGATGTAAGTTTCTGCATCTCGGAAGCAAACCGTGTTCTTTTCTACGAGTTGCGTCACAGCAATCATGTTCCGGCATTGTGCAACCTTTATTGTAATGCTTCCTAATTGTGATGCGTAAGTAAGGTGGGTCTATTTCTCAAGAAGCATTTGTCCTTTTTCCTGCCAAGCTTATTGCCCAAATGCAGGAAGTCGTGTGTTAAACTGGTGTAGTATTTTTACAGCTCAAGGTTAGTTACTGAGTGGGAAGGTGGTTTATAGACTTTAATGAATGCAGGAGATTGTGCATGTTGACGAGCCGAAGATAAAGGGAGGAACAAGACACGCCGGCGGTGTGTGATGCTGTTCTTTCGTCCAGTGTGGTAAGAATTAATAGGGAAAGACACAAGTAGTACCAGATTCACGGCAAGCTTTAGCTTATTTCAGTTTTGGGGAACCCGAATGCCTCTAGTGATGGAATGTACTTGGTTGCACAACAGACATAAAACATCTGTTGTTCCCAGAGCTCGGTTTACATGCTTCACAAAGTCTGGAAAATGAGGTGTAACTGGAAAAACCGTGTTGGGAATACTGCAACGCAAGCACCCTTTTGACCTTTCCGAATAATTTCCTCTAAAGAAATTCGCCCCGACGTGACAAATTCCAAGTTCTGCTCGCTTGGCTCATTTTCGCAAGGAAATCTCTTATTTCACTCTGTGCAACGCTGTGTTTTTGAGCGGGTTTCTTCATGTGCGAGCGTGTGCGTGTGCAGACCAGGCGCGGCTGGTTGAGGCCGGGCAAATAGAGCGTTTGAGCCAGCGAGGGTGCAACGCTATGGGAGTGCAATCCAGAAGACTCAGTTCATCCCAGTTCATACCCGCGAGGCTCCAGTCATCATTCAGGTTTCACACCACCGATTATCTGTAGAGAACCAGTGTTTAATGACGATGGGACTCGAATGGTATCGGTGACTTTCTTTTAGGCTTTCCGTGATCAGTCGGCCTTTAGTCATTCATGAGAGTGGAGTTCATGCTGAAATCCCTGAGTCATGATTACTGTGTAATTTTCACTCACTCATTTGTTCAGGAAATGAATACTGCTCCCTCCGTCCTTTCCTTCCTTTCCCAGTCATCAGGGAGTATCCTGTCTCTTGTGTGTACTATGTAGAAAATTGGGGAAATTCAGCAATTTGACCATATTTGTTCTTGTTAAATCCTGTAATTATTGGGTTGAAATGCGTTGCAGGTAACTCCAGCATCTCCCCACCCCGTGTAAAGGGAGAATTTGTTATTGCAGAAATGGTCTTCCTGATAATGCCTCCAAGAGTTGTCCTGCTTTGCTGATGCACACACACACACACACACACACACACACACACACACACACACACACACACACACACACACACACACACACACACACACACACACACACACACACACACACACACACACACACACACACAGAGAGAGAGATCTAACTAAGCTCCGGCTCTGGGGAGATGCAGAGTCCCATTGACAAAGCCTGCTTTCCATTAAGTCCGGGCCCTGATATCTTTTTCTCTTTCATACAATGGACAACTGGTTCAAGTGATTCTCTCAGTCAGTGTGGAGCACACACAATAGGCTATAAAGTTTCTTGCCGCTGTGGCCGACTTATAACCTACAGAAAACGGCGTGCCCCTGAATTCAGAGGTCCGTGTGAGCAGACTCCTCATTTGGTGGCTAAAACTAGCTAGGAAATTCAAAATTAAGCAAACATTGCCTTCAAAGTTTGGTCGACCCTTTTCGTCTCCGACTGACTTTTTAAAGTCTTGAGTTGATTTGTTACGAAACAATAACCCTGCATGAGGGATCCTAATTCACGCATTATAAGAAAGTCACGAGCCATAGACGGACAGCGGCGCGACCATCGGCTTTAATTTGACGTATTGCATATGTCTCCTAAATAATGGGTTCTTTTTTCACACTGTGGTGTTAACAGCGAAAGTGGGTTTGTGACAAATGCTCTTTTCATATGCTTATCGTAACCTTTTGATTAGATTAAGGGGAAACCAGCAATGACTATCAGCAGTCCGCTTTGCACTTACCAGGCCTTCTGGATTGACCGGAAACATGAAAGGCTTCGTGCAAGCCGTTATGAAACTGTAGATTTCAGCTTGTCACGCATAGCACAGACACGTTCATTAACATTTGGTCCCACCCCCCTCTGTGTCATGCAACAGCTATTTGTCTCCATCATGGCTGTAGTTACGACAGGGCACCACATATGCAACATGTAAATATGCAGGCCGGGTGTGGCTTTTATTTATGTGTTTGGCCTGTTTGCTGAAAAGAGGACACAATGTCTGTGATCAGACTGCTGAAGGGAAGCCGGCGCTGGTTTTTCATGCCGTGAGCACGTCTAACCACAGGGAATAGGGGAACATTGCTAAATCTTTTAGCATCCCGTATTGGCATCTGTTTATTTATCGGCTGTGTCACCTACATAAGAAATGCATTGACCACCATTATTCCAGTGTGATTGAGGTCATTTTTACAGATCATTTCTTTTGACCGCTCTTTTCAAATCGCTATGGCCACTGTTCTGGTTCCTCTGGGGCTCGTGGGCAGATTGTCTTGAGAATGATTATTTTCAGCCTATTTTCTTGATCCCTTGTTGGATCTATTAATTTTTTTTACCTACTTGGAGGCTGCGATGCTCTTCCTGATGCCTAGCCTGTCAGAGAAAAGAGACCTTACAGTCTTGTTGCAGACAAACCGAATCTCTAACACCATTTCAGAACCGACTGTAGATGAGAAAAAAGTGGGGGCAAAAGGAGAGCAGCATCCTCTGTGGATATATATTCTTCCTACATTGTAGCTTTCATGCAACAGGCCGAAGGTTTAGTGAAGCAGAGCTCCAGGGATAATTGCAGAGATGCATGTTGATGCGTGTCATTGTGGGATGGGCTCTGCTGACGACTCAATGAGCAGCATTTGAGAGCCGGCAACAAGTGACGATTTCATTCTGACTTACGATTCTTTGCGGTGTCACTAAACATTACCAGTAACATTTACTGTCATGATTACGCAAAATCATGGCCGCACTCACACAGAGCAGGCCTGCTTTGTTTACTTCTTCTTGGTGATGCTGCTGTGTGGTTTTGAAAGCAGCTTCCAACCACACAAGACTGAAAGTGGAAGTTTCATGACTTAAAAGTCATTTTTCTGTTGATGTCTGTGCTACGTGTCAACTGTCACGTAGCACAGACCGTAGTAGTGTCACTACTGAAAACCCGTTCATGTTAGCGGGACCAATGATTGACTTTAAGCTTTGAAGCGAAGACACATCACTTTTTGTGTTATGGTGTCAACTTAAACTGCCCCGTACGGCAGGAAGTACCAAAAATAAAAAATAAAGATAAAACGTGTGGCTTGTTTGACCAGCTTTTCTCTAACTGGAAACAAATATACTAAACTGTTCCTGCAGCACAAAAGCAGTTGTTGCATCTCCTTGCATAGCTTCAGTACATGTGTCAGTCAGGTTGCAAACCTGGCACCTTAGTGGTGAGGAGACGGGGACCTTAAAACAGAGCAGCGAGAAGAGGAAGCAAAGACGTTTAAGTTGGTCTAATGAGCCTCGTTGGTCTGTGAACCACTGAAGGGGATTAACCAGCCAGCGCGCTGCTACAGGCTGGCCGTGTAATGATTGGTAGAAGCGTGGCTGTTTACAACATAATCCAGGCTAAATTCCATGTAGGAGGACACCTCGCTGTTCATTAGTCATAACCAGGTTAGTCAGTATTTCTGGGACACGTGACCAATGCCACGCCCCTTTTCTATTCTTACGTCTCCAATTATGACGGCATTACTCTGCCTTCTTCTTTAAATATAGCACCACTGCACAGAGGTAGTGTTGAGTCACTGTTGGTTGCAGACTTATCATCTAGAGACCATTTAAGGCAAACGGCCCAAACAGTAGCAGAGTCGACATGAGAGCCGACCACAAATAGCTTGGTTGTGTGTGCGGCCTCAACGGGGAAACGAGGACATCTGGATGGAGGCATTCATTTAGGAAGCCGGTGGATTTTAAGTGGTTCTACTAACTGGATGGATTGTATTTCGTATGTTTCTAAAGTGTTTAATAAATGCTGCATTCAGTTCAGCATTGGGCACAAGTTTGGTTTCCAGCAGTTTGGTTGCTCAATAAGATAAATATGCCAGCTACTTATCTTCTCCTGGTATGTTGGCGTGTGACCAGCAGAGGTGCTCTTCCTCACCATGACAGCAAATCTTTGATATCCCTCCCCATTTTTCCGTGTTTGTCTTCTCCAACTCTTAACTCCTGTCCTCTCATCTCGCAGCAATTTCTATCAGTATGCTAAGAGGCAGGAAAGGAGGAACTCTGTGCTCGTCTCTTTCAGCTTATTGCATCATCTACGCAGATTTTTTTACCAGCTCTCTGCTCTGTTTCTCCCACAGGTTCTGAGTCCTGATCTCTGTGCGCCTCGTCCGGCCATTTCTTCCCCGCCTCCTCTTCCTCGTCAGCAGACATGCCTCCCGCGCCGGCTGGGCCTGTGCGCCCCCCCCCTCCCGAAGGTGGCTGGGGCTGGGCGGTGGTACTGGGGGCTTTCATCTCCATCGGCTTCTCCTACGCCTTCCCCAAGTCCATCACCGTGTTCTTCAAGGAGATAGAGGTCATCTTTGATGCCACGCCCAGTCAGGTGTCCTGGATCTCCTCCATCATGCTGGCCGTCATGTATGCTGGAGGTGAGTGAGTTACTGTGACAGAGGTACCGTCATATTTCTGCACTCACGTGTAATGCTGTCTTCACAGCACCAACACTCATCTTGTATCAGTAGCAGTGGATGCCATAAGTTTAAGAACTCGATTTGTCTCTTACTCGTCTTCTCGAGTGTCCTTTTTTGGGTCTTTTTTTTGTGTTTCTTAAGCCTGTTGCGTTTCTTGTTACTTGAGCGTGATGTTCTATCGTTTACGCTTCACTGAAGCAAAAAGACAACAAAATCGCCCCGTGAATGCCTATGGCTTCAGTTAAGGTGGTAAGAATCCCATCGGAAGTGTAATCTTCTTACAGGCCTTTTTTTGTCTCTGCTCAGCTTGAATACCTCACTGCTGAAGGGGGAGCAGCAAACGTTTCTCCAGAAACCTGATGTTTGCTCAACATCTTGGACACGATATGCTTGATCTGCAAAATATGTTTATAAAGGATAACTATCGAGGATAACTGGGAGAGAAGGGATTTTTGCGCATTGTAGACCCTTCAGGAGAATCGGCGTCGCTATTTGCTCCACTTTGATTGGTGCACTGTGAAAACTGACCAGAATTTAAAAAAAGTAACTACATCGCTCTGATAGAGACCATGATTTATTAAAGTGAGATTAGAGAAATAACAGCTGGTGTTGTCATTTTGTTTTACGGCTCAGAAACGTGTTCAAGTGTGCAGCACGTCTTTACTGACTTTTGTTTGCACGGCTCAAACTACAGCGCCTCCATTTACAAATAAGCCCTGATCTAGTTTCAGATCGGGTGTCTCTTTCTGTCTCTTGACACAATGGTGTCAGAGTTCCCTCCTAATCCAAAGGCCTCCTTCTTCCGTCTCCCCCCAGTGTATTTGATCACCAGCACACCCTTAAAGCAAGAGACAATCATCTCTTTTGCTCGCTCAGTCTCAGCTTGTATCTTAAAACGGTATCCGTTCCTTCCACTTACTCATTCATCCTTTTCCAGAGCTTTGCGGACTGCTGTACGTGTGTTTGGGCATTCAGCAGAGGGGAAGAGCCGAGGGGAGGAGTGAAATTGTGTAACAGCCGCAGATGTTGAAGTAGTTTCTTCCGAGTTGAAGTACTGGAGTATCTTCATTCTACAGTGCCAAAACGATAGGCCTGAACAAAGATTTGTTTTTAATTACCTGCCACTTATCAAGTTGTGTAAGGGCTTTACGGGAATGGTGGTGAAAACAGTTTACCTTTTTTAATTATCTTGCTTTTATTTAAAACCGCCTTAGCCTCACCGAGGGTGAGCGCTGACGTCTGACTTCTCTAATCCTTCGTGGGCGTGAAGAAGTAGTGTTTGAAATGTGAAAATACGTGCATCAGTGCACATCGGCTTGTTTTAATGCAATAAGTGCTCTGGATTACAGGATACTGATACGGTCTAACATGAAAAAGATTTAAAACGTAAGCCGATTTAGCAAAAGAAAGAAAAAACACGAAGCGAACAAGTTACACAGTACAACTGCTGCCATAAAATCTACTTTTATGAAAGTGTTTTTTTTATTTTTTTTATAAATATAAAAAATCTTAAAGCTCCTTAACAGTTTCCTTGCTGAAGGCGTCTTGAGACATTTTGAATATACTAACATCCTTAGTGCAGTGTGGTCATTTTGTCTCCCTGCTGACGTATGTTTGCTGGTGGTCAGAATGACTCGACACCAGCTGATGCTCTGCTGCTTCCTCTTCCTCTTCCTCTTCAGTTCAGCCTTAAATCCCAGCATTGAATGGCCCACTGAAAAAAGACCAGATTGTAACGCACGACCAAACGTAACCTAGTGTGAGAAGGCAAAAGCTAAATTTAGACACACGGGTAGCTCGTCACAGTCGGGTTGCGTCTATGCAGATGTTTTGTTTAATGGTTTGTGGTTGCTGTGTGGAGGGCAGCTGAGGACAGGCTTTTCCTCCACTCAGTGTTTTTCTTTTCTCACACAGAGAGACTGGGAGGGGAACAACGGATCGTTTATATAATGTCTCTGAGAACACCACTCCGGGCCCTCTTTGTGTCACAAAGATCGTCACCACTGATTGTTCATGTGTGCGTGAGCGCTGAGTGGACGCACATTCATTCCCGTCCTTGCACAGGTTCACCTTTGTTCGCCGCGATGATTCTGCGACGGGTGTTCTGGTGCTGCCTCCGAGCTGGCCTCTTTTTATCCACATGGGATTTTTATCAACATGGAAACTCAGCGCCCCCGATAACGCAACCACGACGCAACGCAAGAACCTAGACGGGGTATTTAGGGATCCTGTGAGTCTCGTGCAGCCCGAGTTGCCCCCCCCCCCCCCCAACCCCTCAGCCACCGTGGTCAGCTGCCAAGTTTCAAGGGCAAAGCCTGCGTGGTGTGTGTCTGTGAACACACACACCACGCCATGGTTGTGAGGTAATGGATGTCAGCTGAGAGCAGAATGGCAGCGATATTTGAATGAGTATTTTCAGACGTCATTTTCATATTTCTTCACGAAACTTGTATGTATCATATCTTCTTTCACACAACATTAGGACTGTAACCAACAAATGTTTTAGTGCCAGACAGCAGATAATATTTTTGGTTTATTTTTAGCTGAAAAGTGTTACAGTCGTGAGTTAAAAACCTCAAGTGTCCTGGAAAGTAAGAGCTGTTACGCTTAATTTATGCTAATTCATCCAATACATAAAACAAGACAATTAACCTATTTAGTGTTTATGGGTAGTGTTTAATCCAAATATTTAAAGGTTTGGAATCACCTGCCAAAAAATGTTGATAGGGTCCATTCACAGGTTGTCTGTATGTTTGACTGGTCTCTAATGCTTTTACCTTCTAGAACATCCGAATTCCAGCTAGTTAATCCGAGAACTAGCTGGAATCGGCAGTCAACATGTTGCAGAACTCTTAACACTGTTGGAGTATCGACTGAACATTCTACGGAAAGTCAAATCACGCTTTAAACCTATTGAATCTAACCTCTGAGTAGGCAGAAGGCACAAAAACTCAATACCTAGAGCCTGAACGCACCTCTGTGGTTCAATAAGGATGAAAGTGCGTTAACTTGTCAGATTTTTCTGAAAAATATATTGTTTTGGCATATTTTTCAGTAACACAATTGCTCGTCTCAAGTTGCATCACCTTCTATTCATGTTGTCGTTATCTCGGCGGAATGTTCCTACTTTTCGTTCCGCCCCATCATGCAGGGAGCACACAGAGCTGCTGTATAGATTCAGCAGACTTTACTTTGTACTCACGTTGTGCAGTCTGAGTCCATGTGAGGCCCTTTTATAGTGATGCTGGCAGGCAGCCTGAGCACGCGGAATGCCTCCACTCTCCTTCTTCCTCTTTGCCTCTTTATCTTCTCATCTATCTTCTTTTCTTTCTCTATTCTTCCCTTTTTTCTCCTTTCTCTTGTTGGCCTTGCTTGATTCAAACGAGAGTTCCCTCTTAGATGTACAATTCTTTAAGGCCCAATCTATCAAAGATGCTCAGTGTTTATGAGCCTGGACGGACCTTCATATCATCCAGCTCTCCTTTCACATGTTGCAGGACAAAAGCATTTAGTGATGCTGCTTTCGTTCATTATGTCGCTTAAGTCGCTGGAACATTCTTGAATATATTGATACTTGATACTTTTACATTACAGGTCATATAGCTGACGCTTTTTATCCAAAGCGACTTACATTACACTTTAAACCCATGGCTTTTCCACATTTTGCCTGGGAGCAATTAGGGGTTAGGTGTCTTGCTCAGGGACACTTCGACTAGAAGTGTATACTTACACAAACTATAGACCCATCTTATTTGGGGTTTGTAAAAAATTGTATAATCTTTTTGGTTCTTATTTTAATAATCCTCTTACAACTGTATTACTTGTTTTTATTGTTACGGGACTTCATATTGGTGATTACTGATTTTTATTCTTACATTTTACTACTTTTGACTTAATCTCCTCTTCCTCTTTTCTACTTTTTTGTTTTCTTCCTCCTCATTTCCTCCTCCTTACTTCCTTCTCTCGTGACTTTTTGAACTCATCTCCTACCCCACCCTCCACTCTGACGTGTCCCATGCTACACCATGCACTGCCTAGCTTCCCCCACACGCCTTCTCTCTTTCCTCCCCTCTTCCTCCATGTAACATCCATGCAACCCGCTGCTGGTAAACAATCGGGTAATTGTCCATTCTTGCACCATAGCACCCCCTGCTGGTGAAAGGTGTGAACGGTGAGCTGATACAATTACATTGAAACTTTACCAGCACGTTACTACCAGCATTTATCAATTTCATGAGCATAGGGATTTTTTTTTTTTATTGAATGATTGTTACACATGGGTTAACCTTTTCCTAAAAAAACAAAGAAAATCCTCCTAAATAATTAACGGATGTTGAAGCTTTTTTCACGCCACAACACCCCTTTTGCCTCATTCCCTATACTGTCTCTTTGCCTAATATGACACCACCTCCCGTTCTCTTGCATCTCTCCAGGTCCAATCAGCAGCATCCTCGTGAATAAATTTGGCAGTCGACCAATCATCTTAGTCGGAGGTTGTCTTGCCGGCTCGGGACTCGTCGCGGCCTCCTTCTGCAACACAGTGGGGCAGCTCTACTTCTTCATAGGCGTAGTGGGAGGTCAGTGTTTTACTCTCTTCCAACATGAATGTACCCTTTGAAACCGTATAGTTTAACTGACTTTGCTTTCGTTCTCTTAATGTAATTCCATTTTTGGTAAAAACTATTTCAGACTTTCACATCTTTAGGCTCTTTAGTTTTCCATCATTTTCGTCATCTTCTGCTCCTGTAACCTCCACCCTTCTCCCTCCAGGTTTGGGGCTTGCATTCAACTTGAATCCAGCCCTCACCATGATCGGTCAGTACTTCTACAAGCGGCGTCCCATCGCCAATGGCATCGCTATGGCAGGCAGCCCCGTGTTCCTGTCCACGCTGGCTCCCCTCAACACCTGGCTGTACGACCAGTTTGGGTGGAGAGGCAGCTTCCTCATCCTGGGGGGGCTTCTGCTCAACTGCTGCGTGGCCGGCTCCCTGATGCGCCCCCTCGTGTCCAAAGTGCAGCTGTCCAAACCCGACCCAGAGGCGGACACGGTCAAGGCGGTGGATTCCCTGGCGCCACAGCCTAAGAAGACCGTCCTGCAGACCATCAACTCCTTCATCGACCTGACGCTGTTCAAACACCGCGGCTTCCTGCTCTACCTCTTCGGCAACGTCATCATGTTCTTTGGCCTCTTCGCTCCCCTCGTCTTCCTCTCCAATTTTGCCAAGAGCAAAGACATCAGCAAAGAGAAGGCGGCCTTCCTGCTGTCGGTGTTGGCGTTGGTGGATATGTTCGCCCGGCCCTCCATGGGCATGCTGGCCAACACCAAGTGGGTCCGGCCCAGGATTCAGTACTTCTTTGCCGCCGCCGTCCTCTACAACGGCGTGTGTCACGTGCTGGCGCCGCTGTCGGAGGACTACACCGGATTTGTAGTTTACGCCATCTTCTTTGGTTTCGCTTTCGGCTGGCTGAGCGCAGTGTTGTTTGAGACACTGATGGACCTGGTGGGAGCTCAGAGGTTCTCCTCGGCCGTGGGTCTGGTCACCATAGTGGAGTGTGGGCCGGTGCTGTTGGGCCCGCCGCTGACAGGTAAAGCATTCGACACGTATAACAGGAAAGGGGGCGCTTGTATTTATTTGAACAGCATCAGCTCGTCTGTTTTAAATTCAACACCCACAGTTGTAGGTGTGATCATTTAACTCTGGGAGGCCCTGAGTCATTGGATCAGGATCAGCGTGATCCCACTCCCACCGGTGATGGCACATGGGGGCTGATTCAGATCTTTCAAAGGCCGTACTCACCAGAGTGAGGGTCATTGAATATGCATCCATTTGCCTCATTGAGCGGATTATCCTGATGAGTCACCATTCAAACCCAAGTGATGACAATTCCATTTGTACGGAAGCCAATTTCTGCCAGAAAAAAATAAAGATAAAAAATAATCTCTTCTAGTCCTTCAACAGAAATGGGCTTCCATACATTTGAGATTAAAATAGTTTATGAAAGAATACGTCACATACAAAATGAATGTTAAATCTGACTCGTCTATTTTCCCCCACCTCTCAGGTCAGTTCTATAACTACTACCAGCGCTATGACTACACCTACATCTCCTGTGGCATCATCCTCATTGTTGCAAGCCTCGTCCTCTTCTTGGGAATGGGCCTCAACTACCGGCTGCTGGCAAAAGAGAAGAAAAATGAGGAGAGAAAAGAGAGGGAGGAGCCCAAGGAGGAGCGAGCCGCTATGTTGGCGCCTCCCTCTCCGTCCAAATCAGACGGGGAGAATGCCGAGCCAGCTGCTGTCGTGCTGGATGAAGTTGCCAGGATGGACGAGGACACGGTGTAGAAAACAAAAAACAGAGTCCAGACGGAGACACACACACGTCGCCCTGGTAGAGAGATAGAATCTGTTTACACAACCCTGAGGCCATAGACACTAACGTTTATTTTCAAATAAAATAACTGAGACTTGCTTTTCACCGCATTGAGACCTCTAGTTTTTGGTATTTGACGTGCCTTTTGTGACCTCAAGTCCTCTAGGAGCGCACCATTTGAATCTTATACAGGCAGAAGATGGACGCACAGCAGACATAATGACTAAGATAAAAACCCAATAAATGAATGAGGGCTTTACTCTCAGGGTCAACCTGCTGGAAAGGTGCTGAACCTCTCACAAGCAGTCGAGCCAAGGATTAAACAGGAAATTGCGTTTGTTGCAGTAAACAAATACTGTACATTTACCCTCACATACGACGTCGTCTCATTGCTTCACTTCTCAGGAGCTGGGCATGAATTCAAAGGACACATTCCTATTAACGTGGATAGGGCCAATCTTTCTGTTCACATGTCAGATAAGAGTGAAATTGCCAGGTTAATATGTAGTCATGCTCACAAACGAAGAACAATTTGGGAGGACTGTTTTCACCAGAGGGAGTTTAAACCCATAGTTGTGCACATACAAAACAAATATTGCTTAAAAATGCAAAAGGCATAGGAAAATAAGTTAAAGACTGTACTCTTCACCTTTTGCTTGTTCACAAATATTTGTGCACTTTGTGTAATTTTAGTGTTCTACACTCTTCAGCCAGAGCAGCTCCTGCATCGCAGTGCTGATAAAGACACTTTGGAAGAACTATGCTCACACTGTTACGCCCCAGAGTTACCTGCTGTGTTACCAGCAGTCTCAATATTCAATTACACCCCGAGCTGTTTCTTGTTTTTCCCCCCGGATGGGTAAAAGACTGTTATTGGACGAGAGGTAGAGGTTGACTTGGTGTGTGTGAACTGCCCGGCTGTCCTGATGAATTTTGATGGAGAGAACTAAATTTCACACGATCCTAAATATTTTAATAATCATAATGGACTATTTGAGTTGCGTACCTTTTTTTTATTGCAAATAACACATTGCAGTTTTACAGTTGTATCTACTAACTGTTGATCTTAAAACATTTAGTTTAATTGTTTAATGAAAATCTGACAACCAGTATTTGGATTTTGACACTTTAAAAACTTTAAACCAGATTTGTTTTAATATTCAGTCGACCTATCCAACATGTGTCAGTTTATATCTGAGCTGTCAGAAAGCGTCTTATCAGATTTACAATGTTTTTATCAATCACAAACAGTCAATGAAATGAATGCATTGATCAATGTGTGAGTTTACTGCAAACATTTGTTCAAGGTGTTTTTGAGTTCAGGCTAAAAAGGAACAGAAGACATGAGACCTATTCAGCCTGAATGAACATTTTTATTTTTTGAGAAAATAAATCATAATTCAAGATTTGATACAACAGTTTTAACTTTTTTAAAATATTCTTCTAAATATTGCGCGTTGGAAACTGTTTAAATGGATTGTTTGGGTGTTTTGAAGTGGGGTTGTATGAGGTACTCGGTCAGTTTATCACGTATCAGTTGACTGAAGTCAAATGTTGCAGCGAAACTCATTTTTGCATAAACTAAAACTGATATTTTATCTCATACAACCCCTTTTAAAAAAGCATTTTGTTTACAATTTTGAAAGTCGCTTTGAAGGATATTTATAACCATTTTATTGTTGTTACACTACAGACTTATTTCTTGAAGTCATTATGAGGATTGGGATAAATTAGTTTAGTGTTTGTCAACAAATCTGACAAAGAGAATAAAACCAATTGATTGATCCTACCTACCAGTATTTTCTACGCATCAATGCCTGGTGGATTTTTATGTATTTTCTTTTGACTCAGCCCTTCATTCTCTGTTCATGCTGAAGAAAATGGACAAAACAAAAATAAAAGTATGCTTTATCCTTTTATAATCTGAAGACAATTGAAATTGCTCAAATGAAAGGTACAGCTGTTATGTTTCTGTAATGGAACACTATTTTTTATTACCTTTTAGATTAAAGTGTGAATACAAATCTGGTGGAAAGGGTGTAAGTTTGCACTGTAGGCTTCATGTTTTGCAGGTTTAACGAGGTTCTGGTCATTTTACGGACCAAATGCAAGTATTCCTTTTGAAACCAGTTCATTGCAATGTTTTTCTGAAAGTAGAAATTAAAATAAATTAAAATGAGTCATTTCGGTACCGAGGGCACACAGACTCCTACAGTAGAAGGATATGAATTTAATGCAAAGTTATTTTCATGTCGGTGGACGGGTTCCTATTTAAGTGGAAGTAGAGTGTGAACGTGCCTGCTGTCACATTTCCTAAAGCCCGGTTTCAGTAACAGTAAACGCATTGCAAAATATAGTGTCATTCATAAGGCAAGTTCAATTTGCATAGATACAATTTCACTCAAACTTTTAGTTATTTGTCCTTTGATACGACTATTTGAAAAAGAATATGACTCTTAGGATTTCAGTTTCAGTCTTCCGTTCCTTGACGTGTCACGTCGTGAGTGTTCTGGAAAAGGGGCCGTTGAACCACAGCACATTTTTGTGAAAAATAATTGCAGTTTCTGTAAAATGGATAATGTTGTTTTTGAGGATGTTTTTTTGTATGTATGAACTTTTGAGAAAATGAATAAACTTAAAAAACAACTTCATTTTCATTTTTTGTGAATAAAACAAGAACATTTTTAGCCAAACACCTGCTTTTACAATAATTAAATACAATTAGCCTTGTTTACCGTAATGGCATCCTTGCCCAGCGGGCAGCTCTTTAGCATAGTTTAGTCTACTGGAAAACCACTGGCCATACCCAAATGAGGGTAACACTTATTAACACAATCTAACTTGTTTCTTTAATTTGCAGGGGGAAAAAAACAGACTCTTTTAAAAAAAAAAAAAGAAAAAAAGAAACTAGCCTACAGTCTCTGCTGGTTGCCTGTCAGGTACACAATCTTGTTTTTATTATGAATTAATATAACGTGAAAGACATAACGTGTGCATCACTGAACCTAAGGGGTGCTGGGAGTTGGATTTTATCACCCCGTCTCACCTGGACGGGAAAGGTGTGAGACTGCTGTTCATTGACTGTACTTCCTTTCACGCTGATTGTGTTGAGTGTGTGTGTGTGTTGTTCAGTAGTTGGATGTGTGTGTGGTGGTCGAGTCGCTGGGTAACGAGGACCGCCGCTTTGAGTTGGTGCGACAGAGCAGCAGCAGGCGGAGCTCCAGAGAGACGCTGCTGGAGAAGGCGGAGTAGATCCAGGGGTTGGTGCAGGAGTTCAGACTGGCCAGCAGCATCAGCAGGGTGAACACTGCACCTGCACACGCACGCGCGCGCACACACACACACACACACATAGGAAGCAGTTGGGACATGCCTGATCAAAACTAGTGATAAAAGGAAGTGTTTTAAAAAGTACTATTTTAAAAGTACAATTTCCCCAGTGCACACAATACTCCATCACTACTTAAAAGTATTGTCAGGAAAATGTCATTAAACTACTCAATGAAAAGAGATTTGAGTATAAAACGGACTATCTGGGAAATTAAAAATCGAGTGACACATGAATAAAGATATTTAAAAAAATAGGAATAATGTAGTTAGGAACCTCACTTAGTAACTCCTACAATTCTACACAAATAAAAGTTGTTTGTGACCTATACCTGGATACTGGTACTGAAGTAAACTAACACACAAACCGCATCACGTTTCAGCTCCACCTGATCACAATGGACACTTTCTATGTGATGACAGAATGTTGTGTAAAGAGTAAAAGCCATTGCAATCATAAACACTGCAACATGTCCGGTAGGAAAAGTGGTACCATTCTGAGGCGGGTTGGGGTCCCAAGCGGCCCACAGCTGGACGCTGAAGAAAGGGGCCCAACACAGCGAGTAGACGAGCACTATGACCAGCGTCATCTTCACCGTCTTCGACATGGCCGCTGATACCCCTCTACCGCCGGCAGCGGGGCCCCTGGGCGGGGGGCCGAAGGCCGCGGAGGGCGCCCCGTGAATCTCACGATGGAGAGGACCCATGGGCAGGGTCAGACCGGTGGGTTCAGGGTCGAAGCTGGTGTCGCTGCTGGAGCGGTTGAGCGCGGGTGGTGAAACACACACGGAGAGACTGGAGCTTCCTCCGCTGCCTCCTCCTCCTCCTCCTCTCTGGCTATCCCGTCTCGCTGGAGACAGCGGGGCGGGGGACAGGCGGCGCTCCGACAGGTATACATTGTTGCGGATCTCCTTGAAGATTCGCACCTCAGAGAAAATGAGACATTTGGTGATGTTGAGATGTTTTCAAATCCCATCTGGGACTAATTCTCTCCTGGTGCAGTGCGTCGCTCTCTACCTGGCAGACCGTGATGGCGAAGGCAGGGAGGATGAAGACGGCCAGGGTCATCCAGGTCACGTATGCTTTGAGGCCCCAGGACTCGGCGAAGTTGCCCCAACAATCGAAGACCCCTGGGGCAATTTCTGAACGGGAGAAGATGAAAACCTGGAGGAGTTTGGGCAGACGTCGAAATCCGTGTTTGGACAAAATTTACAAACACAAAAGAAAATGTAACGTGTGCAAAATTATTTATATATGAAGGTAGTTTGTGATCGCAGCAAAACACTCGCCACGAGCAAAGTAGACCACACACACAGACTTTTATATGGATCAAATGTCAAATGTTAGCAACAATGAATATGTGAAGCCTTTGTGTCTCCCTGCCTGCGTCCCCCTTCCTGTGCCTCCCTACCTGTGGCAGGCTGAGCAGCAGCGACAGGCCCCAGGCCAGCAGAATGAAGCTGTTCCAGCGTTGAGTGGCCACACTGCGGTGCGCCAGCAGGGGGCAGCAGATGGCGTAATGTCGGTCCATCGTCATGGCTACGATCATGTAGGAGGAGCTGAACATTCCGAGAACCTGCAGGTATTTCACCAGGCGACACAGGAAGTCCGGCCCAGGAAACAGACCTTTAGCATCCCACACGAGCTGCGGCAACACCTCGGAGAGGGAGGAAGGGAGGAGTGAGATGAAGGGGGAGCGTCATAAAAGCTATAAAGAAAAGCAATAAAAAAGCAATAAAAATAAATCGATGATGATTATTCTGGCTTAAACAAAAATTATATTCTTTAAAATAATGATTTAACTCAAAAACTAATTTTGTCTTCCCATATGTGTCTTATTAACATGATATAAGTATTTCACTTAAACATTGTAAGAGCCATATTTGCCTTAATAAGATGTGTTTATTGTCTTATAAAAAATGTGTCAATGCTCCTTTAAGTTTCGTTGCTGATGACGTCATAGCCTATGTTCTCCAGTCGAGGTTTATCAGTCTGCAGAGCAATACAGTTTGTTGACCGTTGTGCCAAGTCGAGCACTGAATGTTTCTTGTAACTAAGTTTTGTTAAGTAAATCTTTTTAAAACGAAGTTGCTGTCTACGAAGATTCATTACGCGTCAAGCTCACGGCCCAAACACAGACTGTAGTGATAATAACGATCAACGAGGACGGAATTAAGATTGCCGCTACAGACATGAAAGTTATTGCCAATACCGGTATATTGGGACTCCCCTACCTGAAAAAGAGCCACCACCAGGTCGGCCACACAGAGGTTGAGCATGAACTGGTGCAGCGGGTTGTGGTGTTGTCTCCGCCTTAGCAACACTACCAGCACCAGTCCGTTGCCAAGCAGCGCCATCACCAAGATGACTGTCAGCACCACGACCTCTGCCACTGCCAGGAGGGCATCACGCTCCCAGTCTGTGACGTTCCTCACCGCTGGGGTCACAGGAGCCGCCGACCAGCCGATGGACGGGTATGAGTCTGTTACCGTGGAGACCGATATGTTGGCTTAGAGGGGAGGAGAGGTAAATGTCAAAAAGGAGAGTAATAAGACTGTTCACACAACAGGCTTATAGTTATGATCCTGAAGGGAAGATGATTGCAGTTTCCAGGTGCCAGATAGTAAGTGAGCATCCAAGGGGAAGCTGCAAGAAATGCGATAACTCACACAAATACAGAAGGGTGAAATCTGGGTTTGTCTTTCTCCCGCTGGAGAGAAGCACAGCTCTAATGGCATTCAGGGGTTGTGCAAATCCTACTCATTCAGTTCAATTAATTTTATTTTGTATAGCCCAAAATCGCAAATCACAAATGTGCGTCAGAGGGCTTTACAGTCTGTACACATACAACATCCTCTGTCCCGAAACCCTCACATCGTCACAGGACCTCATTCTACCTTAAACTTTATACGGTATGAAGGCAACAGTGAGAAAAACGGCATTGCAAGAAAGAAAAGAAACAAAACCTTGAGAAAACTTGAGGGCAAGTCATGCTTTGGTGTAAACATGAGAAACAGGCCCAACTGGGTCACAAGCCAAAACATTTGGGACATTAGGAACATTCGCTCAGGATTTTATACGCATCCCATAGGTTGTATATTTTTCAGGAAAAATATTTATCTTTAAAGAAACCAGTAATTATTATCCGTCAGATGAATTTTGGTCGAGTAAAAAGTACATGGTGTTCGTCTGATTCCAGTGGATTAAAAGTATAAATCCACAAACACTCAATTACATTACCGAAGTACATAAATTGAGTACATGTACTCTGTAACTTTCCACCACTCCGATTTGATTTCTCGCGTGATACTTCACCCAATTAGTGAAAGCCCTTTCAAATTCTCATTGTTCTCTGCACTGCTCGAACATATTGCTTCTGATTATGAAGCGGACCTGTGTTAGTCACTTGAACTCTGTGTGTGTGTGTGAGTAGTTGTTTGTTTGGGGTCAAAGCTGGTACCACGTACACTTTATCTGACCTCTGCTGCCTGTTAACATCCCATCACAAACGCACAGCTGAAATGAAGTGTGTATGTGCACGGCCAAGCACGGGCAGGCACATTAATTGCAAGACAATGAGATGAGTAGAATGTTTACAGAATCGCCTTCACAAACCGTTACAGTTCAAAAAGCAGACACACACACAATCACAAAGACATGCAGAGAGGGGCCCTCATGGAGGACTATTTACCTAGTGCAAATGTGCAGAGTCTAATAAGAACAGAGTGGTTTGGCTCATCTCCAGGGATCAATTACGGTTTCTGCGAAACTGTAAAAAAAAACCCTGTGTTGTGAAAAAAATATGTTTCAAAATGTGTTCCGTGTGAATAAAGTGAGTTTTGTTTTTGTTTTCCTATAGTTGTCATTTTTAAGCCGAATAATTAATAGTAGTAGTTTTATAGCATTTTTATTTTTGGTGCAATATCCAAAATGAAATTGAGAGTGCAGTTTAGCTGTAAGGAAACGTAATTTTGTAAGCAACATGGGGATAAGATTAAAAAAGACCAGATTGAATATTAAAACATTAACGTTTCCAGAGACATTCCCTTCTAAACCTCTCCCAAGGCTCCATGTTGAACATTATGTTAAAATCATCCAATATTTACCAAAACAAAAGTTCGAGGTATAAATATAAATTTGTATACATTTTTGGAGTGTGAAATACTTTTGATACTTTGTGTTCATTTTGCTGATAATTATTATGTAATATTTGAACGTGGATTTTATTTCTTTTCCTAACCCTTCCCTATTTACGAAAAGCAATCTATCCAGTATGAATTCTGCTAAAAAAACGATTACTGCACAATATAAAAACTGTATTATAAAGAACATATTATTATCCTGTTAGGGTTGACAAAACGACTAACATGTAAATAGCAATGTAATGTTGTTACAAAAGCTGTTGGTAGCACGTCTTAGTGTAAATATTTCAGTTTGAAGGTGTAAAAGGCATTCGCTTCATAGCAGGCGATAACACATATAAACTGTATGTAAAGGCTTAATAAATAATCTATTTCTGCCCATAGTCATTTCAGGTCTCTGGTTTGCAAAGCTTTTTGGCTAATGTTAATCCAATTAGACCACCGGACACCTGCTGTTTAATACTTATTTTGCTTTTCACAAAACATAAAGCACAAATCAATCCTCTCTGAATGTTGTCTTTCTCTGCTCTAATCATTGTTCATGTTTGAAAATGATCTTCTGTCAACAGATGAATCTTCACTCAAAAAAAAACAACTCACATCCACTTGTTGTTTCCTGAACCTCATTAAAAGCAACCAACACCTTTTTGTGCCAATAATAAATTCCCATTCTAGCAGAAAGCAGAGAGAGAGTAAGCAAGTACAAGCAAACACAGGCGACTCACTCATCTCGTCCTCGTCCTCAGCGTCCCATGAAGCATCTGTAGGGTCCAGGACAACCTGATCTGCTGTTGCACACACTAACCGCGTCCATGCTGTGTTTCCCTCTGGCTTATTACTGCGAGGGTGACCTGAGCCAACTCACGCTGCTGACTCCTGTCTCCCCATCGCCTCCCTTCTTCTGCCTTCCTCTTTTAACATATCCCGCCCGCTCTCTCTCTCTCTCTACTGGACTTAAAGCAGGAGGGAAACGAGGGAAAAGAGGTGGGTTGATCAAAGGACGATGATGCCCGGGCTGCAGCGGTAAATTAATGTAATTTCCCGCTGATTGTTTGGATATAAACCACGTTGCTGTTGGCCTTACTTTGATCCAGATTCAGTGCAGGACAGAAGTGCAAAGAGGGTCCGTGCGCCATCAGATCAAATGATATTTCTGTCAGTAGCCTCCCAAAAATGATCAAAGACCTTTCAGGCAAACATTCAACTGATACGTGTGATTTGTTAGATAGAGAGGAGACAAAGCGTCAGATGTTGTGACAGATGGGATGTTACGCTTCATGGAGATAAATGAGTAGGAAGCAACAAGAGAGTTGCCCTTTTCTCACCCCTGCTCCCTGGTCCCCCCCCTCTGTCTCCAATGCATTCCATCTCTCTTTCTGCAGTATTCAACTGGCCTACCCCGATTGCTCCCTCATTACTGAGGGGCCCACAGAGCGACCTTAAACATGCACACAGAAACATGGACACACACTCACACAGGCTGCTCAAGCTGTTTCTTTTCATTATTTTGATATTATTATTATGAAAGGGAATTCTTTGGTCTGCAAAAAGCTCCATCGGTGAGCTTTAACTCCAGTAGAGATGTTTTTCCCACAGCATTGGTACAGAAAATATATTAACGCATATTTTTTTATCGTCTATTCCAGAGTCACTATAAAGTTGTTTAATCTAGCCGATGTTGCAATTGTTGTTCTTCTTTTCAGCGGCAGACTAACATAGAGACAGAACACCTTCATTTGAATTGTCACACTAAACTGCCTTGATATTCTTATTAGAGAAATGTTTAATCCGCCATGTGTGAACTGAATCTTGCTCCGCCGGTAGAGACCGGAGCAAACCAAAATCCTACTACGTAAGTAAAGTAAGTAAAAAAGTAAAAGTTGTAGCAGATGGTCAATGAGAACGCAGACTGCTCCTGTTAAGCAAAGGAGACAGCGGACACGTGCGAGGGAGTGGAGGAGGGACAGCAGAAGAGAGGGAGATACTGTACATGCTGACACCATGAGAGAGGACCCAGACATATTACAGGAAAGAGCAACATGACTTAGAAGCAAGAGGTTGAGCCGAGCAAGATACAATTCATTTTGATTCTCATTTATTTTGAAGTCAGGTTCAGTGGAGTGAAAGATCCTTAAATAAGGACAATAAAGACATTTGATTAACCACTGCAACTACACGTGTCTTCAGATTGAAGCCATATTTTACTTTAGATTTTATTTTAGAAAATGTTACGTTGGAGCCATAAATGAGATGTTTATTTTTGGGGGATTTCATAAAGAATTGGGCCACCTTCAGCTGAGAGGAGGAAGGTGGACTTTTCCAGTGCATCAGTACGACGCACCTTGCTTGCAATGTGAGAAGGGTAAAAGTAGGCTGGCAGTAAATAGAAATGATTATATCAGAACCTTAATTAATAACACATAGACCTCTATAATTACTACACATCCATTTGAGTTATTTATATTTTAATTCTTAACTTGTTGCTAAAAAAACATATAGTATGTATATAGTAGTATAACATAGTTTTTTTAGAAAGTCAGTTAATCATGCTTGAAACGATCTAACATTAACAGGTAATACTCAAGTAATTTAAACTAATGTACTATAACTGAATCAATTATTTGCATCAGTTGCAGCTGTCCCATTCTGGAGCTTGTGTGCAGCACAAATAGTACAGCTACAACTCCTAAAACATTTCACTCAGTTACAACAGACTCAACAACAGGTGGGGAGGACTCAAGTAAATGTGGACTCTGTGTGGTCTAAACAAGGCAATGCTGCATGCATTAATATGTGTATGGATTACCACAGATGATTCTGAAAACAAACTACGGGGACATGGATTTTATTGTCTTTACTAACTTCATCAATGCCTACTACATTCAGTAGTAAAACATCTGTTTGGATGAAATAAATTAAACGTATGAAATATAACTGGTTTCACGTCATACTAAATACATTAAACAACTAATAAACATGTAAAGGATTGGGTGTAACAGAAAACAGGTGTAGCATTGGGTCTGTCTCACACAGGGAACAGCATGATGGTTGGCTCAGGTAAAGGATGTAAACTGAAAAGAAGTGCATAAACAGTCGGGAGGAGAGGAAACTCTACTAAGATAAAAAAAAAAAACCCATTACATTTTATATCAGTATAGTAATCCCCAAACTTGCTGTTTTTCTGAAAGTGCATTGAAGAACAACTAAAGACAGGCACACATGTTTGTTCTACATGCTCAGCGTCCGGGGCCCGGTGCTCTGAACTGCATTCATGACACGCTGGAGCACTTCTGAGGTGGAGCCTTGGCCTCCCAGATCAGCAGTGTGCAGCTGGAGGACAAAGGAGATGACAAAACAATGTGAATATTATTATTTTTCTGATTACCTGCCATTAGTGGGACGTGACAGTACCTTAGTCTCAGTGAGGGTGGAGAGAACGGCTCTGCGGATCATGCTGGCGTAGTCGTGGAGCTTGAGGTGATCCAGCAGCAGGCAGGAGGCCAGCAGCATGGCCGTGGGGTTGGCTGTGTTGCTGTTAGCAATACTCTTCCCGGTGTTCCTGGTGCCCTGCACGTAGAACACCATGTAAGGAAGTAGCACCTTTAACATGTGATTATTAACACAATGTCACTTTGTTGAAAAATAAGAAACAAGCTGATAGACATGGTGGAGCATTTAGGAGCTTAAAAGTGAGGATATTTCCCTCAGGAAGCGGCGCAGACCAAAACAACTTCAAGGGGAGATCAGAAACCCAACTCCAAAGAAATACTCTTAGATGTCCCTTTCCCTCTTGCTTGACGTGACCCGTCTCACCGTCTCAAACACTGCGTAGTTCTCTCCGTAGTTTGCTCCAGGCACCAGACCCGGTCCCCCAACGAGCCCAGCGCACACATTGCTCACGACGTTTCCATACAGGTTGGGCATGACCATCACATCGAACTGCTGGGGCCTGGAAACCAGCTGATACCAACAAGTCAAAACAGAATATCAGAAAACTCTTACGTTAGAACTTTGTTTCTTCAACTATAATTAAGGGTCCCAAGATAATGTATAATGCAACTATAGAAACTCTGTATTAAATGTAAGCCTTTGGATGTATTTAGCAACCGAAATGTCAGTGAGTGAACCTGATATAAAGACTATAACATGTGATGACCTCTGTCATAGCTACCTGCATGGTGGTGTTGTCCACGATCATGCTCTCAAAGGAGATTTCAGGATAACCGCTCGCAACCTCTTTACAGCATTCCAGGAAGAGGCCATCACCCAACTTCCTGCTCCAACAAACACACACACACACACATTAGGATGTATCATGTGTTTTTAAAGAGACAGATGAACAAAATCAGGCAGAGACAGCGGTCAGAGACTGACATGATATTAGCCTTGTGCACAGCAGTGACTAGTCGCCGTCCTTTGGCCCGAGCAGTTTGGAATGCGTAATCCGCGATGCGCAGAGATTTCGTCTTGGTAATGATCTTCAGACATTCAACAACGCCCGGTACATTCTGCAGAGAGAAAGAGATGCACGCTAGGCCCGGATTGGTTATGGTTTTTTTCGTATTTCATCAACGGTGCGATTGCGAACACACACCTCGTGCTCCAGGCTGCTGTACTCGCCCTCTGTGTTCTCCCTCACGATCATGATGTCGATCTTTCTGTGTCGCGTCCGCACTCCTGGTAGAGACTGGCAGTGCATCACATTGGCATAGAGATCCAGAGTGGTGCTGCTCAGAGAGGATGATATGAAGAGGACAGAAGGAAATGATAGAACAGATGAATGGAGAGGCAGAAAGATGTTGACAGATGGAATAGGAGAAGGAGATGCACTGACGGTGGTGAAAGTGATGAAAGATTAAAAAAAAGTTACCGCAGCAGGTTGTTCCTGGACTTGTAGGATGGTGGCAGGTTGTGGTTGGTTTCAATGTTACCTGGATAAACAAACAAAGTTACACCTAAAAATCAGAATATCAGAATGTCCGGACTTCTTCTTTACAAATGCTGAAAATCTAAGCGAGCTTTTAGTATTTTCTATCGTGGTAACTGGTTGAAATGATTCGCACGCACAAGAGCTTTTTCTTTTTGTCATCTGCAATGTAAGTACCATAAATAAACATAACTTTTCTTAGAGAATCTTTCATCTCTCTCAGCGTGGGTTACATGATGACTATGTCGCTCTTTTAGACTGAAAACTCGATGAAATTTCAGACATTCATGATATCCTGGGAATGAAACCTAATTGCTTCTGTGATTAAATGAGCTTTGTCTAGCGCCACAACCACAGCTTTTTGAAAGGTTTTGATTGTACCATATGACCATTTCGAATTTTTCCTGGGATGTATTGGCTGTGATATTGCACAGGGCTATGTTTAGCTCTCTGGGCCTAATTGATTAGCAACAGCTGACCCACATGAACATTGATGTCCTTGTACGGACACGTTTCATATAAAACACTAACCTTTTAGTGCTACTCCATTGCGTCTGATCGCCATTATGGCATCATCAATGTCATCTTCTGAGGCCATGGATGAGTCCACATCGACAACCTCAAAGTCCACTGGCACACAGCAGAACCTCATAATAGAGAACAGATGGAGATTCCTTTGATATCACAGAGCTTAGTCACGTAGTGGCCCGAGAGTATGAGTGTTGTTACTGACTTAATTCAAACAATATGTGTATATGTGTGTGTGTGTGTGTGTGTGTGTGTGTGTGTGTGTGTGTGTGTGTGTGTGTGTGAATACTCACCGGAAAAGTTCACACACGTGTTTTGCCAGCTCTGGTCCGATGCCGTCACCAGGGATCAGTGTTACAGTGTGCCTGCCTCCATACCGCGCCGGGGGAGGCTGTAACGCGAGCACACACACAAACAATGAAATTTGAACTCCTCCTCATGCGACGCAGTAGACGCTTTCTCCTCAAAACTACTGAGAAGACTCTAAGCTGTTACAAAGACACACGCTTGTAATCCTTTAGCGGTTATGAGAAGTTCTAATTAGACGTATGGTACATGTCTGTGTGTGCAACGTAAGTAAGCATACTCACTATGGCCTGGCGTGAGGGAGGAGGGATTGAGAACGGAGGAGAGAAAACAGGGAGTTTAGTGGGACAAAGAAGAGAGGAAGACACATGCTGACCTGCAGCTTCTTGATGACAATGCCGGGACATTAGTGGGACCAAACAATGTCGGTGCTCTTGTGGACATGCCTAAAGACATGTTGAATTCCACAAGGTGGGGGGCTTATGAGGCCATAAGGTATTTGTTGCTTGAACTCCTTTAAGAAAACATGTTTTATATACTGAACAACTCACAGTGTGAGTCGAATTGTGTCTCCGATCAAACGTCGCTGCACCATGAAACTGAAAATACAGAGAAAAGGTGGTTATTTGCAGAAAAAAGGGTTAAATTACTCTGCGCTTCTGCTGTATAACATTCTAGTTGGATGTTAAACTTCAGTGACAATAAAGTGTGTATGTGCAGATAGGGGAGGTTATGATATTACTCTACTTTAGAAACCACCATTGTACGTTTTACTCCACTGGATTACTAGGTTACTTTCCATATTCAGATTACCAGAAGTATGAAAGTATTTGTCAAATTTTCAAATTCTGTACCGTTCTTTCAACAATGATGATAATACTTTCACTACTTAATGTTACGAACTCAAGGATTTTACTTGTTTATTATAACGTTAACTGACTCCACCACTGGTCGACTGCGCTCCTGTTGTAATGCTGTTTAAATGATTCATGACCTGCAGGGACCAGTTGAAGTAAACATTTACAGTTTTAACAAACAGAGAAGTATCGGTAGGTTCTCTTTTTAAACCGAGTGGTGCTGAAAGGACAGCGACATTAACCAAGCGCGCCCCGTTAACCAACCAACCTCTAAGCAGCTTAGCTCACCACTGTCCAACCAAGACCAGCGTTAAACCACTACGAATATTTAAAGCAACCGAAAGCAAAAGGTCGTTTTTTAACAATGAACGTTAACTATCTGCTGGTGAACTGAGAGACTGATCCTACCCTGGTCGACCGGTTGCCGAACACAAGCTTTAGTGCTCCGGAGAGCGAGCACACTGACCGGGCCATCACGTCCACTCCTCCCGGGGATGAGTGAGGGACACACAGGGGCATTAATCTCCTTCTCTCTCTCTCTCTCTCTCCATTTTTTTGCTTTCTATACTTCCAGCTAGCATCGTGTCACCATGGTAACTTTAATACACAGGCTCGAAGGCCTGGTGGCCTAGTTAGTTTTATTCCCCCATTTTTTTTCCCGTGGCAATTTTTCTGTCCGATACTGTGTTGAACCACCGGGAGGCAACATTAACACTCACGATTTAACATGAACCGTCCTATCATTTTAATGCTACCTGTTACACCACCCAGTCATTTATATTCTATTCAAGTTAATGTTGATGTATTAATGTGTTTTTTTTCGCTGGTCTTCATCACCTAACGTTATATTTGCACTGCTGTATTCGTTATTCGGCAGCATCGGTGTTGGTTTGCCATGACAGTAGTTCGATAGCGTAATAGTATCATTATCGACGAAACATCGCGTTCCCATGTTAAAATGCAAGACGCAATATTACCAGACTCAGACTGATAGCGAACAAATAACGGCGGTTCAGTTTTGGGCCACTTGGAGAAATTCTACTCTGGCTTTATGATCTTCTTCTAACCGTCATTATCATCACCCTGGTAGTTGGAGTTCCATTCTATTTCCCACCACATCTGTTCTAGTTGGACGTGACACACGTATTTGACTCTGTTTCCCAGCATACCCTGCGGTTGTGCCTCCTCCCTCAGCTCTCTACGCCTTCCCTCCCACTCCACTGGGCCGCGAGGAAGTCGCAAGATGGCTGATGTCGCTTGGAAGTAATGTTCCCCTCTGCAACATGAAGCCGTGAGTGTGGAAGAAAGCGAGGGAGGCACCATCGGGCTTTTATTTTTATTTTGTTTTATTTACTTTTCTTTTATTTCGTCAAACATCCATCTCATTCCGCGTCGTGTCCGCCCCGGACTTGTCTTCGGGAGTTGACGCGTCAAATCACGCCGGGGACACTGCCAGCAGCTAACAGTTAGCCACACAGTTAGCAAATGTTAGTACAGCTAGCCAGCCAGGCAGGGACATAGCTTGTTAGTTTGTTTTGATTGATATTCGGAAAACCCGCGAGCTAGCGAGCTATCAGTGCAAATGTGCGGAATTCTGCCTGTCAAATTGTTAAGCTGTCACACAAATTAAGGATTTTTGCAAGCTGCTCGACTCAACATAATGTCCGCGAACTGGCCATCCAGCCTGTGAGTTGCTAACGTTAACTAATGCGCAGTATTGCATCCGTTTCATGTGCACAAATCGACAGGAAATTTTATTTTATTGGCATTTTTCACCTAAATCCACCTCCTTGCTGCATATCCGTTATTTGCTGCCAACGACTTGTTTGGAGCCGGTTATGTTAAAGCCAAATTATGGGAGCAAGAAATGTGTTGAACTTTTTCTGGTTGTAGGTAGCTACACTGGCCTTGCTGGCATCTCACCAAAAATCCACAGGGATGGACACTAAACTGAGCACCCACGCACAAAACTGAGAAATAGTCATTTCTATAGTACAACGACGATCGCTGACATCCGTTTACACTAGTGCACGGTGGATCATTTCCCGTGTCCGGGTGACACACGTTCTGCAGGGTTAACTAAAGTACAGTTAGTCACCTCATCGGAGACCAGTTAGCTTGCCTAAAGTGCACAGCTAGCTACGGTCTCGCCCCACATCACGTTACAACCACGGCGTACAGAACGTATTCAGAGCCCGCTCCCGGCCAGACGCACAGGCTCAACAACACCGTCATGGGAGTGCAGGGTTTTCAAGAGTATTTAGAGAAGCGGTGTCCCGGCGCCGCAGTCCCGGTGGACCTCCTAAAGCTTGCCCGCACCGCGGCCCGCCAGCCCCCTCACCACCACCACCATCCACACCACCACCACCCACATCACCCCGGGCCCATGCCTCCCCCGCCGCCCCCGCCTGCCAGGATCCTAATCGACGCGGACTCCGGCCTGCAACGCCTCTACGGCGGCTACCAGACGGACTGGGTGTGCGGGGGAGAGTGGAACGCCATGCTGGGCTACCTGGCCGCCCTGTCGCAGGCCTGTCTGTACCAGGGCGGCCTGGAGCTGGTCGTGGTTTTCAACGGCACGCTGGGGAAGGAGCGCTGGCCCGAGTGGGCGCGGCGAGCTCAGGGCCAGCGACAGACCGCGCAGCTGATAGTCAACCACGTCGGCAGCAAGGCCACCCCGCCTCCCCGGGCATGGTTCCTGCCCCCGGCCTGCCTCAGCCACTGCGTCCGGCTGGCCATGTTTCGCTTCCGAGTGCGGGTGAGCAATGAGTGATGGTGGCTGTGTCGAGTTGTTTTACGGCGGTCATACTGTGGATTTAACCACTTGCCCTTTTCTCTCTGCACGCCCGTTTAGCGGCTTGCATCATGCAGCGCCCTTTTAGCTCCTTGCAGCTGGGGAGCAAGTGCAGCCAGTAAAATGAGTCGATCTGTAATGGTGGTGTTTAATAGTAATAAAAAAAGTGGACTGATTTGCATTTGCTGTTTTTAGCCTGCAGAGTATAGCCGTCTCTCTGTGTAATTCCCTCATTGAGGACGATGAGCTGGTCTAGTGGGAGGAGGAAAGTATCCAGTGCACATATGAAGCAGCAGCTCCTCGCTAAACCAGTATGTGCATTTGCACCATGACCCAGTCTAGCCAGCCCGTATATTACACAACATGAACTCATTGAACCTTTTACACATCGGACAACTGCACAGTGGATACGCCTGTAGGTCCCCTTTGTCTGCCATGGCTACATGTGCAATGATTTATTTGATGCATTTCACGTAGTTGGTATTGAGGATATTAAAAAAAAAATGTTTTGCACAGTTGTTGGCACAATTACAGTAATTGGGTTTGCTAAAAAATACACATGGCTAATAACATTATGTACAAAGCCTGCCATAACAGCTTCAAAACTGCTGATTGCCTTTTGTGGTTCAATACTTTCAACTTCACTTAGCTCTCTTTGCTCTTGATGTACCTGCCTATCTGCTTAGACGGTAGCATTAAGAAACACTGCCATAGTGAGCTGTGAGAGGATAGAGGGTAGAAAATCCCACTCACATTACAGGACAATACATTCTAATCCCTGTGTGTGTATGGCATCATTACTCACTGTTCCCGTGTGTACGTTCTTGTTTTTTCTGGCCGTATTCTGAGAAACAGTCCTATTTCTGCAACTTTGATTATCTCACCCCTGCATGAATTAAACCTTCACTTGAGTCATTAGTACTATGCAGCCTTCTAATCCGTAGCTCTACATGTACTGCATGTCTATATAGTCTATTTTGGAGTTATAGCTAATATATTGTGCTGGTTGTTGAAACTGATTACGAGTTATTGGTTTGTTTTATTATTGGTCACATAAGAAATAGTAATCTATTCAAACAAGTCGGGAAACCGTTTCCTCATAATCTGCCTCATATATTCATTTTTCATTCTGTTCAGTTTTGCTTATCAGCTCAATTAATAGAAACCTAGTGTTTAAATAATTAAACATTGTAATTATGTAGTTTTCGCACTGAAAACTGAAGTTGTTTAATAAGATTACCATACCGATTCCAGCATGAAGCTCTCCTGCGTGCTCTGTCTGGTGTTACCGACCACATCTCATACCAATTAGGTGGTGCATGAGTGTGCTCTTTAGCTATAGTGTTACCTAAGGTTCAGGTATGTGCATCATCGCCAGTGATTTGGAACTAATTGCTGCACAAACTTTCCACAGATGTGTTTTTTCAAGCTTTAGTATTGTTTTGGTAGAGAAAGTGTTGGCTCAACTGTCCGTCGGTGTATATTGCAGAGTTCTAGTTGATCAGTTTCACAGATGCTAGTCCGTCTTTGGCAAATGTCTACTCTGTTAAGGATTCTCTTTATGGTCTAAGTTCTAGAGAAGGTACTTCTTCACATTACTTGTTTGGTCAAACCAGAAGTCCAAAATGCATTACTATTCAGCCAAGTTGGGGGAGCTCAAGATCTTCTCAATTGGACATTTTTGTTCAAACAATTACTTAAAAGACTCATCCAAATAGTTGCAGATACATTTTCTGTTAAACCTATAAGTCAATGAAATCAATCTCAAATTCTAACAGTTGTCCAGCATTTCTCAAAATATGACAAAATCAAACCATGCTAATCCTGAAAGGATATAAACTGTGTCTAACTCCATTTTGAGTCTTTGGTTTTCTATGACACAGCCGCCTTAGTTTGTCCACTCTGCCTCCACAGGTTGTACAGACTTTGGAGGACCACCACCAAGAAGTGCTGTCTCTCTACCGGGACTTTGGATTTGCCGGCCTGATTGCTCAGGATTCCGAGTTTGCCCTCTGCAACGTGCCCGCCTACTTCTCATCGCACGCGCTCAAACTTAGCTGGAACGGCAAGAACCTGACCACACACCAGTACCTGCTGTCTGAGGCCGCCAGGCAGCTCGGGCTTAAGACACAGCACCTGCCCTGCTTCGCTGCTCTGCTGGGTGAGGAGCGCACACACACACACAGACAACACAAATACACAAAAACCAAACGTGTATGCTACGTTTAGCTCTCTGAAATACACACAGCTACTTGCAAGCTGTGTTTTTGGCACCACTCTTTTTGTTTGTCCATGTTTGTTGACACAACAAACATTGAAAGGAGTTTCTGTCTCCCAGGAAATCATATTCTGCCTGATGAGGACCTGGCTGCCTTCCACTGGAGTCTGCTGGGACCAGAACACCCACTAGCCTCTCTCAAGGTGCCGTATTGTTAAGTCCAAAGTCCTCTGTTTACTTACTTACTTGTGAGAATGTCGGCTCCAAGAATCACAAACTTCTGTATAATTAGCTTTGCTTTACCTCGACATGTGTTACAAGTAAATTGTCATTTTTGAGAGAAGCCATACTGTCTTTTCAAATCAAATATTTTCAATGGTTTAGGGACATAATGCTTTCCCACTTATAGACAACATTGCTGCATGTTTAACAATAAAAGTAAACTTTTAATATTTATATGCATTTAAAATTGATATAAAATGGATGCCATAAATTTGGCAGTTTGATAGAACATAACATAATAAGTTAAAAAGTCAAATAGCATCCTCTGCGCTGATCTTCACAAAGTATTTCAATTTCAAGCTTTGGCCATTTCTTCTATAATTCACCAATTATGAGTAATGACTTGCATCCACTGAGGCCAATTTCTTTTTTCTACGAAGACCTGGCAAATTAATGAATTTAACTCTGCTATGAACTCGACTAAAGACACTCGTATGCGGTTTGTTAACCGACCAGCTCGCCTGAAGTGAAGGCCTTTTCTGGGCGTTATCTCTCCAATTTTTAAAATGTAGCTGCTGGAGAACATTTTGATAACCAAATTTAACTCATTATGGAGAACTAAATATTATTCTCAATATTATCAAGGGTTTGTCTTAAATGTTTACTTTTAATGATGAATTAAAAAAATAGCACACATGCCATCTGTACTGTATTCATTTTTGTGGTTGGAACCGTCCTTAACAGACCATCAACCTGACCATTGCCCCTGAGCAATCAAACAAGTGGGTCCAATGGTTTCGCACCAAACAATTTACTTCCACTTCCATATGTTTAACTCCGGTGTAATTGAAGAGCCTTCCAGTAACACGGCAGTAAAAGAAGTTTTTTTAAGCTCTTTATTTGCTTCCACTGAATACAATAAGTAACAGAATATCGTCACGCGGCTCTGACAGTGTCAGTCCACACCCAAACAGGTAAGTGTGGATTAAAGCCTTTCTACTGTTCCTTCTTAGGTGCGAGCTCACCAGTTGGTGCTGCCGCCCTGTGAGGTGGTGATCAAGGCCGTCTCAGAGTACGTCTCCTCCATCAAAGATCTCGGCAACCTTGACACCATCGCCAGAGATGTCTTCAAACAATCACAGGTGGGCGCCTTTGTCAATGATGTTCAACACTTTATCGGGTTCAGTTTGACAACTGATATAGGTTGAGTTGTTTCATTTCTGTGCGTACACTCCAGCGTGATCCTGATGGTTAAATGGGTCATTATTGTTGACACAAGACCCTGAGTCAGCATGCGCACTTCCTCACACATCAGTGTGGAACCATCGCATTGCTCAGCACTTACTGGATTATCCAGTTTCAGTTCATCGGGGCTGCAACGTTGCTTTCCAGAATGTTTGGATTGAGCAAGTAGGGTTGGAGTTCAGTAGCATTTGATCAAATCCTTATCCCTGATGAGTCTTTATTGGCTAATTTTACTTGATGGCACAATTAGTTAATTCATCTAATAGTTTATCAACAAAAAATGAACTGAAATGTAGATTGTTGATTTAGTTGAGATAAAAGCAGCAAAGCATTTCAAAAGTGAATATCTGATGCTTTTTTTTTGTCATTTGTCAGTCAACATAATGCTTTGTCCTCCGGTTCTAGTCTCGTATGGAGGACAAAGTGGAGCGATTCAAGAAAGCTGTGGATTATTTCTCAGCTGCCTCCAAACCTCGCTCCCCCAACATGGGACCCTCTTCGTTTATCTGTGAGTAGTAGAGCGATCTAGAAAACAGAACTGCCAATCATTATGTATTCATTATTGCCTCAGTAAATATGTCTTTATGAGAAGAAAATGGGAATTTGCATAGTTGTTTTTTTCTGCTTAGTGCCTGGCTTTGGATTTGGGGGACCACCTGGCCACATGGGACCTATGCAGCCTGGAAAGAATCAGGTAGATTCCTTAGCCCAGTAATCATTTGTTCCTCTTTGAGGTGTGTGTAATTTCTTGTCTGGCCTCCACATGAATGCCCATGTAGCAGAAAGGATTACGTTTTGTTCCCCTTTGAAATCCCTTTGTGGCATGTGCTCATTTAGAGGAGTAAAAATGACAGAGGAGGAGGGTGTAAATCCTCCCACATGCCTCGATTAGATGCATCTGGTTGGATCTGAAATAAAATAGGACAGTATTAGTTCATCTCCCCCTCCCTTTCCCTTGCGCTCGCTTTTCTCTTTTTTTTAAATCCTTTTTTTCTTCTTTTCCTTTCTGTCCAATCACAGTTCCCTCCTCCCCAGGTTCTGGGATTAAAGCCACCTTATCAAAATGCTCCATATGGACCTGGCTCCACCCCTCTGTTCCAGAACCCACCGCCACAATCCCAAGATTGCAATGATTCAATGACGAGCAAAATGGGCTTCTCTGATTGGTCGGCTCCGTATGATTCCACCCAGGGGGGAAATCGATTACCCAATCATCACACCACCACCCAGTCTGTTCCTTCTCCGTCTCCTTCATCGTCATCAGATGGAGATGAGCCCAACGACAGCAACGCAAAGTAAGATACACAGACTTCCCCCAGAAATTAGCCTAAAAGTCCAAATAGGAACACTTGGGATTAGTGTGTCACGTTATTGGGTGCCTTATGCTCCTGCTAATTTCCTTTTGCGGCATATGTCAAAACAAGGTTAGCATCAAGCACAAACTTATTTCATCAGCTCAAAAGTTTTTTGAGGAAATGCTTCCTCTGGTTGTTGTATAAACACATGATGAATACCAGACCAGTTTGATGAAACGATACCATAAACCCTTCTCTGTCAGCCATTTGACGGACAAGGCCTCTCGGTGGGATGATCCTGCTGGAAGGGTGGTCTTGGCCTCTGGAGATGGTTCCCAAGGCAACGGGAGCGGATCACACATTCCGTCACTGCTGTCTATGGCGACGCGCAGTCACATGGACATAACCACACCCCCTCTGCCTCAGGTGTGTGTATGTTTGTGTGTGGGCATGTAGAAGAGGTTTCAAAACCAAATGACACAGTTGTAAGTTGTAATTTTTTGTCACCATGTTTCCTGTTTTTTTAGGTCAGTGCTGAGGTTCTTCGAGTAGCTGAGCACAGACACCGAAGAGGACTAATGTATCCCCAGATTTACCACATTTTGACCAAGGTTTGCTTCACTTACATGTCAATTATTTAGCATTTGGGATTTGTCTTTGGAATATATTTTGTCTGTGCAAGGCCTCTAAGTCATCTTGTCTAGTTAAAGAATTGTTCCAAAAAATGAAAATGGTGTTCATGTATCAATGTCGTCAGAGCCACCCGGTAATCTCTCCTTCCTTCACCTTCTGAACCCTGCAGGGAGAGATGAAGATGCCAGTTTGTATAGAGGACGAGTGTAACTCTGAGCTGCCTCCTGCCTCTATGCTGTTCCGTGCCGGCAGACAGTATGCCTACGGGGTCCTCTTCAGCTTGGCTGAAACGCACCGCCGCCTGGAGAGGCTCGCTCTCCGCAAGAGGGCTCCCCTGGAAGGTAGGTCATAAGAGTAGATGGATGAGGGCAATAAGGAGGACATGTTTTTTTTATTATATACATATTCACATTAATTGAGTGGTGGAAAATATCCAAATACAGTGACTCAAGCACTGGTTCATTTAGAAAAGCTACTTGAGTGAAAACATTTGAAATTGTGCATAAACTTAAGCAGTCTGCAGCTTGTTGGAACAGCTAAATGTAAGTTCTCTCTTAAATTAGGGTGCAAGTCCAGACTAAATTATACTTTTTCAATATTCGGAATGTAGTTTACTGAGGCAGTTAACCAGCTTAAAGATGTTCCAGTTTTTGACAATTTAGTCTTGGCTTCATGAGATCGGGGAGAAAGAGGTTAGATGAATGTTTATTTTTCTTTTAAACGGCAGAACATTATTCGACCCAAATGTTGCATCCAAGGTTGTGGTAAGGCGCACCTCCAAGATTTGTGCAATGTCTTTGGGGTTTGCAAAAACCCTGAAGCACTCAAAAAAATAACACAAGAAAACAGTCAGTTCTTTACAGTTCTTTCTTTAGAATGAAACCGCTACTACTTGTATTTTGGTACATTGATACACAGCCAACTGCTCTCTGACCTCTAGCAGCTTTGGATGAGTTATAAGCGATGTGATTAGAATAATATCACAACGCTAATACATCTGTGTGCTTCGACGCCTGGTACTGAATCGTTGTCTCTAATCGATTGCGTCGTTAAATCGGTTGCCTCGGTCCTTTGAAACCAAATTGTGTAAATGCGTTAACTCGCCACCGCGTTTGCAGTTCCTCCAGTGATCGTCAAGGAGTGGAGCAGCGGTAAAGCCAAGTCGGCCCTGACTCCCGAGCTGGTGCCGGCCCTGTGTTTCCGGGAGTGGACCTGCCCCAACCTGCGGCGGCTGTGGTTGGGTCGTGCCAGCGAGGATCGCTCCAGGAGAACCAGGGCTTTCCTGGCCTGCCTACGCTCCGACTGCCCGGCCCTCCTCAACCCAGCGCAGGTCCCACAGCATCTGCTGCTCATGTGCTGTGTGCTCAGGTATGATGGTGCTCTGCGCCTCTGCTGGCAGTGGTTTAGTGTGTGATGTCAGTGGTTACATTTGACGTGACTCATTTCTTATGGCGTTGATCAATCTGCCCTTTCCTCCATTGATAGAAAATGGACTGTTGTATTATGTCATTGGGCACAATTCTTACCGAAAGCCTTTAAAGGTAATGGCAGTATACAGAGTGTTATTTCCATCAATATCATTGTAGACATGTACTCTGTTTATCTTCTCTCTCAGGTATATGATGCAGTGGCCTGGAGGAAGGATCCTGCAGAGACATGAGCTGGATGCCTTTCTGGCTCAGGCTGTTTCCAGCCAACTTTATGAACCCGATCAGCTACAGGAGCTCAAAGTGAGATCCCACTGCACACTTCCTCATTGTTGGACAAACATTGTTATCGTTTGTGTTAACAGAACCTACCTGCTCATGTCAGTCAAAAGTCAGATGAGACAAACCCTGAAACGTGGTGCAAGCAAAGCTGGTAGAATATACTGATCTTCCTGCACCCCTACAGACCAATTTAAGGGATTTCGGTGTCTACATACGGGATTTTATTGTCTTCAATACATAAACACCTGCATATTTTCTACCACTTGTTTTTAAACCGCCTCCATGCTTTAAAAATGTGTAAATATTTTAACTGAATTTGCTGTTAGGTGGAAAAGGTGGATTCCCGCGGCGTGCAGCTGGCTTCTCTTTTCATGGCCGGCGTAGACACAGCGCTGTTCATCAATGACGTGTGTGGCCAGCCGTTGCCTTGGGAACACTGCTGCCCCTGGGGCTTCTTTGACGGCAAATTGTTTCAGAGCAAACTGTCCCGGGCCGCTCGCGACCGGTCCGCCCTGCTTGACATGTGCGAGGGTCAGGTATGTGTTATCCCGTGGCGAGGATGTGATGGATGTCTGTTATAAGCGAATGAAATTTAGTTCATTTGTCCCCGAACATATTTCATGGTCCTCCTTTCAACATGCGGCTTTGAGCTAAACTGTAATTTATTCCTATCCTCTACTGGTAACAGTGGAGGGAAAATATCAGTGGTTCTCAACTCTTTTGTCATGTTTCCCCTGGTTGCAGGTTTGTTATCAGCTCCAAACTTCTGACATTATCTGAGGTCAAATAATCAGAATACAGATACAGAATAACAGAAGAACAGAATAATCATAAGCAGAACTTATTGATATGAATGTAGATTTATAAGAATAAATGAGCCGTTCTCATCTGGTTTTATATATTAATGATCTGATCTGATCAGTCTGATCCTGAGCACACAGCCGATAGGTATGTGGTTTGTTTACATGCCGTAACAGAAGTGAATTTTTAACAGATTGCTTTGACAGAGTGTCTGATGTAATGTGATGTTCAGACATTTAGATACATTTAGTACATGATATCGCACACAAAAACAACAGCTAGCCATACAATTTTATTATTTTCCTTGGGCTACGTTGTCAAAATGTTTTAAATATAAAGTTGAAACTACTGGAAGAATGAAACTCCTGAAACAAGCGTAACAAGAGCCTGTGGAGAGGAGGCGGCACATCACTCGGTCCATTCCGTGGGTACACGGTGGTTTTGCAGAGTGACGCCTCTATAATCCCATTAATTATCGCAGTGGCCGACAGCACAAAGGAAAAACTAATGCCGAGATGGATGAATTGCAGGAGAGTTGAGTGAAGAGAGGGATGCCGTTTGTTCGGGCTCAGGATGTTTCTGCTGTTCAGTTTCCCTGATCAGACGCACAAAGGCTGTTCAGATGGATTCACATGAATAACTCTTGGGCTCAGTCGCAGTTGTCTCTCTGCCGTGCAGGAAGAGCTGGTGTCTAAGGTGGAGAAGATGCGTCAGGCAATCCTCGAGGGCATCAACCTGTCCCGCCCTCCTCCCCCTCCTCCTCTTCCACCTCCCGCCTTCCTTCCGCCAGCCATGGTGCCCCCTTTCTACCCCATGCCTCCCCTGTACCCTCCTCGCCCAATGGGCATGCCTCATCACCATCACCCACATCATCCACATCACCCTGCCCAACACAGACCCAGAGCCTTCCCAGGTACAGAGATGATTTTTTTTCTCTCTACACACGTTTTTAAAGCATGCTTTAACCTTTTAAGTCAATGTACACATTTTGCTTTGTCCTAGTTTAAAACTACACTCCAGTTCTAACAACATTTGAGTGTTTATTGTGCGAACGCTGATAAGTGGAAAGTGAAAATATTTAGTATGAGCTCTGTGAAGAGTATGCTGTTGAATTACAGTATCGTTCCACAATGTAAAGCATAAAGGAATTGAAGGTTCTGTTATGCAATATTTCAACTAATTATTGATGGTGAAGAAAAGCTCAAACACCCAATAAAATATAATGATTTAATGGGGTGTGACATGTCCAGAAGACAAAGTGCTTAACACAAGGCATAGAAGACAAACTTAAAAAGAAACTGATTGAAATATAAAAAGATAAATCTATACATACTGTGTACTACTAAAAGTTGTTTACCTTATCATTGAAATATCTCTTTTGATATATCAAATATGAAGAAATCAATTTATTCTTATTTGTCAATTTCCAACAACACTAGCATACAGTGTATCCAGTTAGCACATATTCCTGAATTGCGACACAGCACTGGTTTCTTATTCTAGATTGGGTATACTGACTTGTTTTTTTTGTTCAGGCCTTCAGTCAATCCCCCCTCAGGGAGGGAAACTGGAGATAGCTGGAATGGTGGTCGGCCAGTGGGCGGGAAACAAACCAGTCCGTGGACGAGGAGGTTTCAACATGCAGGTGGTGTCTGTCGGAGCAGGGAGAGGGTGAGTAACGCCACGATTCTTTCATCAAAACGGCTAGCGAAGGACAATTGAGTTATTGCAGAGCTATTTTCGTTCCGCCGAGTGTGTGTCCTGTTTTTACAATCAGAAAAACAAATGTACAAAGTTGGAAAGCCATTGTCATCTTCGTCTGTGCACAGGTTCCGGTCCAATTTTTTCCTTTCACGGGTCAGAGTTGGTTGCGGCTGGTGTGTCGGTCAGCCAAAATAATTAAATAAAAAATACATACGTTCTTTTTTCAAGGATAATAATTTAGTAAACTGCAGAATTTCCCAAAACTGCTGCCTCTTTTGAAGATGAACCCTGAGATAGCCTTTATGAGATGCATGGATTACAGTTATATCTCCAGCATTGGGCGGGTAATACAAATTAAGAATATGATTTATATCAGATCAATATAATAAACATATATTGTAATGCTTATAACTAAGCTAGTTAGTCACTACTTTACCGTAACAGTTACCGTAAGCATTTTATTTAATCAATAGTGAGATGTAAATTGTTAAAGAAAACACGATACATTAACTTTTCTTTTTTTTAATAATAAAAAGCAACACAGCCAGCCACTAATTACACTTAGCTATCAAAAAAATCCAGTTTGCCTTTTTGTAAATTGATTTACAGTTGTTGAGAAGATGAAAATGATGATTTTAAGATGATCAGTGTTTTTCACTCACTTATATAAATATTACTGTAGCAGAGAAAGAATGTTTGCTTAAATAATCAGATCCTAAATGTTCTCTTTTGAATAGTCGTTCATAACAAAGAGGAATCGCTGTTGCTTCAGAGAGTGAATGTGCTTTTACAAAGTTCCCCAACGTTAAATAGAAGTGAACTGACTGCATGGATTTACTTTGCTGCTAATTCTGTGTGGAGTCTGTCTAAAACGCCGGAGAGCAGACCACCAATAATTTGTTGTGCTCCACATCTGATCGGAACCTCTGTCTGTTCCTTCATCACAGGAGGGGCAAAGAGATTCCAGCTAAAGTAAGGCCAGTGAAAAAGGCACCTACCAACAGATCACAGGTAGCTAACATTCATACAAAGCTCTTATATCTTTGCACATTTGCAAACATGGATAGTGATCACCGCTATAATTTCCCTCCTTTTTCTAACACATTCCCAATTGCCGTGTTGCATTTAGGTGTTCTTTTTTGTTTGTTTTTGTTTTATTGCTTAAATCTTAGTTGTGTAGTTTATCATCACATCCAACTTCAGGTTGGAATTCAAACACAAAGCCAGTCCACATCAAATCGTATCTTTTTGTGTGTCGATAGTTTTGAGTTGACAGAGTCCGAGTAGGAGTCAGTCCACACAGAGGTCCAGTGAAAGGGTAAAACTGATACAGATCAGCCTTAATACAAACAGAAAGAGAGGAGTTAGTTTATTGTACTGCAAGCAGCTGACCCTGACACCTCTGTCTTCACGGGAACTTCCCATAATTCAACACATCATGTTACACAGAATATAAATTATGAAAGGTCGTTGAAGATGTGTGCAAGTAGGAACCTAGCATAACTCTGGGTTTTTGTAAATCCTGTCCCACTGCTGTTTTGTTACAATTCTGTCCACCTGTCTTCCTTCAGACGTCGCCACCCCCCCCATCCAGCAGTCCCCCAATTCCCTCAGAGGAGGCGGCCTCCATGCCGGAGGTTACAACCCAGCAGCTGAACGGCGGCTCAGCGGCCCCCGACATCGGCCAGCCCTTGGATCTGGCCGCCCTGGCCCAGCCAATCCCGTGTGCCTTAGCCAGCAGAGACATCCAATCAGAGGGGGTGGAGGTGGAGACCCCCTGTTGCCTTGACGACTGTCCGTCAGACGGAGTGCTACAGAAGGAGGAGTGATGGGAGCCTCCCCCGGGATGCGCTGCTCTGAGAGAGTCCTCTGTGTTTGACTGCCTTTCCCTGTTTTTGTAGCCCCGCCTGCGAGCTGTGCACGTCATCACCTGGAGCAGGAGGCAAGGTGAGGCTCCTCCTCGCGCTCCCTGCTGCTCCAAGTGATTAAGCAGCTAGCTGTTACTTCCTTTTTAGTTTTCTTATGTGGTTTTACATTGTTTTATGAAGAGAGGTTTATCTCCATGAGTCTGTAAGCACCCGCGCACCCTCCTCAACTCTTCCTTGGCCCCCCGCACTCAAGAGTAAAATAAGCTTGGAGCCCCACCCGCATTACAACCCAAAACTTAAAAGAGCCCCCCCAAACATCCCATCATAAGTAAGGGTATCTGTCAAGGTAAAACGTCTTATTTTGTGTTATTAATGGTCCCATTGTTTGAATCTCGGCACATAGATGTAAAGCTAGCGGCTTCGGTGACAGATGTGGTCTCCACTGTCGGCCGGGTTGCCATGGTTGGTAGCTGTGTGTTGATGCGGTCCGTTGCCATAGCCGTCTCGTGTGAGGTTTGTCTTACATGGATTCAGAGTGATGTTCCAAGTTTGAGTCTGGTTAGCGCGAGGAAGATTTCAACAAAGTGATATACCATTATTTTGTGCAGTGACCCTAATCCCCCCCAGCCTCTGTAGTCCAGTATCACTGCTAAACACATTTACTAGTAAAATACGCCTTTATTGATTAATTGGTTATTTATCACAGGAGCACTTCTGCACCAACATGCTATTAGTGTGCGATCTTATTTTGACCAATGTAGCGTAGCCTAGAGTTTAGCTGTAAACCCATGCATTTATGCACCTTAAGCCCTAAATTATGCAAGATTATTACCCTGCTCCTCCGAAAAAAAGTAAATTATTATATTATCCCCCCCCCTCCCTGTTGTCCCTTTTCCCAAAGCTTTGATTGTATTGCCCCAACAGAAGCACTTAATGTTGTATTTAAATATAATGAATTTGAACTGGCCCCTACATACAGATGCATCGACAGTCTGAGAGGGGAGTCCCCTGCGCCCGAGTAAATCATTATGACATGTAGAACTACATTTAACGGTAGAGATCTATTTGAGAGACGTCAGAATGTGAACTGAGTGGTTTCAGACAAAGATGCACTTTGTTTAAAAAAAAAAAACGTACATGTTAAACCACACTGGACAGTCTTCTACCAGGTGATAGAGAAATAGAAAACACTCTTGAAGCACCTTCTGGAGTTAAGGCCAAATAATACTCCCCAACAAAAGATGGAAATGAATGGGGAGAATTTCTGCTGCCAGGCAGACCCCCCCCCTCCCCCCCCTCCCACTCCCACTCCCAGACTGGCCTCACTCGTTCAGTCATGACCGTTGCAAAGAAGCTTAAAGGACCCTTGATTCTCCACACCAAGAACTCTGGGCAATCTTTTTTGCGTTTCTAATGTTATTTCCAAAGTCTATTTTTAAAAAAGGCTCGCCGATTTGAGGCAGCCAGCGATATAAAAGGGGGTGTGGCGAGTACGCCTCAGATCACCCCCGCCCCACTCACGAGTGGTGATTTGAGTAACGGTTGTCGTGACGACAGCCCAACGCCACGAGCCGCTGCCCCGCAGAGCTCTGGCGTGTCACTTTAGACCAGCAGGAAGCACTTCCCTGCCCTGAAGTCCCTCCGCCGAACGGAGGCGGAGGCTTCACAGGTCACATGTCACATGACGGGAGAGAAAGAGAGAGAGAGAGAGGGGGAGGCCTCATGGCGGACCCAAGTGTGCCGCTCACAATCTGAGACACTCTAAGGTAATTAATGTTTTATTATAGCACTTATGTTTGTAGAGAATGAGATGTGTCCCCCAACAGTAGGTTTCATCTGACTACGGAAATACAACTTTCCAATTGCCGGCAGCACAACCGCAGACGTAGAAGCAGCGGACTGACAGACGCTGCCTTTGAGTCTCTATATGCCTTCTACGGGAGGATGAAATAAGCGCACCATGTTAAAAGGAAACAACGGCAAGTCAACAAAGAAGCACCTTATTTTCTTACTATGTTGATGACTTGTGCTCTATCGAGTGCCACAAAATTGACATGGAAAAAAGAAAAAAGAAAAGCTCTAACGAAATGCCGCTTTGAAGGAAAGAAGCGTGACTATATAGATATGCGAGTATTGGTGTAGTCGCGTCGGACATCCCCTCGATTCTGAACTCAAACCATGACAGTCGACCCCGCCCTGAGCGTAGGCCTACGCTCGCCATCACGGGGCCGCGCCGCCGTCTCTTGCACCCACACCAAGCGAAAACCAGAGGTCTGGACTGACTTGTTAGCCGTTATCGGTAGGGATTAAGCATACCAGTGCTGTAGGTGTTCGTAGGTTAAGAGTAGGCAACAGCGTCAGGCCTAACAGGATACAGACACAATGACTAGGCTAGAGAATATAGCTCCACTGGCCAAGATACGAAGTCTAGAATTACTAGGAGTCATATACTTAACTGCTTTCAACTTTTGACATTAGTACAAATATGTGTATCGCAACAGTACATTGTTAGAAGATGTCTTCTCCGTGGCGAGCCGGAGTGTGATCTGGGATACGATGCCCTCTCGATTCGCTCGCCAGATAACCTTTACAAATACACTCATACAAGACACACACACACACACACACAACACACACACACCAAAACACGTATTCAGTTGCATTTGTTACCACCAGCATTCTCTCTGCTTTTGTGCTGAAGTGATTTTGTGCAGTTCCAGTTCCCAGTGGAGTGGTCGTCGGTTCACCAGAGATCATTTTTGGTAACACATTCTACTGATTCCCCCGCAATCCCTCTAAAAACACCCCACATATTCAAGTTTTCATGGATTTAAAATACACGTTAAAAGATGAAAGGTAGGCACAGAAACACACAGCGCACACACAAGACATTAACACATGGCTCTCACACACACAGATACATAGATGTTAAACCCTGAGTTACACGGTAGCTAGTACGGAAGAAAAAAAAATTCAACACAATACATGATGTAATGTCCCTCTCTCGTCCTTGTCTGTTTTAGTTTTGATAGATATTTGATCAGTGATTTTTACGCTTGTTCTCCTTCCCCCTGCTATGACACTTTTTCTCCACCCTCCCTCCTCCAAATGTCCATTCCCGTCTTTTGATCCCCATAATCGTACTCCTAGAATACATGCATTCACACACACACACACACACACACACACATTCACCACGCCCAGTGATTCCTATTAAAACAGTCCCGTACACATTCACAGGTTAACCCTCCCGTCACTTAGTGTATTTTAGTTCTTCACGCTCCCTCTCTGCCTCTCCTTTTAGCCCTTCTAGGACCGTTTCTATTGGCCGTTTTTTCTCTTTCTCTTTGGGCTGCCCCGCCCCTTAATCAACCCAACTAACAGTAAAGATTATATTAACGTTGATAATCAGTTTCTGTATGTATCTAGCCAGAGTCTGGAAAAAAATCTGAAGAAAAAAAAAATCAAAACGGTTTTATTCAATTGTGCAAATGTGTTTTTCTTACTATTTTTAATGTTATTACATAATCTAATCCTTCTACCATTGCTTCAGTTAGTACTGAAATACGCTTAGCCAACCTAGAGATTTGAACTGTAATGATCGCGATTTTCCTTACCTGTATTTTATATGGCATCTTTAAACCACCATTTATTATGTACGTAGGTAAATATTGCCCGTTCGAAGTGAAAATTGTTGTCTGCACTATGTTACGGTTTTCATAATATCCCTGAAGACAATTTCACGGTCGACTCATTATCAATCTGAGCTGAACTCGGCGCCCTTGCACACAGCGGCAAAAACATCTCTTGTAAACACCTGAGAACCAAAGTACCCCTCGCGTCTACCCCCAATAAAGCCCCCAGGAATCCCCCTCCCCATATATATATATATAAAATGGCCTTGCCGCATGTGTGATTTATCCGACAAAGGTGAGGTTTCTTGTATTTTTAAGTGGGGAGACAGACGAACAGGGAAATAAGGGAGCGCGTTTGTGTTGACTGAGTGAGCGAGTAGGCAGATTTGTGACGTGTGACCAAGTGTTTAGGCATTGTGGGTAGATTCCCCAGCTCCTGCTCACATTCGGTGGTACCTTCCTTCCGGGCTGAATTCAGTCCGCGTGAACCACTGCACGCGCTCAGATCGACACTTAACGCACGTGAAGGGGCTTTTGCTGCACTCTTTGAGTAATTGTTGTGATCTCTGAAACTGGTCTTTTACGTCCCAGACTGATTGATGGAGCAACTCATTGCTTCTTCATCCGTGGGCATGGAGGCTGCTCGAGGTGGATGAATAATCCTCAAAACACAAATCTGAGATTAGTTGACGTCCTGACAGATGTCACAGTGCAAGCAAGAAATAATTCACTTGGACAATTAACTGATTTTAGCAGTACAGTACATGAAGATCTGAGAGAATTTGTCAACTAACAAATTATTCAATAGAAAGTAAAACAACCACAAAATCAAAAACATGACTTCTGGAAATGTTGATTGGCATTTGTTTAGTCAACATATTATAATCTTATCGCTTTTAGCGGTATTTTACGATTCATAAAAATGTATTTCCAGTTTCTTGTCTTGTATAAATCTCAGCTGAAGTGTCTTGAGGAACAGTTCAACTTCTCTCTGACTAATGAAATGATAAGTTACAATAAAAGCCTCCTGCCTCACTTCCTACGCATTGGGACTGCCTGTCAGGAGCTCGACAATGCTAAAGAGACCCAAAAGTCCCAGAATAGAAGTGTCCTTTGTTGGGTTGTGGAAGTCAAACAGTATTATTGTCTGTCATACAGAATGTGGAAAGGAGTCATCAGTTGTCTTGTACCTGGTCTGATAGATTTGCAGGATTTTCACAGCATTTAGTCAAATTTGAATAAAAGTCCCTGTTCTGTCTGTCTTTCTCTGCACTGCCACCCGCCCCCTCAACAGCCCCACAAACTCCAGTATAATACCCCTCTCCCCCCTTCCTCCCTCCCAACCCTCCAATGGCCGAGTCCCAGTAAGGGGCTCCAGTTGATTGCTATGGGCTTTGTCTTGTTATGTTGGTCAACCGCTCAGCCACAAGTGTACTGATTCACATACTTCAGTACCTAGGGCCATCCTGAACTACCCGTGCAGCAAAAAGGGTTCAAATTGATCCATAATACTATTGTTATAGAACTATTTCATTATTGCTTTTATAATTTATGGTTGGTATAATTCGTCATCATTGTTAGCATTATGGAAGCACCGGGACTGTTTGTGGAAAGACAAGAGAAAAAAAGCCTTTTGTTTTTGTTTTTAATTTGTCTGGCTGTTGGTGGTCTGATCTCACAGAGGGAGGGGAGGAATGGTTCAGAAAGAGACAAAGATGGCAGTCATGTTTGTACTGGTTGGGAAATGACTTACAGTGCTGAAATAAAATTTATTCTTTTAGTAAAAAAAGTATTTCTTGTGTCTGGTGTCTTGATTTCTTTTACACATACGTATCTGTATTTATAAATATGTAAATACAAAATATATATTCATATACATAAATGAATAAACCCATTATTTGAATGACAGCTGGACTTGGTCTGACTCGGCCCCCCTCGGGTCTCGGTCCGCCACTGACACCAGCGTGACGTAGGCAGGGGGGCCTCGTTAGGGGGCGCTCACGTGATCCTTTTGGCGTGGTGAAGCGAGGCATCGAAATACCGTTTTCTGCGATTCTTCGGCTCTTAAAGATCTAAACGCTGTACGAGTAAAATCTGCGTTCAGCTTAACGTCAACAGCCGTTACTGAAACCGATGAACCTCTTGGGAGCCGCGCGGGACGGACGGACGGACGGACGTGACAGCGGGTGGACCGAGAGGACGAGAACCGCCAATTCCAGCTAGCTGTCAGCTAGCTTGTGAGCACTACCGGGCTACCTAGCTGGCTAGCCGACTTCCGAGGCTGCTGTCGCGGTTAAAAGCTAAATTAAATATCTCGCGACGTGTGGTCGTTGTTACTAATTTAATAGATGTCATCGTAATGCTAACACGCGCTTAACGTCATTTTCTGAGCAGCTAATGGTGACTTACCTAAAAGGTTTGGCGTTAGGTGGTGTCCGCTTTAGCTCGTTAGCCTCACCTGGTGAAGCTACCAGCGGAACCCGTTAGCTGTCGCTCACTGGTCGCTGTTTGACATTCGTTGGGAGCGTTCGCGAGGACACTCTGTCAGGTCCGGCCCCCCTTTTATAAAGTGCTTTTTTCTGGTTCCCCAGGTTGTCTTCTGGCACTGGAGATTCTTCCTCAAGGACAGCAAGCCTTTTGAGGAATAGGCTACATCGTTTTCTGTGGATTGCTCACGTATTCTGTCTTCTCGTCATTTTGTAAAACAAGGTAACATCATTTATTCCATGATGTGTATCCTGATCTGAAAGTAAACGGATTTTCCATTGTTGGAGCTGAAGAGGAAACTTTGGGATGAGGTAGTAGTTTGTATAGTTTTAGGATCACACCAGATCTGGGAGATAACTATACAGCCTACTGTCTTTCTCACGGCAACCTAAACCTTCACCTACATGATGGAGACCACCAGCATATCCTCAACTTGCTCAGTTGCCACGGCAACTTATGCCTCTGTTGCCATTGGTGATCAACGGGGATCTTAAATTTCTATTATGGACATATGATTAATTTTGTTTCTTATATACTGCATTTTGCTGTTCTTGTTTGCCCCTATTCAGAAGACGCCTCTATCATGGATTCAGTATGTTTATTACTGACATTTCTTAGCCATCAATGGGGAATCATGAGCTATTTGACAATAGATAATAATTGTCAAATGTAAATTCTTGACATTATTCCTATTTAAAATTGCAGCTCTAATGTACATTAGAGGATGGATAGAAAAAAACAACGTTGTACGATGTCCAAGGGCAGATGTGTCTGTAGCTGTGCTGTGGTGAGGTAGTATGTTGTGTTGTTGTGGGGTTTAGGATATTGCAACCCCTAATTTGGAGATACAACTATACAACATACTGCCTTACACAGCGTGGCAGCATAATTAAGTCTCCCAGGTTTTGCAGTGTGTGCTGACGTAAACACCATGGCCCTTTATTCAGCCCACATTACATGTCTTTGTTAAGATTATCTGCAGGAAGCGTGTACTACATCACTTGTCTTATTTATTTGTGTATTGCTAGGATTAGGGTTAGTCTACAGAATCATTTGTTTTCCTTCTTCATCCACCTGATTAGTATGTGCTATTGTGCCAAAGGTTCTGATCTATTACATGGTCATCAGTCATCATCATAGATTCTTAATGTAATGGTAGAAAGATCTGTATTTAAAAAAAAAAAATTAATACCTGCATATATTGTTTATGTGCTTCATTACATGTCTTACTGGGACGTTTGTTTTTAGCCAGATTCAATTGAAGGATTATTAAATGAATAATGAAACATGTTGGACATATCATGCATATATGTATTCAAAATAAAAAGATGTAATGTACCAGGTTTTCAGCAAATTACTATTCCCCTGTACTTTCTGGTTAAGTAGATAGTATAATAAGTAAATATGAAATTAAAATAGTACTGTACAATTGTGAGGTACTGTGAGGTGATGTGCTTCACTTAACAATTTCAATTTTCTGAGGGAAGTAAAATCCCTTTTTCAATTTGTTAATTGACCCAGCAGAGTCAAATTGATTATACACACTATAATAAACATGCAGAACGATGTAATGTTATGCATCTGTTTATTGATGATTAAGCAAAAGACTATTGATCACTGGGGTGATTTTACAAGCTACAAGCTACCAGCATCAACCTTAAGATGACAATGCAAATATATAAATTCAGTCAAATATACTATAATAGTTACTTATAAAAGTCTATAATGCTAAATTGTGCTATTCTCCATTATGAGTACCTCTACTTATATGTATAAAACGTGTACCTTTGATTGAATCGGAATTCATAAATGTTACTTGTATTGTAGACCATTTCTAGCTTCGTATTACAAGTCCTTAGTTATTCGTCCACCACAAATAAATCCATAACAAATCAAATCGTTGTAATGTGAACCTACTAAACTTCCTGAAGCTCGAGTCACCTGAGTTGACCTCGTTGAGCAGCAGGGCTGCTGTGATTGGATAGCAACCGTCATATGCTGGAGGGGCGTTCCCTAAAACACCCGCCAATTGGTCAAATCAGACGGAAGTAAACGGGGCTTAAAACCTCGTCCATAACGCAACAGCCACGTCATGTCCAGTGAGGGATAAAAAAATATTTAGACCGAGCTCTCACATGTGAACTATTATAGTATTATACTCCCCTTAAAAATGTATTATATATTATAAGTATGTATCATTGCTATTTTGTATATTTCATTTGAATTCTTGCTAGTTTTGTTCTATATGATTTAATATTGGGTTTTTAGTTATATTTTAATTAAATAATGAACGCTCCACCGTACCACGTGGCGATACACCGCTTTGTACCAAAGTCAGACTCTTTACATTTACAGACAGCTGCATCTCTCTGACGGCAGAGTGTGCTGGTGCAAAACTATGTACAGTCAGAGTACCGGACCATCTCGTGATTTTAATAATCTAAAATAGCTTTTTCGCTTGAATAATTCCCCCTGTTTTTCACCCTCCCAGCCAGCTGGTGGCAGTCGTGCATCTCTAGACTGGTTGAAGCAACCCGATTAAACCCCGAAGAAGAAGAAAGTTCATCCACAAACCAACATGGCGAACATTCGGTGTGTCAAGGTGAGGAAACATCACGCTAAATCGTCACATAGCAACACCGACACGATTCACTCACAGACACCAGGACGCGATGTACTCGTTTAAAGTCGGTTTTTGAGATTCGTGTGTGGTTTTTCTCCTTCCTGTTCTTTAGCTTTCCTCGTAGTTACGAAGTTTCATTCACTCAATGAGTCCTTAGCAGTGCGTCAACCTTTGTCGTCTCGGTTACACTGACACGCGAACACTTAAATATTTCTCCCTGAAACAAATCAACAAAATCTCTGATTTAATTATTTCACAGTTCACTGCACTACAATACGTCACGTTAGTTACGTACAGGGTTGGTTTCTTCTTAGTTTAGGTCTGTCGTCCCCTCCCTGTGCAAACTTTAAAACCAATGTTTCACTTCATGTGTGCTGTAGAATGTCTGATAAACTAAAGGTGGTCCCTTTTATGTGTTTAGAAATGCCTCTACTTCCCAGGCTAAATAAACTATTTAAAAGTCATCTGAGACAGCTGGACAATGCATTTGAAAACAGGGCTTTGTCTGCGAAAAAATACAACTGGGAAAAGAACTGACTAATCCTAATCGCAATAACACAATTTCCTACAATCTAAACTCACTAATTTGTCTGTCTATTCACAGATATTATGCAGTTTCCTTCAACAGAACTCACCCAAAGACACGATTTCTGAAAGAATATTCTTTGGGATGAATAAAGTTCTTATCTTTAATTTCATTGACTCATTAATTACTTTACTTTACTTAGAAATTCCACAAAAAATTACCAGTTCAATTCTAATCTTTATTTCCTCGCTTTCCAACTATTAAATGATGAAGTGATTTCTCTGATATTTTTTTTACACGCTTGTTCTTTTTTAACATTTTCCAGCATTCCTCAATTCCTGTCCCGCCCTCTGGTCCGTCCCTGTCCGTGTGTGTGTCTGTGTGTTGCGTAGGGAATGGTCGGCCTGGTTACAGGCGGCGCGTCGGGTCTGGGCCGGGCCACAGTGGAGCGTCTGATCCAGAACGGAGCGTCCGCTGTGATCCTGGACCTGCCCTCCTCCGATGGACCGGCTCTGGCTGCCAGTCTGGGAGACCGCTGTGCCTTCGCTCCTGCAGATGTGAGTCCAAAACTCGCCACCCACTCCTGTGAAACCACTAAACATACGACCATTACAAAAGTTGTGTCAAATCAGTATAGCTGTAGGATTCAAATAATTTATTATTGATAATCACAATATTCGCCCTTCAAAACATTAAGGATAATTCATATTAGGAAGACTTAATAATAGGATTAACACATTATAGATCAAGGTTGCAGATGTGATTGGAGCTTTAATATTATGCTCTCAGCTCACCAGATGGCACTCGCGCATCATTTGACATAATGACATATGGTACACGGTGACCTTTCCCAAATGATTTCTGCAAGACTTTTCTCTAGTTGCTGGATGCAAATATCTGGTATCTTATATGGTGCATTTACACACGTGCGCTTGGTGACATCGATGTCATTTCCCAGGTGACATCCGAGGCAGATGTGCAGTCAGCAGTGTCGCTGGCCAGAGAGAAGTTTGGGAAGCTCGACCTGGCAGTTAATTGTGCCGGCATCGCTGTCGCCGTTAAAACGTATAACTTTAAGAAGGACCTCCCTCACAGCCTGGAGGACTTCCAGCGTGTAATCATGGTAAGGCATTCATACCAGTAGAACAAAAAAATACCGCTTCCAGCTGTGTGACTGTGTGAGAAATGTTACTTAGTCACTCAAGCTCTGTACTTAAGAACAAGTCTGAAGTTCTTGAGATTTTGCTTTTTTAAAAGCTCCTATCAGTTATAAAAAAATGTGTATCTATAAATATCTACAGCCGTTATAGACAATATACACATTAATGCAGCAGAAATCCAGGAACTACCGTTCGCCGGTCGGACCGTCAGCGGCGCCACCATCCACCTCCCTTTACGCTTTAACAATTAGAACTTGCTCTGTCTTTCTGCAGGTGAACATTGCAGGAACCTTTAATGTCATTCGTCTTGCTGTGGGTGAAATGGGGAAGAACGAGCCTGATGCGGACGGACACAGAGGCTGCATCATTAACACAGCGAGTGTGGCAGCCTTTGACGGACAGGTCATTGGAAACAAACCGAGAAGCATAAAATAAACCGAGTGGTCGCTCCATTTCTTAAGCTCGTGCTCTCTTTTTCCTCTCCAGGTCGGTCAGGCAGCATATTCAGCCTCGAAAGGTGGTATTGTAGGAATGACCCTCCCCATTGCACGAGATCTGGCCCCCATGGGCATCCGAGTCATCACCATAGCACCAGGTCAGTGTTTGGAGTGTAACGGTACACACAGAGTCAAAGGTTCGGTTCTTATTCGTATTAGCGGTTGGATGTGGTTCCAGTCACTCGTTCTACCCTCTGGGACCAGGGCGGTTATGGCTCGGTGGCATCAGTGTAGCCCCGCTTGTCCACATTAGGACCCCTTTCTGTTTGCAGCTAAGCACCAATTGGACGGGGACATTTCCTCGGTGTATGCAGCTCAATATTCTCTTTCTCCGTGCAGGTCTGTTCTCCACTCCCCTCCTGGCTGGTCTCCCAGAGAAAGTTCGCTCCTTTCTCGCCCGCCAGGTGCCCTTCCCTTCGCGCCTGGGAGACCCCGCTGAGTTTGCCCACCTGGTGACATCACTGGCTGAGAACCCCATGATTAATGGAGAGGTCATCAGACTGGACGGAGCCATCCGCATGCAGCCCTGAGACAGAACGTGTGTGTCTGTGTGTCCACGTTAACAAAAGTTGTTGAAAGTGAACTCCATCAAATTAAGATTAAACTTGTTTTATATGTGGGTGTCTGTCTAGATGTCTGGTGCAATGGTTTTGTAGAAAGCTGCATACAGTGTGAGATAAAAATGTATAAAATAGCTGTACATCACTCAAAGCGTGTCAGTAGTTTATTCACTTGACTTTGGTTGTTTTTTTAAAGTAATCCAGATGATAATAAACATCCAAATGGGTTTGATTCTTTTCCAAGACGTTTTGTGTGTGTTAATACTCATAAGTGTGAATGTTTTTTCCCTACAGCCTCTTTTTAAATCTTTCAAATCCCTCAAGTTAGATTCTTAGAAGGAAATGGGAGCTCTGACCTCATGCAAAAACATGTTCTCTTTTCTGTCTTTTGAGGGAACGCCTACTAAAGGCTGGCGCATGCGTCTGCGTCAAATCACGGTTCTAAAAGTCTTGCGTGTGTTGCAGAGCAATTCACCGCCAGAACAACCGGTGGAGTGACGTGTTTTTGTTGAAGACGACCTAGAGAGTGACGTCTTTGTGTGTGGAAGTCGTTGGTTTGTTTATTTATCATAGACTTTATAGACACCCCTCGACTGACGTTTGTCGAGATCTCCCTCCGTGAATCAGAGGCCATCCGCGCGTCCTTATAGTTACGGTCTGTAGAAGCGGTCATATTTACGCATTTCTTCCGATAAAAGCTCTTCAATCTGCTCCGTTCTCTCGTAAACATTCTTCGTTTTAATAATGGCGGTATCGGGCTATGAAAGCGGAAATGTGAGACTCTAACGGACGCAGTTAGCGGACCAATCGCAGCCCGGTGCGCTGCGGGAGGATTGCGTCGCTTTCGACGATTTCGAAAAATGGGTCGACGCACGCAAGGACGCAAGGAGGTGTGAAAAGGCACGCAAGGGACACGGAAGAGGCTCTTGCGTCTGCGTTTCCTTGCGTCTCTCTGAAAACGCAGAAGCATAAACTAATAACTTTAAACTACACAGGAGAAATGCCATCTGTGGATCAATTGGATTCATATTATAATTTCTCTAAAAATCCTTTTGCATCTTATACTTTAGACAAAAACATTACATTACTGCACAAGTCACAGACATATTTCTGACGAACAATCATACATAAAAAAGTACAAGGGCGTAAAGTAGAGGATGTGATGTGTTTGGAGGAGGGACTCGGTGATTTAGAGAAGTGAACACTTCCTGTTGTGTTAGTGAAGACTGAAGAGAAGCTCCGTTAACCTTCAGAACCTCCAACATGAACACTTTTGACACTTTGATCTGCTTCTTCTTTTTCTGTGAGTACGCTGACTTTCTATTTCTACCATTCTCTTATTTTGTAATACTATTTCCAGAGGGTCAGTTGAGCTTTGCAGTAGATGGGAAACAGTTTCTCTCAAGTGGAGTTTCATCAAATCTCAAATTTGTTCAAGTAATATTACTTTCTGTGGTTAAACCGGATGAGCACTCACAGTTGGTATGGCTCAGTGGGGGGAGAAGTACTTAGTTCTTGAAATACTATAAACAACACTGTAGAAATATGTTCCAAATGAAAGTCATCCACTCAAATTTTCAAATTAGAAAAAGTATTTACATTAACAACAAGTAAAAGTACTCGTTGTGCAGAATTACCTATTATTTCATCTGATGTTATAATACATTGTCATTTTTAATGCATTAATTAATCAATACTGGTTAAACTAAAATCTATAATGAAACATAATGGAAATGAGGGGATAATGCTCTTATGAGAGATCAAAAGTATCTTAAACTTGTTGTATTACGTGTATTACGAATACGCAAAATAATGAAAGAATACACACATCATCAAACAAGACATAAGTACAGACACAAGTTAAATGACTCGAAAAAGGGTTCGTTCTCCGTCAGAGGAGCAGGAAGATCTGACAAAGCGTCTTGGTGTGAATAGAAGCGTTAATATATATCAGAGGTTGTGTCGTCCAATCAGAAGACACTCCTGCACAAACTTCAGCAGGAACCAGATGTTGAAGGAAGGTGACCTTTGACTGTTGATTCTCATGCGTTAGCTACAAGCTAGTTAGCAACAGGACCATGAATGTGTGTGTGTGTGTGTGTGAGAGAGTGATCGTGTGTTTTTATCCTCTTAATGAACTTAGCAGACTCCATTTCTTTCAACAAAACCAAATAAATCCACAACTCAAACAATGCACCCAATATCTAATAACAATAAATGTGTGAGGAAGAGTAGGAATAAATGTAGCTCTTCTCCGTGAAACAAAGAATTATCCCAATATTCATCCTATAAACATTTTGGTTCTGTAGAATATTAAGTTTTACACTTTTATTTTTTATTTTTTACCTTGCTAATGTGAAATCTTAAATTAAGTTGTGAAAAAATGATGTTATTGTTTTGTTCTCATATGTTTTTGAAATCCTAAAAGTTTTTTGATTTTTTTTTTATCTGCCAGTTTAATCTCAAGCAATATTTCTTCACATCCACAGTCACAGACTAGTGTTACTGGGTAGTTTATTCCAGGGGAAGAAGGGAAGTCCAGATAATAACTATTGATTGATCATCCTTTCAACAGCACTGTGGGGCAGAAACACTGGTCTCATCAATGCAGAGATCCTCGGCCGTACAGGAAAGGAAGGAGGAAACATCACAGTTAAATGCAAGTTCAGTTTCTCTGGAAAAAAAAAGATCTTCTGTAAGGAACCGTGTGAACAAGGAGACATTCTCATTGAAACCACTGATGTCACAGCTGAGAGTGGCAGATACAGCATTGAATATAAAGAAGGAATGTATCCAGTAAGATCTACAATTCTGTATGTGAGCATCACAAAGCTGAATAAGTCTGATGCAGGAAAGTACAGATGTGGTTTGCATAGATCTTATACTGCCAATCCGACATACTGGGAGATTGAGATCACAGTTGAAGAAGGTGAGTTTCTACTGAGAGAATTAACTGTTCACTGACAGCTGTTGATGTTTCAAATACCTGCATGTGTTTAGTCTAATGATTAAAGTTAGAGCTGCATATTTCCATCATTGTTTCATCATCACTTAAAACAACAGTTTAACTGTAAATATCTGATAAATTCAGACTGTCACTCACTGCAGCTGATTTAAGTATTTTGTTGCACCAAACGCATTGATTACCTTCACTGTGTGATCAGAAATACATTGATACATTTGCAGATAATTAAGGTCATGTAAGTGTGATGCTACCACATATATATTTCAATCTTTACAATCACTATGGTGTTGTGTAATTGTATTTGTTGTGTTGTGTTTCTCAGCTCCGATCTCTTCTCAACCAACAACGACTGTCCAACCTTTTTCAGCATCAGTCCCATCAGCCTCCACAGAGACCACGACACAGAGTGTGAGCTCCAGCACAGGAAGCTGCACTCCTCCATCAGCCCCACCTGAAGGTACCAAGACCACTCAGAAGACACAGACAACAACAGGTTGGACATTTTAAGTTGATATCGTTAGCTTGACTGTTAATCAGGATCAGATATATTCCAGAATAAAGTGAGAAACAAACTGGTTCCTCTGCTCAAACAGCCTCAGGCGAGCTGCTGTATGTGGGTCTGTCTCTGGCCGTCATGATCGTTGTGTTATTAGCAGCTGCACTGATACTCTGCAGGAAGAGGACCAGTAAACCCAAAGGTGAAGCAACAAGAAACACTCTCACACACACACACACACACACACACACACACACATTCAATGGCATGTCATGAAAGGACATGAGAGCTTCATTTCGCTGAGAGCTTTTAGTATTTTAGTCACATAAAGAAAGGACACTTTAATTATCTTCCACACATTTTCACAGTTGGATGAAAAGATAATGTAATTTATCTTTCATTTGTATTAATTCATTTATTTTACGTTAGCCATAATAGTATAAAAAAAAAGATTAAAATAATCACACAAAAAATAGCACACAAATATGACTGTTCAAGACAAAGTTGTTTCTTTGACCTCAGATACTGAACTGGTTCCCTTTCAGATCATCTTGTGGATACGATGAACCCGAATGGCATAGAGGTGTGTTTGAGTGAATGTGTGACATCACAGCATCATTCATGAATATGAAGCCTTCACGCTGTTATTACAAACTCTTCTCCTCCTTCAGGACAACCGTGTGTACGAGGAGATCAGAGAGGAGGACAGACGCAGCACATCTCCTCCTGTAGACATTTCATCTCTTTACACTTCTGTAAAATACACCAAACAAAATGAAACTACAGACGTTTACAGCTTTGCAACTGCAGCCACTTCTCAGGAGACGGTGAGTTGAATCTTTGCGAGGATGTTCGGTTTCACACAAGGGATATCTGTCCCCCACCCAAAGACGGCAGTTCTAAAAATATCTTTTTAATGTACGAAACTTGAACCAGGCCTTCAGAGGTGGTCTGAGACAAATAAAGATGTTGATTTGTTTATTAAAAATTATATTTGCTAGATTAAACAGAAGATTGGGATAAAATCTCCAAAAGAGGGTTTGAAAGAACCTCAGTTCAGTTTCAGATTTAAAAGAATTACAGGTTTTTTACCTTTGGTAAGAAAATCAGGTTAAATTAATACAGTTGGAGAAGAAACTCTATTTTAGTCTATTTTTTCATTCAGAAATGTAACTTTTGAGCATTTTCAATGATCGAGAGACTAAAAAGACTAAAGACAAACAGGTTCATACAAGCTCAGTCCATTTATCATTTCACAAAATCATCAAGAAACAGGAACCAGGCTGGTTTGTGATCATATCTGGAACCACAAGCTTCTGTTGATTAAAGGAAGACGTCCTCTGTGAGAACTGCTGTGTGGAACTTGAGTTCAATACATCTGGAGTTTAAATGCTGCTGATGATATGAGGAAACACGCATGCTGCAATGATGCATATGTGACCATAACGACCAAAGTGATGAACTTTGACCCCCCGTTGTGTCATCGCAGGCTGAAGACGCTTCTAATAAACTGATCTACTCTGAGGTGCACTTTGACGAGGCCTCGCTCAGCTCTGCCGCTTGTGGTGAGACAGATAACGTGATCTACTCGGTGCGTGGAGCTGAGGGGCCGCCGCGCTGAAGACTCACTTCCTCCGTACGTTAATTGTTACTCCACATCAGCAGCAGCAGAAGAGGCCGCCGACGCCCCGTTCTCCACCCACATTCAAACGAAGGGTTTGAATGAGTAACAATCAGGCCACGATACGTTTTTATCAAGTCAGAGGACTTAACACGTTATTTTTAGAACTTTTATATTTGTTAACTGTTTTACAGTGATTAGAAATGTGACACCGAGCAGCAACGGCTGCTGGAATTGAAAGATAATATATATTGTAATTGCTGTCACTCTATTGGTTTTTGTATTCTTTGAACTGTGTCTTTTGGATTATAATTGTTTTTTTGAGGGCATTTATTTAACCTGAGGACAATAGTGGGGGAAATATGTACCATATTTTATTACTTAGAATTATAGTAGAATATTGAAGAAATTAATGAAATATTCAGATCACCTTTAAGACTAAAAGAGTCCATAATAGGCTTCTTTCATGCTCGGGAGGATTTGGGTAAACTCAAAATATGTGTTTTCTTGACAATAATAAAACTAATATTTTTTTACAGAATTGTCTCATATCAATCGTCATTAGTTTTTATTGTAATGGACCACAAACATATTCAGATACCTCTGCTGCGTGTATCGGGCCAAACAACACCCCCGATCTGTTACATTATTGGATGATAAAGTACTGCCTCTTGTACCTTATTGCTGAATTATACCACAGAATTATCTACTCACAACATGTAATAAAAATGTTTCACTTAAAAAGAGAGATATCACAAGAAGGTGTGAGGACCAAGTCCTTGCAGGAGGGTTTCGTCCTGTAGCAGCACTGGAAGCCAAAAGTCAGCCTTTGTTTCGTGTCATGATGGGAGAACAAGAGATTTTACAAAGAAGCTCTGACCTCATGCAAAAAGATGTTATCTAAATGTTTTCTTATTTTGTGCGTAACTTCTGATAACTGTTAAATAACACATTAAAAATGTGCTGCATATTACACCTTTTTATAGATAAAACATTACATTACTGTGCAAGTTACAGACATGTTTCTGACCCACAACTATACATGAAAAAGTACAAGGGTGTAAAGTAGAGAATGTAACGTGTTTGGAGGAGGTGTCACATCATTTAGAGAAGTCACCACTTCCTGGTTTGTTAGTAAAGACTGAAGAGAGGCGCCGTTAACATCAGAACCTCCAACATGAACGTTTTTGACACTTCGATCTGCTTCTTCTTTTTCAGTGAGTACGCTGACTTTTTGTTTCTACCATTCTGCTATGTTTAAATGCTATTATTATATAGAGGGTCAGTTGAGCTTTGCAGTAGAAACTGTTTCTCACGAGCAAAGTTTCATCAAATCTCAAACTGGTTCAAGAATTATTACTTTCATCCTGTGGTTAAACAGGATGAGCAGAGTTGGTATGAGTCACTCAGTGGGGGGAGAAGTACTTAGTTCTTGAAATACTATAAACAACACTGTAGAAATATGTTCCAAATAAAAGTCATCCACTCAAATTTTCAAATTAGAAAAAGTATTTACATTAACACAGAAGTAAAAGTACTCGTTGTGCAGAATGACCTATTATTTCATCTGATGTTAGATCATATCATTGTCATTTTTGATGCATTAATTAATCAATACTGGTTAAACTAAAATCTATAATGAAACATAATGGAAATGAGGGGATAATGCTCTTATGAGAGATCAAAAGTATCTTAAACTTGTTGTATTACGTGTATTACGAATACGCAAAATAATGAAAGAATACACAAATCATCAAACAAGACATAAGTACAGACACAAGTTCAATGACTCGAAAAAGGGTTCGTTCTCCGTCAGAGGAGCAGAAAGATCTGACAAAGCGTCTTGGTGTGAATAGAAGCGTTAATATATATCAGAGGTTGTGTCGTCCAATCAGAAGACACTCCTGCACAAACTTCAGCAGGAACCAGATGTTGAAGGAAGGTGACCTTTGACTGTTGATTCTCATGCGTTAGCTGCAAGCTAGTTAGCAACAGGACCATGAATGTGTGTGTGTGTGTGTGTGTGTGTGACAGCTTTCAGCAAAACAAAATAAATAAGATGAACAGTTATTACATCATAACTAATACATTACATTACAGGTCATTTAGCAGACGCTTTTATCCAAAGCGACTTACATTACACTTTAAACCCATGGCTTTTTCACATTTTAGCCCAGGGAGCAATTAGGGATTGGGTGTCTTGCTCAGAGACACTTCAACATGGAACATGGGGCAGCCTGGGATCAAACCACCAACCTTGTGCTTCCTAGCACACATTCTCTAACCCCTGCGCCACGACGACCCCACAATACATGTGTGAGGACTACGAATACGAACACACTCTTATGGTTGTAACTGTTTCCACAACTAAAACAATGAACCCAATATTTATCTAATAACAATACATGTGTGAGGAAGAGTAGGAATAAATGTAGCTCTTCTCCGTGAAACAAAGAATTATCCCAATATTCACATTTTGGTTCTGTAGAATATTAAGTTTTACGCTTTTCTCTTCTTTTTTATTATTGACCTTGCTAATGTGAAATCTTAAATTAAGTTGTGAAAAAATGATGTTATTTTCCAGAATTGTTTTGTTCTCATATGTTTTTGTAATCCTAAAAGCTTTTTGATTTTTTTTTTATCTGCCAGTTCAATCTCAGGCAATATTTCATCACATCCACAGTCACAGACTAGTGTTACTGGGTAGTTTATTCCAGGGGAAGAAGGGAAGTCCAGATAATAACTATTGATTGATCATCCTTTCAACAGCACTGGGGAGCAGAAACACTGGTCTCATCAATGCAGAGATCCTCGGCCGTACAGGAAAGGAAGGAGGAAACATCACAGTTAAATGCAAGTTCAGTTTCTCTGGAAAAAAAAAGATCTTCTGTAAGGAACCGTGTGAACAAGGAGACATTCTCATTGAAACCACTGATGCCACAGCTGAGAGTGGCAGATACAGCCTTAAATATGAAGAAGGAATGTATCCAGTAACATATACACTTCTGCATGTGAGCATCACAAAGCTGAATAAGTCTGATGCAGGAAAGTACAGATGTGGTTTGCATAGATCTTATACTGCCAATCCGACATACTGGGAGATTGAGATCACAGTTGAAGAAGGTGAGTTTCTACTGAGAGAATTAACTGTTCACTGACAGCTGTTGATGTTTCAAATACCTGCATGTGTTTAGTCTAATGATTAAAGTTAGAGCTGCATATTTCCATCATTGTTTCATCATCATTTAAAACAACAGTTTAACTGTAAATATCTGATAAATTCAGACTGTCACTCACTGCAGCTGATTTGAGTATTTTGTTGCACCAAACGCATTGATTACCTTCACTGTGTGATCAGAAATACATTGATACATTTGCAGATAATTAAGGTTATTTAAGTGTGATGTTATATTTATATATATATAATTGTATTTTCACCATTATTTCGTGTGTTTCTCAGCTCCGATCTCTTCTCAACCAACAACGACTGTCCAACCTTTATCAGCATCAGTCCCATCAGCCTCCACAGAGACTACGACACAGAGTGTGAGCTCCAGCACAGGAAGCTGCACTCCTCCATCAGCCCCACCTGAAGGTACCAAGACCACTCAGAAGACACAGACAACAACAGGTTGGACATTTGTTTTGTGATAAAGAATTTATTTCAGATACGCTGTTTAATACCAAGAAATACTTAACAGTTCCCATGAGGTAGCACACATACTGAAATCATACTCATGTGACAAACAAGCAAGTTTACTCAGAGTGCTGCATCATTTATGCCTGTTTGCTAAATGAATCATCCATCAATGCAGCACTCCAGCAAGCAGTCTCTATATTTCAGATTCAATATGAACAAACAGCTATAAACACAGTCCATGGGTATTTATAAATAAGTGTGACCATTATTTAACTGAGTGATACATTAAAAAATAATAAACTTGTCAGTGCTCTCTGGTGGACGAACATTTTTAGCACTTCCTAGATTGTATATAGCAAAAATACGCTCAAGAAACGCTCAATAGTAAAATACATATTCAGGCTTGGATAAAAACATTTGTAGGAAAGCCGCCTCATTGCAGCCGCTGATACTGATTAAAGGTGTGAGATGTTTCGTACATAGCTGCACTAATTGTGTTTGTTTTGCACAGGTTGCATATCGTTGTTTTGAAAGGATATGCAGTGTGAAACTCTTGTTATTATCTTGAAAAATGTACAGCACAAAACAGGTTAATTACAGTGAAAATAAACTATTTTCTGCCAAATATTTGTTGTGTTGCAGGGATGAAACTTTGGTCATTTTATTCGTTTCTGTGGAGTAATCTAGTTTTTTGTTATTCCACTTTTGTAAAAGCGTAGATGGAGGAGTCACAAAACGTTATTCCAATAAAAATGTAACATTTCATACAACATTTTTGTTGGGACGGTGTGGCATGAACATCTGTCTTCCTCCAAAGTGGGTTGTGACAGAAAACGTTTGAGAACTGCTGCCTTAGATTCAGCATAAATGTCCCTTTAGGTTTCCATAGTAACGTTAATTGTAACTAAACTGTCTCTTTGACTTACTTTGATAAAATAATACTGGACTAGAACAGAAGTAGTAATTCATATTTTATTAAGGAAAATAAACGTGACATGACATTGGCAGTTTAAACAGTATATGGTCTTTATTCTTTGCCAAATATTTGTATAAATATTTTCATTCAGCTTCAGTTTTGTGTCCAGTACCTTACTGTTGAGTTGAGACACAGCAGCTGTCACTCGCAAAAAAAAAAATCTGAATGGCTCCAACCAAAATGTATTGTGCCTCACCTTTGTTGTTTTCATCCGTATTAATATACAACAAGGACCCAAAACAATATAAATAATTCCCCATTAATAACATCATTTAAAGCCACAAAGGCAATGCTGCCAAACTGCTGCATGGCTGCATTGTCAATAAACTTTAAAAAAAAGTAAAATGATTGTACTTGAACAATAATCATGAATGGAAGACTTACATTACTTTAAAGAAGAACACAAATAGTAGTTACTTGATAAAAAAACAAAATAAATACAACAAGGTCAAAATAAAATAGGTGAAAATAAATGCTGTGGTACATTAAAAGGTAAACACTGAGGAGGAGGAGGAGGAGGATGAAGGTCGGCTGACAGAATAATGGCTGCATAGAATCAATCATTTAGGTGGAGTGGACAACTTTGGAAGCTCACAGTCTATTATTATTTAGGTTATAGTGCTTCTTTTAACGTCTTTGTCATCAGAATCCCAGCCATTTATTGACAAAATACCCTTTTTTCCCCTTTGGACTTGAAAACGATAAGTTTAAATACACAAACGCACTCAGTGTCACAGTGCAAACAATGAGGCATGGATTCTTCTTCACTTAAAACAGCAGGAGAGAAAACTGCAACCAAAACCTCCGTCTTTAACAGCAACATCTCTTCATGCTACTGCATGTTTTAGCTGCTTAACTACAAACGATGCACTATTTAAATTTCAGTAGAGCTGTTTTCAATGTATAAGAAACAAAATACATTATTTTTCATGATAATAGTTTTAGTCCAAATTCATTTACAAACTTTGTACTGCTGTACTGTAATGTTCCTCACAACAGTCATTTTACTGAAGAGAAGGAGATTTTACTATAATTGCTGCATGGTTTACTGATGACAATGAGTGGCTGCATAGAAGGAAACACAAACACGGTCTCTCCCTCTTCTGACTCGGCAGTTTTTGCATGATTGTCCCACTCAGAGAAGGAGAGGACACGTTTAAAGAAATATACAAAACATAAAGCCTGAGCTTCAAAACAATCTGATACCATGTGACCCATCGACTCTTCTAGTCAACATCATCAGCTCCCCTGCTCCAAAATACAACAAATTACTGTCAACACATTAGATCAGTGAAAGACCATTTAACACATTCCATGAAAAAAAAAAAATATCGTCCTTGATACTTAGTGATTAAATAAAGAGTCAGGATTGTGAAACAAAAATGAAAAGTGCACAATCAAGACAGGAAGTATTTGTGCTTTATTCTCTCATCCAACATGGCCGCCATTAATAAAAGCTGACCACTTCTAAAAGAACTCATTTTGGTTTTGGACGAAGCAGATTTGACCTGGTTAAATATTTTTCCCTTTTATGACACAGTAAAATAATAAATAACAGAATAAATAAGGGGAGTTTTCTAAAGTAGTTAAAGAGCAGGAAGGTACTTTTGGTACTTGGTGTTGCCTCAGGAAGTCTGCAGCTACAGCGAGCTGCCTCCAACAAACACGAACACCGTCTTTGTCCAACTCAAGAAGCCGTCCTCTCCCAAAGACACGATGACATGAAAGCGTTTCGCTGCAGCAGAGACGGTGCCGGTTGCAGTGTGATCGGAACGCTTCTCGTCACCATGGCAGCATCTTTGTGTAGATGCAGCGCTTCTCTGCGACCACCAGAGGGCGCAGCAGTCTGCTGCTGGAGACACAGAGGTCCAAACACAGAAGACAGGTGGAGACAAAGACGCGCGCTTGAACCTCTGGATCCACGGACGGACGAGATAGAAACAACTGATATCCGAGTGCCCTTAAGCAAGGCACTTAAACGTGTAAATATGTGTTACAGTAAAGCGGCTTCTGTGAACCAGTGAACCCTCCCGCGACAGTTTAAAGTCAGAGCTGCACACAGAAAGGTACTGACCCTACGTCATCAATGCGAGGGAGAGACCCAACTGGAATCCTGACCAGTGAAACCAGTTTAACGCTTAAATGGAAATGAAAAATATACAATGAAAAGTGAATGTTGTTCAAAATGTTGCTACTTTTGCTGAAATCACTCAGAAGTTCAGATTAAAGATGCTTTGAAATGCAGTGATTGTCAAATGCAAACAACGTCTTGTTTAATGATTGGACACATTTACACTAAAATACGTTATCTTTGGCCTTTATCGCTAATTTCTCTGTTATCACAGTCTCTGCGTCTTCTTCTTCAACTCTTGAGTTATCAAAATATTTGGAAACCCAAGGTAGGAACGAACAGGAATATGAAAGTTTATTTAGCTTCTATTCCTAAACCCTCTGCAAAGAAGATAGTAAGAAAACAAAACATAATTTTGTTTACGGAAGACATGATTTTGAGCCTCATGAGGAATTTGACCAGGAGTGATTCCCACGGTGCCGTTGAGCCAGGCATCGGCGTGCTGCTGAACCATCGATCACAGTGTGCCGTCGCTTTGGTTTGAGAGGGAGGGACGCCGATGTGCTCTGTGCTGTCGCGCCATTGAGGGGTCGTACACACACACACACACACACACACACACACACACACACACACACCTGTCCATCGTGGGTTGGAGGTGAAGGTTGCAGAGAGTTCCTGGAGGGAGGGATCAATGTGTCACTGCTTCGACTGCTGCAGCTGCACCAGCTTTCTGTAATGTGGCATGACTTTGCTCTCAGGGAGGTAGAGCGCCATCTCCAGGGCGACCAGGATGGTGAACTCAAACGATATCAGCTCCCTCCTGCTGATCCTGAAACGCTCCTCCAGCTTCTACAGAGACACAACGCAGACTAAAGCTCTAAACCACTACTAAGCTTGATTGTTCTCTAATGTGTGTGAGGACGGCTGAGAAGGACAGAAAGTGTTGTTTTACATCTGCTCATGTAAATCTCTTATCTCTTACAGTCAGAGGTAACTTCTGTGATCATATAATGTATGTGTGTGTGAGTGACTCACATCAATGAGATGTTTGACCTCCTGTTTCTTGAGGTCACTGCTGATCTTGGCAGCCAGCAGGATACAGGCAGCCGACACCAACTTCCTGTGAAACCACAACAGAGCGGAGGAGCTCATGAGGGAATATTTTTACTAATGGACCTGAAACAGGTCAGATTCACGCGCATGTGTTCATTCACAGCCCTCTGCTCCTAATACATTAGGAATGAGTGCAATGCAGAGGGAACGCCTACTTAATGTAAAATGATGATTGCAATACATTTGAGGTTGTTTAACGTTTATACCAAACACGATCAATATGAAGGAAACAATGAAGCCGCTGTGCTTTTGGTGCTTTGTTCAGAACAGAGATGGGTGAATAGCCTATATGTCTTGAATAAATAATTCAAACGGTAGTAGAGAAGTTACACGTTGATCATTGGAGCAGTCTGACATGAGGATCATATGTTAAAGGACCTGTTTTGTTTATTGAGTCGACCCTGCAGCACCAGCTTCTCAAAGTAGACCAGCGCCATCGCGATGGTGACGGGCTGCATCCCGCAATCCTCCCCGACTACTCTCATCTCCCTCTTCAGACTGGGAGACAAACAGCATGAAAGTCACAGACAGTTATTAAGTTTCAGCCTTTCTGAATGTAAAACCAATTGGGCATCCGATTGGAATGATAGTATAAACTTAAAATACATTTTAATGTTTTTTGTCAATTTATCTCAAATACTACCTGCGTATCTTGCTGAGAGTGAGTTTGATGTGAGGAAACTTCTCCTTAAAAGTCTCGTTCATGTCTTTCTTCAGATCAGATGGTTTGACGTATTCTATTACTGTTGTCTGGACGATAAAAGATGGGAGGAGAAGATTTGATTAAAATAAAGAAAGGAAGGAAAGAGTGGTGGAAGAGAAGAATGCAACAACAGGTGCAAAAAACTATAATGTGATACTAATGTCTGCCACAAGAGGCTGAAGTGCACCAGTACCCAATGACTGAAGGACTGAAAGCATTCATGATTTCCCAAATAGCAAATTAGCACCTATTCAGATATATTTCAATCCATGAAAGATGTGACTTTACATAACTGGTAAGAAATGATTCCACTAGGAATGAAACATAAATGCTTTAAATCGTATTTAGAATGTTGCAGAGGTGGACGTCAGCCTCTGGTGCCCAGAGATGTGTATTACAACAACAAAGACCGATGATCATGACAAAGAACATTTTTAAATTGATGTGTAAACACAGGAGAGAAAATATCTTATCACAATAAATACAGACTTTTCTAAATGACATATTTGAGATAATATTTGTGGCTTATTTTTAAATTCCTGTGTTGGGAACCAGGCTTACGTTGTGGTTAATTCAGTGACTAATCATACACATATATACACACCAAACACTGGTGTCACCACACTTAAATACTCAAATGAACATTTACTGATGTTTAAAAAATATAGTGGCAAATGTCAGGTACATTTAATTGTAGAATGATTTGTGATGCCGCACATTGTTGACATCACAATAAGTGTCTCTTTACCATGTAAGAGGCGAAGATCAGAACCCGTTTGTGTTTCCCACAAGGCCACTGGGGGTCACTGAGGAGGTTCGGGTCGTAGTCCGTCACATCTTCAAGACCTTAACACACACACACACACACACACACACAATAAATAGATCATTCATATGATACTCAGAAATGATCCATTTTGTCAATATCTATTTTTTAACTCATGACAAATCAGACATCTAAGAATTATTACTAAATCACATTAATTATTATTCTGGTGTACGGTGTTTATACCTGCTGCTATTAATCGCACTTGTTACTCTACCATGAAATGTTCTCTTGTATAGTTTCTACATTTACCTCTAAACATCTCTTTACATCGCAATGCATTGCAATTCCCTTCTGGGTATCAATAAAGATTAATCTCCTTTTAAGAGTCTGACAATGTAATAAGTGAAAAGATAAATCAGCAGAAAGATGTCATGCAGGGAGAAATGATCCCCGCTGAGAGCTATAAAAAAGAACCAGAACAATCTGTGATGCGTTACACTCAGAACTAAAGGAACTGCTGGCCCGCCTCCACTTCAACTCTTAAATTCAGGGTGTATTAATTATACTATTGCTGTTTAACCACGTGCATATGTTGACGTTGAACCAAACCACCTGATTGCTAAATGCTTCTGTGATTAGTTCTCCAAGCAACATAAGACGTGTGAATACGGCCGCTTTGGGAGAGACACTTAACAAGAAGACTATAAATTTAAACCTGCCATCAATGTGCGCACACACACACACACACACACACACAGCTGTGATGTTTTAATGAAAGGTTCCATATTAGAAAAGGACGTTTAGGGGCTAATACGGGGCTCTGTCACTGTGGGTGGGTGTTTGTAGATTGTACGTACACACACGTGTTTAAACTATAACAAGAACTCCAGTAAATCTCTCTTCATTCAAACCCGAATCTCATCCCTCTATCATGTGTTTATTCTCTTTCCCTCTGCAGCCACAATCACATATATTCTCAACAATATTATCAGGCCGACTCCAAAAGCAGGGACACGTCCACTATCAATATTACATTCATTTGGTATAATCCAATATGTAGCGGTATGACGTCAATAGTGTTGAAATTAGAAGCACACTCCGCGAGTTTAGACCTCTGCTAAGTGACGCAAACAAAAGTGTAATGTAATGTGTAACCGCCCATCAGCTGGATCCGCTTCCAAATGTATTTCCAAGTCCGATGAACATCAGCCATGCTGTTTTTCCACAATCCTGCGGACAAACGGAACCAACAACGCGTGTGTGTGTGTGACGTGTGTGTGTGTGAGTGTGACGTGTGTGCGACGTGTGTGCGCATTACCCAGGTCCAGTCCCACAGTGCTGTTCAGCCTGCTGGGCGGGCAGCTCCTGCCCGGCATGCTGAGCGTACTCCTGGAAACTGGAATCTGCAGCGTCAGGTCGCAGGTCGACGACGGTTTGTGCCTCACCAGGGCGTTGGTCGGGTACAGGAACTGGGCGTACGACACAGACTGAGAGACGGAGAAAGAGATGAATTGATGAGATCCAAATCCAAAAACATCATCTCCCTGAGCGCCCGGGAATGTGTGTTAATCTACCCGGCCGTAGGTGTCCAGTTGAAAACCCTCCAGGCCCGGGAGCATCTCCAGGGTGGTGGAGATGTTACCAGACGAGTGCCTCCTCCTGGTGTGGTTTAACGTCGGGTCACTGGCGAGACAGAGGCAGTGCAGGTTAAGAGGGACGTGAGAACGGTCGCTCCCAGCGGCCCGTCTGCTATCTGGAACTTAAACTAAGGACGACTTAGAGAAGAAGGATTCACAACACGATACACAAGTTTCTGTAACAAATAAGTGCTCGGCACACCGCTGCAGAAAACTGATGTCATTTCCATGTGTACTGATACTTCCTCCAGCGTGCACGAGTGTGACGTGTGTGCAGATCGGTGTTTGTCTGCGCGACGTGATAGAGGGAAAGGGATTAGGAGAAGTTTACATAACTGCAATAACATCTGCGCTTCAGCTGTGTTTATACAGTATCTGCGGTGTATGTGCTGGAGTCAGAGAGAAGAGCAGAACATGATAAATGTGCACCATGTTTGTCAGTGTGTCTGAAGGTTTAAGAGTTTATCCATGGGAAAGTTTGTGTAAAAAAGTCCTCAGGTCAAGTCAAGAGGCTCATGGGAAAACGTGTTTTTTTTCTTTTCACTTTCCCTCCTTCCTCTTCTTCTTCTCTCAGCGGCCAGCGCGCGCTGTTCTCCCACGCTCCTCTCTTACATTCAGCTGATTGTGCGTGTGCAGGTGTGTTTGTGCATGTGCAGGTGTGTTTATTACCTAAGGTAGAAGCTTTCTCCGTAGGGCAGAATGGAGAAGGCCGCACACAGAGACCTCTTTGCACAGATCAGCACGATTCTGAAAGACAAACAAACGGGTGTTCTTCGTTACGCAGTTACGTCTGTCCGGTTGTCTGTAAATAAGAGAAACTGCAGCAATCAGCATCGTCAAGGTGAACAGCAACTCCCCGTATGACACATTTTCAGCGGAATGAAAACACAGAAAACAAACGTTGTGGCACAGATTTTCAAAAAGATTCGTTTGATGAATTGTTTCTTTCAAACAGGCGGCTTTCTTCCCCTTTAAGCAAACCAAAAACCTGGATCTACCATCAAATAAATAAAATTGAAATAACTTTTAACTGTAAATAGGAGTTCCTCTGTTTTAACTGTTACAGAGATGAATGTGACAACAATCATGTTTAATCGTATTGTTTTTAGGTTTTATTGCCCTTGTTCAGAGATACGTGTGGATATTAATGTTTTTAGTTATTCTGTCCACTAACTTCTGATCTAATATTACATTTACCAATGTTATTCTTTCGGATGGGTATTTCTTTTCACAATTGATGATGTAATCATTTTGCCAGGAAATGGAGAAAAAAAAGAAGTAATAAAAGTACTGAAATTTAAACAGATGGTAAGCAGTACTTTGTTATCAAGCAATTATCGATATATTATTGCTATTGTTTTACGATTGATTTTAATAACATTTTGGATCATGTTAAGCACACATTTACAATATTACACTTCCAGGAAATTACTCAGCTCAAACAAACCGTAACCCATTTATTTTTTGCCATAACAACATGATATTTTATCTTATCCTTGTTCTACTTTGATGTAGATGTACTGCATGAATAGCGTTCACCGTGTTATTTACCTTCTTGTTGCGGAACAATGAATATCGGAACTAAACCGAAAAGATTTTCTTTTTTAATCAAACTCAAACGTTCTTTTTGGATTCACGGTCATTAAAACACAAAGACCTTATAACGTGATCACCTTTCCTGTTGGTGGAAACAGAACCTGTGGATGTGCTCAGCTCCAAAATGAAGATAAAATACAACCACATGTTGAAAGAAAAATAGTCTAATAGAAAGTTTGATCAGGAGGATTATATCTCTCACTCAACCCTCAGATGATACGTTGCTAATAGAACCAAGTTTCACCTGCACCTGCTTACCAGAGCTCATTAACAACTTGTTTAAATGGGGTTTCGATGGAACGGAGTGTGTGTGTGTGTGTGTGTGTGTGTGTGTATATTTTGTTGCACATCCTCTGAGTATGAATCCCGGTGGAGCAGAAACTGCACATCCATCGCCTGGTTTGTTTCTCAGAGGAAAATGTTTACAGTCATTATCTTTGGCTCAGGCACCAAAGAGACTAGAAGAGGATTCACAGTGTGTGAAAACATAAACACACTCATCTTTGAGAGTATGAAGCTTGTGATGAATCACACACACACACACACACGGCCAATAGATCTCCAACCACTAACCGTGACTATTTCAGACAGCCTTAAACATTAAAAACAGGCCGCAGAGTGTTTAAGCTGCAGCTCCACTGAGAACTGAGGACCAAAGAAATAACATCAGGTCGATCCTGACACTGTCAGAGGGAACGGCTCCAGAGGCAAATGCAGCCAAATCAAAACTAAGACACCACCGCAGAATCCTGGCAGGGAGCAGCAGATCTACCGAAGTAGTTACATAACCTGGATTAAACAATTTGAGCGAATAAAATACAAGCTTTGAAAAGGAGCAAATCCGGATCTCATAACTTGAGGAGCCAGCAGGCTGAAGGCCTTTACACAGCGGAGGCGTGACTAATAAGACTTCACAAAATTCTAGTTTCATCTCTTTGTACCTCAGTACCTGTGACAGCGTCGTAGTGAAACTGAAGTCGGCGCGTCTTTAGCTTCTGTACCGTGAAGCATTCCCCATCGGGATGAAATTTGAGCGGAGCAGAGTTACGTCGGTTTTAATTTAAATCCTTCACATTCGATCGGGCCTTTGAAAAGCGGGTGAGCTCAGAATGTAGCATGACAGAGCAACAGAGGAGGTCATGGCCGCTCTGCACACCCCCCCCTTGTCACTGAAAGGTTGCAGCAGAATGATGAATGGATGCCATGATATCATTGGATGGAAGCACACTAGCAAAGCAACATTTAATTAAATTATGAGCCATTTTATCCACTTCATTTCCAAAGAGATTTTATCTCAGTTCGCAGGAACCATCAACATCAAATCAAATGATGGGATCTTTTGAAAAGATTCAAATAAGCAGCTTCCTTTTTTATGTAGTGGAGTCCTGTTTTATATTGAAGTTTGATTAGAAAGTCACATTGAGAAGTCAATTCTCTGTGGATATTCTGCCAAACATGACATGATCCTGAAGAGAACTGAGAGATGCTGAGAAGAGAATTCTGCATACTTTAATCCTAGAATGAAAAGAGGCGTTCACATCGTTCATGTTGTGGCTGTAATCCATCGTCCCAGGAGGAGGTTCTACTGTTTCATGAAGTGACTACCATTCAAACGGAGGAAGTAGTAGGTCAAAGTTGACTAACAAGAGCTAACTAAATACGTCCGGGGCTTCTGGAAAATGATCAATGTTGGATTTCACCGTTATTTTCCATAATTCCTAATTTAACTTTATAACCTGGGAACCTCCTCTTCTATCCATCACTAGGGACGGATGGGTTTGGGTGTGAGGCTGCAGTTGGTTGCGTGGGCCACTGAGACGCAGCTCGTTCCCTGTGACTCATGTGAAACGTGAAGAGCAGGAAGAAGCCGGGAAGCTTGGCGGAAACAGCAGAAGCCTCAAAACAGGCCCGCTGGAAATGAGGCTCTGCTGGGAATTCTGTCCCCTCCACACATCCATTTATCGCCACACATTTCGGAACCCCGGGGGCAAAGTATTCCATGATCACACTGAAGAAAAACTGTACTAATCCCACTGGGACAGGACCCTTGGACCTGGGTTTGTAACCTACACAAAGAACTGCACACAAATCAAACCAAGTCAACATCCGAACGGAATTCAAGGAAAATTGTTTTTAAAAAGTCGATTTTACTAAACTTGGTGATGCAGACAAATCTCAAGTGTGAGGTAATTGAGTTATGCCTTATAAACGTGTAACCCGTTATTGACTTTAATTTATCCGGGTGGAGGTCATTATCACACAAGTGTGCCCTGGCAGTATTTTCTTTATTGCGTGCTGTTTCTATTCAGTTATCCCCCTGTTATTTACAGTTTTATGAGTCACAGTCACAACCTTTGTATATTTGGAATCGTTTCTTATAGTTAGTAAATCCTAATGAAAAAGACACGGCAGTTTATAGAGAAAAGTGAATATCATGAGTCTGAAGCAGGAGGGCTTTTCAGTCTTAACCGGGAGATTTTAAATGGAGGGGGCCAGTACGAACGTGTACAAGCTTGCTGGTCCCTGCGGAGCTACAATTCTTCTACTGTAATAGTCTATATATGGATATATACTATAGACACAATCATTAATAAGATTATTTGATCTGAACTGATCTTACATGGAGACTTGGCAGATCCACAAACAACAGCTCTGCTCTTAGCTGAATCTATTCTAAAACAATCAGCCCTCAGTCTATTGTTATCTGACGTGTGTGTGTCTGTGTTCAGATGACACAGACGTCAGATTTATACACTCAGCAAGGAAGGACAAGAATAGAATACAGGAAGAAATGGACGGAAAGACATTGTCCGGCCTGCAGCTCCGTTCTTCTCCACTTGTGGAGGACAGGCTGCACACTCCATCCTGGCAGCCTGGTTGGTGAAGGCTAAAAGTTAAAGAGACCAAGAAATGATGGAACACTCCAACATAAAAGATATGACAGATTATATTTCATGTTTTTTTGTGGCGTAAAACATTCTTACGGTTTTTATTCCAGTTGGAGGTGTTCAGAATAACTCCACAGGGGTTTAGAGGAAGTGCAGTCTAGTTGGACAACAGTGTTCACTGATTGCATTGAAAATAGCTCCAGAAACAGCTGTGACTTTCTTTGAATAGTTCACAAGACCTCGTACCCCCCCTGCATGCATGACCGTGTTGTGCAGGGATCAACGCGCTGCTCAGGCCTGTGTAAACCGGCACAATGTGGCTGTGATGGTTTAAAACTTTCATAAAAGTGATAAAAACCCACCACTAAATTAGTGGACCGCTCCCAGGATTCCAGCTCTTTCCGTCTTTCACCCTGTGAAGCTGAATAACGTGTCCTTCTTACCGGCTGCCTCTCGTGTCGTACTGTTTCATGTTTTTGATGAAGTGGATCTTCTTGGTGTGTCGAGGTCTTGGAGAGCCACCAGAGAGGTTACGAGTCCTACGGTGAGACAGAATGGAGATAAACACAACAGATCAGAGAGGCTAGTGCTAGGCTAGCTAGGAGTGGAGAAAAAGAAAAAAAAAAAGATGTGATTGTGATTTTTACTAAAAGATGAATTCATTAATTTACTCTTGTAAATAATGTGTCTCAGGGAGCAGCGGCGGCGCTGCCTCGTCCTGCGTGAAAGGCCCAGGAAGCAGAGATGTGTTTTTGTTGACACGGTTGGAGTAATAAAGCCAGGCTGGGTCAGACCACCGAACAGCAACGTTATTATTTCAGAACCTCCATTAGGAATCAGCACAATAGAACACTCTGCTGCACAAGCCAAAACACATGCTGGCTGTGGCAGTATCTTGAAAACTGGAAAGTCTTGTAAACCTCACGGCCCTTCTCCTTCACATCAGAGGGACCGATGCCACTGTTCCTCTTTCTATAGGAATATGATTTTAAGCATTAATAATAATAAAAATAAGTCATACATGTAAGAAATAAAAAAACATTTAGTGATTTTCTGTTTTACATTTACTCTGTTTCTGAGCTTAACCTACTAAGAACGAGCTGTGTCACCACGATGAGTCTGATGACGTGTGTGTGTGTGTGTGTGTCTGTCTGCTGAAGGTCAGGGGATGAGCCACGGATTGTGATTGTGTCGACCTTGTGGATTAAAACCATGGACCTCAACGAGGAAGCAGGCCAAGAAGGTCAGCTCTCTGACATCACAGCAGTTACATAACATTAAGATAGCAGCATGGACATGGACACACACACACACACACACACACAAAAGGTTATCAGTTTGGTTTAAACAAAGTTCAATATATCAAAATATTGATACTTCAATATGTTGTCCAGTTATGTTTAAAGGACCATATGAAAAGATAATAATAAAGGTTTCAACATTGAAATATACACACTCAAAAACAGAGCTGTTACACAACCGAACACAATGCTGCTCGCACACGTTTAAAAAGACACAGATAGAGAGAGAGAGAGAGAGAGAGATCTGCATCTGTTTCAGTTTTTCGATGGCTGACCGGGTCCAATACCACATGGGGAATAAACACACACACACACACACACACACACGTGTGAAGCTGGTGTGTGTGTGCGTGAGTGTGTGATACAGCAGTCACATCTGGGTAGCTTAATGGTCCTTAAATGTTCCCCCACCAAAACAACCCCGTTGTTTGTTTTGTTCATGATGTAGGAGAAGCGTCACTCTGCAAAACCTCTCATGAAGTGTGAGAAAAGTCTCAGTCATGATGCTCATCTTCAACCGTTCTTCAACCATGATGCTCATCTTCAACCGTTCATCTAAAAAATGTCTTCTTTTCCAGATGAAAATAAAGTTCAAATGTATGAACAGTCTGAGCTGTCACTTCTTTAGTAACATTAAACCATGGGTCTATACATAACAATTCTACTTTTATTCTATCCACTGTAACCACGGTCACATGACACAATCCTCTTGGCATTCGTCATTCCGGAGCATTCCGGAACGTTCTGGAATGTTTCCATTGTGTGGGAATGCAAAGAGCCCAACGGCCCGACACTCCTTGTAGAGGATGACGATGGTGATGAAGAACAACGTGGCCACGCGAGGTCGACGCACATTCAGCGCTCCAGGTTTGATCCCACAGTCAACGCATCTGCTAAAGTACCTTTGAGCAACCCGAGCCTCCACAAAACCCCTTCAAAAAACCGCCAACATGTTTCTCTAGAAACATCTGCCAGAAAGAAATGCAGAACTATGTCATGAAATAAACAACAACCGGCCCCGCACACACCTGGCTGAACTCCAGCGGTAACTAACTGTCGCTTACTCGTCTCACAATCTGTTGCTACAAACAACCGTCAGGACTTAATTTAACAAGTTTGGAGGAACCAAACAAACAAAGCCTGACACGCTGCGAGGATCACGAGGTTCTTCAACGGAGACTAAAAATAAGGCTCCTCGCGGTAGTTAATAGTCAATAAAAATCTGTTATCTTTAAATCATTTCTCTCAGCTTGGGGGCTTCCGTTAGGAAAACGCCGTGATCATAAACACCCACCGTCTGCAGAGAAGAGTGTGATAGCTGTCAGCGTTGCTCTCACGGCCTTTCTAAATCTGTCCCAGTATCTGAGCTTTGCATCTGTAGACCAGTGGCCCAGTTCCATGAAAACCAGACGGCTATTTCTCCCTGGGATGTTATGGAAAGTTTCCCTTCTGTGGGAATGGAAAGATCCAGTCTGCAGTTCCCTCGCTGCAGAGGATGATGATGATGACGATAATGATGAATGTAGATACTTTTTTTTTTTTTTTTTTTTTAGAAGAAGACCTTCTTTTTAATATTTTCATCCATGGCCCATTAAGCGGAGATCAACGAGCCAAAACAAAAACAGTGACATTCGGTTCTTCAAAAACAGCTCACAGGTGTTTGAGCAGGAAAGCGCTTCAGATCTATTGTTGCAGAGTGTGAATTAACGCATGACTATATGAAAGGAAACAACGGATCATATTTACTTTAAAAAATATATAATTTTGGTGGCTGAATCTGCTTATTGTTCAGTTCAACATTAGCATAGTGGGGGCTGCTTTATGTCTCCAGTTATAAACTACGGGTGCCTTTTCATCAGAACATGTATAATTCACTAGGAAGTCAAATTCAAATTACTGCCAGTTGTGTTACACTTCACTTTATGTCATCACTTTCCATTTTTGCATATTGTGAAGTCACAATGACGTTTAGCCTGGAGTCCAGGAGGACATTTTTTAGCTTTACATAATTTCCTTTAGTTCCCCTCTGATGTCATTTGGAGACGACTCAGCAGACAGAATCTAAAGATCTTCCATTTAACTGCTAATAAACCTTTAGACTAATAAACGTTATTGATTGAATGCGGTTAAAAGAAATGTAAAAAAAAAAAGCATAAGAATAACAACAGTATTTATTCACAAACAAAGAAAATATAACCACCCGGCAATGCAACGTTCACAGCGATCTCTCTCCCTCGCTGGCAGAACCCCAGGCGGAGGCTGCCGGCCAGAGGCCAAACTAATTGATGCGCTGGAGACTTACTGGGGACTTGGTGCACGTGTCCATGACGATGCATGCAGGAGGGACTCCTGCATGCATCGTGAGTCACTGGCAGTAGGATTACTGGCAGTGAGTCACTGCCAGTAATCGGTTTCGCTTTGTTGTCATTGCCGGGTCGGTTATCGAAGTCAGCGTACGTAACATTCACGTGACGCACCCAGAAGTACTACACTCAACTAAAGGACATTTTACTAAAATGATTACATTTTATGCTGCACGACATGTGGAGGTTAAACATGTTCTTCACAAAAGCTTTTAGGAATTATACTACAACCAATGCTACTTTAAAATGTGTGTATATTATATTATATTATAGGGCCCCAACTATAGTGTTTGAGAAAAAGTCAAGGTAAATGAAACACTAACAAGAGCTCCATTAAATCAAATAGGAAGCACTGACTTTGCATTTGTCACTTAGAACCAACTGCAGGCTGTTCGGGGGACTTTTGTTTAGCTGACGAGTCATTTTTTTCAGTTCAAAACTCATGTACAACACCAGTGTCTCAGTAATAATAGCTGGTGTTGTTTCATCTTAGAATCATTTCTTTATCTCATCTACATCCCATTTTTTTTCCTTGTGTCACCATCCATCCCTCCTTTCGTCACTCTAAAAATACCTGCTTTCATCCTCAAATTAAGATTATTTTAGGCATCACACTTTTGAACAAACACCGGAACCACACCGACTTGATTAGTGATCTGACAGTTCCTTCCATCTCACATAGAGCTTTGCTAAGCAGAGGCCGTGGTTAAGCTCTACACACACACACACACACACACACACACACACACACGCACTCTCACACACACACCCGCCCACTGGCTTAATCAGTCTCTGCAGATGTCTTGCTGTTTTTGATCTGTAGGGACGACGATCCATTTGAACTCTCAAGGCCGTCTACAGAAGTGAGCGTGTCGCTTCAATGTGGTTTTACTTTGACTAGAATGACAATAAACACAATTACACAGATTCTGGCCGGTGTGATTGGTCTTCCACGACTGACCCTCAGAATAGTCCCTTCCAAATGTTAATAACATTTATGGTCTAAAAAGGATGCTTGTGCATAAATTCTTATCTTAAAGTAACGGTTTATTAAGTTACAGCCTCGATGTCACTTACTCGTGCGGGTTTCTTCCTGTTTATGCAAATACATTCATCACATGCGGTCCAATAAAACTAATAACACTCATGATTGCGTACAGGTCATCCTACTTCTAGTGAATGGTGATCAGTCCTTGACCTGAAATAGACTTTATTATCTCCACAGGGGTAACCACTGTGTGTGTGTGTGTGTGTGTGTGTGTGTGTGTGTGTGTGTGTGTGTGTGTGTGTGTGTGTGTGTGTGTGTGTGTGTCCACAGCCATTCACACATACAACGGGACCCATCAGCCTATATTTTCTGCTGTCATTCACGATAAGGAAACGTTTTATTGAGCGTTTAATACCATCACAGACTGCTCACTCCTCACTGCTCTTAACTTGCCGCTGGTGATCAATGTTTACTTCCGTGCTGAAAGGCATCCGTGGCATCCGGGTCGGCTAAGCAACAAGCTGCGCCACGTTTTTGCATTTTTCATGGTTCAAAAAGGGGGTCCATAAAAAAGGGTTGTCTCATTTTGAACCAGAGCATTTGCAGATTAACTCCACACGTATCTTAATAACGTGCAATATAATGTAGGTTTTGGAATTTCAGGATAAAGAACATATAAAGTTGCAGTTGAAGCAATATAGACTATTTTGTGTGAGTCAACCTAAATTAAATTTACACTTTCATTTCAGGTTGTAATACAAAAAACAGAAGAAAAAACCCGAGTTAAGACTCGTGTAAGAGCTCTAGGTTGGTGCTTCGCTAACTTTACTTGTAATAATTAATGAGTATAATCGCAGCCCTTCTGAAGGTGAAGGGTCTTATCAATCATCCACATTCATGAGCACATGTTCGAGGAAAAGGTGATGATAAAGAGAGTTGTGCATATTTAGAAACGCACAACTAAAACTTACATGCAGCCACTTTTTGTGTGTGTGAGAGAGAGAGAGAGAGAGAGTACACTGGTGCTTTACAAGATACACAATAAGAATTCATCAGTAATTTACATATAAGGCAAATAACAGTGCAGTTAACTATATTTCTGTATGATATTATATAGTTTGATACATTACATTATTAGTGTAATTCAGGCTTTAAAACAAGAAGAACAAGACACACAGGGTTCAGTTACGTTATATTAAATTTGTCCCTTTTACGAAGACCTGCTAACCCAAAATATATCTTAACATGTTCATGTATTAAGACCATATTTCCATGAAATCCAAACAAACTATCATGTTAGTCCCGTTTAGTGACACATGTGGTGATTTGATTCTACTCTGAGACCAAGGAGTTCCCTCCAATCGGTGGTCATTTTGGTGTTTTATAAATTAGTATCTATGCATTGCCATTACTGAAACAATATTTAAAAAAACAATATCCTCTTAAATTTGTCTCCCGAAGGACGTTTCAATGCACCAGTCTTGGTTTTCTGCAGCCAGCTAACTGCACAGTACATTCTGTTCACCATTCGGAGTTATATGGCTGTGTGTTGAAGGACCTCTCAAGGTCTTAAAAAGAAAACGTTTCAAATAAGAACATTTGCTCTCATGAGGAGGAAACTCTACCTGATTCAAACCAGGAACAACCCTCATCATTGTCGAGCCGTCGACTAAACTGGTCACTGAATCCATGATGTCATCGTGGGAGGACTTGACCACAGAGGCCCGTCACAGACCACGAGCGCGGCTCATGATCGTATCTGACGCCGTCACACCAGGAAGTGTGTGGCTGAGGATAAGGGTGCTTGTTAAGTCACCAACAGTCTCAGCCAAGGCTTGTACTTGCCTTTCACAAATATATTGTTGTGCGATGCGTTTGCCATCAGCAGGTCGGAGAATATGAGGCTTTTCTCCTGTTTTACATAATTGTAAATATAGGCCTTTTGCAAAAGAACCTTCTTTTAAAACCTTCCATTGCAAAGGCCTTGTCACAAACTAATACTATACTTAGTGGGTGAGTTGCACGCATTTGTAACACCGACAACAACCATCTGGCCATGCGATGCAACACTGTCTTATGCACCAGCGCACAAAATGAAGTCAACGCATCTGCTGTTTTGGGAGCCGGTGCGGCGGTCGGATGAACTGTTAACCGTCGCTAATTTCCCGGCCCGGTTGTTAGGTGTAAATAGGTTAAGCTGTCATTATCCCAGCGGGGCGGATTGTCGGGGTTTGATACGCTGCCAACGCGATGACAAAGCTCATCCATCAGCACTCACACCGGCGCTGCAAGTCTCCAACCGCGGCTACCGTGTGCCACACATCCCCAAGAACCCACAACTCATCACAGTTCATCTCTCACCCCTTTTCCACTTTCTGATCTAAGCTAAATCTTTTCCCCCCGTCAGGAAACTAATCCAAACTAATCCTCAATGACTGTAGTAAACGCTGAAATGAAAAGGATTCTGGGTTACTGGGCCACTGAAAACGCTTTGACTTCATCACGTTGTCTGTTGGTGGTTCTTAACCGTCACCAGGTTCGCTTCCGCTCTGCAAAACCACAAGCTACTCTCTTCAGTGACGTCTCCTGTAGGCTATTCAGGCTGAGGGTAACGTTATTGATATTCTTGCATTACGTTTGATCTGCTGTATCAAGATCAAAATGGGAAGTCCGTGGGTGTTTTATAAAAAGAGGAACTCTCGGCCTGCTGTTCAGTCCCACGTTAATAACGAGATGAGATAAGCTGCAATTTTTTTTTTAAATAGACTCCCAGATGCTCGTAAATTAAGAGCGGCACAAGAAAACGATGATTAAAGTGAAGATCCTTCCATCCATCATCTTGGGAACGTTTATCCTGTTCAGGGTCACGGGGAGCTGGAGACGGTCACAGCTGGCCTCGGGCGAACAAAGAGTTCTTCCTGGACAGGTCAGGATTGGTCAGGATTTTTGGAGGACCGACGTGTTTAGACAGTCAACCGCTCACGCTCAAGCTCACGTTCACGGCCAACTTGGATTCATCAACCAAGGCCGCATGTGTTTGGAGTGTGGGAGGATGCCTGAGAACCCGGACAGAGCCGACACAAGGAATACACGTACTCCTAAACGGAAGGGCCGTCCCGCCCGGGAATCTAACCCGCGCTGCGAGTCGGTAAAGCGACTACACCCGACAAAAGTACAGGCCAAAAAGGATAAAACATTGTTGGTTTACAATGAAGAAAATACCCAAAGTTGGGTGGCTGAAATGAATGCGGTGCATTCACGTTTGTGATTAATTGGTAGAAATACAGAAGAACACTTTAGATTGCTTCTGTTTGGGAGCTTAAATCAACCCATACTTACGCAAAACCTAAAAACGATGGCCATGTTGCAATATTATTCACTGTCTTATTAAAGACACAGATGCAAAATTAAAAAGAGACTAAGAGCATTTAGAGCCAACTTTAAATACCTGCTAGTAGTTGTGAAACAAAAGACAAATTGATTGGTCAGTCGAGGGGAAAATTATCCCCATTTTGATAATTCAGTTAAAAAGCTGGCTCTGAAAATTGGCTTTGCGGGTTAATTTCAATGTGTCTACAGTTATAAATATGGTGCAGACGAGAAGCTTTAACAATCCACTGCAGCACCAGGCTGCTCCCATCAGGACGATGAAGATGCATCGGAAAGACCTCGTTTCCTACTCTAAATGTTATCTTACCTTTTCCACATGCAGCAAGTCCGATTACTAGAGAAAAGTTGCATCACCGCTACACACACACACACACACACACACACACACACACACACACACACACACACACAGTAAAGGGCATTCACAGCCTCATACAAGTGTCAACCAGCCCGTGAAGTGCGGACGGCAGTGTAAACACTCTCAACTCCACCAGCCCCCCACCCACCCCCCACAAATGACGTCATCGTCTCCCCATACCTGAAACTTTCAGGTAACGGGTCGGAGCTTAGGGGGGGAAAGAGCACGCGCGCTCACCCGGCAGTAGAACCCACGCGCCCGGAGCTGCTCTCACCTTTGCCGCGGCTCTGAGGACACGGAGTTGCAGCTCTGGACCGACAGCAGCGTGGAGGACTTCCGCGGTCCCAGAGGCGACGGCAGCATGCTGACGCTGGACGGGGACGGCAAGAGCAGGTTGAGGTTCCCGGGCGACGGGAGCGAGTCCCGGCGGCACCGCAGCAGGACCTCCGCGCTGCCCGCGCCCCCGAAGCCCGCGTCCGACGGCAGGACGAGGATAGGCGGTATGCCGAGGAGACCGGTCCTCGGTGCCGGGGACGGATTCACGTCCCCGCAGCTCACGGCCGCCGTCAAGCCGGAGAATGTCCCGTAGCTTCCGGCGTTCGCGAGCTCCGGACACAGCTCGGCCAACACCTGAGAGCCGGTAACGGCTGCCTCCAAGTCGGTGTCTCCGTGCCGGAGGCTCCCGACGCGGTCGGTCGAATCACTCCGCACCGGCCGCCCGTCCAAAGAGATGTTGCTGAGAAACAAAAGAGCGGCTTGTCTCCGGCGCGAGTTCTCCCGGTTCCTCCGGCCGTGCTCCCTGTTACCGTGCGTTTTCTTGCCGCTAACGGCGGCGGTTATCGCCGCCATGCCGCCGTCCCGCTGAGGAAGTGCGCCGGTGGCTCGGCTGGAGACCCGCTGTCACATCGCTCCTCCTCCCCCATTGGCCCGGACGGGGCGCGCGAATAACGCCTCGCCACGCGCCGAGCGCTTCCCGCTGCCCAAGCATGTAAATAGACACAACACGAGGGTGAAGAGTGCACTTTAACCAATTATATTTATCTTTTTCATTAAAAAAACATTGATTTTCCCTTTTAAAGTAGGCTACTTTTTAAAAAAAAGATGAGAGCAATGTCACAAATACACAATATTATTTGTATCATAAGCAGATTGTCTTTCTACTACTTAGTATCAGAGAGTGTAACGTTTTAGGATTTACTTTACTTTAAAAAAAGATGGCCCTTCAGGCAGCTAGCTCGCTATTAAACTAAGTCATATGCATGGTATTTAACAATTGCCCTGATGGTGACTGTTTGTAAAATCTCATTCTGATGAAATGTTGATTTTTACTATAGGTCAACATTTGTGGCTTTCATCCTAGATGATGTCATGGCTTCAGTATCTGTTTTATAAACAATCTGATAATCAAAACAGTAGTTATGCAACAATAGGTTCTATATAGTCTAAAGCTTGAGCTCCAAGCCGTGTTGCCCGCCTGTTACTGTTCACTGTCTGCGTAATTCCTCTGACATGTTCATCTCTGCAGTATCAGGTCTGCTGAGGCATTAAGCTCCACCTGACAGCGGCTTTGATTGGCTGTTGCCGGTTTGTTATGAAACCTCAGTGGATTTTCTCCACACTGATCCCTGCAGTCACACCAACACATGGGCTGAGTGGCACCTGGTCAGATCAGCAGGATGACCCCTCAGTGTTGTATGACTGTTAGCTTGCTAAATATAATCCGTAGGGCACGCCGCCATGTAATCCCTGCAGACTGGGAGTTTGTTTTTTTACACTCACGCCCTGATCCCCTTCATCTGCAGAGCAACAAATGAACAAACGACTGACCTTGCAGCTGGAACAAAAGCAGGATGGAAATCAATAAAATGACATAATTTATTTCTGTTTGATCTCACTGGAAAGTTTTTGTCATTTGCATGATGTCATGTTTTAACAGACTGTACAAAAGCTGGCCAAGGTTTCAACTACAACCCCCACAATAGAGGTTGTAATAAACAAAGATACTTTGCTACACAAAGCTTTGAAAGCCGCTACTTGTTGACATGCGGCCTGTTGAATTATGATAGCATTAAACTACAGTGCAAAGGGCTGAGCTGCACATGGTGTGCAAAAGACACATGAAGAAAACAGGTAAGCAACATTATTTTCCTGGGTGTAATTTTAATTAATATTTACGTATTAATAATTAAATAGCATTGTTTTAATTTTTACAATAGTTCAGGTGAAATAAAACTATATAATTTGTCAACTGTTTCCACAAGTCAAATTAGATTTCAGAATAAATATGACCTTATATTTAAATATGAATTAAAGTATTCATTCCAGTCGCATATGCAAGTCATAACAAATATGTGTTTTAAATAGCACTGTGTTGTAGCAGAACATATAATGGGTATTTCCCTAAAGGACTGATAGTGAAGCGACTATCCATGATGACGTGAGGCAGAGGAGATTCTGTTAATGTGTACGACAGTAAATAGCCACCACACAATGATGGCAGCGGTTACACAGCTGTAATCCGATGATGAGGATTAGGTTCATACAATGGGCCTGCACACACACACACACACACGTTGCTCTGAAACTACACTAAATGACCTCAGAGTTGATCTCTGATAATAGAACTGAACATTTTTTCAGCACCGTGTCGTATCATTTTTATTGTTATGGATTTGGATGACCTTTGACCTTTGACAGCAGTCCAAGATGTAGCTATAATATCGTCTTCAATAAGCCCAACGTCCTCCAACCAAAAAGAAAGATTTTCATCATTTTCCATATACCTTCCGCTCTATCGCACTCTATTTTATTATCTCACCCAGTGCTATTGTACAAGTCCCCCTGCATTTATCTTTAATATTTCATTTCTTTGGAACGTTCTGCGTTTGTTCCATCTATCCTGGTACATCTACCGTCATGTGTTTCACTGCTGCTCTTAAACAAAGTAACTTGGTGGTAAATGAGTCAAAAAGTGGTTGCGCACAGTGTGGGTCTATTACATAATGCGGGTGAGGAGACTAGCATGACTCGGGTGAGGCCCGTGGCTGTACTGACTCTGCTGCTGTGATGCTCAGTCAGGCTGGCAGAGGACAGGACCGGGGGGAGGCAGGGGGGCACAGCAAAGCAGTGCACCATGGGAAGGTCGTGATGTTGCTGTCAGGATAACGGGTCAATGCAGTGTTAGTATCATAGACTACACGTTTGGGGGCGAGAGTGTGGAAGAGGGGGTGGATCTCATCGTACTATTACCGACACAAATATGATGTCAGCTTGTACTTTCTTTGATATTTCTATATAAATGCAGTTGCATTTACAAATGATATGGTACATCTATCCATCTATCAATCAATCTACCCGTCTGTCTCTTTTTTTGTCCATCTCTCTGTTATTTCTTTACCTCAGGCTTGAATTTCGCTATAATGGCCCATGGAGCCTTTGGCTCAGCAGCGAGGGAACCGAGCTCTCTCATCCTCAGTCGCCACCACGTGGTCACTAACAGGTATTACAGCTGTTACAGAAAAATATCAAACAGGAAAGAAGCTCCATGAATGATTTAGGTGCCCGATCTTGTGCGAATTTAGTGACATAGCCTCGATTTAAAATGGATCACGGGGTTCTACAGGATGACATATAAATATTAAATGTATTTAGATTGATCACAATTTGTTAGTTACATTCTCAGACTCTTATTATCGTGTAATTACTCATATTATTGAATACTTTTGAACCTCTACTACCAAATAAGCTGTGGGAACTAAGGTACCGCAATAACCGTATGATGTATGATTTTGATATCTTTAGCAGAACAAGATATTTAGATTAATTATATCTAATTCGGATAATTTTGTCTGATCCTAGAGAACACTCTTTGGATTGTGAGATCATGATGATCACAACGACAAAACTGTACCGCCACCTTCTAAAAATGTCTGTTTTCCTTTCATGTTGTGTTGAGAAGATTAAATTAAAATTGAATTGATTTCCCACCTAAAAAATAGCCAGAGGATGAACATTCTGTTTCATTCAGATACATTTTTATAAAACTGAAATACTGATACACGTGAATACACAATCATTAGAGTTTTGATTTTCATTTGAAATGGCATTGCCAACATTTCAAAAGCTGCCTCTGTCAAGTTTTTATATTTACGGTTAAATGTCCAGTAATGAGCATGAAATGAACTGCGGATGCGCTGCTCTTGCTCAGGTGCACGGTGGCAGATTCAAAGTTCAAACGGAATTTGACAAGGATTCGATTGATCTCCCTTTTCCTTTCGTAGCTGCATCAAAGGTAATAGTCTTCCTCCAAAATGTCCCCATGTTTGTCCTGGAAGCCGAGGGCCTGGATGTCGTGGGTGATGTCAGTAATGCGTCGGTTGAATTCCTGAGATCCCGAAGCCAGAGAGCCGTTATCATACCTGCTCGGGGTAAAACAGCAGATTGTGTCATTTTTAATGCATCTCTCTGACTTCCGGCTCGCTCGAATCTTCAGTTTAGAACAAACAAGCTTTTACAAAAAGCAGGTCGAGCACGTAGAATCAAACCGGAGTGGTCTTGCATCAAAGTAAAACAAAACGTGACCATTATGTCAGGAAAAATAGGGCCTCTCTCCTACAAGGTTTTATACAATTTGAGTCGGATGACATTGGTGCTAAACAAAATGCATCATATCAATAAGACACGATGAAATGTAGCAGCAGGCTGGTACAACCTCACAGATCACGGCTGGGTTTCAAACCAAAGCCTCGAGAAGACCACAAATCGGACGCTACCCCTGCTGACCTACATACCCTCTCATGGCCGTGGCTGATGTGTTGCTCATGCTGCGTTTGATGCGTCCAAAGCTGTCAGTTAAAATACCCCCCTCGCGGATCCCGATGCTCTCCAGGAAACTCTCAAACACCCCGACGTCCTTGTCCGGGATGAAAGGACGCATGCCTTGGGGAACAAAGATAACAAGTCTGTTTTTTTATAGATAAGTAGGACTCTGATCAGCAGCGTGATTGGGTTGTGTCCTCTCTTACTATGAGAGAGCAACAACAGAGCAAATTTATTAAAAGAAGGATGAAAACTGAAATCATTCCAGAGTTGTTTGGATCATTTCACCTCAGAGTGAATTTGAATGATTTTATATTTTAGTGGTGTGTTTGTTAAGCATTAAACATGTATGAATTGCGTCGAGGTTCAAACAAGGGATATTTGCTGTCAATGACAAATCACAATCACTTACAATTACAATAATATTTATAAAAGATCCCCTTTGCTTTAGAGTTTAAGGAGTTTTCAAGTTTCAAGAATTTTGTCAATGTGTTAAAGCTTCACTTTGAAACTTCATGCTTTCAAACTGTCACTTTATTGTTTAAGAGACAAGATTTGTGATCCTAACGGCAACTGCAAGATTCCAAAAACAAATCAACAAATCAGAGCAACAACACAATATGTACACAGCTTTTGTTTTCCCCTAAATGCTGGATTTTACATTGTCTGGCAATGGCGGCTCCTATAATAGTGTTTGAACAATATCCTCACAGCAACACATGCTGCAAATGTTCCACACACTTCACTGACGCTATGAGGAAAATATCAATTTCCCTTGTAACCGATTTGATTGGTTAGTAATGAAGATGCCTCGTCCGAATCACCCAAACTGAGCGCCGTGGCTGTGAAGCTCTTTCTCACCCATCAGCAGGAACTTGCGGTTGTCTCCGTACAGATGCAGGAGCTCGGAGCAGAAGTGGTCAATGTTTGATGCAAGTCTGTATTCCCTCAGCAGCACCGCAAAGTGCTGCAACTCCACCGGACTCAGCTTGTTACGCAGCTACACGTGCACACAAAGAAAGACTCTAAAGAGCATCCAAGCACACCGAGCGATACTCTTTCCTTTTTTCTATTTTGTCTCCTAGTCCAACTAGTTGCACATTAATAAATGGATAATTGAATAGAACATTCTTTACAAAAATCAATGGAACGTATTCCTGTTTTAGCTTGCAGACGCACACCAAGAATCACTCTTCCTTTTGTTACTGCGACCTGTGTATTTGGAGTAAAGTTGAATTGCTCTTCTAATAAAGTAGCCTGGTTAATATTGAGCATTTCATACACCTCCAGGCTTCCGTTGGCAACTAAGAGACTTTGCTTTTACCGTTCATTCATTACACTTCTTCTGTAGGTAACACACACACGCACGCACACACTCACAGTAATCATGTACTCCTGCATCAGCACCAGGGCGGGGTTACTGTCTCCTCCTTCACTGGCCGAGGCCAGGCTGCGATGGGAGTCCTGCGGTGAGAGAGATGAACTCTCGCTGTACGTTTCGCTGTAGTAGAGCTCAAAAGCATCCTGGGATCCATCACTGAGAGCATCAATACAGAGTATCAATATCACGTACCGTTGATGGTGATCAAATGTCAACTACTAGAGTAGTAAACACTAAGCTTTTCTTCAAGGAAATTATTTACTGTGTTATTCTTTAAGAAAACTATAACATTTGAATCCATAATAAAATCAAATGCAAATAGATATTCTGCTTTAAGGGTTGTTAATACATTTATTTCATGCTGTAAAGATTTTCAAGGCTTTGTACTTTGCGTCTGTGCTAAAAGAAAGTCTAAATATTTGAATATTCTGTGACTGATAAAACATGCATTTATTTGGAGACCTTGAAAGTTAAGAAAGACTTAAGAGAAAATGCCACTCACTATGAGCTGCAGCAGCTAAACTCCGGATCATAACCGTAGGACACGTCAGTCAGACAGCTGTCACCTGCACAGGGACAAAGCATTTCAAATAAACATTTTCATTAAAACTCTGCAAGATCTTGAAAATATGAACCCAGGCTGGCTGTGTTTGGATCTCTGGTGTTAATACTAAGCATGACGGCAAAATGTGAAATTAGTGAGTTCACACTGCGTCTCATATGTATTATGAGACTGCATGTTTGCTACATTAGGACGCGAGTTTACTGAAAATACACAACGGCTCCACAATTTTGAACACAAAATCCTTGAGAGACGGAGACAGAGCGCTCATGTGTCACTCACTCCTCTCCAGCCAATAGCGGTCTGGCATGGAGTGGTGGAATCCCGCTCTGTCGACACACTCGATGGTCTGATGGCCGTAAATGATCTGGAACATCTGGCAGATCAGAGAACAGTACTCCTCTGCAGCATCCTGAAAACACACACACACACACACACACACACACACACACACAAACACACACACACACACACCCACACACACACACACACACACACACACCCACACACACACACAGATAAACACACTGAATCGGTTAACAAATCATTTTCTCTGACCTTATTTTTGTGACAGTAATCCAGCTTTTTTTCCCTTTAATTGTAGTGAGTGAACACTTTTCAGCATTAGTGCCTTGCACGGTTACAAGATTTGCATCTGAAAATTACATTGTGTCCCCAATTCACTCCATAGGAAAGAAGTGAGAAAAACATGATATTCGGGGGACGGTGAATTCATTTTTCAACTTTGACTGGGGCGCTAAACATACTTTCCACATCACTTTGTGAGCGGTGTAGATGTTCTCACGTGAGAATGAGCCATTGGTCGTACCAAATGAAGGTGATCATGACTTGTACTGATCTGACCCGGTGACCCACCCTGTTCTCCACAGCCAGCAGCACCAGGTTGCAGTAGGCGTCGGGGCAGGGCGTCGGCTCCAGGGGATTGTGGTTCCTCCTCTCCCAGCTGCCGTAGCTCTTCCCCCGCTCCCAGCTCCCGGTGCAGGCCTGCCGCCGCTCCCAGCTCCCACCGCCACTGCCTCCCCCCCTCCTCTCCCAGCTCCCACCGCCTCCCCCTCCATGCCTCTTCTCCCAGCTCCCTCCGCCAACGCCACCCACCCCCACCCCCCAACTGCCGCTCATGGGTCGTGCCCTGCGGTTCTCCCAGCTGCCTCCGGTTTTGCGTGTTTGCTGCCTCTTCTCCCAGCTCCCTCCAACTCTCTTCCTCTCTAAACTCCCCCCGCCGCCTCCTCCTCCTGCTCCTCCTCCTCCTCCTCCTCCTCCACCACCTCCTCCTCCTCCTCTCTCCACATTCTGGTTCTTGTCGTGGTTACTCCTGGACAGCGACGGCCTCCAGTCGACTCCACAGATGGTGTGCCGTCGTTCCATCGTGCCCCCCGCAGGCCGAGGGTCGGCGTTGTGGCTCATGGTTTGGCGTCGGCCATCCACGCCTGTCGGCTTTTTCCTGTCCAAGCTGTCGTCCCCGGCAACCACTGTATCCACGTTAAGGCCTGCGGGAGGAGGTTTAAAAATGTGTTAGGTAAAACAAACAAACAAAAAGCAAAAACATTGATAATCTGCTTCAAAATGCCCCCTCCGTGGAGGGATTGGTGTCTTTTCAGTAGAGAAAGAAAAAAAATGAAGGAATGGATTTGAATGTGTGTCTGTGTGCAAATATTAGCCTGCCAAGCCATTAAACCGTAACAGCCGCAAACCAACTTTACTTCAAAAGGAAATTTTCAGCTAACAATATATATTTATTTTACTCACTTTAGTGAGTGACACTGTCTCTCAATTAGGTGTGTCCTCACCTGTCTTGAGGACCAGCAGGTGCAGCGCATCGTCTCTCAGGTAGGAGGCAGCAGCGATCTCATGTGTGGGAATCCTCACCAGCAGCTTCTCGTTGTCCCTCCATGTGAGCAGCAGACAGCGAGCGGAGAGACTCAGAATGCAGTCCTGATCCACACTGGTCTTCAGCGGGAGCAGCTTCAGCTGCTGCTGACCAACACACAGGGACGTGTGACGACAGGTCGAGGATCAATGAGTATGATATGAATGACCAAAGTCAAAAGTAAAGTCAATTTACTGTTTGTTTACATTTGTGATGATTCAAAAATGTAATATGAATATTTATGACCTTCAAGGCTTTAAATAATCAGGCGTTTCATTATAAGAAAGGCCTTCTAACCCCTCACAGGCTGCTGCAGTTTTACATCAGGTGATATCGCTCTCAGAGCCCGACTGAGGATTAAGGGTTATTGGACTTTTGCAGTCCGGGTTCCCAATCTCTGGAACAATTCTCCAGCTGAAATTAGGTCTAAAGCCATCTCCCCTTTTAGGTCTATTCTTGAAACATTCTTCTTTTAAAAGCTTTTCTCTGTGTGAACAATTTTTTCCTTGCAATTTATTGTTCTATACTGTATTACAATGGCAGCCTGTGCATTTTCTACTTGGGCCTTCTGTGCCTAAAGTTGAATGACCTAATAACCTCCTCATGACGTTACAGTTGTAGGTTATTATTGGTTTTGCGTGAACACATCATATTTACATGACACTGTAACAAGTGAAATTAATATGAAGCTCAACACCAACAAAAGTCATGTTGGCCCACTGACCAATCACGGCGCACGTTAATGCAGACGTACCTGTGAGGGCACCTTGGTACTACTGGCACGTCAAAGAATACGGCCAACATGTCAAAGTAAAGATCTGATAGGTTGAAGATTATGACGATGAACCATATACTTTAATCTGCTAGAGGACCTCGGCCCCTCTTGCATGGGGGGTGAATGTGATAAAAGCTCTCTTTAAAACAAGCTGCGCTGGAGGCGGAGCAACAGTGGAAGACAGGAGCTGTGCAAAGAGAGAATAAGCTAATGTATTTCTAAAAACAAAATTGTATTATTGTTATTGTTGTTATAAATTTATGCAATAGTGATTCATCAATGACATATTGACTTTTTTTGTTATAGCGGTTGATTATCGGCTGTGTTTGTGTTTTAATACAGATATTTTATTGATAACCAAGCAGTAATTACTTTTAGAAAGGTTATTGATTACTAACCCTGGCTGTGTCCAGTAGTTGTAGCAGTTCGTCTCGGCTGGAGGGGTTCAGTGAAACCGACACCCACGTCAGGTGACCAAGGAACTAAGGTGAGAGGTTAAAAATCAAGCTGTCACTGTTGGCATATACTGTAAATATATATATATATATGTGTGTATTTTGTTGTATCACCTTGACCTCCTTCTCCACATAGTCGAAGATGAGTCTCTCGGGGTGAATGAGGTAATCCGGGGGATAGAGAGGGACAGTGTGCAGCGGGCGCCGGTAAACGCTGCCTCGATCCACCGGCCTGCGACCAGATTTTGACCAGACGAGCCGCTTGATGGGCGAGACAAAACTCTGAAAAGAGATGGACGCATAAGCATTGGGGAAGACAAGACAATAAGACAAGAATGCACAAAAGAGAAAAGAATGTGGCCAATTCAGCTGATTCAGATAAACTGACCTCTTCTGGGAACCCTCTCTGTTGTCAGTTTTGCACGCGTTAGGAGCGGCGTTCACCGTTCATTACTTACAAAGTGTACTTTCCAAATAAACTTCCAACGTACGTTTACTTTGTTTTTTGTTCCGTGGCAAGAAGGTCAGGTTTAGGCATCGGAGGAACGTGGTTCAGTCTGGGAAAAGATAGGTGTTTGGATTCAAATAACTATGTCTGTTACATAAGATAAGTCTGTAGCTTTATGCTAAAAAACTGATGAGTTTTTAAAAATTACTAAATCGTGAGTATAATGTTCAACACTAATATGGCTGTAATTATAACTGAAGTTCCTAGTCCCTAGGTGGGTGTTTTGGCTTTGCATTTTAACTACATTATCTCAGAAGACAGTTAATTTGTGTGAACACGCGTGCCCCTGTGCGTTTGATTTTGTGTTAATGCAGCACATCCCCCTGGCTGTCGGAGCTGTGATTGACAGGTAAGCAGTAATCTTTGACAGCTCCCTGCTGAGACTCACTGTCAACACAGCTCACACTGTTAGACACCCACTGTCACGCACACACAAGAACACACATGATTTAATTTGTCCAGAAGGTGTGAGTCGAATGGATGCAACACACACGCACACACACTGAATCGAGAGAGGAAATGAGCTTTTTCGGATTAAAAACCTGTCTGGGGAACAAGGACAGGTTTCTGTATATCTCAGGTCTGATGAACATCTCTGCACTCAGCCTGATTTCCTTCTAAGACACAGCAGTCTTATAATGTGTATTGTTCTTCCGTTTGCTCCAGTTTCTTTTTTTGGAGAAACATAAAAAGAGAAATAATTGGATTTTTTTTTCTTTTTCACAATGAATATGCTTAAAAAAAGTGCCTTAGAGCAAATTAATTACGAGGTGAGGAGGAGATTCTCCTAATCTAAGGTTTTTAATGAGTTGACTTTGGTGGAGGTGTCTTTTGATGGAGTCACATGTTGCATGAAGAAGTTTATCCATTAGGAAAATGCAGCTACTGAGCTAATGGCTAATAACAGAACTGCACGTCAGGGACGTGTATATGCATATTAGTCACAGTCTGTCATGTGCTATTGTTTACTCTCTATTGGTATTTTAGTCTCAGGAATCATTTCGTTCGACAAAGAGATTATTTAAGTATTTTGGATCATCGACGCCTCAGACCGTTCCTCCTCTGTGCAGCAGCTCCAGCATCACTGATAATATGTTGCCGCTAATCTGAACTCTCCAGCTCTTGTTCCTCCAAAGGTTACTGATGTGAAACAAATTGCTCTCAGTCAACAGCGTAAATTTGGCTTTCAGAGTTGACCCAAACGGGCGCAAAAGCTTTCACACTGATTCACTTCCCTCCTACTACGCCGACAAGGTCGCTTTTCTCTCGATAGCAACTCATTGATTTTGCCTCACAATTTATGCCGTTTTAAACGCTGGCGTGAACAGGCCTCACGCTTTGGTTTGATTGAAACTCAAAGATCCAGGATCTCTGGAGAGAGACAATTTAAGAGACACTAAAGAGGCACTAAAGAGGCCGAGCACAAGGGATCGTAGGCCTACCTTCTTGGATTTCTTGGGTTCATAGTCCATTGCTATTCAGGAACCCCCCCAGAAAGGTCCTCTTCTGGGTCAGATGAGTCCTGGTTGCTGCCAAACTCTTCCTGAAAGTAATTCTTTCCTTTTGTTTCAATCTGTCTTTTGTTGACTTTGTATCTGTCTCTCAGTTGTTTTTTCCATCGTCCCCGACGTTGAGAACTTCTCTCTCTGTTGGAGTTATTTTTGCTTCTGTCTCGCCTGCTTCATTCTGGTTCTTTCTTGTCTCTACGCTGATTGTTCTTTTGGGGCCGTACACACGCTACCACACACAAACACACACCTACACACACACACACGCGCGCGCAGGAAGCAGAGGAAGCCCATTTCCTGTCCAAGAGGAAACTCCACCAGAGGCTGATAAGGGCCATTCTCTCTGAAATGTATTGATGTATTTTCAAGTCTCTAAACCCAGAAATTGCCTCAATCCAACTAAGAAACAACTAAATCGAAATAAACCTTCAGCTTCCCAAAGACACAGAGAACGTCTCCTCAACTAAGTTCACCTGCCTCAGCAGAACATTGCAACATTTCTTTCATGAACACAAACAGCACGTAGATCCAGTTTCAACTTCTCTCCATTATTCTTGACGTACACAACATTTCGTGGTTAGGGGGTGTTTGGCCTTCTTCCAGTAAAAAAACGTGGAGAAAAATGAGACGTGGTAAACGCTGTGAAATGATTGGTTGCGCTTAGACGAGACAAAATACTTAAAACAGCAAAACATTGCATAACAAAGATATCCTGATTTAAAGGAACAGCCAACTTATTCACTGGTTTATCCCATTCTTACCGTCCTAGATGAAAAAAACTACTCCTCGGAACAAAACATTTGGGAGTGTATTTTAGGCTTGTTGGAGTCGTACGGTGCAACGAGCAGGTTTGGCCACAGAGAGGCAGAGCTGTGATGAAGGAGGGAGGAGGGGGGAGAGGGGGAGGAAGGAAGGAAATACATATTTCTTGATGGAAGCAGAGAGAGATGATATCAAACCGGTGACCTTTCTCACACACATGCATGCACGCACACTCACGCACACACTCACAGACAGAGACACACACACACACACACACCAACACACACACACACACATTATGTCAGTATGCAGCGGATGGAAATACAAAAAAATGCAGATTTGTGGAGAAAAACGGTAGCAAGCTGATAGTAAATACGACATAACTTCAAACACAAACACACACACACACACACACACACACACACACACACACACACACACACACACACACACACACACACACACACACATATTGTCGAGGTATTGTCAGGGTAACCACTCCATGGTGACCGGAGGGCTAACTGCTTAACGATTGCCCAGTTACCTAGACAACGAGAGGCAAAGATGGGGCATTTATCTTGAGTCGTTTTTTTCTTTATTCCATGTGCTCTCTCTCTCCCTCTCTCTCTCTGCCTCTCTCTCTCCCTCTCTCTCTGTCTCTCTCTCCCTCTCTCTGTCTGTCTGTCTTTCAGCAATGAGAAAGTTGCCCGGGGGCTTAAAGGTGTCAAAATGAAAGGCGGATAAAGTTCTGCACTGACCTTGGATCTTCCACCAGCTCAGTGTCAGATCAACCAACATTAAAATATGTCATTTCAAAATGTTATTTTGATGAAAAATGTCTTCGTCTTTGTAACTGTTTCCCAAAAGACGTAAACCGAGTCATGTGAGATGCAGTTAGTGACGTGCTTTGAGACCTATGACGTAGCCGATAGGCTAAGTGAGTGGAACGAAGATTCTGTTTGTGTGTACGTGTGTATCTGTGTTTGTGTGTATCAGTGATATGATAAAAGCAGAATCCTTCAAACACCTAAAAATCCCACATGACGTCTGACTCAAGAGGACAATAAGCATCACGGAGAAGACGAAGGTGGAAGAGGAGGAAGAGGGAGGAGAGCAAACAAGATGGAGAGAGGGGAGGAAGAAGAGAAGGAAGTTGTAGGAATAAGAGAGGAGGGTTGATTGGAAGGTCAGATGAAGATCAAAGAAAGGGAAGCAAGAAGATGAATGGTGAGTAAGGAAGGAGGAGATGAAGTGGAAGGTAAAAGAGGGACTAAGACGGGAAAAAAGCGCGTAAGGAAGGAATTAAGAAGGTGGCATTGAACCTACACAATCTCCTCATCTCATCTCCTCATCTAGTCAAACGAAGCTTAATCGGGGTGTTTGAAAGTGTTTCAAAATCAAACATCCGGGAACATACAGTTTGTCACACGCATACCGCCTCCTCCTACATAGCGTCAATTTATTTTTAGACGTGACAAAAGGAAGGTGGCGTTGACTTGGTTTTAGAGGGACAGCGGTCTCAGCTCCTGCGTAAGTGGACTTTATCGTTCTTCACACTAGTTCAGGGACTCTGACCATCGATTAATGAAGCGTGTGGGTTTACATTGGAGTTAGCAGAAAGCCCGGAGTGTCTCAAAGGTCTCAAAGGTTGGACGCTGGGAGGGGGGCACTGAGCAAGTGGGTGAGAACGGAGTTTTGAAAAACAAAAGGACAAAAAAAGAGGAGGACTACTCTGCCTTGAGTGGCTTCTTGTAATAAATTAAAACAGAGAAGAAGAACAGACTAAAAACAGAAAAAGCAAAGGGAAAAATAGGTGAAAAAGGGAAGGAGGGAAAGATTGTTGTTTACTTTCTAGATCTCTAGAGACGCCCTACCAAATAAACAACAACTGGAGGGACGAGGATGTGAGAAAGACATCAAAGAATGTTGGTTTGAGGGAGAGATTTGGTGCTGTTGCCTCGGGAGGAAAGACAGAAGAGATGGAAGAGGAAATGTGGGAAACGGGGCGGGAAGATTCAGCAAAAAGTGTTGGATGAGCTCCAACTTCCCTTCCAGATCTGCCTCGCTCTGGTATCACGCCTGGGAGTCCTCAGTAGAGTCCAAACACACAACCAGGCGGCAAACAGCCAGTCAGAATGAGCCTCATCCCGTCCCAGGGGCGCTAAGTTAAAGGTTTTGAAGAACTATTTGGATATTTTCGGTTATTGAAGTAAAAAACAAAATTGATCATCAGTGGTGCATTGATTTATGAAATACAGACCCTTGAGGTTCAGTGAAAAACTGACGTTCTTGATGGATTGTACAAAAGGACAAGAAAATGTGTGTCCTTCTTTGCTCCTTTGTCTCCTCATATTTGGGGGAGGTCTGTTGAAAGAGCCTGTGACTTCTTAGGCTGTCCTGTCACATTTCTTCATTTGCATTATTTATTTAAGTCTCATTTGTGTGCAAATAATATTTAATACATTAAAGAATAAAAAGGAAAAACTAAAAATGTTTTATCAACTTGAGTCACAAAATGTCTATACTTAATTGTTCTCATATATTCTTTGAAACAAAATAATTATTGAACTATTCAGTGTTATGTTCAGGCACTTTAAATTATTCTTAAAATACAGTTAGGATTATGGAAGGTTAATTTATGGTATTGATAAAAATGACAGTGACCTATATTTGTTTGTTTTACAAAATTCACATTTACATAATGACACCATAATCCTCTAATATGAAATTCTTTTGTTGCTTCAGTCTAAATGCATGCAGGAGGAAAACCTAAGTCTGTGCATTGTATGTCACTGCATGTTAAAACGCAATAAGTTAAGCAGTTAGATATGAAGTGAAATAAAACACTCAGTAGTTTCCTCAGAAAGCTTAGTATAAGTATATTCAATAATTATTTTCACTCGTCACTTTGTCACTTGTTCGCTAGTGCACTTTATTTTTTAATATTTTTCAACTTTTTAAATATTTTAAATTAATTTAACTTTAACTTTATTCTCTTATTTTATACTAACCCATAGCCTTATTCTACTAACCCATAGAATTAGCATTTCATTTTATTCTATTTTATTTTATTACTTGTGCACTGCTGTCTTGGTGTCTATTGTTACACCGTCTACTGTCACGCACCAACCAAGTCAAATTCCTTGTATGTTTGACATATTTTGGCAATAAATGTTTCCTGATTCCCGATTCCTGATATATTAAGCATTGCTCTCACGTGCAATATATGACTTAATATTTACTTTTCATGTCCACCGTAAAAGAAAACACAGACAGCAGAGTATTTGGCCGGCTGTTGAGCCAAGTTTACTACAGTATTATTCCCATCTACAGTTATCAGCACATCTTGAGCTCTTTTTTTTTAACAGCGTCATAGATATTTTCACCACTAGTTTATTTTTCTGCTCATTCACTCAGAGGATGGTAAAGCAGCATTATCAAAAGAACTTCCTTACATACGTACTGTACATACGATACATACATACAAACCAAAGCACACACACTCATGAACATCCTAGTATAGCGCCACTCTGATATATACAGATATATAGAATGAGTAAAAAAAAAAGACTATTTTCAGTTTTTACATCTTAATATAAGAGTCATACCAAAGACATGGCCACTGAGAGAGTAAACAATAAATAAATATATACATAAAAAATACAAAAATAAATAAACATAAATACTTGCATCAATTAATAAAAGATGATTTGAGCTTTTGAACTTACTTCCTTTTTTTTAACATGTTTTTGTTTAAGTTGATTTACAACTAGCGCACCGCGTTTTCGCTTCTATTTGACTTCAACCACAAAAGGCTTCACTATCCAATCAGAGAGAGCGAAGCCTCGTCCTCTGCCCATGACCGGGCGGTTACATATGCATTGTCTGTACATTGTCATGCTCGACGTGGCATGGAATTGTTGTTTTCAGCACCATTAACATCGCAGTGGCTGCCACCACTGTGCCGACATACACTAGTTCAGTTAGGACACAACACTGTCAGGATAACACGGTCATACAGAGTCTTTAACAATATTTGTTTTAAATTTCTAATCTTGATTTTTCATATATTAATTTAGACCCACCACAGACACTGTTTTCTTGCAGAGCATGAAAGAGAGTTGACATGGATATGCTTGCCCTTGCCGTCTAATTGGGCATTATATAAAACCCCCGTGAAGATCTGAGCGCTTACATACTTGCTTCTAACACTGCATGTGTGTGTGGACGACGATGCTCCACAGCGCGGACATAACAGTGCAACTCACCGGCAGAATACAATTAATCTGCCTCCTTGGCAGACTCTGACAACTAAACAACAGATTTAAAAGACGAAATAAGTAACTAACTAAAACATACCAACTTGTCGAATACTGACGCTAGATGTGCGGCCCTGTGCTTGCGACTTTCTTTGCAGCGCTCCCACGTCAGTTTTTGACCAGTGAGTTTCTGCTTGTTACATGCAGGTGACGTCTTTTGAAATAAACTTGCCATCTAATCTCATCCATTTCTAAACGATGCAAATAGTTTTTACGTTGGAATTTGTTAAAGCTTGTCGGGTGCCGAGTACCATCGACCAACTGTTGATATTTGATATTGAGTTGGTAGTGAGAACAGGTCGGACGTTGCATTGGATGCAAGCATGTGAAAAATGCTGCAACTGAATGAATGCATTGTTTAAAAGCAAGTATATAAACCACTGTGACTGCATGGACCTTAAGTACACATTGTTGGAAATCCTGGGAGTCCCTTCAGAATATCCACATGCATCATCAGCATAAAGGTGATAATTAAACCCACACTGGAGACTGCAACAACAATGACATCTGCGTTGGCCTCAGGTGGCAGCAGGAGGAAACTGAGTAGGATAATTTCCTAAAACGTTAATAGTACATTACTCGAATTAAGGATTTTTTTAACTTACTTTCTGTCAGCGTGTTTAAGGTCACGTGGTTCATACACGTTGAACAGCTGAATTTTTTACATTTTGACACAGGGGAATTGCCAAAATGACAGTTGAGATGGCATTTAAGTAAAGCAGAGGCGTTTTTACTTGTTTTGTAAAAATTAGAATCTAAACATTTTTGACACAAGTTCATAGTCAAACAGGAGTTCTTATTGTGCCAAAATATGTTTGTGCTTGTGGAAGTCAACCCTTGGCGACACCCTGAACAATTTCATCCACTAAATGCTTGTTGGGGTACAATACAAAAATAAGTTAAACTGCATCATGTATCAGTATCTCAAATGCATCTTAAAGGTGTGTTGAGGAACATGCTTTTTGAGATGCATCGGAGTGAAACAGGGAATGTAATGATTCTAAGAGAAATGCTTTTGAATGCTAATTGCTAAAAATGCTAACGTCTTGTGTTTCCCTTTCTCTAAAACAATCACAACATTGGTATAAATGTTTCTCGGATGGACTCGAAGAACTTTCTTCATAACAAATCACAAGTCACCTTATATGCACACACTAAACTATGGCTTTTAAAGATGAAAAAATATGTTTTTAAAGAACTTCAAAGAGAGATCTGTTGTGTAATATGAGAGAGGACAAAAGTTAGCTTTGATGCTAGTGTTTTGTTCTTTTAAACTATTCTTTCTCCAGGTGCTGTTGCCCACCACGCTGGAATGTCTCAGCATCTCGCTGCTTCTAGTTGATAGTAACACATTCACACCGGGGAGTCGGACGTTAAACCTCAACCCTTGAAGCCGTCTGCTGAACAACTCTGAACGGTGAATTTGGTGGTTCCTTTTTTTTCAACAACAGCAGGTCGAAGGAACAAAGAGGATTTCTCATCTGTCGATTGAATCTTCTTTGAAGGCCTGTACATGGTTTTATTTTGTAAACATCTTTCAAAAATCCAAACCCTTGTCAACATCCTATTTGTAACAATGAACAGCAGCTTTTTCTAACTCGCTAGCCTGCAAAAACAATCAATGTATTTTTTTTTTATCAGATACTGTTCTTGCCAAAGATTAAACACTGGAGAATGTTTTTCACATCATAATGAGGTTGCTAATGATACCATTTCTACCTCTACATCTCGTGTATTTCAAGAAAACATTTAGACTCTTACGCGCAAATGAAGCGTCTTCATCCAAAAGTCATTCACCAACTACAGCTTATTATAATAGCTTATATATGACATCCTTATTTATTCAACTGTACATCGCAGGCCTGTTTGTGGCCAGTTAGAGCATGGCATATGGGAGAGGGGGGGCGTTGCAGGAGTCGTCCAGCTTACATCCAGACCGGTTCTGATCTCTTCCAGGTGAGTTCTTGATGAAGTTGGTGGGTGACGGAGCAGCGGGGATGTAATTCATTTATCTCAAGACTTGAGTCCAATGTGTCGGTCCATACGTTTCTCTTTAGACGCCGCGGACAGAACGTTTCAAAGGATGGTTACCAAAGTCCGCGAGGGACATGCAAACCTTCGGAGGCATGATGGTACGGCAAACTGACACGTGAACAGTGTGTGTGTCGTGTGTGTGTGTGTGTGTGCAAAGCGATTGCATTTCTTTAAATATTAAAGAGTACTTAATTGGCAATGAGTCGGTGATGTTGGAGGTTAATAGAAATCCAGACGCCTTGAGTCAATGCATGTCGAATGGGGTTGAGATTTGTTTGTCATTGTTGAATTTATGTTTTCAGTATATTTTTATTGTGCGTCACTTAAACTAACTGGAAATAATTGAACTTATCTTTTTGTACGTGGTTGGATATAAAAAGCTGAATTCAATTATTTTCTGTTAGTTCCATAAAAAAAAGATTGAAAAAAACTACGACTTCTCAACTCAATTTTACTCAGTTTTAACAAAGATGTGAAGGCGTCTTCGCCCCCCCAATCACTTGAGTAATATTTTCATTCATGTCTAATTTGCTACCAAACCAAATTGATTGCATGTCCCGTGCAAACTACAGCCTCAAAAAGTCCCCGTTGTAAGTCTCTGTTGAATCTTCGGGTCCGAGGCTCAAGTTCATGCGGCGAACTGTTTCTCAATTACCGTCAAATCCTTTTACTTCTTGCTCTAACCATGCAGGATGAAACTAAATCTAACTCTCCTGGGTCCCAGGATGAGGGATCAAATGTCTCACCTCCGAGCTTTTAGATAAGACGAAGATTATCTCCCTCCAGTGTTACTCCCTCTACTTCCCACGGCTCATTCATGCTACGTTCTCCCGCACGGCGCCTTAAGGGGAGAGATTTGTTCCCAGATTGCGCTTCACATTTTACAATCAAGTTTGACACTCTTGTTGGAGTTGATCAGAGTTGCTTGAAACTCTTGTCACCCTTCCGCGCTTCTCCTGGCGTCGGGTGTTTCTAGGATGAGAGCCGATCCCAGGCTGAGTCTCGGGTCTCAGGCTGCTCTTTTAAGTTTAGGAGCCCCAGCCGGCTTAGACGGTCGTCTCGTACTCTAAGACCTCTTTGCTGCCCATCATGCTACTCCTGTACTGGATCCTCGGGCTGGCGGCCGACGTGGTCTCCAGGAGCAGAATGGTTTTGCGAAGGCGCCTGTCGATAAAGTGCGCGTCCCAGGCCGGGTATCGCTTCCTCGGCAGGTCGATCCGGATCACGGGTCCGTCGAGCGCACGAGACGAGGAGGACGTCCTGTGAAGGAGCGCGGGGGACGACGAAGGGGAGGGGCGCACCTGGAAGATGGGCAGGCAACTGTCCCTGTCCCTGTCCTTGTCTCGCTCCCCGGGAACCGGCTCCCCCGTGTCTTTAGTCCTGGGGAGAGTCCTCGGAGGGCTGGTGATGACCATGTCTGTTTGGGACCCTTGGGACGGGGTGAGGCAAGCGTCGATCACTCCCGCTACCCCTCCCGCGCTCACCCCACCGTCGTCTACACAGCCCCCCCACTGGGAGCCCAGAACGGGCCCGTCGGGGTGCAGCCAGCAGTAGTACACCAACATGAAGAAGGTTCCCAGGGCAAAGCTGCAGGCCACCAGGCACACCACCACCAGGGCGTAGGAGTCGGAGGTGTGGGGCCCGCGGTAGGTGTACCAGGCCGCGGTCAGGGCCACGTTCTCCGCCAGCGTCACAGAATAGTAGACGGTCATGCGTAAGCGGCTGGGGCCTTCCTTGACGTTGAACCAGCAGAAGATGTAGATGATGCCCACCACCATGTTGTAGATGATCTCCTCCCACTTGGACATGCAGAAGTCAGTTTCACCTTGGATGATCCAGAAGGTCATGACACACCTGAGAGACAATGAACAACACCCTTATTAACACTGGGAATGTTAATAACACTGCAGAACGGCTGCTAATAAGAACAATGTAGTAATTTGGAGGGACAACCAGAAAAATGACTTATTTTATATTTTCTAATTTTTGTTTTTGTTTAATACTGACATGCATTTTATTACAGCGATGGCCTCTGTTAAAAAGTTCTGTATACAGCGATTAATTATGCTTTAAGCTGTTTTCCTGTACAATACTGTAAACAAAAAGGTATCTCACTAAATTCATTGTATGACTGTGAAGACTATTTTGGAAACAGAGCGAGAATAATTTATCTTTCCTGCTACAATATTCTTTTGAAGTAAATGCAGCAAGTGAATGGCTGGGTAATAATTGTAAACTTAATAAAGTGAAATTCCAGTTAATATAATTAAGAGAAAGTTTTTCAGATAATTATCTTTTTTAAAAACCCATTGCTATTCATCATTTTGTCAAATAATAAGTCTGTCATTGCGGGTCCGGCCTTTTGCATCAGGTCACATGTCCCACCAGTGGCTGACGATGAAAATGCCGAAGTAGAGCTGGAAGACGGAGGCGAAGAGGGCAAAGGCCACGGTCCTCGCCCCGATGGTGAAGAAGTGCCACAGCATCTGGGTGATCACGGCCTTGTAGGACATGGGCAGCTTGTCGTCGCGGGAGTCCCGGAGAACCTTCTGGTAGGAGGCAATCATCCAGGCTAGAGACACCAAGGAGGCCGAGGCAGAGAGACCTGGGAAGAGCGATGAAGAGAGAGACAAACAGAATAAGAGGAAGGAAAGAAAATATGGGCCGGATTGAAGCACATTCGGGGATCAAGAGGTGAAGGAAATAAAGAATTATAACAAATACTCATCGACATGAAACAATACCCCTTCCACCATTAAAGGAGACACGAGCAGGAGCACATTACAAACCATATCCTCACAGCATGACAGACATGACAACAGACGGCTTTGTAACACTAAGATGACCTTGAAAAAGTTGATTATATTATGTACATTTCTAACAGATGACATTTTGATTAAAAAAATGTTTTTTTGTTTATTGTGTTTTTCTTATGAATGTTCAAATGTAGACATTGGATTGGATCATTTGTAATTATCTCACTGCTTATAAGGCGGTGTTCTTGTCCTTGTTCTATTCTCCCTCTTTACCAATAGCCCTATGATCAATCAAAATCAATTTAGAATAGTTAAGTTTACGATGACCCGGCCTAAGCGAGGTTCTAGAAATCCGACACTCCAGGAGGCGGACTTTTAAACATGGTCTTGTAATAGCACAATAAATAATAAAAATAAATCTGCCAAAACAAGTCAGGTGAAACGGGTGACCAACTGTTGTGAAAAACTAACTAACTTAAACTAAATTCTATGATGACAGCTTTTAAATGTTTTGCTCCCTAGCTCACTCAAGTAGACCTGGTCTGGTTTCGATTGAAGTAAAATGTAAAGCCATTAGCCTGCACATGTAAGAGTGAGGCGCACTGAGAGACGCCCAGAGTGCAGTTTAAACACATTAAACATTCATGCCTTTAATCATGCAGTCTTGTCTCAAATTAGCTATAAATCACACTGAGAAGTCATTAAAATTTGAGCAAAATCCTGCACAGACTTTGCATTTTAATGTCATTTTGATCATTATAGGTTTTCCTTGCAAAGAAATTGGGGAGAACTTGAAGATTCCTCTCATGTAGAAACTTACTGATATTTTAGTTACTTATGACCCTTTTTAAAAAAAAGTATTCCTCTTAAAAATGACTCAAATGACCTTGAAGCAATGCATAACACTTGCTTCATTACATTCATATTGTATTCAAAGGATATGGAGATTGGCCTGTTTTCTTCTAATATAGTTTTGTGTTTTGTTGATTAAACACCTTGAACGCTCTTTAGCAAAGACATCATGTTGTTAGAAATCAGAATAAAACAATTGTTGCTTTAACCAAACACAGATAACTTCCTTAGTTGCGTAATTCACTCCTATGTGTTTATGTCGGGTTGTTGAAAGCAGGACAGATTTGAGAAGTTTTTAACTCATCTTCAGTTTCCTTCCGTTGAAAACACAATTGACATGTGACGTCAACCTAATCTGACTCTCAGGGAACATCCACCTCCTGCTGATGTTTACAAGTAATGACATCACTCGTTACGTGGAATGCAGCAAAAGGAAATGAACCGAAGCGGCAACCGAAGGAAATGAAGCACAGGGGATTACTGGCGGAAAGAGACATATGCGGTTTGTTAGGCTTGGAACACCCAGTAAATGTCAAACATTTGGAGGAACTATTAGCAGCAAATGTTTAGGATTTCTAGTAACGGATGACTGAATCTGGTTGGTTCATTTGATTTTGCTGATCAATAAGCCGCATCACCATGTGATATAAGCTAAGTGGGAGTGCTGTTTAATGTAAAGATGTGAAAAGGATATAAAGCAACATCATGATCAAAAAGTATTTCAAAACGTCACATAGAGAAGTTTTAACGTGAGTTAAGAAAGTTAAATATCGGAGCACTTTATGCACGAGCAGCAGATTTATTCCTCTTCTGTGGCAATAATCACAAGAAAAGATATTGAGACGTGACAAACAGCATTGCAGCCGCTGGGTTACGATGATACTGGCTCTCCCCCTGCACACCGCTCTTAGCTAATCAATCTATACAGTAACACTCTCAAAGGGCCAATAAATGATCTGACGGTCAACGCTCAACCACTCTAAATGTCTTTTCAGCTGCCCAACAGAGGCCGCGGTTACACGTCTTTTCAATGCGTCCTTTGGGGTTGTAAGCGCCAGATCTGTTCACAGTTAATAGTTCAGTGCAACCTGCCAGATCCGATAGTAGGTGCATATATTCAGGGACAAAATTGTGGCTCTAAAAGGGTGGATAAAACCACTTCATTTCAAATGCATTTTTTACAGTAAAAGCCCCCGTTTACGGGTACTGTCTACTCTTCCTCAGTGCAGTGTTTGGTAGACTTCTTTTATTAAAGGATAGCCGTTAAATGCTAAACATTTTGTCCTTTCAATTCTTCACAATTAAAGCCCCCCCCGGTCCCCTGGCACAGTGTTATGTATGACGACGCAGTAACCTCCTCCATCACACAACAATGACTTTATAAGAACGATCATCAACATGATGAAGAAAAATACAAATATTGCTTATTGTCAGTAGTTTAAGGACCGCGAAAATGTCCCTTTCCAAAAATCCTTGGTTCCCCTGAGACATCAGGGTCAGTCACTGTCCCCGTGTCCCCTCAATGAATAAGACTAATTAACAAAGGATTCCTTTTAAGTCAAGCGTTTGTCCCTTGTTTGTGTGTGTTGTGTGTTTAAGCTTTCAGATGTGTGAATTGTACAACTCAAATATGTGTCTGACCCTTCACTTGTCTGTGTGTGTGATTGCTGAGTGGGTACAGTGAGAGAGACACAGAGAGAGAGAGAGAGAGAGAGAGAGAGAGAGAGAGAGAGAGTTTTGTTTCTTTCATCAAAGGCCAGTGCATTTATAAAAACGTTCCACCGTAAAACTGTTGTAAAAAAAGTTTTTAAAATAATTCAGCTTCCTGCTCAATATTACTTGGTGGGGTCAAAGGTCATCATATGGATTAAAGGTAATCCGTCAGGGGAACCCGCTCTCACGGACGCGCCCCCCTTCGTCACAGCGTTACCCACCTTGCAGCGGGAGGACGATGTTTCCGTGGATCATGATGCTCAGCTGGAGGACGAGCTGCGGAGCCGACTTGAGGAAGGCCTCCAGCAGGCGCAGCATGGTGATGTCAGCGCTCTCAAACATCAGCCGCCAGTGGAAGTGACGGCGGGGCCCGTCGCCATGCCAACGGCTCTGGGCACCAAGGTAGAGAGCGTGGATGTACCTGAGGGCGAGAGAGGTTTACGAGGGTGATGCTTTATCATTTGTGAAAAGATTTGGGCTGAAATGGTCTCTTAAAACAAATGGAGGGAAAGGATAACATGGGGAAAAAGTACAGTACAGGACTGTATAAAATATCATTTTAAGAGTGAAGTAGCTAATTATATCCCCCGTAAACCATTGTGATAGGTGACACGTCACTCCTGGAAACTCCAGATGAACGGGTAAAGATGACTGCCTGCCTTATTTCTCGCCTCAAAAACATTAGAAAAGAAAACTTCCAAAACTCACTGTTAACCTGCTGTTTATATACTGGGAGGAATCCCTAATTAAAACAGGACAGCAGTCAACAAACGTCTTTGTTTGAGGTGTTTCTGTATAATGATGGTAGTAAAAGTGCATCATTAATGATAAAATCAATTTTGTTTTCTTCTTGCATATGTTAAATCTAAATTCAAACGCAAAAACGGCACTGGAATAACATATTGAAGAAAGAAATATGACCCCCCGCTGCTCTGTTTTCCAGCGAGATAAAAACACCTGAGACTGATGTGTGATTCTCCAGAGAAAGACCTTTGCTCCCACCTGTCACCGTTTAACTCTGTTGTGCTTTTGTTTTGCTGTTTTCCTTTGTGTCAGCGACAATATTGGTCACCAGGTTACAGCAGGTCAACCAGCGCAGAGCATCCGCCTTTTTTTGGAGAGGAATTTGATGGGAAGAGAGGACGAGGCAGCAGGTTGGAGGTTTTATTCCACCCTGCTTGTGCAGCACAACGTCTGCATTAAAGAGCTGTCAGTAACAGGAAGTGTGAAGAAAACAGGTTGTCAGAAGTGGTTTTACTTTTGTGGGATTTCAGCTTTTTTTGCAGAAATATTCTCACTGTTTACCAAATTTATTATCTACTTGCACTTATTTAACAAAAATAAGCATGGAGGTTTTAAAAAAAGGAACGTTACTTTATACCACTGAGGTAAGAATCTGTCACTGTTGCCTCATTATAGGGGGTCACATCTGGGATACAGATGTAGTAAAAAACTTTGGCTGAGTTGCATCTGCTATTGGTGTTTGTTGGATGAAAGAGTGAGGCATCATGAGAGTGGAAGGCTGCTGCTGCAGAATGGATGAGGACGGATGGAGCTCGCTGGAGGAAAATGAGACACTTCCTGCGCTTATGCATTTCAAGCAGATTTTAAATTGGGGGGTAAAAATAACCTAGAAGTGAATAAACATGCACACACATACAGGCTCTCTATCTCACACACACACACACACACACACACCTACGTCAGCATATATGACGCTGTTAAAGTCTGCGATAAAGACGAGCACAGAAACACACGTGGACGTGTGTGACATGCGCTGTTTTACACAACTCAATTCACACACACACACACACACACACACACACACACACACACACACACACACACACACACACACACGGTGTGCCTCACATGCACATTCACACACACGCACACACACACACACACAAACAGTTACAGCGACAGGCAGGAAGGCCAACAAAACAGACTAGAAATCTGTATCTCTGCAAATAACTTGCCGGAGGCGCTCCTCCATTCGCTGTCTCTGTGTCTCCGTCTCCACCTCTACACGCGTTGGGTGGGACTTTTACTCTTTTTCCATCTCGCCCTTACTATGAAAACCACTCTAATGCTGCAGGGCTTGATGACTACCTGGATTGTGTACTCATAGCGGTGCAGAAGTTGTGGAATGCTGGAAACGTCTTGGCGATGCAGTGTGACGTGCAGGTGTTGTAACATCATTTTGGGAAACCGGCGAGGAAGCTGACGCGGTTTTGTTTGTTCCAGTGAATGCAAGCCAATAAATATCACGGAGGGAGCGTAAATTGCTGTCCAATGTTTGCAGGAAAGCGTCCTCCTGCTTCTAATTAGCCGTTTGAAGAAAAAAGCAGGTGTTTATAGATGCTGTGATCGTCTTCTCTAGTAAGCACTAGTAACAGACATGTTGCGTCAACATTGTTCCGGCTCTATGAAAGTAAGTACATTGTGAAAACAGTGTAATTCATATTCCAGTGTAGGATTACTCACAAAAGCATTTGAATTGAGAAACATTAAGTTCCCTCATCGTCTCTATTATAAGAGCTCTCTCTCCAAATTGATGTGTATCTCTCTGTACTCTTAGTATTTATCCATTCAGACATTGACCAACAATCACTTGTCGTTTCTTAGTTGTTGAGGCTTTTCTCTTTGACATTTATTTTTTTCTTTCTCTGGGAATAAATTTGAATCCTTTTTCTGCCTCCTTTCCTTTGCTTATCTCTTTTTTCCCCTTTCAATCCAATGTCGTGCAGCTATTGTCTCTCTCTCTCGCATCCCCAACCAATTTATTTGGTTCTTCCCTCGAGCGCCGTCTCTTCCTCCAATTCCAATCTAGATAATCTAACGTCCCGTGAATCGTATTCTCCCTTCTGCTCTTATACCTCGTTCATTTCTCTCTCTCTCTCCTTCCCTACTCTGACTGTCTCCGCCTCCCCTTTCCTTTCCTCTCCTCTGGGCCAAAACTCAGGGCGACTATCTACAAGGACGCAGTTGGACCTCTGAGACCCTGAACATTTGTGAAAAGAGCGAGAGTGGCTGCTTTGGAGGGGTTTTCGCAGCGATGGTGGGAGCGAACCCGAGAGAAGAGATTATAACTGTTGTACACACTTCATTTGAATCTCCTCTAAATGGATTTTACAGGTCAAGAGAAAAGCAGCTATCAGCAGCAGGAAGGAAATGGGGACACAGATTAGTAATTGAACTGAAATCCTTAGCATCTCTTTTAACGCCAGCGCTGCAGGAAACAGTGGGATTATTGCATCCTCGAAATGAAATAATTTGCAGTGATATTTTAGAAAAGCAGTGGCGGTACAGAAGTACAAATTGTAGGTAATTATAATCTACTTGTCTTTTTAAATTCTCAACCAAAAAATAGCACTTTCTACCTCAATATATGTTCACTTTTCATGTTCAGGTGAAAAGCACAGTGCATTTTGTATATTTGCTGCACATTGACATGCTTATTATTTGGCTACTTACTAAAACAAAAATCATATTATTTTGAAAATGCTTCTAGTGTAATAAAAATAACAAAATCCAGGCTTTGTTAATAGACTACATGGCGACATGAAACATGGTTCAACCAGAATGACAATTCAAAAGCACAGAAAAATGGACAAAGACACCTCTGAGCCACGAAGCAATCAATGGTATGAACATCGTTTAGCGCAGCTTCAAAACCTGTGCACATTTAAAAGGAAACAGCGTCGTGTTTCACTGTCAATTGCAAATAAATGGGGCAGCGGTCGGCCAACAGTTCGATGAGCAAACTCGTTAACGGGAAGGTTGTCTTTTCAGTTCCCATCCAATATACCTCGAGCGAGGCCTTTAACTAATTCCTTTCCGTGAATAAATAGATAAAAGGCAAATCATTACAGCCTACAACAAGCAGCCGTTCTGAGAATTTAAATGATGAGCATTTACGTTTGTATGATTACAACAATGATCATAATAATTACTGACACCGTTGAGGCATCAATTGGCTGATCACAGATTTCTCATCAGCACGGCTCATTGACTTGAAATTGATCAGCATACGCGGCACACAGCGAGAACTAAATAAAGGTCGGGGAGTAGATATCAGATATTAGGAATTATCAACGGCTTCTTTACCTCTTGGAACAAACCAGCACAATGAAAACTATGGTGATTATAAGAAGGTGGATGGTTGGCACCACGAGGCTGCTGTGATGTTAATCCCTCCATTATTTTTATATTTACTGCTAATGGCATCTCTGCAATGTTGTAACGAAATCTTAACCGCAGTGAAATCACCGACAGCCAGGCCAATAATGTAAATCCCCCATCGATGGGAAACAGACAGTGTTTTTTAATAACATCATTCCTGCGTTTGATCAAAGGCTCGACTGGCGTTCTGACCCCTCACCCCCCCCCTCGTCCTTCTCCAGCACCGAGCGTTAAAGAGCCGCTGATCTGTTAGTTGACTCAGTCACGTCCGCAGCAAATTTCTACAGATCTGCCGATTCTTTTATTCGTTAACTGGAGAGTACGACATCAAAAAGAGAGAGAGACAGAGAGAGAGAGAGAGAGAGAGAGAGAGCTCTTTAACCTTCACTTGTTTGAAGAGACTTTCAATCAGCCCATTATCATGCCAGCAATCAGCGGCATTTATGTGTGTGTACAAATACACACACACGCTCTGTGATCAAATGTCTCTTAACAAACACACAGTGCTGCTTCTCACTGATCGAGTCACATCGCAAGACATTGTTTAATGACCTATGCACATACGTATATATATATAGATATATATATAGATATTTTACAGTGCATTTGTCGACTGGAGGACGTGGTGTTTCCCGTTTGAATGAATTGCTTCTTTGCTCCAGAGCTGACTCTGGGGCAAAGGACTCTGCTGCACCGATGCCTCTGCAGAGCTCAAGTTATACAAAAAAGAAAGGGTCATCAATTTGTCCGAGGGACAGAGTATTTCAAGGCAGACCTGAGGGTCAGACTTGCCTGTCCGTCCAAAAAGTGATGTTTACGTCACGTTGTCCTTATGGAAATTTGTTAGAAATTCATGGCAAGCATATTCATTTGTGAGGACATTTAAATGCCCAAAAGTTCATGTTGAATTTTTCCCCAAACGATGGCAAATACACACGTATACTGTATATATTTGATACTTGCTACATATGTACATATACATTTACAAAAGCACTGGTGATATGGAGCCAAACAGGCATACGTTTGACATATGTTTGACACACGATGACAAGCCCCCCGCAGTGGGTGGATGGAGGTTAGAACAGTCAACCTCCTGCTGGTCTGTGAATAATGCAGCTGTCAAATATCTCAAAATTAAACACAGTGAATACACACAGGACTGCCGGGGGCTCTGTTCCACTCTACAGCGCACACACACACACACACATGCAGAAACACACATTGTTCAATGGCCTA